TTTGCACCGAACCTAAGTACAGACTGACTACTCTGCTTCCGGCGGATCGAAAGCGAAGGCATCTCTAGCATTTCATGGTCGTTCAACCTTGCTGTAAAAAAAAAAAAAAAAAAAAAAAAAAAAAAAGAGGCCGGCCTAAAAGATATATTGGAGTATGCTGAGAAGTTGCAAATGGTAACTTGTTGAGATCGAACTTTCTTGCTTCTGATAGATTACAGTAGTGGTGGGGCTCCGGATTCAATTCCGACGCGGGGGGTAGATCGATATACCCGGCGGATATACATGCACTAAGCGACATATATACAAGAAAGACAAGGATACACATAAGATCGCGATAAAGCTGCAACGAAATGAGAAACTAAAAAGCTGTTCACGAAGCGAGGAGGATCATCTTCAACTGCCCCCGTTAAGTCCTAGAAGCCCATCTAGTTAGACCAGTCTCGCGAAAAGGATACATTCACGTCGAAACAAAGGAGTTCATACCTGCAGCGTATGCGAGATACCATGTACGTGTAGCTCCACCATCGATCCAGGTCATGTTAAAACCTGAAGTATTGAAGAAATCGTACGATTCCCTCGGATCTATGATTGCGTAGTTGGCGTATAGCACTCCTTTCCAGCCGCCAGATGTGACTGTCGAAGCTGGAGTGCACGAATTGGTAGCAAACATGGCATCCCACTCTTGTTTCACAAAGGTTTCATTGCGTGTGTATGCAGAGGAAGGCAGGAGTGGGAGCATATGAATTCTAGGATTTGTTAGCATAAATTCAGCGTACGGCAAAGTTATATCAAATCCACTGACCCTTGGATGAACTCGAGGTTGGTGCCAAAGTAAGTAGTATGATGGGCCTTGTTCTCGAACAACTACATTGCTAGTTAGCTAACAGAGCAAGGAGCAGCGATATCCGCGTTACTTACGATTCCAGTCACTTTGTTATCGCAAAAGTTGCTCGGGTGGTTTGAATTGCCATCTTCCATGAGGAAATAGTTTTTGAAAGACCGTCGAAGCAAAGCCAGCATCAGGTTCCCTCTGGCTTCCATACTCTTATCCCCAATGGTCTTCCCCCACATCTTAATGGCATATGCAAACATGGCATCTTCCGATGTCGACTCCTGATCTTTGCCGTCAGCCGAGGCGAACAGACCCTTTGCCCATGAATGCCCATGAAACCAGTCGAATGCTCGTGAAAATGGGAACGATGGATCATTAGTTGCAGGGTTGCCAGCATCTCGAACCAACATGTTCACCCACGCCTTATTTGAGTCAATCCAAGACGGGTCTAGGGTGCCAATGATGGCTGCAGCGTGGATGAAGTATCCATAGTGGAAGTGATGGTCGTTGTATCCCGAATTCCCAAAATCCTGGTTCAAATCATTCGTCTCATATGCCGCACTGGATACCACGCCTTTCCATGACTCGTCATATGCCAAGGGAAACTGCTGCTCATTGTTCACGAAGCGCGCAAAAGCCTTCTTGAGACCATCGAGTGTAGCTGACGCACGATCTGGATCATCGGCAAGCGTATGAACTGTGTATACTAATGTGGCAAACTTGCTCAAGACTTTGCCGCTATAGTACATGCTGTTCAGATTGCTTTGTCCGTCTACGTCGGGTGTCAGCTCGCTGTCCGCGGCGGCACGAATGGTCTGCTGAACGTCCGAAGAGAGTTGGTCGATTTTGCCAAACCTTGGTGACCATGGCGCAAAGTCTATGTCAATTGGCAATTCGTCTTCAATCATCGTCCAGCTGTCTGCCGCAACAGCGGTCATATTGCCTTTGGTGGTAGAGCGAAGTTGAACTGGTTGTAGACCAGCCCTTGTCTGCGCGTCAAATGATTCAATGTGATGCGGCAAGGCAAACATTAATAGAGAAGTATTGCTATTATGTCCCACCTTGTCCCAAGTCAATTGATACGTGGCTGTCGAATTACTCACCACTCCAGAGATACTGGCCGATCTGGCATAGACGCCAGCACTTCGGTCGTACACGCCCTCTCCTACATCGCCGGCTGGATTTTTTGCGACTTGCAAGATGCCAGAAAAGTTGCCTGGTCCTTGGATGGTGGTGCTTGACGTGAAATTGAAATCCGGCAGCACCCCGTTGTCGTTGTCAGGTGTGACATAAAACAGCCAACTTTTACCATCTTCCAGCGTCACACGGTATTTGTACGATCCTTGGCCAACAGCGCCAATGCACACTAGGTCTCGAAAAATGATAGAGCTTTGAACAAGTGGCTGCAACCCCTGATAAATACCGGTAACGAAACCCATACCCTGAAGAACAGGGAAAGTGATGCTTTGGCTTGACTGGTTAGAGGGCCGCAGAATAACATCAGCCGAGAATCCTGTTAATCGATCCGTGTTTAGAACGGTAGAATTCCCAAGTTCACTGGCTGATAGAGCGATAGATTGCAATCCCACAGGGTTCAGGTAGTATTCCACTGGTCTTCCGGGAAGAACTTGGCTTTGGTTGCCATAGACCAGTTGATCAATGTCAGTATGCGAGATAGCCAGGCCCCAACTCGCCGCATTCCCAACACCTCGGCACCATGCCAATGAGTAAGGTTGAGTGAAAGACGAAGTCGTCTGGTTCTCCAGGAAAAAATTCGCGTAGAATTTATTTGTCTCTATTGGGGAAGTAGTGTTTACCTAGTGACTCCTTGTTAGAGCCAATATAAGATAGGACATACTAATACTTACAATCCCGGTTCGGGGAACAGGGTGATCTTCCTTGGTTGCAATGTTCGTTGGCACAGCATCCAACGACACTGTTTCAAAAACGTCTTGCGCATCCATTCTTTGGAGAGAAGCGGGAGATTTCGTTGCAGAATGAGATGGTGCTTGAATTCCTAGACTGCTGAGTAATGCAGGTAGACTTGTCCTTAATGAGAGGATGGCGGGATTTGCGCTGACAGTCACGGTGATTGTTTCCACAACTGTTGTCGTTTTCACTGCAGCAAAAGGAATAATAAAAGACTGAGAGGAAGTGAAGTCACCAAGCGACTGGATGCTGTCCAAACTAATGGATGGATAAGGGAAAGGGGGTAACGATGGATGCCCTTCTGTCTCCAATCTAGACTCGTAAATCTGATATCTATAGTATCAGCATCATTCGAGGCCATGTGCAAATCACGCAAGTACATACTCCTTGCGTCTGGATATTGGTAAGCCTTGCAGACTGGGGAGGATACAGTGTTCTAAAGCTTGTAGCACTCTTTGACACAGGCGTACTCTTAGGGATCTGACAGGTCATCATTAGATCTTCATTAGCAGAGTACAAGAAGCGTGACATACTGAATACGCAGTTGGCGATGGCGTCAGATATGGATGGCCCGATGTGACCTGGACGGTCTGAGACCATGTTAGTATAAAAGTCAGAAGAAGAGTTATATAACGATCCATGGTGATGATGTTGGAAAGTAGGTTCCAAGAGCGAATGAAAGCTCTCCAATGAACCAAACAGTATGTTCATTCAACAAAGGAGTGACAAGGCCTTCTCTTCTCAGTCGGCCATGTACAATAAACGAGTGAAATACCAGTGGCGTGGCGCATAGAAAGCCACGTTCAGGGCGAGTGGGAGGACAGATTCATAAAAAAAGCAATGTCGCCGGCCCAAAAATATCGCTGATAGATATGGAACGCGCGGCGTGCGAACAGACAACCCATTATGTCGAACGCAATGCACACAATACGTACGTACCTTTGAAGATTAATCGAGGGGATAGAGTTCAAGAAGGAATGTGTGAGAGTAAACAAGATCCCATTTCCGGCCGGATTGAAGACATATGCATGCTTAGGTATGCTGTCTGGGCCAATAGGAGGGCTTGCTCCCCACCACCGCCCATGCCGGACGACGCCTGGCATACTCGGTGTATATTCTCACGTTTTTCTGGGTTCTTCCTGCGTTTTTCATGTGAAATATCTATCTATGGCTGTAGGGCTTGGTGCGAGAGCAAGGGGTTCCTTCATGGCTTGCGTGGAAGCCTATCCATAGGTATCTCGAATGGGCCTCAGCACATCACATTCCATGCGCACGCTACGATAGATAATGCGTACGGGAGAGAAATACCTTAACGTGTTCATAATTGCTACTTCTATGACCTGTGCTGTGCTGTCGTGGAGATAATAACTATTTCCAGAGAGGAACCTGACATAACGCCGCGATAATATATACATTGCACACACGCCAACCGACGTGTGAATATCGTCAAATACTCGCCGAGTTTCATCTGTAACTTAAATGAGCGGCCGTTGCATGGGTTTGATGATGCCTTGCTTAACCAGCACACGAGGTTTGGTGGACTCGTGGAACGTGTCCGATGTAGACCATTCAGGCCCAATCGGTTGACGAAGAGACCTCTCGTACTGCTGCTTGTTCTCAAAAGGATGCGGCAATTGTGTAGCCATGTATTTCACGTTCTGCATGAGAAATATCAGTATACTCTCGTCGGGTGATAAGAATAGAATGCATGTACAAATCAATACATACCTTCTTGACTCTCTTCTCGTTGATGATCACATGTCCGAGTTTCGCGTCTTTACGCTGCTCAGGCTTGATCCCTTCAACTTTGGTGAGGAACCGCTTCTGACGCTTTTGTTGCTTCTTGCTGATGCCGGCACCAGTCCAGCTGCCCCAGCCCGGTAATGTGTTGTCAATGATCTTGTCGCCTTCTTCTTCAATAGCCTCCTCCTTCTCACGCTCAAAGTCTTCCACAACATCGTCGCCGGCGAACGCTCTTTTTACGAGATCATGGTTCGTCAAAAGCACTGGAGCATCGTCACCATCACTGTCACTGCCTGAGTCTTCTTTCTGGATAGTAACTCGAGGCTTTTGAGTCTTGGGTTTCTGTGACTTTTGCCCGCTTGAAGCCTTGTTGCCATTAGCCGCAGCCGTCTGCTCTTGATCGTCAACGGCGATGTTAATGCCTTGGTCGGCATCGTCAGTATTGCGTTTTCTATTTGTGCGAGTATTTTGAACAAGCCAAGGATTCTCGACTTCTTCTTTCTCTGCCTCTTCGATAATTGGTCTCGACTCCTTGGCCTTTGTAGGCTTGGATACAGTTCCGACCTTCGGCTTGGCTTTGCTTTTGGCGAAGCCGGTAGTAGTACCTCCTTCTGTAGCCTCATTTTCAAGATCCTCATCTTCAGAAGCAATGGTCTCCTCGAATTCATTCTTACTGCGAGATCGAGCGGGATCTTGCATTACGGTAGGCTTAGAAGCACCGAACTTCCTTCGACCACCCTCTTCTTCCTCAGATAGATCTTCTTCGTCGCCATTAGCTTCACGCCGTAGTTTCTTTATTTCTTCTTCGTTTTGTTGTTTTCTGCTAGCTTCGGCCTTTTGCATGAAGCTCATAGACAGTAGTTTTGAATGTGGTCCCGCCAGCTCCGAGTCAACCTGATCATCAAGAGCATCCAAGTCTCGGTTTATGCGCCGTGCCTCCGCCTCAGAATCTGCTTCTTCATCCCATGCGTCGGCCTCATCTTCCGATTCTGAGCTTGATGATCCAAGGTAATCTTCGTCGCCTGTCTTGACATTGCGTCCCTCAATTCGCCGTTGCAACTCTTCATCTCTCCTGGCCATATCGTTCATACTGGAACGGGCATCATCATCCCATGCAGCACGCCCGGTTTCTTTCAAGCTCTTAGCCCATTTGCTATCTTTGTGTTTCGTACCCATTCGGGCCTCTGCTCGTCGACGATCAAACAATTCTCTTTCTTGTTCATCGGGATCGATGCCTGCCTCTATTAAAGCTTGTCGTTCCACTTCTTCCATCTTCTCGCGCTCCTTTCGATGCACGCGACGATACGATTTACTCTTGATCTTCTTGAGCCTTTTCGCACGTATTTCTTCCCGGAAGAGAAGATCGCGGCGTTTCCGGAGCTCCGCAGTCCTAGCACGAACTTCTTCCAGTGACATCTTCCTCGTTTCCAATTCCTCGGCGGCCTGAAACTGTTTCTCGGCGGACTTTTCGCCAGTCGCCAGGCCACTTTCCACGAGAATGGATTGTATTGTGCTTTCGAGATCTGTCTTGGGTTCAACCGGACCAAGTCTTGCAACTTGTTGCTCATAGGGATCCGGAAGGGGGAACGAGATATGCTCGGCTTCGCGATTTGCTTTGACTGTATCAATCCATCTGTTCAATGTTTCTTTGCTCTTTTCATAAGCGGCGGCTCGATCTATTTTGTCTTGTTGTCTTTTAGACAAAGGCGCAGTCAACTTTCCATGAGATCCGGAACTAGCACCCTTGGCCGCCGGAGCTGAGCTTAAATGCTTCAAAGAGCCTTTCAATCGAGAATCAGTCACCGAGGACAAGAGATCCGAGACAGTAAGCTTCTTAGCAGATGTTAAGCCATACTCTGTTGGCACTCCATTCTCCTGGCCATGAGTCTGTTTTTGAGACTTGACTTTGTCATTGCCAGTTCCTAGAGAGCTGACAAAATCTTGAAGCTTGGAAAGACCGTCACCTTTCCCGTCTCTTTCATCGTCGGATACAGAAAGATCAGTGTCAGAATCGCTATCACTTTCTTCCTCATCGTCACTGTCGCCCTCGGATTCGCTATCCGACGCAGCGCTATCTGACGGTTCATGAACGGGTGCTGGCTTTTTCTTCTTAGTTGAGACCTCATTATCACTTTCATCCTCTTGTGCGTTCATATCCCAGGCTGTAGCCAAATCTACTGCATCTTCACCCAAGTCGTCGTCGAAATCTTCATCATCATCACCGGACTTCGCATCGGATTCGGATCCTTCCGAAAGATCGATGTCGCCTCGTCTGACAGTGTTAGGCTTTCGTTTAGACTTGGTCTTGGGTTTGGTGGAGCTTCCGCGGAATGTGAAATCTTCAAAGCGTTCTTCGTCACTGCTCCCCAGTGCCTCATCACTATCGATATCGCTGTCATCATCGCTATCGACCTGGCCTACTTTCCACTCATGGCCATCACTATCGCTCCCATAATCACCACTGGACGCCTCGTCGTCGTCTGTTCGGCGACGTTTTGTATCCGCGATGTCGTCTTCGTTGTCTCTTTTACGCTTAGGGAAATCCTCGACTTCGCCCAAACGATGAGCCCGGACTTTTGCTTTGGTCGGAAACTGATCTTCAGCAATGGCAAGCGCATTCAACCCATTGTGTGCCTTTCTCTTTTGCTTCGGCTTTTGAGTAGTGTCATTGCGAGACTTCAAAACATTTGATACTCTGCCAGCCATGACTCTTGGTTTGTGTGAAAACCAATACCCAAAGATCCTAGAAACGAATCTCTGGTATCCTTTTTTTTTTAAGCTATCAACAAATCGAGTGGGGCCGATCACTCTTTTTATTTTTTGCTTGAGATTTTTTTGTTCTGCCGGGCGGAAAGCTGCTAGCTCGACCGCTCTCCTTGGCGCCGATGCCAACTTGAGCCGGAGACGACAAACACCATCGGATTTCTCGATACAGCAATCTCTTCTTTTCCACAACGCCAATACGGCTTAATTTACTCCTCAATTGTGCCAAATGAAGCCATCTCAGCCTTTGTTGGCGCGGCTGCGTCTCACCACAAAACAAGTCAATGGAGGTTACTACAAGGGTAATCGGACCGGATCAATGGGTTTTTTCCTCAAGAGCAGCACATACATAGTCGACCGCAGAAAAGCGCGTCAATACGTTGTTCCGGAGTCTCTATCAGATTTCAAGGTTAGCTTCGTTTGCAATTGGAGAGAAAAAAAAGAAATGCTCACAGTCTTGTAGCTCACACCTTTCGTCACCAAATCATTTCTTCCCACCCGGTCAGAGTACACCACAGAAATAGTCCGAGAAGGCAGAAAGACATATATACCCCGCGCGCTCAATGGAGAAGACTATCTACGGTTGTGGCAACAACGCAACCCCCGAGAATACCAGGAGTATGAGTCAGATTGGAAGGGCAAACATCAAACTTTGGATGCGCAAAACAAGAAACGACAAGCGCAACTAGAACACTATGAAAAGGTTTATAAGGAGAAGAGGAAGGGTAAGGGTGGGCGCCCTGCACTCCCACAAAAGTTACGACAATTGCGAGAGACAACAAGCTTTGGCCCCAGCAAGCTTTGAAGAAGCTTGCGCTTATTGAAGGAAGATGTCGTTTTTCCTTGTATATGCATGGCCAGCTCGATATACTGGTTAGCAGTGTGATTGGCGTTACATGGCATTTTTTGGTTATCCTCTTCAAGTTTTTATTTGTATAAATAGGTACAAATGCGTGTATATTATTGGGAAAACAGGAAGAACAAGAAGATATCTCGGCAGCTACCAAAGTCGAACAATCATTAGAGAGAAACCATGTATTACAATGAGAGCTCTTTGGAGCTCAACACTGGAATTTGATCATTATACTTAGGAAAGAGGCGGGACTTATAAGGTAACGCTGAACTGTAAATTGAGTCCCATGATATAAATACTCACATTAATGGTTCATACGTAACTCTCTATAATCGCTTGGTATCACTTTTATAACATAATATACATTGCCGAGAAAAGTCAAGAAAAAGAAAAAGGAAAACAGACAACGAACACAAGCTCTAGTAATACCGTTGGCCATATTCCGAAGGAGAGTAATCATTTCCTGTACTAGAATAGCCATATCCTGTGTTGACATTGAACTGGCTGTTTCCAGTCATTGGCTGTCCGTAGTACGCCATTGGCTGTGGATGTTGTGGATTTACTTCTGAATAGACTTGCTCGTCATGAGTTGCGGGTATCGGTTGATAATTGCTCGTGACGGCGTGCTCTTCGTCATTTGTGTCGTTTAGCTCGTCTGTTGAAGACTTCGGCTCTGGCTCTGGCTAGTGGTCAATGGTCTGCTTCCGAACATGCACTGTGCGTAGTAGCTTGCCCATGTGAATGCTGTCCTGAACCATTTCCAGCGGGTTCAAGTAGGCGGCCCACGCCTGGATTCCAAAGCGCCCACCCTGGTAGGATCCCTGGAAGGTTCTGTTTTGTCTGTTTGCTTCCGTGATTAATTCTCCGTACTCATCTTGCATCTCGAGAGAATCGTTGGCTAGTTTGTAGTTGTTGCTGTTGCTGTTCAATTTGTACTCCTTGGTGCTATAGGCCCATCGGATAAGGAATGAAAATGGCACCATTTGGACACAAATGATCATGTTGGGCAGTCCAATGTGGATGTCTGCGTAACTAATTGATGATGTTTGGTGGAGAAGGTTGGTTGACTCAAGAATCATGAAGGCAACCTGATTTTCAATCAGACATTCTGTGTGTTACATAGGTCCAAGTCCAAAAGGGTATAACTTACTGATTCAAGAAAGATCAAACCGACCATGAGTTTGAAGGCCAGAAGTTTCCTCAGGGGGTGCCTTTCTTTCATGTAGTCTTTTGTATGTTGGTAGAATCTGAGAATAGAATTAATGGCCACCGTAACGGAAATATTCGAGATGACTTCGATCTGGTCCTTGTTAGCCGCTGGTGTCTGACAACAAGATGGAATGAACTCACCCAGATATGAGCATACTCTGGCGAATCAGAAGCAAGGCAATATCGGTTGAAGGACTGCGTGACACACTGAGCGATAGCACAGATACACACAACGAGTGGGTACTGCATCACGCAGTAATAGGTGAGCTGTATCAGTTGTAGCAGTTAGTATTCTCCAGTCCTGAAAAAGTGCTTCGGTAAATCTTATTTGTACCTTTAGGAAGGAGACGCCCTCTCTGTATTTGCCTTTTTTAAACATCTTCTTGACCTTCAGGGACCCAAAAAACGAGAACTTCTCCTCAGCAGTCGGTGCGAGGAACTCAACGAGAAGCAAGAAGAAAGCATAAAGGGCGACTGCCTGCCAGACTTCTGTCCACCCATTGAGGTAGACATAGCTGCTAGGAAAACAGATGGGAACAAACGAGAGAATGGCGTAGGATGGAAGCATATGGCAGATTCGCATAATTCTGTTATCAAAGCATATTAGATGCAATGCATGCAGTGCCGATGAGGTAACATTAGAGCTTACTTGAGCTGTTGATTCGGGTTGCTGAGATGACATGCATGCTCGCACATCAAACTGACCATCAAAATCACGACAATCGCTGTGCAGGCACCGGACAATATCATATTAAAATGCCAGAAGCTGAGCTGGCCAACAAAAGGCGAATCATCTAGAGAGTTAACTTAGGATTAGCGCGCCACCTTCCTCACCAAGTGGAAGCAAAAACGCACATTCAGTCATATGCTCAGGCGTGCTGCACGCGGAGCCGCTCAAGAACGCCATAGCTGGGAAACTTTTCAACGTAGCTGTAGTTCGTAGTTGGAAAACAACCTTGGAAATACACAGGGAGCAAAATGCCGGGGTTGTCTTCCAAGGCGGGATTGGAAGCTAAGTAAAGATGATGGGAGGACATGGAGTGGAAGGGAACCCGGGCCAGTTTTATATCCATGGCGCACGATACATCCAGCTTGTCAATTCCTCTATCAAAGTTGTCAAATAAACCTTATCCGTCCGAGCTACATACCCGTATAGTAGTAAGTTTGCTTAGAGTTCCGCGTGTTCTGTGGTTGTGTGCTCAGCTCGTCGATCTCCCCACCGAGCTTGCAGCTCATGTCCTAGAGAGTAGCACAGCCTAGTGAACATTCTGAAGACTCAAGAGGCTCCTAGGGCTAGCAGCCCATGTGCGAAGAATCCAATTGAATTGAGCCTTTACTTTTAGCTCCATGCTGTCCACCGCCCCAACGGAGCCAACACATCACAGTTAGAGAAGGCCATGATAGTTGTTGCAACTAGGACCAAATGAGTATATCTCGTGTCGAAGACGCCAAACAGAAGAGGCATTCATTATGGCAGCTGTACGAGAGCATTCTCACGCTTGGAAGGGCAGCTGAAGGAAGGAAAGGTGAAGCTTGATGGTCCTGTCCTTGGTCAATGACCCAATGTATTGAAGAGTTGTTTGGCCCTTCAGCCCTCGGCCGTATGACAATGCATGGCGCGCCTAAATTATAGTTAGGCGAGACTCGCAGAGCATGCCGTATCCAGTTAGCCCCGGTGTCCGCAGGCCTTGGCAGCAATACGCGTATTCGACTGTTTATCAATACTATGGAGTATGCACCATCGAAGTGCCTGAATTTATATCAAGCTAACGATATCTTTTCTGTTTCTATGGACGCTGCGGAGATGAGGTGGTAACTTGCCAGTCCAAACACTGAATGCTTATCAAATCGGTCGTGAGCATCTGCTTTAAGATACGATATTTGACAAGGGAAGTCTAGCCAACTGTCGGTTATCCAGAAAAAAAAAAACATATAATAAATAGTCCTTTATCATCCAAAGCATACAGCGAAAGCACACCGCCTCCCGTAGTCTCCTTGCCATTGGTCCACGCCCTGCGGATTCTGCCACCGCCCGCGCATACACATTTAACCCAAAGAGGCTTAGTGTGCTCTCAGGCTCCTCTGCTGCTGATGACATAGCTTTTGGAACAAGAACAATGGAAAGCATCCAACTCCTTCTGTCCATCTTCCTTGTACGTCGTTATGCTGATCTGTCTCAAAGAGCGATGAATCAGAATATTGGCATCCCCAACTTGGAGTTGCTGATTTTACGATAGTTTCGCCTCCTTCAGAGAGAGCCATGTTTCAGTCGTTTACCGGGAGCTCTCGCCGCCCAAGGCAGGTGAATCTCGCCGGCCGCAACGTCAATCCGTTCGCTTCGTCTTCCGCATCAGCTCGACATTCCCCTCACGGCCACGGCGCCCAGAATACACTTGCTATTGCCCAGCAGGAACGATTGATCAGACAACAGGAAAGAGTGCGGCTTAGCTCGGCTCGCGTTCTGCAAAAGACATGGCGGGGCTATCTTAGCAGAAGAGCGACCCGCAACGCATGGAGAGTGGAATGGGATACAAATGAACAGACAAGAACAGCACGGAGCATAGGATTCGAGAATGGCGGCCTTGATCAGCTCTCCACGACAGCCGCATATGTGTCTTTGGATCAATGTCGGCTACAACTTAGACTGCTGTTGCAGTTCTTTGAGCCTTCGAACGAAAGTGATGCGATAAGACTTCTTTACTTTTCAAGTGCACTGAAAAAGACTCTCGAAGAGGTTTCCGCCATGTCAGATGAAGAAGGGTGGACGTTGCTTTTGGCTCGACTAGCCAAGGCTACACTGCGTCTTGCCCTGAAGCTGACATCCGCAACCAGAAATTCTCACCTCCCCGGCGAACTACTTCTTCAGTTGCTCTGCTTCTTGATTGGACTTATCCCGAGACAGATGGCCAAACTCGCCGAGGAGTATTATACCGTCATGGTGGCGCTGACTACCGATATCCAAACGCTTTCGAAGAAACTGAACTTCTCGATCGACCACCTCGTCACTAGCGTACTCGCCCTGTTACAACCAATCACAGCAGATACCTCAAATGCTTATGAATGGTTCGCTCGGAAATACCTAATCATACCAGACCTCGAAAGCCATATAGGCCAGCTTGATATGATAGCATCGAAAATCAACTACAGACTCTTGGCAAGATCCCTGGACTCTTATGCACAAGGCATTCTTGGGAGACAGTTCACAGATGACGATGTGGAATCTCGCCTGTGGCTCTTGGCGTATTTCATATACTTCCGCCGGTCTGCAGTTAGCGGAAGCTCAGCGCAAGAGGCACCAGAACCTGAATTTGTTAAAGTAGTTTCAAGTCTAATAAATTCAGTGGCGTCGTATGTATCCAGACGCTTAGAACCAGATGACCCTTTGGATGCCGAAGAAGAGCAACGCCAACAATTACATCCTTTCGTTGAGAATCAAATAAACAGCCTTGTGAATCAAAGTAGCATCACGGGCTTGTTGTACAAAGTTCGGCCTAATGAACCTCAGGTTGGAGCTAGTGGCGATTCAGAGGATGCAAAAGCTCTAGCTTCATATGCTCTCACACTACTGAGAGTTTTTCCTCGTCGCGGTGATGATATTCGGATGTGGCTCTATCTGGGATCGACTACTTCAGCAGGTCTGTCGACAACTCAGCCCGGCGTTAGAGTACCTGCTATCAAATACTTCTGGAAAATGAGCAACGCGACTGATCTATTTGCCAAAATAAGCCGTGATTCGACAGAGGTTCTACCATTGCTGCGACCTTTATCGGGAGGCGATACGGCAAGGGGCATACAGCGCGAGCAGGACTGGACAGTGATCTTACTATTTCTGGAATTATATACCTTCTTGTTGAAGGTGATGGATGACGAAGAGTTCTTTTCAGGAGACTCATTAACGACGATGGATTCAAAAGTCTCTTGGACAAAGGAGAGCGCACTGCCCTTGAAGGACGTGAAGGACTTGACAGTGTTTCTTAAGAACTTAGGCTTTACTCTGTATTGGAATGCGGCGGATCTCAATGAGACTCAGAATGTCGAAAATACAAGTGGGCTCAAGAGTTATTTTACCCCTACTGGTCAACAGGAGCCTTTGCCCAGTGTCCGAGACCTGGAGCAAAGAAACAAGGAGAAGGGCTTGCCTGGAGTCACCGGCATTCCACTGGATTACTTTAGAGGCTTAGTGACCGGACTCCTAAGGATGATACACGAGCGCGAGTAAGTCTTCCTGTCGATTTTAATATTGTTTTGCCTTTTTATATGTATTCTGACAATCTAAACCTCTAGTTCGCGCCGTAAATTCCTCCCCGAGGGTCATTGGCTCATGACCTCGCGCTTTGACATGGAAGGTTTCATTTCTGCTGTTGTTGCCGAAGAAGAAAACCGACACCAACTTCAAGAAGACGAAGAGCATGATAGCAATAACTACATGGATGATCTGCCTTATCAACCACTCGGCTTGATCGGTACGGGGCGAGCTCAGCAGATACAGCGAATGCAAGCTTTCAGACGTCATCAGCAACAATCCGCTCGCCGAAAACAGCTGGAAGCACTTGCTCCGAGGCTAGAGATACTGAGGAATATGCCTTTTTTTATTCCTTTTGCCACGCGAGTTCAGATATTTCGAGAATTTATCTATCGAGATCAAATGCGGCGGAGGGAAGGGTTTATTGAGCCCGATGCCTGGCGCATGTCGGTCTCTGCTGCCTCCATGGGTCGCCTCATAGATGGAGGAGCTGCTGCGCGAGATATTCTGAGTCGCCATCATGCTAGCATACGCCGTGAAAGTGTATTCGAAGACGCATTTGATCAATTCTACGAGCTCGGAGAAGGTCTCAAGGAACCGATCCAGATAAGCTTTATTGACCAATTCGGTTCAGTAGAAGCTGGCATAGATGGCGGTGGAGTTACCAAAGAATTTTTGACCAGTATCACGAATGAAGCCTTTATGTCAACGAGTGGTCTTAATCTCTTCATTGAGAACGATCAGAATTTGCTTTATCCCAACCCAGCGGCGGTGGAGCAACGCAGAGAAGTCTTGCGCGAATTGGGTCTTGATGAAAACAGTCTTCAGTTTTCGGATGGCGTGCGAGATCTGCTCAAACGCTATGAGTTTCTGGGACGTGTCATAGGAAAATGTCTGTATGAAGGCATTCTAGTGGATGTTCATTTTGCGGGCTTTTTCCTGCTCAAATGGGCTTTGACTGGCGGATCAACATCTGCTCGAAGGGAATCAGCATATAGGGCGAATTTAAATGACTTGCGGGATTTGGATGAGGGACTTTATCAGGGATTAGTATGTTTACGAAGACCTACATTGGCTTTTGCAAGATCACTAATAAGCTGCAGCTCCAATTGAAAAACTATACCGGCGACGTTGAGGACTTTTCTTTGAACTTCACTATCACTGATACAATTCCCATCCCGGGATCCAAGTCTCGTATTGTCACGAAAGAACTGAAACCTGGCGGTGCTAACATTGCTGTCACTAATCAAAACCGGCTCGTCTACATCTCCTACATCGCTCGTCACAGGCTTCAAATCCAGCCAGCGCCGCAAACGACAGCCTTTCTCAAGGGACTCGGTGACATAATTCAGCCTTCATGGCTATCAATGTTCAATCAGTCGGAATTACAGACGCTTGTCGGAGGCGACGCTGGAGAAATAAACGTTGCCGACCTGAGGCGTAATACTCTATACGGTGGCGTATACACTATTGGCGATGATAACGAAGAACACCCGACTGTTCAATTGTTCTGGCAAGTAATGGAGGAATTGTCCAACGAAGAGCGTCAGAGAGTGCTAAAATTCGTGACTTCGACTCCACGTGCGCCCTTGCTCGGGTTCAGTCACTTGAATCCACGCTTCAGCATTCGAGATTCCAGTGACGACCAAGAGAGACTGCCCAGCACCAGCACCTGCGTTAACTTATTGAAGCTCCCTCGATATTCCACCGCTCAAATCCTACGGCAGAAGCTCCTGTATGCCGTTAACTCTGGTGCTGGATTTGATCTAAGTTGATTCTGTCCTTGTTACTAGATAGTTAAAGTACATTGAATGGTTGTGATTCTCGTTGCATAGCCTAGGCGCTTGTTTTATGTGCGTCTTTTGACGAAACGCTCTTGGTGCGTGTTTTTTTAGCAGTATCTATTATCCTGTCGAGACTCGTAGATTGTCCGTCATTGTCTTCTTTGTTATTCGGCGTTCCAACTAGCATGCTAGCAGGAGTCAACGAATTTAAGTCCTTTGATACAAATTTCAATATTCTGGCGTAGTCAAGCAGGACTCGGTGGCGGCTGGCTCGCTAACCCACGGGCATCACGTGACAGCGGGTGCAAAAAGAACAAACGCTGAAAGAGAAAAAAAAATTTCTGAAGTTCCGCGATTGCCTAAATAGGTTAGCGGCTCACAAAATTTCCCTTTCACCTTTCCCTAAAAGAAAAGCACCAAAGGCGATTCCACCACTTGCCACATCCCTCACTGCTAAAGGATTTGGCATCTTTCTTCCCCTCCTCTTAGTTCTTCTCTTTTCACTTCCAAAAAAAACCCAGAAAATCCCAAAAAAAGCGAAAAATCTTGAAAAATACAGATTTCATCCTGTGACTGCGTTGTTTGTGTTTAGAAGCCACCACCGGTTCCTTCCACAAACAATTCTTCCCTCGTCTTTGAGTCTGTTGCTCAGTGGGTGCATACGACTCGATTTTCTGTGTGCATCTTCGAAGTCGTACTATCGTCTCTCGAACCGGGTTAAAATCTCCTCGATCTTTCAGCTTTCCTAACTGTATGTTGCTACTGCCCTCAGAAGAACGCATCTCGACGATCATACGCTGAAGTCTTAAGTGCTGGTACGCTTGAGGAGAACAACATCGCATGCTAACTCGTGCTCCATCTCTTGATTTTAGGAATAATTACAACAACCTTCAACATGTCTGCTGAAGTGTCCACAGCCCCAGCTGCTGACAACGCCAACGGCGCTGCCGACTCCAACGGCACTGCTGTCAACACCAATGTGGCCCCTGACACTACGACCAGCGAGTCGGCTACCACCCCAAGCGCTAACCAGCCTCATTCTGCTTCGCTCTATGTTGGTGAGCTAGATCCTTCTGTGACCGAGGCCATGCTCTTCGAGCTTTTCTCCTCTATCGGACAAGTCGCCTCTATCCGAGTTTGCCGTGATGCTGTAACCCGTCGCTCTCTTGGCTATGCGTACGTCAACTACAACAACACTGCTGACGGTGAGCGTGCTCTCGAGGACTTGAACTACACTTTGATCAAGGGTCGTCCTTGCCGTATCATGTGGTCTCAGCGTGACCCCGCTCTGCGCAAGACCGGCCAGGGCAACGTTTTCATCAAGAACTTGGATACCGCCATTGACAACAAGGCCTTGCACGACACCTTCGCTGCCTTTGGAAACATTCTTAGCTGCAAAGTTGCCCAGGATGAGTTTGGCAACTCCAAGGGCTACGGTTTTGTCCACTACGAGACTGCCGAGGCCGCCAACAATGCCATCAAACACGTGAACGGCATGTTGCTCAACGACAAGAAGGTGTTCGTCGGCCACCACATCTCTAAGAAAGACCGCCAGAGCAAGTTTGAGGAAATGAAGGCCAACTTCACCAACATTTACGTCAAGAACATCGACCTCGAAGTCACTGATGAGGAGTTCCGTGAACTTTTCGGTAAGTTCGGTGATATTACCTCCGCTACCATCAGCCGGGATCCAGAGAGCGGAAAGAGCCGAGGATTCGGTTTCGTCAACTATGTCAACCACGAGAACGCTCAGTCTGCTGTTGATGAATTGAACGACAAAGACTTCCACGGTCAGAAGCTTTACGTCGGACGTGCTCAAAAGAAACACGAGCGTGAAGAGGAACTCCGTCGCCAATATGAGGCTGCTCGTCTCGAGAAAGCTTCCAAATACCAGGGAGTCAATCTATACGTGAAGAACCTCACCGATGACGTTGACGACGAGAAGTTGCGTGAGCTTTTTGGTCCATTTGGTACCATTACTTCTGCCAAGGTTATGCGTGACACTGTTGGCGCTTCTTCCGATTCTGACAAGGATGAAGCCAGCAAGGAATCATCTGAGAAAGAGACCGAAGAACCTGAGAAGGAAGAATCCCAGGACAAGGAAGAGACCAAGAAAACCGAGAAGAAGGTATTCGGAAAGAGTAAAGGCTTTGGTTTCGTCTGCTTCTCTAGCCCCGACGAAGCATCTAAGGCCGTCACTGAGATGAACCAGCGCATGATCAACGGCAAGCCTCTCTACGTTGCTCTTGCCCAGCGCAAGGATGTTCGCAAGAGCCAGCTCGAAGCCAGCATCCAGGCTCGCAATACTATTAGGCAACAGCAGGCTGCCGCCGCTGCTGGTATGCCCCAGCCTTACATGCAACCTGCAGTTTTCTACGGACCTGGACAACAAGGTTTCCTCCCAGGCAACGCTGGCCAGCGTGGATTGGCTTTTGCTCCTCAGCCTGGTATGGTGATGGCCGGTATCCCTGGTGGACGACCGGGCCAATACCCCGGTGGCTTCCCTCAGCAAGGCGGTCGCGGAATCGGCGGACCTAACCAGCAGATTCCTCAGAATTTCGGCCAAGGTATTCCTATTGGAGCCATGCAGGCTGGTCCTGGAGGCATCCCCAACGGCATGGCATACCCACAAATGGCACAGGTTCAGTTCGGTCGTGGTGCTGGTGGTCGTGGACAGGTTCCTCAAGGCATCCCTCCAAATGTACCGGGAGCACGTGGTGGCCCAGGTTATGGTCGTGGTGGCGTTCCTGCTCAACAAGGCCGACCTGGTCAAGGTCGTGGTCAAAACGCCCAAGCTGGAGCTCCCGTTGCCCAAGAAGGAGCCCCTGGCTCTCTTACACTACAGGCTTTGACTGCCGCTCCTCCAGCACAACAGAAGCAGATGCTTGGCGAGGCTTTGTACCCTAAGATCCAGGCTCAGCAGCCTGAGCTTGCTGGCAAGATCACTGGTATGCTGCTTGAGATGGAAAACACCGAGCTTCTTGGCCTGTAAGTTTTTATTACTCCAAATCTCCGCTGTATCGGTGACATGTGTACTGACTTGCGATAGAATTGATGACGAGACCGCTCTCCGTGCCAAGGTTGATGAGGCTCTTCACGTTTATGATGAATACATGAAGAACAAGGGAACTGACGAGTCCGACGCAAAGCCCAAGGAGGCTGCCAAGGAGGGCTCTGAGGAGAACAAGTCGTAAGCAGCTTATCGCCTCCATAAGTGGTGATTTGCGAGTACTTCGCACATAATGCACTGCGACAGCTTCTCACCACAAGCTCGATTTGACTCCCATGTTATCTTTAATGATTATGCTCTATTTCTCTATTATTCTCTTTCTCAAGTTCCTATTTTCTCATTTTTTAGTATGACTTTTTCTTTTTCTTTCCTTTTTTTTTTTCTCTTTTCTTTCCCTTATTCTGATATCCCCGGTCTTCGGTAAAAGTTTCTCTCTCTGCAGTTGGATTCCTCCATTACTGCTTATGTGCTTGTGTTGGTTGTGTATGGTGATAAGGGTAATGAATGCCTATCCTTTTTTCCTCGAACCAAATTTTTATCTCCTGTTCTTCTATTTCTAGGATAATTAGGGTTGAAAATTTGAGAAAAAGGACGTGTGATTCATTTAAGGAAAGAAAGAGGGCGATATGGTTACTTTTTTCCTTTACTTTCCAGAAAAGTAGCATCGACATACCTGCTGCCTGCCTGCTTTGGCGAGGTTGAGTCTCTGTATTGTCGCTATCAACTTCGGCCATCATCAAAGTAACTTTCTTCCTTTTTTCTGGATTGAAAACCTGACGTCGCTGTCTGTGGGTGGGCTCAATGAATGGGTTTGTATTATAATTAAATTTGTTAAGTTCGTAGATATGTCATTATGTTGTGTTTATTGAATGGTTTTCTGCCTACCCAGTAGGAATAATTAATTTTTATATCTAAATATGTATATTACACTGGTTTTATTGATGGTGGCTTTCGAACGCCATCATCTGCTGAGGCGACGTCTGGCCTTGTGTGAAGGCATCAAATAGCATGGGATCCCAAGACGAGTTTTGAAATAGGTCTGTCATGTTGAGGTCGAAATTCGTCGTCAGAGAGGATGATTCATTAAGCCATTGTAGGTCTTCGAATTCGCTGACAGTCATTGTAAGAGGAGGCTGGTGGAGTTGTTGAGAAGTGTTGGTGTTACTATCTGCATTCTCGTCGGTGTTTGTAGTAGAGGTGAGATGTTCCTGTTGGATAGATCGACGCGATCCGTTCATTATTCTTGAGGAAGAAAGTTGTTCGTCGGGTTCGTGTTGAGGTTGTGTTGGTGCAGAGGTTATGGGGAAGTTTCGTGGATCTGTGAGTGAACTTGGGATTTCTTCGTTGGCTTGGTCGCGCTGGTATGTGCTATGATCATCCCGATCAGGGACATTATCCACTATTTTCCGTCTTTTGTTTCCTTCAAATGATATATTATGCTCGGTTTGATAGGTGTGTTCTGATCTGGTGCCAATTGTATTCGAGCAGTCCTGATCTCCACTCTGGCGTTGTATATTCAGAAGCAAGTATGACAACGCTGTATGGCAATGCTTGGCAATTTCCCATTGCTTATACATAATCTGCAATATACTGCGGCAATAACTGATTTCTCTGAGAATATAAAGTTAGGACTTGGATATTTTAGGCTGCACATGTGGATACTAGACAAATGACTTACTGGCAACCTTTGAAAAGGGAATATTGTCCTAGTTGACATGCAAAAGCAATTACTAACCCAGCCATGTATGTTGCAGATAGCAGACCTGGCCAAAAGAGAGCCTGGCCCCTTGCGAGCTGTGTTTTCAGCGAAGATAAGATATTCCTCGCAGAACTAATGCATATCTGCAGACCAGAGCAAAAGTCGGGTGACGAGGGCTCAAGTGATAGAAACGGCCGATTGATGCAGAGAATGAGATGCTCGTAGAGAATAGAGAAGAAAGGGCTTAGGTCGAAAGAAGATTCTTCATTATGAGAGTGTGTACTTAGGTCAATGACACTCTGCTCATTAAGACCCTGTAGAGCGCTTGGCAGATTATTCCACCATTTGTGGACATCAGATACGAGGAACAACACAGCGCTGCGGCGCACCTCCCGTTTATGTATTGACTTATGGAATAGCTCCAAAGCCCTACCAGTGAGATTCCCATACATGACATAGCCCGCCAAGATGGCTTCCCGATTTAATTGTTCCTTCTGTGGGGATTTTGAGGAAGACCAACTCATGTTTTGCGATAAGTTATCTTGACTATTGACATTCGTGGCTTGTTCTGAAGTTCTTTCAAGCTGAGACGGATATGATAACTGGGCAGAACTGGAAGTTCCTACTACATGACACTCGTGAGCCCCAGGAAGGCATACGTCGATATCAGAGTCCTGTAGTCCCAGAGGCAAGCCTAACGCCTGGCTTAAATATCGGTCAACCGCATAAAAACACCAAAAAAGACGTTTCCGCAATTGACGATCATGGGAATTGAGCTGTTGATACCGGTAAGGACAGCGATGAAAACCCGCGTGAAGGATAGATCGCAAGATTGCTCCACCGAGCAAAGATGCACTGCGAAGGGACATAGTAGCCACAAGATACAACTGGAGAGCCAGAAGAGCTTGGAGAGACAGTATGTCGTGGCGATTAACAAGTACATCGACTAGTTTGAGTGCACTCGCAGCAGATGTGATCTTTGATTCCTGTGCAAGTCGAAGGTCCGGTTGAAGGATACTGGAAATATTGAAAACACTTTGAAGAATCGTGGTCCAACAAGCTCTGCTATGTTCCGACATCATGTTGGAAAAACCACTGTCTGTGGCTGTGCTCTCCGAATAAAATGCCTCCATTGCTTGGAGGAATGTCGGTCCATGCAGAAACGGGAACAAAGGATGCCACAGCTTGAAATACATCATCATCAGTTGCCGAGCGTTCTCAAGTGCGGGTGCCTTTCCAAGGAGGTGTGCGATATGGGGGTCATAAGTCCATGTTCTTCGTGACTCTGTCATTACTCTGCTTCTGGTGTCATCTTGCTTCACCTGGGGAGACTTTGGCGGGCCAACTATTGTGTCTTCAGGAGCCGGAAATTCCGGAGCTGGCGCTGGCGACGCCTGATAGGGCCCAAGACTCTTTGCAAACGCCTGGCGCACGGTATTAACGAAGAAAACACCACTGGAGCTTCCTACAAAATGACTTTCGTTATTGGAATGGGTGATTAAAGACCCAATCTCTGATGATTTGGAGATCGCGTCTGAAGATTCCATTTTGTAATTGGCGTAGCTTAGAGAGTAGCAGCGTCAAGAGTCAATCGAAATCCATTGATTATCCATTTCGTTGGCTGCGATGGTAGAACTCGGTGTAACAATGATGTTGCGTGCTTCTCAGCTTCATTTCCTCATTTCACATGGCAGTATCCATTGCGACTGATGTGATGATGCTGCTGGAGAAGTTGAAGAGAGTGGGGAAAGAAATCATTGGCTGACATTAATTCATGGATGCCTCAGGCCAACAAAGCAGTTTCCCCGTCGGCTCCAAAACGCAACATCAAATTATTTCAACCTCTGCCATGTCGCCGTTTTTATCTCGAACCAGCCCTCCTTGACTCTTAAAGGTATTGAGCCACTCAGCCATGTTAGTTGCATCGAATCCGCCCAAGAACAAGGCATCTCGGATTACGACAGCCTGCAATCCGTGCCGGTCGCGGAAGCAGAAGGCATGTAGCACATTGAACTGTTGTTGCACTGGAGCTCAGATGCTAATTATTAGTTCTTATTTTCTAGTGCAATGGGGACAGGTTGGTTCATCATTCAGTAAACAGGCAAGGTCATTCTTCTGAAATCCTGCAGGCCAATTTGCAAACAATGCATTGATTACAACCGTACCTGTGCGTGGCCAGAGCAACTTAAACGGTACGTGAACTCATTACCAATTGCTGCAAAGGAGCAGGTAGCTGAAGTACCAACAGTGGTCCAGCGAAGGGATATGTTGACGCTTTGGAACAGCGTCTACAGGAGACAGAAGATGTTTTGCTAAGCATACTTTCTCAATTGACTCACGCACAGCTCTCGTCAATGCTATCAGCGCAAAACTCATTCTCAAGGGAAGGTGGAGCTCAACACAAGCGAGAATCTCAGAGTCCAATGTTGCCGTCACGTAAACGAGGGGTAGAGTATTGGAAGTCGTTCCCACTAAGTGGCGTTGAGAGCATTAAGAAATGGCAGCAAGACTGCCATCGCGCTCAGTCAAGGCTCAGTCCTAGCCAGGATGATGGGGATACTATTGAGCTCGTAAAGCCTGCAAATCGGGCTCCAACGAGAAATCCCGCAAATGCTCATTCCAAATTAGAAGAGAGCCAAACGAATATAGAGCCACCGGGAGATGGTCCATCATTTACTACTTCTGAAAGCTTTCAGGGGCGATCCGCATACCTCTCCCATCCCACAGTCAATTCTGAGCCCGAGACTCGGGCACTGCAATCCGAAGTAGATTGTCATGGCTGCGGCTCTCGTGACACTAACACTTGTCCTTCACTGTCTTCTATGGAGCAGGATGAACCCAGAATTTTAAAGGAATTCAGCTCATGGGAGGCTGCGCCATCTATACAATTTCAGCGACAATTTCTTTGGTGACTAGTTAATCCCAAACTACCGGAAACTGCACCGACTCATACTATATATCAATATAAATACCCCAACTGGGCTCCATCAGTGCCATTATCGATTTATCTTGGACTGCGTTTATCAGTGGCAATAACCAAGGCTCTTATCAATTCATGGCTCCGCCGGATTACCCCAGACCCCGCTGCCGCCTGCAACTTGCTAGCAGAGCCAATAATGGTCTTAATGCATTGAAAAACAAATTGATCTTATATGAGCCATGACATACGGTAACTTAACAGCTTGTTAATGACTCATCACTACCTGGTTTCAAAGTTCTCACTGTCCTCGGTTTGGTCTCCAAAGACAAGCCGATATCAGGCTCAAAGCGATAGAGCCCAATTTCGCACTCTACCACTGGGAAGAAAGCGGCTCGTGCATGACTCGTGCGAATACAATATACCTAGATATCATCAATTATAGTATAAAACTGTGATGGGTTGAGCTTTGGTTGGGATTCATCAATACAGCTGATATCGCAGTCGGATAGTTGCAGAGTAAACACGAAATACCAAACGCGAAACAGTAAACAAGCATCCGAGCCCCAGCTTTTGCTCCAGTACGATTTTTTCCAGGCGCCCCGTGAGAGGCAATCTGGAGCTGTTTCATTGTCTTTCATAGCAATGAAGTTTCCGGCTCCCGACTCAGCTGCCGAAACGTCGTCGGAAGCCGCCCCGTCGGTTCCTTACCCGAAGCACCCCAGACCCCAGCTTTCCTTCGCTTTTATTCCGCGCTTTCTTCCTTTTCTTTTCTTCTTTCTCTTTTCTTTCTTTCTTTAGATTCTCTTTGTGTTTTTTGATTCATCTTCACAATGAAGGCCAGAATTGCAGGTCCTTCTATCTTTCGCCCGCTATGGCGGCGAGATTTCTCCTCGTCGGCCTCCCGCCGGGCCATTAACAAAATCGTTCACAGCGCTGAGGACGCTATCAAGGACTTGAAAGGCTCCTCCATGATCTTAGTTGGTGGATTCGGCTTTTCTGGTGTTCCTACCAGCTTGATCAATGCTGTGCGAGACCGTCCAGAGCTCAAGGACTTTACGGTCGTCTCCAACAATGCGGGCATGCCTGGTGTTGGTTTGGGTGAGTGGTTTACCTCCGCGCCGCTTGTCAGCGCAGTCGCCAGTTTTCTAAGGGGAGAAATATAGATAAATATAAATAAACACTAAACTGATGGCTTTCTACTCATACAACAGGTCAATTACTAGAGTCTCGTCAGATCAGCAAGATGATTGCTTCCTTTATTGGCGAGAATAAGGTCTTCGAGAGGATGTATCTGGAAGGCGATTTGGCCCTTGAACTTACTCCTCAAGGTACAATTGCTGAAAAGTGCGCTGCTGGTGCAGCCGGCGTTCCTGCTTTCTACACCCCTGCTGCTTATGGTACCATTGGTATGTTACTCATTTCCTCTGCCCTTTCATACCGCGGCTAAGAATAAGCATAGTCCAATCTGGTGAACTCCCTGTACGCTATAACAAGGACGGCTCTGTCGCCGAGAAGTCTAGACCCAAGGAAACCCGCGAATTCAATGGGAAGAACTACATTCTGGAAGAATCCTACTTTGCCGACTATGCCTTTGTCAGAGTAGCCAAGGCAGATAAGCTTGGTAATTGTCAATTCCGCAAGGCTCAGAATAACTTTAACGAGGCCATGGCAAAGAACGCCAAGGTCACCATTGTTGAAGCGGATGAGATTGTTGAAGTCGGAGAGATTGCCCCTGAGGAAATTCATCTGCAGGGAATCTACGTTAGCAAAGTTATCAAGACCACCGAAGGCAAAAAGATTGAGAAACTCACTTTTGCTAAAGACCCGAACGATATGTTAGGTATGTGTTTAAACCGGGAAAACTTCTTGTCAATGAGCGGTGTGTAAACTAATGTTATTAATAGGCGCCGGTGAAGCTGCTGCCAAACGTGAACGAATTGTCAAACGTGCGGCCAAGGAGTTTGAGGACGGAATGTATGTCAACTTGGGTATCGGTATGCCTCTTGTTGCCCCGTCTTTTTTGCCGGAGGGCATTGAGGTCGTTTTGCAGTCTGAGAATGGTATTTTGGGTCTTGGTGGCTACCCTCGCCCTGGGGAGGAGGATCCTGATTTGATCAACCCTGGCAAGGAAACCGTGACTCTAGCTCCCGGTGCATCTGTCTTTGGCTCTCAAGAGAGTTTTGGTATGATTCGCTCCGGGCGCATTGATCTTACCATGCTGGGAGCTTTGCAAGTCAGCCAATATGGAGGTACGTATAATTTTTTGATGCAATATCTATGATACTTTACTCATTGACTGTTCAGATCTCGCAAACTTTATGCTTCCCGGCAAGGTTAAGGGTATTGGCGGTGCTATGGACCTCGTGGCAAACCCCAGTCAAACCAGGGTTGTTGTGACCATGGAACACGTGGACAAGAAGGGAAATCCTAAGATTCTTCCTGGTAAGCTTCACTCAGCAGAAACTGAATCTTGAGGGCCCTTTTTTTCTAATTTTTATAGCATGCACTTTCCCTCTTACCGGACCCCGTTGTGTCTGGAAAATCATCACTGACCTCGCTGTATTCGACGTCCACCCTACCGAGGGTCTTACCTTAAAAGAAGTTGCTGAAGGTTCAACTGTTGAGGAAGTCAAGAGCAAGACCGCCGCGCCTTTCAAGGTTGCTGATTTGTTGAAGACATTTTAAAATCCTACAATGATTTGGGCAGTTTTGACCGTTTTCACCGTCATTCTATGTACATATTCACGGGTTTGGGAAGACGACGATTTTGCATGATGTGATAGTTTATATATTTATATATATGACATATGTACCTCTGTAGGTACCACGAATAAAATGACTACGTTCGGATGATGTGTTTCTTTGACTATGATCTTGGTTCCCCATTTGCCTAAGGCTAGAGTTAGGGTTACAGATCCCGTTGCTCCAAAATTCGCTCAGATTGCTCTAAAGAGGCATAAAATATTTAGCTGATATTAGTAGCTCCGATGCCCAAGATAAGCTTAGATACTTATTCAGGCCTAAAAATCCTTCAGATTAGCTATATACTAGCCACTCTGAGGCATATATACATGAGCAGGCCTATGAGCAAGCGCGCAAATACAGGCATAAGTACGGGCATATTTAATTTAAATACAGTTCTCTGTATAAATTAAAAATTTAATACAGCTTACAATTGATGATAAGTTAAAACAGGCTTCCTATTTATATATTGCCTTAAAATTTCTTTTTTAGCCCATGACCCAGCCCGCCGCTGATGATAGCGCGCCGTGGGCTGTACGTAGGCAACTAAGTAATTAGTCGCGAGCGTTGAATTTTCTTCTTTTGAATTTCTCTGCTAGGATTCTACTCTTATAACAAAAATATAGCTTTTGAATCTTTAAATTCAGCACGCAACAATGGATATCGTTAACAGAAAGCCACCTTTTGATGTCCTGACGGCCACAGCGGCCGACCTTCGCAATTTATTGCAGCTTGGTCAGACAACCAGTGTCGAAATCGTGGAAGCCTATCTATCACAAATTGAGAAGCATAACAAGGCAGGATGCGAGCTACGAGCAATCATCTCAACCGCACCTCGGGAGGTGGCCCTGGCGCAGGCCGAGGCACTTGATAGCGAAAGGCGTAGTGGTCAAGTCCGTAGCGCACTCCATGGAATCCCTATTATTGTCAAGGACGCTATAGTAACATCCAAAGCGCTCGGCATGCCTACGACTGCGGGAGCTGTTGCTTTCAAGGACGCCTACGGGAAGAAAAACGCAGGCATTATCGAACTGCTGATGGACGGCGGCTTGATCATCCTAGGGAAAGCGAGTATGACGGAATTCTGTGGCCTGAAAGCGACCTGTATGACGGCCGGTTGGTCTGCTATAAATGGCTTGACTCAATCAGCATATATTGCTGGGGGCTTCCGCAAAGACGATCTATTTTGTGGTCGTTCGGGTCCTGGAGGCTCGTCCTCTGGATCTGCTGTGGGGGTTTCGGCTGGGTTTGCACCTCTATCCATAGGAACTGAGACATCCGGTTCCATCTGTATGCCTGCAAACCGAGCAGGTCTATATTCCATGAAAGGCTCCCGAGGGTCCATTCCAATGGATGGGCTGTTCAACTTGAGCCAAGACTTTGACGGATTAGGCGGCATGGCGAAATCCCCCGAGGATCTCGAGATGCTGATGAATTTGTTAAATGGAAATCATGACAGCGAAACACAATCTCTAGATTGGGAGGATATATCTGTCGGGTTCGTCGATCCGGTGGAATGGAATGCCTTTGGGTTTCACAAATCTCGGGACGAGGATGTGGAAAAGCAGATTGTAAGCACATCTACTATAAATCTTATAACATGAGTCTAACTCGTCGGATGATGATAGCTTGACAAGTATGAATGGGCGAGAAGCCAGGTAGTGCAACGAGGTGGGAAGGCCGTTTACCCCGTAAAACTACCGTCGACAGAAGATCTCCTCTACGATGGGAAGAGCGTCAACTACTCGGTCTCGTGTGAGTGCACTACTATTCAAACTAAATGTCCCTACTCACGAAATCAACCCCAGTTTACGAATTCCCGAACAAGTTTGAAAGTTTCTGCAAGCTGCTGGAAAACCCGGCAGTGAGGTCCGTCCCTGAACTGATTGATTTCAACAATAAGAATGCTGCTCATGCTATGCCCGAACGTAGGTTCAACGTTGTGTCCATCACAGTACAAGGATAACTAGGTTATTTACTGACAGTCCACCACAGCGCATACTGATCAAACTGATTTGATTAAGACATTGGAGTCTACTCTTACCGACGAGATTGCTTCAGCTGCCAAAGCCCATGGCAGAGAGAAAGCCGGTCCGCAGGGGATTGACGTTGCTCTCGCAGAGAATAAAATAGATGTGATCATTGGCCCCGGCGATTGTGCGATTTGCGTGCTCGCTGCTCTGGCAGGCTACCCTACAGCCATGGTTCCAATGAGTCGGCTGGAGGGACCAGGAGGACTTGGTCAGCCGCAGGGACTCATGATGATTGGAGGAGCTGGATGCGAAGGCAACATGCTGAAGTTTATGAAACTATGGAAGCAAGTGGTGGGAACATGGAAAGTTCCACCTTTGCTAAGTCAGACTGGCCAGAGCAAGGAGGGTTAAAATATTTCGGCTAGAAGATTCAAGTCTTCCGACCAAGTATTGCCCATTCATGTCTGTTAGCTGTAGTTTGAGCCTATCAACTAATACTTCGCAAGCCTTTCGTAAGCCATAGGCAGCGTTGTTGAGATCTTAGCCCTAACGTAAACTAACCCTAAGAGCGCGTGCCTCGGAACGCGCTGAAAAGGTAGTTGAAGCCTCAGGCCCACAATTAGGGCTAGTGGTTAATTAGAGGTTGCCGATCACCAAACGCTCTTTGTTTGGGTCGCACAGCTAAGACAAGAGAATTCTGATTGCTCACGCTAGATATGACTGTTAATGATTCCAGGGCTTCCCAGATTCTGTGCGCCTCGAAGCCGGCACACTTGATTTGCCGTGTACCAGGCATGTACCCAGGTTTTACACACTTATTACAGCCGACAATAGCGGTATTTGTAGGGTAACATGGTAAGATAAGGCCAAACAAGCTTCTCCACTACAGCGTATCCCGCTGATGGATCAACAGCTAGCAACAAGCATGCTAAGCCTAAATGGAGCTCCGATGTTACCTTCCCACGAATTCGCAATTCCACCTGCCTGATAGAGTCATCGTATACGAAGTGATTGATAGTCATAAAGCTGAGGCGCCATCATGTAGGCAAGCAACTCGTTTCTTTTATTCACCTTCCGGCAGTGTTGGAGGGAACTCATTGCTTAGGCCCTGTCGACTTTCACGATGAAAGTCCATCTTTCTACTCTTGCCCTTGGGCTGGCCATCGTTGCCGCCGCGGTGCCAGCTCCTCAATCGCACGTTGTTCACGAGAAACGCAGCTCAGCCCCTTCAAAATGGGTGAACGTGGGCCGCGTTGATCCGATGCACAATGTGGTCGTGCGAATCGGACTGAAACAGTCGAACCTTCATCGGGGTTACGAATACCTGATGGATGTGTAAGTGCATGCAGCATCTTATAGATATTCCTTTTGGTTTTTTTTTTTTTTTTTTTTTTTTTTTTTTTTTTTTTTTTTTTCTTTTTTTTACATGTGCGCTTACGAAAGTCAGATCTCATCCCGAATCACCCAATTTCGGAAAACATTGGACACCAGAACAAGTCGTCAAGGCTTTTGCGCCCTCTGACGACACTGTCGCCCAAGTCCGCGCTTGGTTGACCAATGCTGGTATCGATGAGTCTCGAGTCCTGCACACTGAAAACCAGGGCTGGCTCGCCTTCCCTGCGACAGCAGCAGAGGCAGAGGCGTTGCTGCATACCGAATACTACCACTATGAGCACGAGGTCTTGGGGACCAAAGCTCTGGCTTGTGAACAGTGCGATTTCCCCTCGAATCCCCAGGGGTAACGCGGACTGACATACTCTCAACACCAGATATCACGTGCCGCAGGCAATTCAGGAGCACATCGACTACATCAACCCTGGCATCGGACTGCCCGTGACGACCAAGGAAAAGCCAGCTTATGGCAAGCGGGCAACCAAGCGCAGTAGCAAATTCACACGCCCGCGAAAGTTTCGGTCTGTTGAGGACTGGTTCGGATCTGATCTCGCAAATTGCGATGTACAGATCACTCCGGATTGCGTCGCTGCGCTTTACGAGATCCCTCCTGCCAACCAGAACGTCAATCCAAACAACTCCCTGGGAATCTTCGAAGAGGGCGACTACTATGCTCAGGAAGATCTGAATCTGTTCTTTCGCAATCTTTCCTCAAATATTCCTCAAGGCACACATCCAATCCCCGCATTTATCGACGGCGCTGAAGCCCCGGTGAATGTGAGCGAGGCTGGAGGTGAATCGGACCTTGACTTTGAGCTTGCTTTCCCTATTATATATCCCCAGACCATCACGCTCTACCAAACCGACGATTCGAATTATGCCTTGGCGGATACTCCTACCTCGGGATTTTTCAATACATTCCTCGATGCCCTAGATGGGGTTTGTCTTTATATAACCCCAATGCCTTTATGAACCAAGGCTAACGCAGAGCAAATCTAGTCATACTGCACATACTGCGCCTTTGGAGAATGTGGAGACGACCCAAATCTGGATCCTGTGTATCCCGACCCAAGTGCTGGCGGCTACAAGGGCCAATTGATGTGTGGCGTCTACAAGCCAACAAACGTTATCTCGATCTCCTATGGCGGTCAGGAAAGCGATCTACCTGCCTATTACCAGCAGCGTCAATGCAATGAGTCAGTAGATATCTTTCTGCCCCTTTTTCGTGATGCAATTGGACCAAAAGTAGCTTACCACGAGTGTATCTCATCGCCTCTAGGTTCCTGAAACTCGGTCTTCAGGGCGTATCAATTCTTGTTGCCTCTGGCGATGATGGCGTTGCAGGGCCTCCTGGAGACGACAGTGCCAATGGCTGTCTTGGCAGCAATTCAACTATTTTCAGTCCAGCTTTTCCAAACAGGTTAGTTCTATGATAACTTCCACGAAACAGACTGTAACTTTTCGCTAATATTCTATTCTCTCGCATAGCTGCCCGTATATCACGAACGTCGGGGCCACCAAAGGTGAGTTGCCGCTGAAACAAAACCAACGCAACAACTGACTGATTTGCTTCCATCCAGTTTACCCTGGTCACACCGTCTGGGAGCCTGAAAGTGCCGTAGTTGACCCGGCTGGCCATCCCTATACCATCGCATTTTCCTCTGGTGGAGGGTTCAGCAACATATATCCCATTCCAGACTATCAGGCTGCTGCAGTGGCGAAGTAAGTCTAGCTTATACCATATATACTTTCCAATCGTGGTCAATTGCCTCTATATACTAAGACATGTTACCAAAACACACAGCTACTTTGAAAATTACAACCCACCATATCCCTACTACGAGGGCAATGCAAGCTTTGGTAAAAACGGAGGTCTTTACAACCGCATTGGCCGAGGCTACCCCGATGTTGCTGCAAACGGTGATAATATTGCAACTTGGAACGAGGGCACATTTGGATTGTCCGGAGGAACGAGTGCAAGTATGTTCCCCCGAACGATAATGATGAATTTTTTTTTTTCTTGCGAGAAAATCTGTTCTGACTGTACACCTTTTCTCCTCTTCCATCTAGGCACGCCTATCTTTTCCTCGGTGATTAACCGCATTATTGAAGAACGCCTGGCGATTGGTAAAGGTTCTCTGGGCTTCCTCAACCCAACGCTTTATAGCAACGCCTGGGCCTTGAATGATATCACAAATGGAACTAATCCCGGATGTGGCACGGAGGGCTTTTCGACCGCCCCAGGGTGAGTTTTCCTTTTGCTTTTGAATTTGTCAATGGGCCATGCTAACATACATCGAAGATGGGATCCTGTAACTGGGCTTGGAACGCCAAACTACCCAAGGCTGTTGGCCTTGTTTTTGAGTTTGCCTTAGGCAATAAAATAATGGAGGGTTAACGTCAGACTGAGCTGCTTGATGGGACGGCCGTCTGTGTATACAATCAAGCTATAGTAGTCGTGAGTAGTATCTGCAATGCGAATTTATGGAGTCTCAATCAACTAGCATGAAAACGAGCGGGACTGCTGTAATGCACCTACCACTGATTAAAACACACTGAAGTGCAAATTAATTGATATGGTCCTGCAGGGAAGATGTGCTTGATGTTAGGGTAATCAATTATTAGATGGCTTGAATCTAAGTTGATACTAATGACAACTTTGATTAATACACTAAACCGATATAGCAGGTGGTATAGATGAGAAATACAGTAATACCCATTTATACAGTATTTTCCCTCTAAACAATTGCCCCCATCATAAGAGTTGTTGGGCATTCCTAAATTACAAATTGAACCACCCAAGTGAGCCTTTGCCGGGTTTTGGATAGTCATCAATTCGTGCTAATTCTTAGTCTTGGAGATGTATATACAGCCTTGCAAAGGGCAAATCTATCGATGCAGCAATTCCTCAACCATATCGGCAATGGCCAAAGAACTGGTCAACCCAGGGCTTTCAATTCCTAGGAGGTTCACGAACCCTTTATAGCCATCTTCTTTCTGTATAACGAAATCCTGAAATCCCTTTCCTCCAGTATTGGCGCTGCCATGGCCTAGTTTCGGGCGGATACCACAGTAATCTAGTTCGATAGCATCGATGTTGATATTGGGAAGATATTTTTGAATTTCAGGTAATGCCTGTGCGAGACGGGCTGGAGAGGGCTTGTAGTCTGTTGCATTCTTGACCCATTCCACGTCTGGCCCGAAGCGGATTCGGTTGCCCATGTCTAGGGTTAAATGTGTACCTAGACCGCCGTGACCGGGGACGGGGGCTGGGTAGATTAATGTTGATGGTTTGGGATGTGAAGCGCTGTAAGAGAAATACGTCCCCTTTGCGTAGAATGGCGTTCGATGTCGTTCTGGTGGGAGGATCATATTGCTGATTTGACAAGCATATAGTCCTGCGGAATTGATGATTGTCTCCGCTGTTATTGATGCTTCCTCTATATTCGACCTCTCTGGGGAAGAAGACGGAGCAGCAGAAGTAGCAAATATGCGATATCCTCCCTTCCCCCTGTCAATCGGCTCAATGCGTGTGACCGCAGTCTGAAAAGCGATATCGCACCCTCGATCCTCAAGATCGCCCTGAAGACAGGCCATAAAGGAATGAGCATCTAGTATACCGGTCGTCGGAGACTCGACAATTCCCGCTTCAGCGCGTACATCCGGTTCTAGGCGTTGAGCCTCCTCCTTGCCAACAAACCGTGTTGGTACACCGATATTTTTTGCGTGCTCGTGCAGCTTCAGACATGCATCCCATTCGACCTCATTCTGTGCAACAATCCACTTCTTCGTGACTCTATGCGGAACGCCCTTTTTGGCGCAGTAATCGTATAGTTTGTTCTTGCCAGCGATGCATAGGCGTGTTTTTAGCGAGTCGGCCGGATAATAAATGCCAGCATGGATGACCTATTTATTTCCCATTCCGATTAGTGACTACTTTCCGCCGTGGAATAAGTCAAGAGCGGAATGCAAAAGCATCACACCTCGGAGTTGCGACTGCTTGTCTCTGTTCCCGCGCTGTCATGTCGTTCGAGTAAAATGGTGCTCGTGCCTTCTCGCGCAGCCAGTTGACGAGCGACTGCGAGGCCAACGACACCCCCGCCAATTATCTTTTCAATTCTCGAGTGAGTGGCGAGTACACGCAAAGAGATTGAGATAGCGTAGTTTTTATGGGATGATGACGAACCGCGTGTGTAAAGTCTGCATTGTGCGCTCGTGAAGTCGAGAACCTATTATGCTGTCCGCGTTGGAGAACTTGGAGATGGCGGAGCGCTTGTCTGCGTGCCATTGATTTGATCGATGCGATATATAGGCTGCTATACCTGCGCGCCAGTTGCACGATGGGCAGAGCCACAATGTTCAGGTGGTTATCGGGGGGGGGGGTTGGAAGTGAAAGATACAAGATCCTCCGTCATTGCGCTGAGCTTCTCCGCACGTCCCGATCTTAAGCCGGCCGCCCGCGTGCCTCTGACGTCGAATTCCGACGATAACTACGGGATATCATAACCGACTACGATTTATACTCGCATATACGCATAGGTTCACTGATATATAAAAGAAAAAGTAATGCATTAATCAATTCCCGAGGTATCTCATATATATCCAAGGGCCATCCATGTTCTAAGTATAACTATGTGCAGGTGTATCGACGTCTATTGTTCAACGCTTCGATGCGTTCTTGAGCATTTTCGTAAAGTGCTTGAAACATTTGTCAGTTATTGGGGTGGCAACTAATTCAAAGAGTCATCGACTCACCTCTTTCTGCTCTGTCGCCAGTTTTCCATCGGTGTCCTAAATCTGGTCAGCGCATATATTTCCCCGAAGGACAGAAACGGGATTCAACGTACGCTTATTATGGTTAAAATCAACGAGTAGTTATTGTACAAGAATCGTTCTCGTCGTTTTGCATCGCCAGATCCTCGGCTCAACTTGGCCAGCAATGCATCAAATTCACCTGTTAGCCGACCAAGGCTAATGGAGACCGGTTCATCGTCACCAGCTTCGTTGCTTAATGACAAAATTCCATGCAGAAGCTGTCCAAAGCGCTGAGTGAGAAAGTGTGGAGCTGAAGATTGTTTCGCGTCGTCTGTGGTCAATGACAGCGCTGATACTGAGCTTCTGGCAGCACCTAAAGCAAGACGCTTGAGAGATTCGCAATGCAAGTCCATGATCTTTTGGAACCGGGGCCAAAGCTGCATATTAACCCCGTTGATATAGGACTCTGCAACCGGTACTTTTCGTCGCTGAAGTTCAAACGCCGCTCGTTGATTTAGCCGGACACAGAGGAGCACGCCCAAACAGTCGGTTGTGTTTTCAATGAGACTTTTTGTCACATTTTGCCCAAGCGCAAAAACTGGCTCGAAAATCTCACTTGCCTTGCGAGAAATCTGTTGGTAGGATTTGACAGAAAACATCTCCGTCAGAAAAGAATACTCTGCCGACACGTTGTCAACCAGAGCAAGATTGAAATGTCGAAAGGGCACCTCAAAGCCATGGATTGATTTATCCTCCTCGGCGATGTAGGAGCTGATTGCCATATGGTTGCCGGTTTTCAATACGTCAATCCGTCTTCCAAGAGTGAATGGATCGTATGAAATGCCTCTACCACCAGGACCAGCACTGACCCCTCTCTGCACTGATGGATCTCCTCCCAAGACATGATTCGAGTCGGGTGCATGGATCTTAAGTTTTTCTAAAGCTTGGCTGTAACGCGTGAAGTTGGATAGGTAATACCACCTCGTTGTATTGACATATGCTTGGGCAATCTCCTCTGAAAGAGTCGGGTGTGCCCTAGTCAAGAAAGCGTAAATATCCTTGTATTTAACCAAATAGTGCTGTTGAATATATTGAGCATTCATATTCGGAGCACGAATAGCTTTGATTTGAGAGACAAGGTAGTCCCGAATACGCACTGTGGCCTATATAACTCGTCAATTACACGGTTTATGGGCTCTAGGGATGTATAATACCTTGTGCTTTAGGTCAACCAGCAGCGGCTTAACATCATCCACAGCCTTGCGAGATGACCCAGCTGATTTCTCAATGCTTATACTGCGGGCCTCGATCTCGTTCAGAGCCCTGACCCAGTTTTCGTCGATATGGCCATCTATTATGGTGCGAATCGCATTTGGAGATATACTAATATCCTCAACTGCCGGGCCAAGTAGTCGCTCCACGTTCCTCCGGTTCTCTAACTTGGCATTCAATTGTACTGATCGGGTTTGAAGCGTCTCGATTTCGGCAGAGACAATGCCAAGCTCGGTCTGGAAATCGGCGAGATACGACTCAACCGATTTGAGTACGTCATCACAGTCCTATTTGCAGTCAGCATAATCCGGCAACAGGCGCACGCAGCTACTCACAGCAATGGCATTGTGAAGCTCCTGGAACTTGTCCTGATCTCCAGCGACTAAATTCTCCCGATCAGCTAAATTCTGTCATGGAAATGGTATGTTCTAACATTGTTCTATTGTCCCCACGCCATCCTCGCTGCTGAGAAGACCACCAGACTGCTTTCCGCGATTCACGAATCCTTCCAGACTCAGATCTCCAAAGTCGATATCCTCTACCAGTTGAGCGGGCTTTCCAGTACTGGCCTCATCTAATTGGTCCGATGGCTTCTTCCCAATGATACTATTCAAGACTTCTAGCGGACTCGTGACCTCAGCGGGCGGTGTGCGCAAGAAGACCGATTTCTGCGGACTTCCGTTGGAGGCGTTTCTAGCGGTAGCCGGCAAGGAGGCGGAGGAGTCATTAGGGGATAGCAAAAGAGAGGTCGATGAGGAGCGAGGGTGTAAGCTTGATCGAAAGCCTTGGGACGAGGAAGTTCGCGATAGTCTTCGGCTCGGGGAAGGATAACGATGTCCGGATGGGGGAGGTGTCCCAGAGGGGGTAGAGTGGCCGGAGAGGCGATCTAGCCACATCCTCGAGGACCACGCAGCGCGTGTTTGGCAAGCTGTTCAGATCAATGCTTCATCGGCTTGCTGAGATGGGAATTATAGAGCAGCAATGTAGCCCGGCGCCCAAGCAAGCAACTGAACAGACCAAAACAAACCAAAACGGAAGTTGCAGTTGCCAGAATGCCGCCGCTGGTCCAGGCAAGCACCCCCAGAACGGCTAGCGCCCAGCGCGGAATCTGGGGTGTGCGCTATTCCCAACGCGGAAGGGTCAACTTGCCGCTTTAAAGTCTACGGGCACAATTGCTGCACTGCGAGTATGCCACGCCGTAGAACCATACTATACGCAGTACGTACGTAGGAGTAGGTGAGCAGTCTGCTGTCGGACAGTACGAGTTGTCTGTCTGGAGACCATTCAGAAGCACATCCAAGAAGCCCATTCAACCACTTAGTATCCAATGTACACCCTCTCATAGGGTCGCAGCGAAAGAAGTTCCGCCACTGCAGTCCCCATTAGGTCTAGTCCCACAAAAAATTAAGGAAAAAAGAAAAAAAGGGTTATAGGCCTGAGGCTGCAGCGGTTTTTTGCTCTCGTTTGTTTCCCGTCCCACTTCTCGTCTGTTTCTTTTTTTTCCGCTCCCTCCCCTCCTGTCCTTCTCTCCTGTACGCGCTTTGCTCCGGCCACCTTCTCTCACTTGTTCACCCTCTCCTATTTTATACAACAAATTCCTCATCTCACAATTCATCATGGCCGACGACGCCCAGGTATGCTGCTCATTGCCCCGCGCTGAATTTCCCATCTAAGAGAGCCCCGCCTTTGTTCCCCTCCTCTCTCTGGGATATACAATTTGCACATGCCTGCCTTTCATCAGCCATATTCCATGCAATATGCTAATCTTCTTATGATTCTCAATAGCATGAGCACACCTTCGAGAGCGCCGATGCCGGTGCCTCTGCTACCTTCCCTATGCAGTGCTCTGCTCTGCGTAAGAACGGCTACGTCGTGATCAAGGGCCGCCCCTGCAAGATCGTCGACATGTCGACCTCCAAGACTGGAAAGCACGGTCACGCTAAGGTTCACTTGGTCGCTCTCGACATCTTCACTGGCAAGAAGCTTGAAGATTTGTCTCCCTCCACCCACAACATGGACGTCCCCAACGTTTTCCGTAAGGAATTCCAGTTGGTAAGTGCTACGTGCCGATCGGCGTAGAAATTACTGTCGTAGGAATTGGCTGACTCTCTTCTAGCTCGACGTTACTGACGACGGTTTCCTTTCCCTGATGGACGAGGCTGGTAACACCAAGGATGATGTCAAGAAGCCCGAGGGTGAAATTGGTGACAGAATCGACAAGTTGTTCGTCGAGGAGGGCAAGGATGTTAACGTTATTGTTATGTCTGCCATGGGTGAGGAGGTTGCTGTTGAAGCCAAGGAGGGTCCTAAGAGCGGTTAAACTGTTCTTTTGAGTCTTCCATTATTTTTTGTGCCTATTTTATGTCAAAAATCTCATGCCTTCACGATGTTTCTTGGCAATTGCATCACTTGTCACTGACGCCGGAAAAGCCCTTTAACGTTGACTGTTTTTTCCCGGCTTGTTTGTTTCATTTTTCTCATCGCAGTCGAACACGTCTTGCGTGTTCTTGGAGAATTGGGTTGAGCGTACTGATGAATTGCTCTTACGACGACCACGAACAGATGTGCAAGTCAGCGGGTTAATCGTTGATCATTCTTCTCATAAGACTCTTGATGCGGAATTTACGAACAAGAATAAGAAAAGTCAGATGATATCCTCTACAAGATTTGACTTTGGAATTTAAGACGTAATTATTTATTTTTAACATGGTCACGACTCTCCAGGACTTGTGGTCGAATCACATTCATATCCATCAATGTGTAACTTTTTTTAAGCTTGTCACTTGAGTTTGTGGCGCTCTGATTCGCTTGCCCCGTTTCTGCCATTTTGGGGAAGGCGGATAAAAGCAAGTCCTCTGCCATCACCATACAACAACCATCCGGCGTAGAAATCCAAGCCCACAAATCAAGGCATCGGGTCGACATGAACGCCCTTCGTCAGTATGGAATATGTCAAGCGCGGACCGTGCGGACAAGATGGATGTCGACAAACCCGCTACTACTTGGATAACGGCATCTGGTTCTGCAGGCGTGGCCATCAGCAAGAGGTATGTCACTGTCCTTCTTTATGGTTTTGGGAAACAATGTCTACAATGTTAGAAGTTATTCTGCACGACATTGAGCAGCCTGCTAAGATGCAGTTAACAGGGCCGCCAAGTCGAAGAAGATCCTGACGACTGGAACAAACGAGGAAAAGTTCATCGTATCAAAAAGGTTGCCGAAGAGAAGTCCCAGCAGAGTGAGTTTTTACAGGCATTAAGATTGAAACTGATTATCTAACTGCCATCTAGCGTATACTGGACGACAAGGATATCGCCTTTTCATATACGCATATCAACTCATACTCTGGAAGCAATGCCAAGCGCTGGTATCGCAGAAAGGGTTCCCCGCTGATATAGAGGTACTTCCAAGCGCATTCGTTATCTGACTTCATATACTCACTACCTGTTATCTCATAGAAAATAGTGAAAGATCTCTGGGGCTTGCGACTGCAAAATCTAACAGACAAGTATGATGTGTCACTGGACGAGCCAGACGAAGATACTGGCACAGAAACTTTCAGTTCACAGACTCCTGCTGTCGCAAGCGTTGAAGACAAGGATCAAAATTTGAAGGGTCAAAAGACGAGCCGAAAGTCGACTGACAGCCCCCTCCTGAAAGAGACCTTGGGCCTCTGCTATCTGGCCTGTTTACTGCTACGCTTGCCTGTGAGCGTGGGTGACATCTACCGGTATTAAGACATTGCATCCTCTTTTTTTTTTTCCCTCAAACAGTCTTTATACTAATCATGGTACTAGATATGCCATGCGAAATGAAATACCCTTTATTGGGGCTCTCAAAATTGTCCCTCAAGAAATGAGAGACCGAATGTCGCCGCAGCACACAAGAGATCTCAGCGTACAGGTGCGCTGCAGGCATCATGAATTATTACGTTTACTACATATATTCTAACTATGCTGTATAGGTTCTTCCAGAAGGCGATGAGCTTCACGAAACCGTGTATCGATTGGTCAATATGTATACACGCGAACACGATGTCACATTTCCTCCATTGAATATGCCACTTATGCTCTATCAATTTGTCCGCCAGCTAGGGGTACCACGTAAGAGCCGTCTTAACATCCACCGTTTTAGTCACAAGAAAAATTGCTCTGACATCGAGATAGTGGAGGTTTATTCGTTTGTTAAAAAATTGCAACTATTCCTCAACTTTTCATTCAAATTCTCCTCGGACAAAAGGAGAGCATTGAGAGCTCAGGCATTCCCGGAGGCTCAATTGTTAGCTCTCATTATCATTGCTACGAAACTTATATTCCCTTTTAGCGAGACCAAGGGATATCCAATTTCGGCTACAGAACCAGCTGCGCAGATTGTCGACTGGAATTTGTGGGCCGATGCACAAAAGCATTTCAAAGATAAGACCACAGCAGAAGGCCGATTAGGAAAGGGCCAGGAAGTTACCGTCAATGAAGGCAATGTATTCCACATGACAGGGCAACAGCTGGACGATTACTTGGATTGGTATCAAGATACTTGGCTTGACCAAAATAAAAGTCAGTTATAGTACATCCCGTCACACTAAATATTACTGACATCCAGAGAAGCATACCATCCACTTGCAGACATGTTTCCGCTCACCCGTGCGGAACCTGAAGATCTCCTGAAAATGTATCCCAGTGCGGAGGTCGAGGAAGCGATTGATGATACAGTTCGCGAAGTTACCGCGAGCATTCGCCTAGCTCAGATAATCCCATTTGGGCAAAGTCGTGGGGAAGACAGTGAAGGCGACCAGGATACGGGCGAAGAAGAAGACCCCGACCCAAATCCTCGTCCTGGCCATTCATATGAAATATACAAAACAGCATCTGCATTACCCGACACAGCGCGCAAATTTTTTGAAAAGGCAGCAAACCTGTCAGGGTTGTCATTGAACACACTCGTAGCAGTTGTGTATCGCACAGAGCGCAAGTTGGGAAAGTTCCAACTTGACGTGAGACGAGCTGAGCTCCATGGTGAACAGATCCCAGACCATACAGATTAAAAAAAGGCAATACTTTAATAAGAATAATCATAATCATAATCATAATCATAATCATAATCAGCATTTCGTCGAATTTCGAAGTATGAAATACATGTAAAGTTGAAGTTGAATTATGATTGGTCCGCAGCCTTAAGCCGCTAGCCAAATTGGGAGTGGCGGTTAGGGCACTGGGCCCTATGTCCCAATTCGTCATCGGCCCACACCTCGCTTAGCCTGGAGGTCAAGGTCTTCACTGCGGTTGCTCAACGGGACCGTTCATTCGATTGACGACAAGATATCAACGACATCGACGAATATCGCAACCAGTATGTGCAGTCTTTTCCCGGGGAGCATTTGAAGCTCTTCAGATTATGCTATTTTATTATTGCTAACGATTTACCTTTCTGCGATTACAGTGCAGATGTAGGTACCTCTTTTACTCGGAAGTTTTTGACTGTCTCGCCTCCCCCCGACGAAATATGAAAACACTTCACAAATACAATTCGGAGGAAAATAAACAGCGGTACAAGTGGACTGACGGGATACCTTCATTTACAGTTTCGTCAAGACCCTCACGGGCAAGACCATCACCCTTGAGGTCGAGTCCTCCGACACCATCGACAATGTCAAGTCCAAGATCCAGGACAAGGAGGGTATCCCCCCGGACCAGCAGCGTCTGATCTTCGCCGGAAAGCAGCTTGAAGATGGCCGTACTCTTAGCGACTACAACATCCAGAAGGTACGAGTTTGACAATGCATTTTACCCTTGGAGGAAAGAGGAAGATCGTCTCAGTTTTGAGCCGTTTGCGCCGAGCTGTGGCGACATGATCGATCGAATGGATTTTTGGCTGAAATTGGAACGAAACGGTTGTTAACGGATTTTTCTCTTCTACTTGCAGGAGTCCACTCTTCACCTTGTCCTCCGTCTCCGTGGTGGTATCATCGAGCCCTCCCTGAAGGCTCTTGCCTCCAAGTACAACTGCGAGAAGTCCATCTGCCGCAAGTGCTACGTACGTTTTAAGATCCCCTTGAATTACCTCGGAAAAATGCGTCCTGTCATGTCGGACAAAAAGTACTGAGACTTCTTCGTTATCTTTCTAGGCTCGTCTCCCCCCTCGTGCCACCAACTGCCGCAAGCGAAAGTGCGGTCACACCAACCAGCTCCGCCCTAAGAAGAAGCTCAAGTAAACGATTCGCCCCCACCCGTTCAAACATTGTATTTTCTGCATCGTTCTTGTTGGCGTCTTATATTCTCCGGGGGGGGTGTGTGTGTGGAGACTGCGATATTCTACAATTCAAAAATAAAATAAAGAAAGTTGCAGAGATTACCAATTTTATGGTCGCTGGGACACCTCAACCATATTAGATAAATAGTGTGAGGAGAAGAGCGCTTGTTTTTAACTGGCGTGGCTCATAATTATGATATCAACGAATGAAGACCATTGTCCTGCTAAATTCTTGGCGGTTGAATTAATCGTACGGTTTGTAAATTGACTGAGTAAGCTCTCTTTCCACTCAGCCAAAGCAATAATTTCATCACTGGCAAGTATATGGTACACAGACGTCTTGAAGTGTAAAAACACACTTCTACAAATAACCATCTGGAGTGGATAATAGCAAGGATACAATACAGATGCGTATGATATAAACTCCACCACATAAAATGGCCCTTTATTCACCTAGTTTGGTTGTATGACGTCCTTGCTCAGAAAAGAGAACGCCTCTTGTCATCATCCTTGTCATCCTTGTCGTCGTCATCATCATGGTCGTTTTTCTTCGAAACGGGGCTTCCGTGACTAAACGTATTTCCTTCTTGTCAGTAGATACTCTGAAAGCTGGATGAAGTGCGAAGTAGACTTACGCAAAGAACAGGATTTTGATGGCAATAGCCAAACCGGCATGTAAGACAACGACTAGAATGAGTAAGATCTTGCTAGTTTTAGCGTCTGTTGCGTTCAACACCGGGTATAGATTGCGCAGGAGGAAGATAACGGTCCAGGCAAATCCAACACCGACCAGAGCCCAATTCAAGGCTGTCAAGGGACTCCAGCTTGCTAAAGCGACGGCGATCCATAAAAGATTTGCATATCCATAAAGGGCCCAGCACTCAATGAGGTCGGCGCTAGAACTACCAAACCAACGTAACGCACCCCAAAGCGCGATAGGCAGCACCCCGGTATATCCATAAATCAAACCTGCGGCACCCGAAAGTAAACGAAAGTCATATTCGAAATGTTCGTCGTGTTCGTGTCCTAGATACTGCGAAATGGTCCCCGTCAAGAAGAGAATAATGACCACCGTAGTCGCAATCCAGAACGGTCCGTACAGATCCGGGTTACCATCTAGAACGTCGAGGAAATTGGAACGTGGGTATACAGCAGCAGCGCAGCGCCGAAGCACTTCGTTTGTATCGACGTCGAAGAATTGACTGTAGTACTGGATTGACCATAAATAACGCTTTCCATTCCCTGCCTGACCACCACCACCACGCGATGATCCGCCGTCGCCAGGTCCGTGGCTGCCTAGGAATGGTTGCGAATCGGCTTGAATTTTGGCGCTGCGAGGGTCATTTTCGAAGTCTAAGATCGTTGTTTCGCTCAAGGTTAGAACGATGCTACCATCGCTGCTAGCAATAGGTCAACACAAAAGCCAGATGCAGCCACGTACTCGATGGGTGAAATTCGAGATCTTCCTGAAGATCCGTGTGGCCGAGGTCGCCCTAGTGAAAGAAAACATTGTTAGTCCCAGTTCAATCGATTCCGCTAGCAATGATATGGCGAAGAATGTATCTTGGTCTTCAGGAGCACAAGGTTGCTTACCTCCGCATCAACGTCCACGACGACGTCGTAGCCTTGGTTTGCCATTTGGCAGAATTGAAATGGTTCAGTCCTATCTGGTGTAATATGGTATCTGCAGCTTTGGACTTATTCGAAATATCGGTACACGCAGGAAAAAGGCACGACCTTGGAGAAGGTTGATGTTGACGGAAGCTGACTGACTGGACGGGCCAAAGTGTACACTTGGTTTCTCTGGCGGGCCGCGCAATCCAACGAGTCACGACGGATGTCCATCTACTTCGATTTCTAATAATGTCACCTTCGAGAAGAGTCCTTATAATAATATTAGGATGTTATTTTGACTGTGACAAAAAGATCTAATATCTACATAAGCCCAGGTGATGTTCTACAAGGATACTCCATAGCGAAATCACCACTGTCTCCCACGGTAAAACATGTCCTTGAGTCTGGCAATATAGGACCACATCGTCGACTCGAAGTTGGTCTTGCGAAGATATATCGAGACTAGACCGATCAGTACTGCAAATCCAAGAGAGCCAATTGGCCTGCGATATCGCCACAACAGGGCATATGTTTGCTTCCGGAACTCCTCTCGTCTCAACTGTTTGACCTGGATCAAAAATTGCTCCTCGGCAACTTGGAGGCTACTATGCTCTCCGAGAATCCGGGACGTTCTCAAAACGCTATTTCGTGGAATTTTCCACCAAGCTCGGAATGGCAGAGATTCAGGAGGGTGTTTGTGATATAGTCCTAGGGTAGAGGAAATAAGATTTTCCAGATCGAGAGGCTGTGGCATCTTGGACAGCGTGAAATGCAGCATCTCCGGCTCTTCGATTGGGATTTTCAAGAGTTCGTCTTTTCGACTCAAAATGATAGCTGCAAACAGGTAGATTGCAACAACAGGTTCGTGAGCGAGTAAAAAATCGTACAGACGCACAATATCTTGATACTCTTCAATGTCGTGTGCATATAATGTCAACGCAGCAGCCAAGGCAAAGTAGGGCTGAGTCTCCGATATATGCTTGTGTATCCTTGTATCCGAGGCTTCCAATATAGAAGGGATAAGGTGGAGATGCTTTAATGCGGGTGAGAGTGAGGGAAGCATATAATCTCGTATACGCAATAGCGATACTCGTGCAAAGGCAGGACGGGCAAGTTGAGCGCCCAGGACCAATAACAGTACCTGTGCAATGTCATGGTAGCCCTGAAAATAACAGAGCATAGGATAGCGCCGGAGAGTTTCTGTAATGAGGTCTGACAATTCATGTTTCCGCTTGGAGAGTTCTTCTTCAACGCCTGGCAAGCACCGATTTAGCAATTCTTTCTTTTTTCAGCAACTACGAAGAAGCATGCTAACTAACATTGCGGATAATACACAAAAGAACGGTTAACATCTAGCTTGACCTGTTCCTCGTCCCCGTGTCGGGGTAGACTTTTCCAGTCCGGTTGATGCTGCGTGCGTTCCTCATCATTGTAACCTAGTAGGATGGGCCCTGGATTTTCAAGGCAATGAGCAGCCGTTATTATTAGCAAGGAAAAGACATACAAGCAACTTGACGAAGACCATCCGTCAACAATCCACCTGGAGACACTGCATGCTCCACCAAGGCTTTGATATCGTGTCTCTGGCATGCGCTTTCAATGTCTCTTCGTTTATTGTCGAATTCCTCGGCTGTCTCTTTGGCATCGGCGTAGATAGATTGCTCCAAAGTTCCGCCATGCAGAAGTTCCTTGGACTCTGTTTCATCCATTACTTTTGGGACACGTCTTAAATATCATCCAATATTTTTGTGGTTAATGCAGAGCTGGCAATTCAAGATGTTCCAAGGTGGTGGTGGTTGTTGTCCGGCCGTTCCATCGTTTTGGTAGCCTGGCTACATTAGGAATAGTGTGGATCGTGCTGGGATGATGGATCATGGAATGGATGAGTCAGTGACACGTAGGCGCGAATGTCATTGTTTCAAAGAGTACGTTTGTGCCCTAATGATGGAGGTAGGTATAAATAAACGACAGAAACACAGAGCATAACAGAAAGGTTCAGGATCTTGGATGCCTCGAAGTGCGTTTTGTCAGCTTGTCCATACCGTGTAATATTACATACGCGATACAGCTCTGAAAACGTCCCCACCAGAGCTTCCTTCCTTCCTTCCTTCCCAAAGATCGCAGGCTCAAACAACGCCTCCAGCTGCCTGAGACCAGCGAGACAAATTTGATTACTTCAGACGGCCCATGCTGTCCTTCTGTACAAATACGTGCCAATCAAATGCTGCCAAAGACTGCTTCTATCGCCGTGTGAGCTTTCCGTTCCTTCAGCCAAGAGACTCCAGTCGGCAAAGCAGATTTTGTCAAGTCGACATGCTGCCCTTTCTCGTGCTAGGCCCATGTTGAATCTACTTCATGGGAATGACCCGTGCGAGTTGCTTGGTTGAACGATCTACGACAGCGTTGTATCTCATCTTATGAGTACCGTGGCCTTCAAATGTCGATGTCGCGCTCTACTAGGGACCCAACTGGAGCGCCAGGTGTGGCCGGCAACAATCCAGAATCGCATCAGGGCTCGCACACCACAAACGTTCAAAAGTCCAGGATTGGGCTGTTTTCGCAGACAATAGTTCCAAGTCCCGTAATCCAATTTGTCCTACCGGCACGGCTGCGGAGTATGTTCCAGAATGATGTCGTTTTCATTTATGAAAGATCGTTACTCATACGGGAAATAATCATGGATACTTATCTGGAAGACGTCATGGTGAACTCGGACTTTGATGCCAACATCCTTGCTGCTAAGGCGATCAATGTTTATCATAAGATGCCGCTGGATGTGCAAATGAAAGTAGGAGTTCAAGATACTTTCTTAGAGAGCAATCGACAAGCGGATGTGCGACCGAATCATATTCTGGTACTCACATTAGATTCGAGAGAACTGATATTCCTTTACTATTATTCCGGCTTCCAAGGGAACCATGGACGTTTTGTACATTTTCGCAGAGCTTTGCCATCAGATGTGAGCATATCCGAAAGATTTGGCCGCCATCTAGCAGTTGATCCGAGGTAGTTATTCAATCCTTTTGTCTCCCTCGTCATGCGCTCATCATGCTTTCCTTTCAGGTCTCGTGCTGTTGCTGTTGCTGCTTCTACGGACTTCTTCGGAATTTTTATACTTAGATCCGCAGAGGAACTCCAGTCACAGTTAAAAGAGGGCACATTGGCCCCAATTGCCGAGGCAAGTCGCAATATTATCTTCACTACTACAATGGCCATAAACTGATAAAGTGCGGGAGTAGGAGCGGTTCTTTCAGCTTGAGGGAGACATCTTGTTCATGGATTTTCTGTTTACTACGGAAAAGAATGAAAATAGTATTCTTCTTCTTCTCATAGTAGCTCGAGGTTCTATGACATATTCAGTGCTCTATGAGTGGGAGTTTGCAGAGGGACTACGCCAGGCTCGGCCGAAAATAGTGACAAAGAAAGTCCCTCAATTTTGCAGATTGCCGAATCTCCTGATACCTTTGACCAAATCCACATCTTTCCTGCTTGTGACGCCTTTGTCTATTGTAGCCTGCAAAAATTGTTCAAACGCCGAGTCAAGATTTTTGAGCATTTTAGAATTTGACACAACCCCTCCTTTCATATGGGCGAAATGGGCGCGCCCATATCGACATGCAGCATATGACAAACTTCACGACGATATCTACCTATGCAGGGAGGACGGGGATCTTTCATACGTGCAACTGAGCAATGATTGCCTCCTCGAGGCCTCGGATTCAGTAGGCCAGCTTGACTGCGACGTGGATTGTGCTTTCGATACAATTGACTTCAGTCATCCCGGGCACGGTGGCGATCTTCTTGTTGCAGCGGGTAATACTGGACATGGTGGCTTATTTATACAAATCGCAAGACAAAGTCCAATGTGTGTGCAGAAATTTGTGAACTGGGCGCCGGTATTTGACGCTGTTATAGTACCGCAGCTTCACCCTAAGGCACACCACAGTCAAGATATCACAAAGGATGTGCGCGACGACCTTCATCTATATGTATCCTCGGCATCTTCCAACAACACCGGGGCGGTATACGAATTTCGACATGGTTATGAGGCTCAAATTGGAATGATCGTTCCTCTAGATGATTTTGCTTCGGCACGATCAGTTTGGGCGATACCCGACCTAACCGGGGAAGGGACTTATTTCTTTATCTCTGATCCGGTCTCCTCGGCATTGTTGCATCTTTCACAAGATGGCGAAGAGATTTATGCCGTCGACGATTCCGATTCGCCCCTTGATCTTTCAGCGCAGACTCTAGCAGCGGGATATACGTCTACTGCGATTCTAGTGCAAATTACTCCAAGTTCTGTGCGCTTAACAGTGCTCGGGAAGCCCAGACTGAATTTCGTGTCAGATTTCCAGATAGATCAGACCGTCCTGGTTGCAACAGTCAATGAGGAGCTAGGACTAGTTGCTACCGTTATGAAATTTGACGAGAAAATCGGCCTGCAGGTAGGCAGGATATTGTCAAGTGACGACTCTCTCGGAATTGATTACTTAGGAGAGATGGTCAACGTCGAACACGAACCTATTTCGATCTTGGTTGAGCGAGTGAAAAATATTTCATATGTAATTGTGGGCTCAAGTGACGGCCACCTTGCTTATTACCGAGTGGATCAAGATGGTGTCGTCCTTCTTGGGCGTTATACATTGGAATTGAACGGAGATCATATATCAAAAGCCATAGAGAGTATTGCTGTAGTTGGTTGGATTGATACCAATAAAGCAGCAATGTACTGTGGTCTTCGAAGTGGCCTGCTTGTTTCCATGGACATGGTCTTTGATTCAGAAAACCCAAATGATCCGATTAGTAAGAAAACAACATCAAGACTTTGGCGGGATGATTTGCCTGACGTGAATCTAGGTATCAAGCAGCGGCCCGACAAGAGATTTGGCGATACTGTTGTTAAGCTCTTGAAGAAAGACAACATGATACTAGCCACGTGCGGAGTAGATTTCTGGTGCATCTCGGACGTTAATATCAGCAATGCAAATGCGTCTGATTTTAATCTTCAGCGAATCTGGATAACGGATCAGAACGACGTGAGTATTCAATTTCAAATACCCCGAGAGAAGTACGCCTACGCTCACACAATCAAAATAGCCTGCCTACACTCAGAGAGAAATAGAAGTTTTGACGGTTGTTTCTGCATCACAAATTCCTGGTACAGCCAACTTGGAGGGATCTTTGATTTGTATCAGCGATAACCAACTTCTCATATGTACATTGGACCGTCGAGCGAAAGCAGTGCCACGCAAGGTTGATTTGCCTGGAGCCGCTAATAGGATTCACTATTCTGATTATCTCAAGTGTTTAGTGGTTGCATATGTCGTCACTGAACTGGTGTCTGACCCGGAAACAGGGATCGTGAAACGCTACATGCGCCCACACTTAGACTTTCTGAATCACAATTTGCAACTTCAAGGTCCATTGCAAACTCGAAAGCCAGTTGGGGCGTCTGGGGAACGCATTACCTGTATTCTCGACTGGGTTCCCGAAAGTGGAGGCCAGCGATACCATTTCCTTGTTATTGGCACTGCACGAAGGACGCAAGAGCAGAAAGGCAGAGTCATATTCTTATATTCAAGGCGCAACGCCGAAAATCCTGAAGAAATAGATTGTTCGGTAAAATACATCCACTCCTTCGACGGCCCTGTACGTGCTATTGCTGCGTATGGGGACTCTACTATCATGGCTGCAGCTGGCAACGACATTATCCCAATCGCACCAAAATTACCTAACGGGGGAAAACAATGGGCTGCAGCGGCGCGGTTTAAGCTGACATCCCCAGGCGTTTCTATTACGGTGCGCGATACATTGCTTTACGTCAGTACAGCGAGAGAGTCCCTGGTGATCCTACAAGTTGTTGAGAACAAACTAGAGCTTTATGCTCAGGATGGAGTGAGGCATGAAAGTCTCTCACATCATTATATCGGTGGAGACCTCAATGTGGTGCTTGTGAGCAGCAGGGGTGGCACAATAAGCGCATTTTCACTGGCCAATGTAACGGACACGGACAAAATCATTTCTCCAGCGATCGCCGAAGCCCATCTTCCGGTATCAATGATCCGGCTCAATGCTTGTGACAGTCCATCTCTTCGCTTCTATTCGTCAGCAGCAGTCGTATATGGAACCACAATGGACGGGGCAATATACCGAATTTTGACCCTTAATGAAAAAGAATGGCGTCTGCTTCGCTTCATACAGAACTTATGTAGCAGTGACTCCATAATCTCACCTCTCCTCTCCGCCAGAAAACGACGATGGATATGGGCAGATATCGAGCCGCAAGTGAAAACCCCATCCTCAATGCACGTTAATGGCGACATCCTCTCCCGTCTGGTTCCGCAAGGCACGGATTATCTTCAGCGCATGCTACAAAGTGACACTCAGTTGGAAGCAACAGCTGTGCCTCCTCCGAAAAGTTACATGGAGTTGTTCACTCAGCTGTTCGACGAAGTTTTTGTAGATACTCCAGTGGAAGTAGATCCGTGTGTGCACTTCATGAGTTGGTTACGAAAACTTATACAACTTCAATAGTGAGATCACATCACTTGTCTTTTCAGGTAACGGATTTGTTGACACATAGTCATATATATTAGCTCTCATTTGATTATTAAAACCATCAAGCAGATTCTGATCGTTCCATTATTTGGATGTCGCTGATTATACTGTTAAGCAATGTTCTGCCCTAGGAACGAAGTTACGACTGTGGATATAAACATCGATTCATTGCATTCATGAAAATTGAAAAAGCCTAGCAAAAATGGATATTGAATAATTTAGAAGACACCCGACACCTTCAATTCCATGGATAATTGGAACATTCCCCCGAAGACATTATTAAGAGCAAATGCAAAACACGAAAGCGAGCAAAACTTAGATTCTGTAGACTGTCTCGTCCTCCTCAAGGTACCTGTGAAGTGTCAGTAGTGGCCAGAGAGGCTGGTGTGAAGGTAGAATGTTTGTCAAGGGTAACTTACATTAATTCGTTTCTGTCATTCATCACCTTCAATGCCTGGATAGCTTCCTGCCTCTGGAACACATTTCGCTCACCCAGGCTTGGGTTTGCCCTGACTGCAGTGTTGACAGCACCGATTAGTGCTTCCAAATCCGCACTGTCGTCATTGACGAACACTTGGGACATCAGTGGCCCAAGAGTCTGACGGAAGATGTTCAGCCGCGCGGGCTGAATGGGGGCAGACGAGCTTGCTTGGGAGTCGTCAGTCTGTGAATCAAGGAGCTGTGATGCTGGAAGAGAAGATGCAAAAGATAACTGAGATGCAGTCGCAGTCTGGTCTCGTGTAGGGCCGCTAGATTGTAGCTGTGGGTCTAGAGAACCACCCGCGAAGTCGCTTCTAGCACTGACAGATTCTTCAGCAGTCTGTGTAGACCTTAAACCTGGTCGCCTGCTGGTTTGTTGACTTGTACCAGGGCCGGATGATTCGTCATCCTCATCATCGGAGTCCGACTCGTCGGATTCCTCATCAGAATCAAATGTGGTCACTTTGCGTCGCTTTCTTCTTGCATCTTCCACGACTTCCTTAAACAAAGCAAACCGCAAAATAGCCTCCGCTTCTTTCGCATCCTTCTCTTCCACACGATTTGATAACCGTGCTTTAGCATGAGCAGTGGATAGACGAATAAGTGTCTCAAGTGTACGTGCCGTCATGGGCGATGTCTTCCTCTGGTTGCCTGAGAGATCGTCATTTCGCAGAGCCGTATAAGTGGCAACAATATGATCTGCAGCCCCCTTTGTCAAGACCGGTTTTATTCTGGACTTCGCGTATTGGATGTACTTTTTGATAAATGGCAAACTGAATACCTCGACGTTGCCATTCTTGCTGGTTGCAGACATGCCGGCGTGTAACATGACATTGTATTTTTCAAGGGGCTCCGTGGGTTGGTTGGAATCTTGTGATTCTTCTAGTCCAATACCCAGAGTCTGCGTAGCTCCTTCACGAACTGGTACCCCTTCTTCAGAACCTGGCTGACGGTAACGATGTCGGCGTAGCACGTGTTCTGACACTAGCCTATCACCCTTATCTTCTGGCTCATCGGTAACAATAAACAGCAAATCGAAACGGGAAAGTAGCGAGTCAGGAAGAGCAATATTCTTGTGTGGATCTTTATGGGGATCATATTGGCCATATATTGGGTTTGCAGCCGCAATAACACTGCACCTGGCATTCAAGGACGTATGAATACCTGCTTTCGCAATCGTAACCGTTTGCTGTTCCATCACTTCGTGGATAGCAACGCGATCAACATCACTCATCTTATCGAACTCGTCGATACAGACAACACCCCGATCACCAAGCACCATTGCACCGGCTTCTAGTCTTCGTTCTCCAGTTTCTTTGTCAGATGTTACAGCCGCAGTAAGACCGACACCTGATGATCCTCGACCAGTGGTGGCAATCGCTAGAGGCGCAGTATTCAGGACGAATCGTAACATCTGTGATTTCGCAGTGGAAGGATCGCCAACCATGAGTATATTGATGTCACCCCTGAGATGAGTACCATTGTCCAAGTTCTTCTCGATACCGCCCAGAAGCATAAGCAAAACAGCCTTCTTGATGTATTCATGTCCATAAATAGAAGGGGCCAGTGATTGAGATAACATGTCAAAAATTTTCGTCTTTCTGTTTTTGGCCCATTTATTGATGTTGCGGATGTCAGTATCTGTCAGTGTGGCTTGCGCAATTCCACCACCAGATTTAGAAGAAAGTTGAATAATATTATTTGCGAGAACAACGGTCCGGAAAGTTGATGATCCTGATCCTGCACCTCTATTTCCTAGGGAGCGAAATATTCCCACCAGTTGAATGCGATCTCCTGGCTTAGCACGATCAACTAGATCATCGTCAAGGATAACATCGACCCCACGGGGCAATTGACCAGCGGGTGCTCTCTCAGGCATTTCCTGGATCGAAATGGACTGGTGGTCCATGTAGGTACAGTATCCGAATTCCGTAATGAGCTAAAAGGCCGTCAGCATTGGAAGTCACACAAAAGGGAGCTGATACACTTCATACAGGGTTTTTCTCATCATCTTCTTGCGGATACACATTCAAGTTCGTGACCCCACTGGCTGTCATAGTCTGGTCTCTATACTTTCTGGCGAAAAATTTGTTCTTCTTCTCACTATAGTGCACACTTTGTATCACTTTCGGTCGAACGAGAGAGCATTTGGTGACAATGCCTTCAAGGGATACCATTCGGTTAAGATGAGAGGAACCTAATGTTCGCGGATTGCACGAATTCTCGCCAAAGGCACCCACGAATGCGCAGTAGTAAGCCTAAGATACTTCAGTATAAAAATCCTCCACAAATCAAAGGGTTCTTCTGCCCACCACTTCCTCGGCGGTTTCTCTTGACGGCCGATTTGGGAGAGTCTTCACGACGGCTTTTAGGGCTTTATTGAATGCCTCCGTGTATTCAAACGGTAACATGAGAAGACTAGCTTGGTCTTAGTAACCGGGATTTGTACAGTCAAAGCGGTGGACATACCCGTCTGCAAGTTCTCGGTTGTGTGCTCTTATCTCATCGATGCTAACCTACGGACCATTGGGTCAATCCCACTAGAATCTCTCGTTTCTCGCTGCAATTTTTCTCACCGTCAATCTTCTGAGACCTCGATTTAGCATCAACACAATATCTGCACGGTAACTATTTCACGAAGTCAGCAAATAACGACATCAACCGCAGTAAACTATAATCTGGATTCGAAGTACCTCCGAGCACGAGTATCAGCTGTGACAGATGGCAGAAGTTAGTAACTAGGTACCCATGAGAAAAAGAAGAAACGATCGTTACTCACTGGGGTCTAAAAACTCGGTGGCAGCTCGCACACGATCCTCCGCAGTTTCCTCTGGAAACTGGACTCCATCCATGGCTGGAAAAAATTCCTCTGGTCGAGGAGAAGCAACAATCAATGTTCTCGAAGTAACGTAGACGCAGACAAGTATTTTCCTAGCAGAAATAGCGATTCTTGGTCTCTACTGAAGTTTTGTCGAAGTAACCAAGTCGGAGGGTTAAAGATTGGGTTAGATTAAGCAGTTCTCTTCCGCGCTATCCAAAACGGGCAGAATTGAAACGCGTGACGCGTCAAAAGTCGCGTTGGTCGTGGAACTAAAGCTCCACTCTCCGGGCGTCCAATCAGCTCTTGTCATCAAATCAGAAACACTATTCTGTTTACATCTGGTCTCTTTGGCAAGTAAAATCTAGCGTTTTTATTTACTCCTCTATTTTATTTTGACATAGTATACACTGGACAGAGTGTTTGGACTCTCTGTAAGCCCTTAAAATGAAGATACCGCTAAATGAGAAGGAAATATACAATATACATGAATGCCATCATACCTAGTATGCGATTATGTGCATGGCCACTGGAATGGAATGTCAAAAAACTTTGTAGACTGAAATGAGTAACCGTTTCTGGCCCGTGGTGTCAACCGTCAAGGGGTGGTTCCTATCTTCCATCAAGAGTCTCTTCTTCTTGAACAGGATCAATGCCTAATTCTCGACTTCTCGACCGAAGGAGCGTCTCAATTTCAATATCATGTTCGTCCCGGGGTTCTAGTGTGCCTTCTGTATCTTCAATACGCCCCTCAGGTTCATCGTCGTCTGTGCCTGCGGTTTGCGACAGACCTTGGCTAGGCGCTTGATCAGCTGAAGGAATATCACTTCCAAGCAGGGAAGTTTCCAGCTGAGCTTCATATTCTTCTGGAGGCTGCTCTGACCGCTGCTTTCCACCAACGCCTAGAACTCCGCCTGTCCACACGTATTTTCGACGCCTTAATGGACTTAAATCGCCCTGTTCCACTTGGTTTCTAAGAAGTATGCCTTGGAACTTTTCACGCAAATGGGGCATCAATTCTATTGCCTCCAAAGTTAATGGAGCCACCGAGGAAAGGGTATCCAGCTGCTGTCTTCCCTCGGTAAGACTTCTGTCCCTGAAGTCTTTCAAAGTGGCAGCAAGGAAAATCATCACGTTGTACGTAGGATACATCCACGTGGGATTGACTTTAGACCAGAATCGAACAGCTTTCTTTCCAAGTGTATCTTTGTGTTCGCCTCTTGGACGTTTGTCCAATAGGTCAAGGGTGCCAGGGACCCCTTGGGGTTTAAACTGAACCCCGCGGGCCAACCGACGCCAACCAGGAAAGTAGGGCATGAAGATACGCTCGAATGTGGAGAAGGCCATCAACTGTTCAGATTCTGCGTTCGAGGCAGCAAGTGTTCGGACATAAGTAAGCCAATTTTCAGATGTCATGGCGAATCCACGCTTTTGATAATCCTCCACCAACTCTGGCAGCTTCGACGCTTGGCCCACTTTACCCACACTTCTCATATATAAAGAGAAGTGTCGAGACAAGATGAAACGTTGAGATGAAATAATAGATTCTTCTTCTGGATATGGCAAGTACCCCATGTCATGATCTTCAGGGTTTGATGCCAGGTCTTGGTGTGAAGATGACGCCGACCAACCCTCGAAAGATGACTCAGGCAAGTTATCGGAAGTAGATTCTGATAAACCACGAACAGGCGACCGTGACAGCCTCTCAAAAGCTAGGAGTGTAGGATCCTCAGTGGAGGAATGAAACGAGCTTCCATATTGTGAAATATCATCGGTAGATACTTCCGTCACATTCTCAGGGATTGACAGGGGTGACTCGTCGATTGGTGATTGACTGAGAGGGATGCGCTTTATTATGTTGGCTGCTTTTTGTAACGCCAGTTCCCAGCAATTTTGAACAGTTTCAAACTTGTCGGCATGTGAATACACTTCCATTAACACGGACAGGAAGCGCAAGGACGGAGAAACAGTGCTCTGGTCCGAGGCTATGGCGGAGTCCATATCTTTCGCATACTCTTTGAGTAATTGTTCCGCCCGGAAATGCATTCCTTCCGAGCCATATGCCTTCAAAACAGGTTCATAGAAAACTGAAGGAAAGGCTTCGTGTTTCGGTAAGCTGCTCGTTCCTGGGCGGGGATACTTGTTCGCAAATTGCCGTTGATCAAAATCCAAGACGGCTTGGAAGAGAAGATCCTCAGATAATGACAAACGATAGCCTGGATCTGCAGGGTTATCCGTCTGAGGAGTTCTTACCAAAATGTCCCTTCCAAGAGCACTCCTCATCAAGAGAAGGCGAGCGCTCATGCCGGGATTTCCAAACCTCTCTTCAATTTCCTTGTAAGTGAGATAGATCATGTCCCGGTTGTCTTCTTTCACAAACCCATAAAGCACGAGCGTATAGTGAAATTCCGTGGCTTGGATTCGTCGACCGCGTTGTAGGCCTCTGAGAAGACGTCGGGCTGAATTAGTCCGTCCGACAATCACAAAGCACAGCATTAACGCGGCGTATGTCATTTCGTCAAACTCTATACCCGCCTGCTTCATGCGATTATGGATCCGCGACACAGAGTCAAGATCTGCTCTGAATGCGTGAGACCATAGCAAGACATTCCACATCCGAGTGCGTGATCCAGACAGAGCAAATGCTAAGCACGTTTCTGCTACCCGCTCCGCTTCCTCGAGACGCTGGTTACGACAATAAACTTCAACAACCGTGTCCATTATAGCCGTGGGCATTCTGCCTTGCCTTTTCTCTGCCATTCGACAGAGAGCTATTGTATTCTCAATATCGCCCAACTTGGCACACAAACCCATCATTGTCCCATAAGTGTACCAGTCTGGGTTGATACCCTTCCGGTGCATTCGCCGAAATACCTTGAATGCACCATAGTGATTCCGGGCATTGGCATGTGCTGAGATTAGTGCATTCCAACAACTTCGACTCTGATGTACTTTGTATATATGCGGGATCTTATGGAACTCTCTCTCCGCCGCTGGATAGTCACCCAATCGAGCATGAGCATGAAGGAGCGGTAAAACCCACCTCGGAGTCCTTGGCGTCTTGTGGTCAACTCGAGGATTCTTGCTGGAAGTCCCGTAGAGTTCCACCAACTTGTCAAATGTTTCTTGAGTTTTGGAGACCTCGCCAGATCGAGAAAATGCAGAAAGAGCTGTTTTGTATGCTTCTATAGACGGGTTGCCATGAAAGCATGCAAACTCGTCAAGGAGATATTGGACTCCATGATGCGTCTTTATCGAAGCCAAAGACTCCAATAATTGTTGGAGAAGTTGTTTAGATGGTTTGCAGGTGCTCAAATGCCACCTGAAGTTTCGATAAAGAACCAATGCCATGACTTTGGATGGACGTGTTTCAATCCTGAGCGAAGTTGCAATGGCGTAGATATAATGCTCTTGGTTGAGAAAACCCAAGTTAGATGACCTCTGGGTCAAAGATAGTACAGTCTCGACAGCTATTTCCGACATGATCACGTCCGACGTGAACACGACATCAATGAGACGAGATGAGAGTTCCAGATCGCTCGATGTTGCCGAGAGACCCTCAAGAAACTCCAAGAAAGAAGTGACTGAATTAGCCGGGTCACTGACAGAATCTAAGATTGATGGTAATTGAGAAACCTCGATGTGACCTTGGCTCCAAATATATGAAAGGTCTTGCCATCTTGAACACTGAAATGCAATTTTAAGAGCCAGGAACCATGCGTTTATTTCGACGCCCTGTTCAATGGCTTCATCACAGATGATTTCGACTGCAGATAGGTGGCCCGCATTAAGTAGGGACTTGATTATAATTCCATAATCATCTGTAGTGCGCTTCTTCGCATCGATGTTTCGGAGCAAGGTCAAGACTCTTTTGATATCAACTTGTCTATCAGATTTGGAAAGGTTTGCCATGAGATGAGATCTCTTTTTTGGGGTCTGTTCGCCGTTTTTCCAGAGTTTCCACATACGATCGTAGTCTCGGTGAACTCGGTCTCGCGACACTCCGCTAGAAAACCTCTTGCCCCGGTCCGACGTACGATTTAATATTATAGGTGCATGTGTTCGACTCGAGTTTCGGGTGGCATTGACTCCGGAAATCGTAATTCCGGATTGAGAATAAGAGCCTGACACTTGGGAGTAGGCTCTGGCTAAAGTGGTGACGCCGCGTCTTCTTTGAAAATATCCATTGCCTCTTTTCGGTTTCAATATCCGATCAGAGGCGCTCAGAAGGCAACCGTGGGGGTAAAGGAAGTCGAGGAAGAAGTCATGCGTAGACTGGATGGAATTCTCCAGGTTCCGACTTGGCTGACATTTGTTACCCTCAGATTGAAGTATACACTGCCACAGGTGTATATCGGCTTCACAAATTTGATATTTCCAGAATGCAACGTCTAGAGACTTTTTGCTGCGAAAAAAGCCTTTGTACTTGTGCCAAAGGCCTTGTCCGGCAAAGTCGAGATATCCAGCTGCTCGTTCGAGCATTACTCGATTGGACACGTCGGCACAGGGACCGGTTAGAATTGACGAATATGAGAAACGGAAACAAACATTTCGAGAACTGCTGTTTGAAGCAATTGCCAGTAATGTCAGCCAGAAGTAAAATGCAGCCTATCAGAAGCTACGTGAGCTCACCTATGCGCACTATCTATCAACAAGCTGCGAAGTCACAGCCACCGGTTTTGGCGATATGTTTGCCAAAGAGAAATAAAGTAAGGCTAACAAAGCAAAGGTATCTGTTAAAAATGAGGGAAATCGAGATAGAGGCTGTAGTATTTGCGTGCGATGCGTCAAGAAAGTGCTGGACAAAATAATAAATTTAGCATTTGAGCTCCGGATCAGAAGTTCTCTCCGGCTCCGGCTTTTCATTTGCCCGACACACATCAGGAGGTGCTCGTACTTCCCCGCGACTTTTAGCCGTCGTTTCGAACATCGTCACAACACACATTCTTCGACAAAGAGAATGGACATCACCAATCTCTTTTTCTCACGCCGGGAAGAATCTCTCCTCTCTGGAGATTATAATACTTACCGAGCACAAACCTCCCGGCGCTTGCATACAGTGCGTAAGAAGCTTGGACGCACCACGCCAAAAGGTCGAAAGTACAACACTGAGGCTCCCATAACTTCTGAAGATGTCGCATCCAATCCACAGTACGTCGTATCCTATGAGTTATCAGGTTTCAAGTGATTTCCATGACTAAATATCGTCAAGGTCGGCGCATATCCTTATCCTTAACGCAGAGCGAGCGTGGGCCCAGGCAATGCACATGAAGGCAGTTCACTCAGCCGATCCTTCGGCGAAAGGAGTTATCGGGCCAACGCGACGACATATAATCAGCAGATTGAACAAGGCATCCAAATACGCAGAGCGTCTTGTATCTACTCTACAAGACCAGTCTATCTCTAGTGCATCGGATATCGATCTCTTGGAAGCTCGCGCCTATTTAGCCCTGCTGTTGGGTGGTCTGTATATGGAAAAGCAAAATTGGGATCAATGTCTCCAACAATTTAGTCTGGCCAGAATCATATACACAGCCCTCGGCCAGAAAGAGAGAAGGGAAGCATACCGGGACCTCATATCGGCTACGATCGATCCCTCTCTTCGGTATGCCGCATATCAACTCAAATTATCTCGCAATAAGCCTCTGCCTTCGCTCGCGATTGAATATTTTCCGGGAAATAGTGATGTTCGTGCTGAACTTGAGAAAGTTGATCCAAAATGCTTGATTGAAGATGCCGAGGGGACCACGAGACTGGCGGATGGCGAAGTCGAAAAGCTACCCGAGACGATCACCTGGAGCTCACGCGCCGTCCCTATTGAAGACGCATCTATAGCACAGACACTCGCCGCTGCTACCGCTGCTGAATCCAAACTCGCTTCATTCTTATCGGGACGGACCTCAGCATCTCCCAGAGATAAAGCAGCCGCATACGATAACGTCATTCTCGCTAGTCAAGAGATTGTTGATGCCACAAAGACAGCCATTGACGACCTTGTCAATGAGGGGGTTGACAGGGGAGATCGCAGGATGCAGGCATTACAAGTCATTCGAACTGCTGTCAACTATTCTCTTGTTAGCTGGAGAGTGGGCCGGAATAGAGTATTGAGTGGTGACCATGACGGATTATTGCTTGAGAGCGAACACAAAAGAACGGATGCTCGTCGAAAAGCAAGCCGCCAAGAAAGCAGTGGCAGGGCTATATCGCAACTCCGTGAAAAAGTGGCATTGTATGATTCTATTCTGCAAAGCATAGAGTTTGTCCGCGAATTACCGGGTGTGGCAGGTGATTCGGAATTTGTTCAAGAACTCGAAGTGAAACTTCATTACTTCAGAGCACTACGGTAGGTTCTTATCAGTTATCCGTACCTGGCGTCTTCGGCTACTTATGACTTTGATGATAGGTGTCTTGCCATTGGCCGTTCTCATTCATTGCAGGGAAATGCAAAAAACGCCCTTGCTTTGTTCTCCCGCTCTAGTGACCTAGCCACATCCATTCAAAAAAGCGGGAAAGGTGTTGCGACAAATGGAGGTCCCGCCAAGCTAGATGTTTCTCGTGAAGAGATACAATTCCTTGTCACGGTATCTCAGGGACTGGAAGCAAAATACCGTGGCTTGGTCAGTCTGGACAGATTATCCGAAAAGAAGCAGGATCCGTCACGCGTCCAGTTGCCATTATCAGAGAAAATGGATGAATACGCCGTGGACAGCGTCGACCTAAACAACCTGGTTCCTTTCCCACCGAAAATGCGCTCGATTCCCGTTAAACCACTTTTCTTAGATGTGGCATACAACTACGTCCAGTACCCCCGCGAAAAACCTGATGAAGCCGAGGCCGAAAGCACGGGGACTCGTCGTGGGTGGTTTAGCTTTGGACGTTAGGCAATTTAAGAAGATAGTCACTACGGAAATACAACTAGTAGTCGGTGTAGCCTTCCTGTATTTTCTATTCGCCGAATAATCCTAGCAAAATCAACAAGAAACTGTACTGGAACGACTAGACATACGTTGCATAAACCCAACAAGATGGCGAATCCTCTTCGTTCATTTGGATCTAGGGCTAGCGGCACCATGTGATTGGCATAGCCCTTTGCTGCCGCTCGGGAAGTGCAAGACCGAATCAGCCCATGTCAAGATCTGGACGAATATACTCCTCTTGGGGGCTGATACGCTCTATACGAAGAGAACGCCACATAATTTAGCGAGGTAGACTGTCTAGACATGTTCAAGTCTCAGTGAGACCGAATGGGTTCGTATTTCCATAGAAAAGAGATCTATTTAGCCTTTCCCTCAAAGGCTAAGGCATGGCATTCTCGCGCTGTACATAAATATTCGGCCATTCATACAGCACAGCTAAGCCAAGGTGAAAGCTCCTACACAGGACCCCGTACAACTTCGCATAGTAAATGCCAAACAGTTCATAGTCATACTGATAGAGCCAGCGACCATGCCATAGTATGATATAGACGAATGGTCATTGGTCAATGCAGAATCGACGTAACGCGTAATACACGGCTAGCGCGAATGCTTCCTAGCAACGTGTATTATTCCCGTCATGTTACCCCATCTGATACTGCTCGTCCCACCTCGATCTTGGCGCGGTCTCCTTTTCTGCTCCACTCGTGACTTCCCAAGTCCCTGTCTGTACTTGCGACTTGCTCCAGCACCGATATTTCGTGTCAATTGCTCACCTCGTCTGTAGGGACTCGCAGGAATCATGGTTGAATTCAATGGGAGCTTTGCCTCCCCTCTGGCCGACGCCAGCGTCGTGGCTCAACTCGCCGGGCCCTCCGGCGCATTGTATAATTTTCTCAATGGGTTGACCGTCTGGAGTGGCCTTCTCTACTTGTTCCTCGCAGCCGTTGTCTACGATCAAGGTGCGTGATTCTGTTGCTTTCCCGTACATCCGCACATACTGAACGAATACAGTGAAATACATTTATCTCAAAGGCTCAATCGTCGGCCCGGCAATGAAAATCCCCTTCATGGGGCCCTTCCTTGACTCGATGGACCCGAAGTTTCATGAATATCTTGCCAAATGGAACAGCGGCAGTTTGAGCTGTGTATCGGTATTCCACAAGTGAGTTAACTTCGCTTCGTGCTGTTCGGGATCGTCGTTAACACAGAAGAACTGCAGGTTCGTCGTGATCGCATCAACCCGGGATCTCTCTCGCAAAATCTTCAATTCACCGATGTATGTCAAGCCATGTGTTGTCGACGCCGCTCACAAGCTTCTTGGTGCAACAAACTGGGTATTCCTGGATGGCAAGGCCCACGTTGAATTTCGCAAGGGCCTGAATGTTCTTTTTACACGTCATGCTCTTTCGCTTTACCTACCTGGTCAGGATGAGGTTTACGACAAGTATTTCAAGCATTGGGCAGGTGTCTCTGCCTCCAATGACTTGAAGCCCATTCCATTCATGAGCGAATTCCGAGAGTTCATGACTGCCATCTCATGCAAAACGTTTGTCGGAGACTACATGACTGATGATACTGTCAAGAAAATTGCGGATGACTACTATCTAATCACTGCTGCCCTCGAGCTTGTTAATTTCCCCATTATCATTCCCTTTACCAAAACATGGTATGGAAAAAAGGCTTCCGATATGGTGCTGGAGGAATTCCGCAAATGTGCCGTGAAGAGCAAGGCACATATAGCTGCTGGTGGAGAGGTCACTTGTATCATGGATGGCTGGGTCAAGGCTCAACAAGAATCAGCTAAATATCGCGAAAAACTTGCCAAGGGAATACCCGTGGACGACTCAGAAAAGCCTGCATCGGTTCTTCGTGATTTTACGGACTATGAGATCGCTCAGACTGTGTTCACTTTCCTTTTTGCGTCCCAAGATGCTACTAGCGCCGCGTGCACCTGGCTCTTCCAGTTGATGGCCGATCGACCCGATATCCTCGACAAGGTTCGCGAAGAGAATTACAAACTGCGCAATGGTGATCGTAACGCGCCCCTCACCATGGATCTACTGGAAAACATGACCTACACTCGTGCGGTTGTAAAGGAGACTCTACGCTACCGTCCTCCTGTCATCATGGTCCCTTACATTGCGAAGAAGGATTTCCCTATTACGGAGACATATACTGTACCGAAGGGTTCAATGATCATTCCCTCTGTTTATCCCTCTACTCATGATCCCGAGGCTTACGAGGACCCCGACACTTTTAACCCTGATCGTTGGATTACAGGTACTGCTGAAAGTCAATCCAAAAACTGGCTCGTGTTCGGCACTGGTCCTCACTACTGTCTCGGACAGACATATGCTACTCACAACCTTATGGGTCTGATTGGCAAGGCTAGCATGCATCTCAATTGGGAGCATCACCCTACTCCTCAATCAGAGGAGATCAAAGTTTTTGCCACGATTTTCCCTAAGGTATGTCGTCCTTTCTCTCTCCTATTAATCTACAAAAGCCGTGCTAACATACTTAGGATGATTGCCATCTTGTCTTCACCCCACGTGATTAAAGACTTGATAAATCCGGCCATTGTATAGCAAAATTTCAGCATTTATAGTTTATGCCAATGCAGTCAGAAAGTGCAAGTGAAGACGACAGCGGTTTTTGTAACGACTTGCATGACGGATATTTTTTTTTTCTCCAGAGGAGACGAGGCAGTTCTCAAATATGTTTTTAATTTTTCGATGTTCCTTTTCATCAGCATCTGAACCAGCGTCAGCTACTTGTTCAGAGCTATAGACAGCGTGTCTGGATTCCGTATCTTTTGCTTTTGCTTTTTCTCCTCCTGTCTTGCGTTATCAAGCTCAAACGCTGCCATCCTCCGGCCTTGTACGTACGACTATCAAGCAGTTATTGCTTAATGAGCTCATTTTTCTAAGGAAAAAGCACCCAAAGTAGCTTCTATTTCTCACACTCTATATACAATATTGAACATTTTTTTTATTGAAAAGCGTCAGTCAAGACGAGGCCTGGGGACGGGTACAGGCGTATACGGTAGGCGGTGTGCGATGGAGTTCATAGCCTTGCTTCATAAGCACATCGTCATAGTTAACTCGACTCAACCAGTTCCTTAGAGCAAACATCGATTTGCTGCATGCTGACAGAACTCAAATATAATTTTCAATAATCACAAGTATTCAATTCATAGCCGTTTCTTTTTTCTTTCCAATGTCAACAATTTCGATCAGCGTTGTAGCCCGCCGCGGCGCAAGCTCGGCACTTCGAGCGTCATCGAGAAGCATTACATCGCATGTTCATCATACGCATCGAACATGCAGGAACTTTTTGACAACTACATATCAGCCATGCAAAGTATCAGGCACCCCAGTGAACAACTTCCAATCCTGTCAATATCAGCAACGGCGGAAGTACAGTTCTGAAGACCAGCAATTCAAGCAAGTTGAATTTGAAGATGTACGAGATTTATCGCTCTCCAGTCCTTTGTTCTCCATCTCCACTAAATAAATATGATCTGGCTAAACCTTGGAATGTGTATACGCATAGATCAATGCCACACTCACCTCATCCCGCTCCAATACCATCCTCGTCGACGTCCGCGAACCGGCTGAACTCGCTGCGACAGGGATCATCCCCGGCGCCGTTTCAGTCCCTCTTGCCTCACAACCAGATGCCTATTTCTTATCCCCGGACGAATTCGAGACAAGATTTGGATATCCCAAACCTGGCTTTGAGGCAGTAGCTGAGGGGGCTTCGGAGCCCAGCAAAGCCGGAAAAGATATAATCTTCTATTGCAAGGCTGGTGTGAGGGCAGCCGCGGCTGCGCAATTGGCTGCCCAGGCAGGCTATGATCCGAAGAATATAAAGGTGTATCATGGCAGTTGGTTGGATTGGGCAGATAAGAAAGGGAAGGTGGAAAAATGGCAGGGGGGCGAGTAATTGATGCATCCATGAGCAGAGACTATCTCTTAATTATCACTATGCGGTTCAGATGCATGAGTTATCGTACGATGCAGATGCTTTGGCATATGAAGAAAGACAGTGTCCTGCTCCCTGGTTAACTCGATCAGTGCTTGTTGAGTGAAGATCAGAATTTGTCTATATAGTTCATATACCCAGAAAATACTTTAAAGGATATTCACTCGAACCTTACGAATAACCTCGTTAACATATATCACAAATGCTCTGTTTGAAGTGGAATCATATTATATCATAAGAATCACAATCTACATTTTTAAAACATACAAACCTTTTCATCTGTCTGTTCATGTATCATGGAATATCAAAAAGTGGCTTCATCTTCTTGATCAAGCCCCATTCCTCCATCGTGACATCTGGTCTGTAGAATTCCTTTAGTGTATCGATACTCTTTCGTGAAATCTCAGAGTAAAGCGTATCGCTCTCTTCCAATTGTCGTCCATACATGGGTTGGTTTGCTCCTTCAATCTTAACGGCTACTGATGGTTGGCCGCGCTTACAAACCTGGATTGCTTTGTGCTCGCGTTCAATGGAGGCACTAGAGTGAGATTAGCTATGTACTTTCTTTTTGAGCGTTCTCGTATGGCATTGAAACTTACACTCTTCCCAGTTGAACGATTTCTTTCTGTCCAGCTGCGTTCGTCTTGACAGCTGCGATAGGCGTCAACAATTTCAAGCTGCCTTCAATAACATCCACACCGATGACGATGGGGTCCTTCTTGTTGAACACAGCGACCGTCTTAAGAACGCAAGGAAACACTGCGTGCATCTTGGATTCTTCCTTCCTCTGTTCGCTTAGCTCTGCCATGTGCTTAGTGAAGTCATCAAACAGATGGTAAATGATATCTGCGGTGAAAATCTTGACTCCAACTTCATCTGCGTAGGCCTGAGCTTCTTTGTCAACTTTAACGTCGAAGCAGAGCATGACCGCAAATTCTTTGAGACCTTTCTCTAGCATTGTTCCTGCTAGCATAACGTCGCGTTTGAACACAGGTCCAATAGAGATGTTAGACACGGGGATTTTCGAAACTTTGAGGAACTCAAGTAAGGCTTCAAGAGAACCAAGGGTTGATGCTTGGACAGTAACACCGCGCTGGTCCTTGGATACCTTGCTGAGCAAGTTTTCAAGATCAGACATAACTTCTTCCTCCAAGTCTTCTTCATCATCATCAGGACCGACAACAAGTAGACGGGAACCAGCGATAGCATGTTCCAAGTCGTTAGCAGCAATCTTGACACCAAGAGCGGCCTTGACTTCCTTATTGTGGACATATTGCGATTTCAACCGAAGTTCCTTGAGTGGTGCCGGCGTTAACAGTGCTCGAATATTCGTTGATATAGGTCCGTTCAATCCACAGAGCACTACTCGATCACCTTCTCGGAGAATACCGTTTGACAGAACAACATCAATGGTTGTACCGAGACCCTCAATGACCTTGACCTCAAGGACCGTACATTCAACTTCTGAAAGGTACATGAGAGAGTTTGTCATGCGCTCTTGAGTGAGTGTAGTCAAAAGCTTCAACATATCAGGAATACCTTCACCAGTATGCGCTGACGTAGGCACAAGGGAAACATTGCGAGCCATCGACTTATTCTCATAGAAAAGCTCGGAATTGAATCCTTGCTCCGCAAAAGCGAGCTTGGTTTGTTCAAGACGTGTCCTGAATTCATTAACAACACCTTTGTTTTGCATGGCCAGACTTTCCCGGAAGCCATTGTTATCAATCTTCTTCCATCCGTAGAGACGATCAATCTTGTTCAATGCAACAATAAAAGGTGTACGGCGGTCTCGGAGGAGACGCATCGATTCCAAAGTCTGTGGTTCCAACCCGTGCATAATATCCACCACCAAGATAGCAATGTTACACAAAGATGAACCTCTTGAACGTAGATTTGAGAAAGACTCATGACCAGGTGTATCAATGATGAGCAGACCGGGGATCTTAAATTCAAATGACCCATCCGCGTTAACGACAGCAGTCTTTTGCTTCAGGGCATCAACTGGGAAGTAAGTAGCACCAATCTGCTGAGTAATACCTCCAGCTTCACCCTCTTGAACGTTCGTCTGTCGAATCTTATCGAGAAGTTTGGTCTTTCCCGTATCGACGTGACCCAGAATACAACAAATAGGAGAGCGTAGATTATCTTTTGATCGGGCAGCAAGAGCTTCTTCATGCTGCTTTTTGCGTCGCTCTGCGGCCTCTGCTTTCCTCTGGGCAATGGCTTTCTGAGCGGCAGAGGACTCTTCGTCCTCTTCCTCTGAAGAACTGTCCTCCTCTGACTCATCCTCAGAATCCTCTTCGGCAGCAGCTCCGTTAACCTTGGCAGACTCTTGCTCTTTTGCGACTTGTTTGTTGTCTTGTACTTCCACGTCTGACTCGGCGTCCCAGCTGTCCTTCACATCATCTGCGGCGTCAGCAGCTGCCTCCCAGTCATCCACGTCGCTTTCTTCTTTAGCAGCAGCAGCGCTAGCTTCCGCTTCTGCCAAAGCCTTTGCCTCTTCTTCCTTTCTACGCTTCTCATCTTCAGCTTCACGCTGTGCCTGCGCTCTGGCGGCAGCCGCCTCGAGGTCCACCTCATCCTTCTTCGCGGCCTTCTTCTTGCGGTTCGTCACAACCGTCTTCTTCTTTTCAGATGGCTCGGTTTTCTTTTCATCCAGACCAGCAACATGGCCTACACCGGCAGCCAACATTTGTTTCATGCGCAGCTCATTACGCTCTTTGGCCTCTTTCTGGGCCTTGGTGAGAAGTTTGCCCTCTTTTCTAAGTTGTTCTTTCTTCTCTTTCTCCTTCTCCTTTTTACGTTGGCGCGCTTCTTCTCTCTTCTTCTCTTCTTCTTCAAGTCGGCGCAGGCGCTCAGCCTCTGCAGCTTGCTCCTCGGCTATACGGCGCTCTTCTTCCTCTTGGGCTTTCCTCAGGGCTTCTTGTTGTTTTTGGATAGCAGCCAAGTGTGCAGGTACCTTCTTTTTCTTTCCTGCAGGCTCGGCTTTGGCAGCTGGAGCGGGAGTTGGCTCAGCCTTGGCTTCAGCAGCTGGTTCTGCCTTGGGAGGAGCAGAGGGCGCAGCGGGTCCGGCGGCCTTTTTCTTTGCGGCCTAGAAAGGAAAAAAGAACATAAGATGTTAGAAACGAGTTTCTTTGCACTGTAGATATCGGAGTAAACTTATAACTCCTTGAAAAGGGGATTACTAACCTGCTCCTTCTTCCTCTGCTTCTCACGCTCCTTTTTCTCCTTCTCTTTTTCCTTTTTAGACTTTACTTTGCCACCCTCTTCTGCTTCTTCCTTGGCCTCAATCTTTGGAGCTGCCTGAGCAGGCTTGCCCTTCTTAGGCTTTCCAGAAAAAACATCATCTTCGTCATCGAAAGTGCCTTCCTGGGGTGCTTTGCTGGCAAGATCGACTTCGGCATCACCGTTTGCGTCCACCTGTGTAGGATCTTCACCGTCGACGAAGTCGTTTTGAACCGCCTTGCCCTTTTTAGCCTTCTTTGATCGGTTCTTCTTCAGGGCAGCCAGAAGACCTCCTCCCATCTCGTCGTCGCCGCCGCCGTTGGCTTCGGCATCGCCATTTGCTTCGGCCGGTGCATCGTTCGGAGCAGGAGCAGATTCCCCTAACTCAGCTTCCCAGTCTTCCTCCTGTCTCTTATTTCCCTTCTTCTTAGGCGCCATGGTGGCCTTTAGTATCGACTAATTTACTCAAGAGGACCGAATTCGAAACTGTCTCTAGTGAAGAAAAGCATCCGCCGAAAGCACTGTACGGGAGCTCGCGAGGGACGAGGTAAAAAAGGTTCCGTGTACAGATAGAAATAATCTCCAGATAACGTCCCAAAATATATGCAATAAAATAGGACTCTTGTCTGAAGGTGCCGCGTACGAATGTGTGGTGGCGTTCAAACAGGTTTTGATAGCGGAAGCGCTTAGTATCGATAAACTAATATTGGAGATAGTGTGTGCGAACCGATTCAAGGGCGGTTGCCGAGTGTTACGACAGGATGCTGTAAATGAAAGGACTTTCCTAAGCGCGTCCGACAGCGAGCCAGTACTAAGAGTACTATTGCAAGGAATGAACAATGAATTTGGTGTTGACTCGGAGGGGCGAGAATTTTGGATTTTGCGGGTGGGGGGGGAAAGAAAGGCATTGATTGATTGCCTGAGGCTAGTAAGTAACCTTGAAAGCCGCCTCGGTTGTACCGAACAAAAACAAGACTCTCTACATTTGCAGCAGTTTACCTCTATTTCCTTCCTAGAATCCGTTGGAGAGAGCACTCAGGAAAGGACCGGTGCCATAGAATTATCAAGTTCTAGACAGATTGACTTATCAATATGAATCCATTTTTCAAACACTGCATAAATACATTGCTTTTTGTCACGTCATGCTGCGCCTGTGTACATTCAGAAAACACCAACCATGACTACAGTTTTGTAGGTACAGAGCCCGATGCTCTCAAGCTTCTGCGGCTGCATTGAGCTTATGCTTGGAACCCGGCAAGAAGGAGTCATCGGAGGCTGTGGAGGACATTGATACTGTAGAGTCCCGTTTTGAAATCTGAGGAGATAGAGGCGATAGGCCTCGTGAACTCGATGGTCTCATACTCTTTTTGCGCTTATGAATTGGTGCCTCTGCTGGCGTTGTTGCACCACTCGCCACACCACTCTCGGGGGTTGAGCTACGAGACAAACCCCGATTATGGAGAGACTGCGAGTTAGAGCGTGTATTACGGCGAGGCCGTCCTTCGTGTATCTTCGCAATGCTTGACATCTGCCGGTGGTGTTGCTGCTCTGCCCTGTTTCTTCGCGGACGTGACCACCTGAAGGGCAGCCACCACAGCCAGCCGCCTTCTTGACGGGCTCGCTGCCGTTCGCGATCCTGAACTTTACGACGAAGTTGCGTGCGTCTCTCGTTTTCCTTTTCCCAATAATCTGCACGGTATTCGTCCCAGTTCTCGCGAAACTCGGGAGAAAAGGCTTTGGGCAAAAGCAACAGGCGAATGTAGTCCCCCCCGGGAGCCAAATCCTCTTCGATATAACCCGAGTCACTGTCACTATCGTGCACGGAGTATAGATGTCTGCTGCCACGTCTCTCGGATGAAGGCAGCTCCACGTACTGGAAGTTCTTTGACGACTGAAATAGCGAGGAGTATGGGAAAATAAAAGAGAGCAATGACAAAAGCTCTTTCCACCACGGACCGCGGATTAAAACTATTTTGGTGTTCATGCCTCGTAAGCCTCGATTTGCGACGGCGAACCAGCGCCGTGGCCATCGCATTCCCCGTTCCCATTGCCCGGTCCCCCAGACCAGAATACCGGTGACAATGCCGCCCATGAAGGCCACTTTCTCTCCCGTCTCCACCATCCAATATATTGAGCCTCCAACACCGCTACCATCCTCTCGAGGCCGCATAAATAACGCATAGAAAAAATAAGCAATCCATAACGTCAGGAGCAGGAGAAAGAAGGTATTCTGACGGCGACGCTCTCGCAATGCAAGATATTGTGCACGCAACGAGCTTTCGAGTATGAGCAGGTTCAAGTATATCTGCGGCGGCGAGGAGGGCAAGGTAGAGAGCGGGTCTGGGGTTGTCGGCCGTGAATCAGGCGCGCCCTGGAGAAAGGACTTGGGCAAAGGCGCAGGGGAGTCATCGAATGGCACATGTGCATCTGGCGCCGGTGCTCCCTTCACCAACTGGTCTAGACGAGAAGCCATGTTCGCGAGACTCGAGAGCCGGTCGGGTACCTGAACAATGAAGACTATCGCTGTCGGGCTGCAGTCGAGTGCCGACCCGTTGGTGGAGATGCCTGGACCATCTATCGCATTCGGACACAATCGATGCTTCGGAGAATATGCAGTCTGCAAGGCCGGGGTTGAGATGCGTGGTAACTTGTCAGTCCGTTCGGCTATGAAGCTCCGCCTGGCAGTGCCGGAAAGAAATGAGGGAGCGATACGATAGGATAGTATGACACGCCATGGATGCCTTAGCCCGCAGGCCGCGAACTCAGGCCGCACCGGAATAACGAACAGGAGGCTAAGTCCGGGCTAAGTCCGCCGCTTCACACTAAACGGTGGTGCCTGCCGCACGTGCGAACTACGCTTCTCAAGCCTCACGCTGTTCAGAACGACGTCGCGCCGCTGCTCGTGTGGCTTCTTTCGTCCGTATCATCCATCAGTCCTCAGTGTCAGAGCTGCCACTACGCTCGATCAAAGTCCCGTGCTCACGGCCTCTTACTTTCGCCACCAACGAACGTATATAAGAGTCGTTACCACCTATCCAAGGCGCGGTCCATGTGTTAGGAGAGTGGCAGGACGAATCCTGTCATTCGTGTCTGTCCAAGAGTCAAAGTGTATCCACAGCTGCTTTGTCCGCCGCCAGTCTTTCGGCCACGCAAAGCAGGAGAAGCCACTTCGGCTATTATACGGTCCTTGACTTCCTCTCGATACTTCTGTGTTGGCGCCGCACGGCGTACCACTCAATACTCCCTCGCAATGCCGTCGGTCGAAGCTGTCAATCAGAGTGATGATGGCCTGCACCGTCATACTTCGCCGGATGCGCTGGACTCGCAGTCCAAACTACCCCATTCGGTGACGCATGGCATGAGATCGGCATCAAACTCTTGGTTTCCGATGGGCATGAGAGAAGGCTGGAGTCAATGGGTAAGATTCATTTGCACCGTTGGAACTACGGAGCTAATCAATATCCATCTATCAGTGGCGAAAGGCGCCCGCTGCAGCGGCAGAGCACAAAGTCCTTTCATGCATTCCCTACCTCCGAGAGGCCCCTACTCAGCGACAAACAGGCAATGCTGCGAGCGCTCCCAATTCTCCCACTGCGACCGACAGTTTGCAGACAGCCGATCCTACTCAATCCGGCGATGAGGCTATAAACTCCAACGATGACCCATACGGGCCTCGTCGCTGGCGCTCACGGATGGTTGAGCTAAGCGGCAAGAATCGGGCCCTTAACGAGTTCTCTGTTGAACGTCTGAATGAGACAGTCGATCAAAACCTTGTGATTCTGCACGGGTATGGTGCTGGCCTTGGTTTCTTCTACAAAAATTTCGAGCCATTGAGTCGCGCGAAAGGTTGGCAGCTTTATGCGTTGGATATGCTGGGTATGGGCCGCAGCACACGGCCGCCGTTCAAGATCAAGGCGACTGATCGCCAAGAAGCTATTACTGAGGCGGAGAATTGGTTCATTGACGCGCTGGAGGAATGGCGAGTGAAACGCAAGATTGATCGTTTCACGCTAATGGGCCATAGTATGGGAGGTTACCTAGCTACCGCATACGCTCTTAAATACCCTGGTCGCCTGAACAAGCTGATTCTCGTTTCGCCGGTGGGGGTTCCGGAGAACCCATATGCCGTTAATGAGGCGATGCCGGCGCCCTCCGAGTCCACTACGGGGGGAAATGATAACGGTAGTTCTCTAAATGGACGTCAGCCAGATTCAGCCGGTCCTCCACGCCCCCGCTTAGGGCGCTTCATTACTTACCTCTGGGATGCTAATGTCTCCCCCTTCAGCTTCATCCGCTGGTCTGGTCCTCTCGGCCCACGACTAGTTTCAGGCTGGACTTCTCGACGATTCGCACATCTACCGGCCGACGAAGCAGCAGCTCTACATGACTACACATACTCTATCTTTCGACTTCGGGGCAGTGGCGAGTATGCGCTCACATACCTACTGGCACCTGGAGCATTTGCACGAAGCCCCCTAATTAACCGAATTCAAGGCTTAGGCCGACAGGTCATCCGGCCCAATTCGCCCGCAGCAATGCCACATTCATCATCCAACTCAACTCCAGGCATACCTACGCCATCCGCGGGCTTACCAAACGAGGCTCGTTCCCAAAATGAAAACGGCATGCCTGTCGTTTTTATGTATGGTGACCACGACTGGATGGATGTCGCTGGTGGTTTCGCGGCGAAAGAAAAGCTGGACGAGGCAAAACGTCAAGCACTAAAGAACGCCACCGCCGAACAACGCCAGGCGGATAATGGCTCTGCCAAAGTTATCATCATCAAGAACGCAGGCCACCATCTTTATTTAGAAGGAGATAAAGAGTTTAATAAGATTGTCCTAGAGGAGATGGAGGATGTGCGACGAAGAGAGGCGAAACGTCAATCATAGAGTACAATTTCCTTATATCCAGTACAAACTAGTTAGGTCTAAACGACATCATTAACGCCAGCGCATCCTCCCTTTTGTTTGATCGAATGTCAGCACTCTGTTGTCTGGCAGAAATAGGAGTTGGAAAAGCAATTCCCATGGTTTTCTTGGAGTACAGAACATATATTAGCACATAGACTTTTTTTTTTTCCCTTCACTTCTCTTTTCGGAAATATTCATGTTTAAGAGCGATTTTCAATTCAATAGATATGCACTTAAATATCACACTAATACGTTTTACATCGTCACATCATTACATTAATATATACATATAACATATATAACAACCTGTTTTCACCTTATCATATAACTAAATGGTCACGCAATGAAGAGTATCAGCTCAACCCTAAACCAGTCAGGGACATAGCCTTCGCAGCCGCCGCCGAAGAACTGCCCGAGCTTCTCCTTCGTCGATTTGTCAAACTCGGATAATGCACCATTTTATAGTCCGCGCCAAAACTTGTGGGTGTCATGAGAAAGGGGGCATCATGCGAAGATAAGGGGTTTGCTACTGATGACGACGGTAGGAGGGGGGCATGAGAGGTAGATGGTCGAGGGAAAGAGGAAAAAGGCAACGACTCTAGTCCGGCGCTGGATCTGGATGTTTGGAGCTGTGTACTGGATCTTGTTTGTTCTGTTGAGGGAGGAGAATCTGAAATGGAACTCGATATCGAGTATAATGGCGTTGTGACTGAGCGTCTGTGAAGCCTTGGTCGTTGTTGCTGTTGATGGCGATGATCAACTGATTCCACTGTAGCTATAACTGGCGAGGCATTCGCTGATGCGAGGTTTAAATGTTTTGAAGGAAGCTCCAGGCGTTTATTGATTGATACCCAGGCCTGGTCATCATTGTTCAGCTCCTCCTCGCTACTATTATAGCCGACGGATGAAGCCGACGGTGCCCGATACTTTTTCCGTGAGGTTAAAGGCGTTCGCCAGCCACCGACGCCCTCAAAGTCGCGCTCAGCGTTACCAGATATAAAGCTGGATATCACTTCATGCGAGGGCACTCCAGCAGGGCCATGCTGCTTCGTATTGTCAGTATGATTGTATCCACCAGGACAATTTCTATTACAACGAGCTGAAACCAACCGGATGATTGTTGTGAAAAAAGTAGTCTTCGACAACGACTTCTTTCGCATGCCAGGATTTGGTAGTACTTGACTGCTGTGCATTGGCTTGGTAATAGTGGTGAGGGTGTTTCGACGTCCTTGAAGGCGATCGATCAACGGCCGGCGTGGTTGCTCCAGAAAGAGCGAGAAATGATGCAGACGCAGGGGAATGGGCTGGGAACAAGAAGAAATTGGCCAATAACGCAAGACTCAGTTCGAAATACACAGCCAGTGCGCGCAGAAACAGCGTTGTGAGGGCTAAAAACGCCGTGATCGATGCGGACAGGGCCAGGGGTATCGATATTACGAGGAGGAATGGTAGAACGAAGAGGTTTGACAACGCTGACCACATCATTTGTTCTCCGGAGCAGATCTATATCTGGTGCAATTCGTATTTGGACGATACCCAGGTATGATGGGAAATCTGATCACATCATGGCTCAACGTAGAATATCCTCGCTTTGTCCCCGTCATACTATACATAAAGCGGGGGTTCTCGGCTGCCAGAGGGATGTACGCTCGGATCGTGGGGGCAGGCAGACTCTTCCAAGGATGAGACTTGACAGGGGTATGCAAGCAAGCATGCAGATGGTGGCATGGAAGGATGAGACTTCAAACTGGCGATGGCCGTTGCGTTGGCTTGCGTGACATGTGACACTGCTGCATGCGGGGGCCAATTCTTGTTTCTGGTAATTACAGTACCGTCAGTTACCTTTTACCAAGCAGTGTCTTAAGCATACAGGTGTATTCAATGTAACTGAGTCGTAATCTCACGTTTCATCGACATGAAGACATTGAAGTGACGGCTGACTCCGTACCTCGTGTGTCGTTAGAGGTTCTATACTGTATGCGAGGCAGGGGTCCTGGAGAAAGATTTACTTTAGGTCCCAAAATGACTATCTTGTATAGAAAGGGCACCTTTATATGTTGAAAATTCAGAGGTCTGTATATCCCGTATAATATTATACCTGGATAGAGGGAGAGGAGTGTGGATTAACTGGTGGACACACTTCCAAAGGTTGGGTTGGCCATGTAAAAAATCCAAGTGGACGACATCGCAAGCTTATTTTAACATCAACCCGAACAGCACAACGCGGTATGCAAAGAAACGTGTACAACACACAAAATGCCAGAGACCAGCATAGAAAATGAAGCACCCAAAGAGCAGCCTCGCTTGCCATGGGAAATAGGCGTCTTCGATGCTCACTGTCACCCCACCGACACCATGACATCAATATCAGACATCCCGCACATGCAGGCCATGGCCCTGACGATAATGTCTACGCGCGGAGAGGACCAGGAACTGGTGGATGAAGTTGCGCAGCGACTTGGAGACTATCAAAACATTGCCGACAAAGGTAGCAATGGCAAAATCGTGCCATGTTTTGGCTGGCACCCATGGTTTGCGCACCAAATCAGTGTTTTGAACGACGACACGCCAACACCGGATGAAGAAGCGACAGAAGCAGCAAGAAAAATACAACACTATCAAAGGGTGCTTACGGGATTAACGGAGAGTGGACGCGATGAGAGTAATGACAATGCGTTCTTCGAGACATTACCAACTCCAAAACCGCTCTCGACACTACTCGCCGAAACTAGAAAGCGCCTCCTAGCGCATCCCAATGCCCTCGTAGGCGAGATCGGGCTCGACAGGGCCTTCCGACTGCCCATGCCGTGGCAGGAAGAAGAACTTGAAGTGCGTAATGCAGAACTCACGCCCGGCTCGCGGGAAGGACGGAGTCTCTCGCCATACAAAGTAGCAATTGCGCATCAAAAGGCCTTGCTTAAGGCTCAACTGCAGCTTGCAGGTCAGCTGCGACGCGCTGTTTCCGTGCACAGTGTTCAAGCTCACGGGGCTGTTTTTGACGTTTTGCAGGAACTATGGAAGGGTCATGAGCGTACGAAAGAAACTAAGCGTCAGCGAAAGGCACGAGCCCGCGATGAACGTGATGAGTTCCTAGCCAATGAAGACGATCACAAGGAGAAGGAGGAGGGAAAGGGAAAAGAACAACATAAAGCGCATGGTCAGCAGCAAAAAATCGAGTCTCGCGGAGAAAAAGAAGAAGGTGATGCAACGAAGTTTCCTCTTCCATACCCACCCCGGATCTGCATGCACTCATATTCCGGGACAGCAGAAGCTCTAAAACAGTTTCTTCTGCCTAAAGTGCCGTCGGATGTTTACTTCTCCTTTTCGACTGCCATTAACTTCACCGGTCCTTCTCCAGAAAAGGTGCTGGCAGCCTTGCAAGCATTGCCAGATGATCGTATCCTTGTTGAGAGCGATCTGCATTGTGCCGGGGAACAAATGGATGGTTTACTCGAGGAGGTTGTCAGGACGGTGTGCCGTGAGAGAGGTTGGTCTCTCGAGGATGGGACACGGAAGTTGGCTGAGAATTGGAAACGATTTGTTTTTGGATGACCATGTCTATACTTCTTGCAATGGGAGGCCTTTTCTTTTTACTTTTCTTTTCTTTTCCTTTTTTTTTTTTTTTTTGTTTTTTGAAGTTTCTCGGTCTCAGAGTTCCAATTATCCTGAAAACTAACAAAAGGTCCACCAGTGGCAGCTGATGATTTTCAGTTAAACCACTAGTAAACAGCATATGTTACGGTTTGTATAAGGAAGAGCGATGATTGAGAGAAAGAGGCATGTTAGTTTCTAAGGGTTATTATTCTCACCTATGATAGAGTGACCATACACAGGTTACTTCAACATGTTGTTATAACCCCTTATAAAACAATAAAAAACAAACTTCTGCACGTATAGACTAATAGGTGGTATATATCTAACGCATTCGACCTAACCTGAAGGACCAGCCTTCGCCAAAGTTCGAGAGTCATGACTTATGTAGATTCAAAAGATTGTTTGTTCAAAGATAGTTGCTCAGAACCTCGACGCGAGTTTTGGCTGATTGATCACCTGTTTGTGCCCGCACCTTAAGGAGATCAAGCATACGGTGCACATCGTCCCGCGCCCGTCCCCAACAATCCGGAACCGAACCGCGCCTATTCTGATTCGGACTCTTCGAAGAACTCGAGATACTAGTCGTATCCGAGTTGCTTCTGCTCCGAGCAACATCGTGCTTTTTCAGCAGGTCTGCTACGGTGATCTGCAGATCAAGTATCAGTACATATCTGGCGGTTCCAAAAGAAACAGGAGTAGAAAGTACCGAGACTGAAAATGCCCGATGGCAAAAAGCCCACCAGACACTGCTCTCCCCGCCAAGGACAGCATGGATCACAAAAAAGGCTCGCATTGACTGATACGCAGCGTCCAAAGTCCCGCGTATCCAAACGTCGACGTTACCTGCTGGACTCTTCTCAACTTCAGATGTTGATGATGATGATGGTGGTGGTGTGAAAGAGAAGTCTTCCAGTCCCTCGCTGTGAATTAGTGTCATGCAGTGCCAATAGAGTCCTGTGAGAAACATGATTTGCCGGATAAGACGTTTCTTCCCTTGCCGAGCCTTTTCCGCAATGCAATCCTCGTCCCAGGCGCGAAATGCATCTGGAAAGGAGCGATAGCATGCCCGAAAACGTGCCAGGAGCATATTTCTTTGTCGCGGAGTAGACGCCATGGGCAGAGACAATGACCGTGGTGTTGATATGGTTTCTTGAGCAAGCAGCGCAAGCGAGTACATGCTTTGAACATAGCCGATATCTGAATGAGAAGGGTCATGACAAAGGTCTTCACTAGCAGATTCGAGGTTTGCGTCTGTATAGAAAGTCTCGTCATTATCTAGCATTGGAACGGCGTTATCGACATCAAAGTGAATCGCCGTCGGTGGTAGCCGGAGGCTCATGCTCATGAAACTGTCTTGGCAAACAATTCCATGCCATAACCGCCGACGCTCTAAGCGCTCGAATTTGGTGAATTTGGGGCTGATTAGCATCGGTTCGCGGTTTATCCCACCGGCATAGGCTTGTCGGATGAGGGTTCCGGAAAAAGCCCAGCCATCAGAGGCTCGCCCCGAATTCAATAAAAAATAGGTCATGAAGACCATAGATTGAAGGCATCTGACTGATGTGCGATTCAGATATGAGAATAGCCGAAGACTCTGGTAGCAAGCACTCGAGTAAAATTCGGCAGCGTCTTTGACTTGGCCCGTTGGATCAGGGCCCTGGAGAAACTGAGTTCCCATCGCAAGTATCATAAAGACAAGTGCAATAAAATCAATATCCACTTCTAATCTTTTCGAGTCGTTCAATTCCCAGAAGCCCTCGTAGTCTATATAAAATCTCTCTCGGCTAATCATTGGGTAGACGGGGTCGACGGCTTCGAAAAAGATGTCCACGAGACTTGAGAAATTCAACGTTAGATATGACATATTATACTGCAGCACATGAAATATCTAACTCAGACATACATATCGGCTTGCTTTTTGTTCGGAAAACAGTTCAGCACTTCAGACACACCGCCGTTCTGAGTCCAGTAGTTGCTAAAGGGGTATCTTTGCGGAGGAAAATCAGCGGGCGACACATGCAAGGAAGAATGAAACCCATAATAACGGAACCGTACTCTGCACCAATGCCGAATATACTGCTGACCCTTGTTTCAGAATATGGAGCATGGCTGAGGAGAAGATCAGTGCCTCCTTTATGCGTGAACAGGGCCGGTTTGGACCCGTTTGAGGAGGCTGGAGATCCATCCTACAAAGCAGAGTCAGTTTTAAAATAACAAATCTCAATTTGAGGCGGTGCAACGACCACTAACTTGATCACTCAGAGATTGGCTCTGCCTCGAAGCTCTCGGTGGGTATATCCGACGGGTTGAAGGTTGGCGATTATCCCTGGAATGATATTGTCATCCGGTCAGCAAGATGCAGTCATGAATGAGGGAGGTATCGGTATACAGACTCGACGGCTTCAGCCTTGATCCTATACACGCATTCAGTGCCTCTTCGGATACAGGACAGACAGCTTTATATTCGTGGGAGCAGGGCGGCGGTGACCAGTTAGTTGAAAGTTGCTAATAAGGCATATAGAGGATACTTCTACTCACTGCGGCCGACCCCGATCGCACTGAAAGCCATAACATGAGTCAGCAAAAGGATCGATGCCATCATGGAAATAGGGTGTACAAGTATTAGAGTTAATCCGGGAGCAGATCCCGAAGCCTCCCGAGGAACGAATCGTAGTCTGGAGAAGTGGAGCTGGACCCTGACGCCAGATCGACAAGAAATATGTAATAACTCATCACGAAAGTGCGCTTTGACAATTGACATATAGAAGATAATGATATGCTATAGTATATATGCCAGCCTGGCAGTGGGGGGTGGCGCGGAGGGCGGCTGATACATCACATACGCAGCTCGACATCCACCGTGATGAAAAGCCAAGAGAGAGGTAGACTAGAAAAGGAACACAGACTTGCCTTCATCTTCTTGTCCACGCATTCCTTGCAGCTGAGGGTGGGCTTGTTGCGCTTGCGCTTCTTCGAGTCGGGAGCATCGTCGTCCTCGCCGCCGCCATCACCGAGGGGCTCCTGCTTGATCTTGGTGGCAGGAAGGGACGATTTCAAGCCTGAAGGCGGATGAAGTCGGTACCACTCCGAGTGCTGCTGGGGTTGGTGCGACAGGGAAGCCGGCGATGGATTGGTATAATTGTTGTTGGAAGAAGACGGTAACTCGCCGCCGTCAATCTGCAAGCTCCGAGTGAGGTCGCCCAGCGCAAAAGAGGACAAGCCACCACCGCCTGCCATAATCGGCGGGAGTAATATATTGTGTTTTATTGTCTGCTCGTTCCACTCGCTTTGTTTCGTATGTATCAGACGTTATGACTAGCTTCAGCTGTGGGTTGGTGTGTTCATGGGACGAGTCAGCAGGCGGGGGGGTGCGCGCTGGAAACAACCCGGGGATAAAAGAGCAAAGCCAGCAGTCGAATCACATCCCCGGCGGGTGTAGTTAGCAGGCGAGCAGCTAGTTACAGGGGTCTTTGTCTAGCGTCCTCCGGCGCCCCCGCCGCCGCCGCCGTGAAGCCATCGCGAGTATCGGACATGCCACCGTCTACGCAATCGCTTATTACCTAGGTAATTAAGCTGTCAAGCCCGCATGCAGCCTATGTATGTATGTATGTATGTATGTACGTAGGTACGTACGTATAACGTATATTGGCCATACCCTGCCTGCCTTTTCATGCCGTTGTTACGCGACATGCGATATACTCCGAAGCGGCGCTAGCAGCCAGGCTAACTGATTACATGATTTTGTGCTTGTTGTCGTTGTTGCTATAAGATCTATCGACCGGTTATTCATTGCAGCCAAACACTCTCCTGCAACAGATCTGACATCTGCGGCTCCCAGTATAGTTGTCGCCATTCGTCCTCTATGTCGGGCCATCCTCCTATAGCCATAGGCATGGGCTGTTCTAGCCCAGCAAATGGGAACAATTGTTTCCAATCCAGGTATTCACGCGGCGGTTCCAGGTTATCCCCTTGCTGAGCAGTCGGTGTGGTGTTTGTTTCGTCGATAAGGTTTCCGCCATACCGGAATTCCTCAATTTGTCGAACCGGGTTGCTACTGCGAGGATGCAGATCGCTTGAAGCCTTCGCTGATTCGTCCATAATTCCAGTAGCACCCAGGACGTGTGGCGGTGAATTGACTGGCACCCCAACAGAAACGCCTGTAGGGCCAGAGGTCATTTCAACAGCCGGGTTGTTGTTCAGCCCTGGCACCTCTTCGTGCACAAGGCGGAGATCCTGCTGCAGCCTTTTTGAATTTTCGAAAAGGCGAAGAATCGTTTCAGCACTCGACCAGTAGTCGGCCAAGCAGCGTAGCGAATAGAGCGTAGAATCAAACCGCCGTAGAGCATTGATCGCTAGTACAGGATTTGAAAATCGCAATTCAACTCGCACCTGAATCATTGCCGTAAAGAGTGTGAACACGCCAGAGCACCAAAGATATTTGATGTCGTTCTTTTGCCGTAATTCGTCGAAGATAGAAGTGATGACGCTGGCCGCTGCGCTGCAGATTTCAGCGTCGTGCGGACCATAATCTTCGGAATAAGCAGATGCCTTAGGGTGAGGTCGATGAAGGAGTATTAGGAAATTATTATAAGTGAGGTGGAGCATTGCGGACCATGAGTCCATCGAGGCGCGGAGTCGTAGTGAGTCCGGCAAACTCAGCGACCAGTTCGCCAATGCTTTGTCGGCCTCAGGTAGTATAGCTTTCCGGCGTTCCACGCTAACCCTCAGGCCAAATCGTTCGCGAATTATGTATGAAATCATCGAACAAAGCTCAGCAAAGTGTATTACAAAGTCCGCTTGTACGCGTGGACCACAGCCGATGAAATCTGCCGTCGTCAAAGGACGTACATCGCTATCCTCCAAGTTACTAGAAGATACGACGTCAGCAGATCCGAGCCTATACAATGCCGTGTGAAGCCCAAAAAAAAGAGAAAAGAAAAGAAAAGAAAAAGAAAGACGAGAGCGGACTTACATTGCTTGAGGCCGGCCGTAGGATAGCGATATTAACACGTCGTATTGAACAAGAATCCACCAGACACGTCGCCACATACGGCGGTCGCCAGCAGCAAATTTATTCGACACAGGATCGCGATGCATTCCGAGACCTGTAGCTATTCGAGCTGCTACTCCGACCCAATAGTGAGCATTTGCAGAAACATCGTCGTCGATTGCGTCGGAGTGCCATGTCAACAGCAACGCCGCCTGAACGAGTATGTCTCGATTTCGTTCGATTCTATTGTCAAAGAGCCACTTGCACCGGCGATACAGTACATTCTTGAGCTCCTCTCTTTCTGGCTTTTCACGGGAGACATGGACACCAATCAATAGAATTGCTTGAAGGAGCAAGATCGGCGGCGGGTCGGAAGGGTCTCGATTGCGGTACTGAGTCATAAATTGCTCTTCATCGACGACCGGATAACCTGGATTGACGTGGATAAAGTAGGCGTTGACAAGCTCATCGGCTAAATACTGTTCTGGTAGAGTCAAGGCGTCCTGCAATAACTGATCGTGGCCGATTTCGAGACGGCGTCGTGGAATCTCGTTGCCAGCGAAGTGGTATGACCCTTCGTCGCCTCGTTGCTGACGGAGAAGAAAGGACATATTAGAGACATCGTGGCCAACATAAATCGCACGAACACCGCGCTGGATTTCACGAGAGTCGGGTTCTTGATCGTCAATTAGGGTGACTAGACGGTTCTCCATCTCTCGTCGATCCTCGTGTGGTTGAGCGGGACGGTTCTGGAGACCCAGTCCTTGTGCACGCAGGGCATCGGTACCACCGCTCGTTTCTGGAGACCGCTTGACTCCATGAACGACATCCTTACGTGGCGTGGTGTGCAGATCATTGGGCGACTTTGACAATCCAAATTCTGAGGAGGGTCCCTGGGAGCGCGAGGATGCAAGTGCCACAGGAGACGGCCGACTACGGATGGGGACTGGGTTCAAGACTGAGCGGACTGCAGGGCGTTTCTTCTTCTCGTGTATGCGGCAATCAGATTTTCCAGACGAACGACAGTTGGAGCAAGGAAATCCCACAGCCTGTGCATCACACCTTACTTTTCGACGATGACAGTGCACGCAAGCCGCACCTTGAAGCACAGAAAGAAACGTAAGCACAAATGTCGCAACGAAGAAAAGGAACAGCGGGATAATACCTGGTTTTCTTTTCGTTACGCCATGACCGAAGGATGATCGAATATCAGTTTCAGCCGAAGCCATTGATCAAAATATGCGTAGAGCTGCATTGACTTTTGAGCGTTCTTTCCGGCGGGTGCAACACATCGAAACGCAGCCAGTCGTCGTCAATCACATAAATCTTCCAATCAATCAAAGTATGTCCATTCCGGCGTTTGGTGCGATATCAGGTCTGAAAGTGCGTGGAAAGTGCAGCGCAGCATGGCTGAGCAGGAAGCATGCAGGTAATTAATGGTCGGGGGTTCTAACAGAGCGACGGAGCGCATTCGCGCACTCCGAACAACTCGATTGGTAAGGTGGGGCAGCCCACGATGCCTCAGGTTGGGAGTTCAAGTTTGCGCCGTCAGGACAGGCTCCAATTGGCTGATGGATAGCCATCTGACCAATAGCATTCGCCCGCATTGTATTATCGCGGCCCGCTTGAGCCCGCACGTGACCATATCTATGCTATAAACAAACCTATTTGTAGGCACAAAATGAAAAGAATATTCAAAGCAATAGCAAAGAAAGAGCAATAATCATATAACCGTCCTGTTATCCCATGTCCCAAAAATACCATAAGCGCCTGCTTTGGGTATGGCGTTCTTTTTTTTCTTTTCACTCTAGTCAGTTTCGCCGCACCGAAAGCAATTTTTCCAACAACATTCAAACCGCCGGTGGAAAATCAGTTCAGAAAAAGATGTGTTTGTGTACATGGGTACGACAGTTATGCGCGCAGAGGTCGCCATTGTAGCATAATCTCACTGTTCTCGGGGGCCAAATAGAACGCCTTTGTTGTCTGTCGATTGTACATGAGAGTAGAAGATTCGATTTAAAACCACAAGCGTCCGTGCTATCCCAGTGCTAAATCATAAAGAGAACGTGGGGAAAAAAAATACAAGCAGCATCAGGGTATTGCATACGGCGACGCATATCCCGTGCTTGATCGGATATTAATGGAATTCGGCTCCAGCGCCATTGTGGCCTTGACCGACCATGGTTCCATAGCCATAGCTAGCGTTATCTTGCTCTGAAGGGTCCAGATTCGAGCCGAGTATGTTGTTTGAATTCTCCGAAGCACCACTGAATCCAGCTGGTGCAGCTGTCGCGGCGCTACGAGACACTGAGGCCCCGCTGGCTGAACCACCGACAGGCCCGCCAGCATTATATCCACTGCTTGTAGGTCGATTTTGATTCTCACCACGAGCGGACTGCGTCTATGCAAAATGTAAGCACTCACATCGGAGAGCGACACCAGCCTGGCGCCAGAACTTGGGGATCATAACTCACTTCACGATATTTGGATAGATAAATCTTCAAGGCTTCTGCATAATTCTCAAATCCCAAAGACGTCATGGCAAATAAGATATCCTCACCATTGACCGTCTTGCGCTTCTCTTGTTGGCATTTCTCGGACGCTAAGTGAGAAATAAGCATAATGTTTTGTTGACCCGGGGAAAAGAAAAGGGCGAATTCTTACCTTCACTGGTGATGAAAGAGATGAACTCACTCACACACTCTTGCATGCATTCCTTCGCTTCTTTTGCAATCTTAGCGTTCTCTGGAAGCGCAGTTTTCATGATACGGGCGACTGTCAAAGAGCAAAATTAGTGTTAGCCAAGTGTGCTCCAAGCCTTGTCGACAAAAAGAAAGAACTGGTTGATATCCTGAAATTGACCAATGGGAACTGCAAGAATCGCGCATCTGAAACACTGGTGAGGGGCAAATGAAATACAAGATAGCTAATGCATAATATATAGGCAGCTGGGCTAGGACTAAAAAGGGAAAAGGCCATGGCCCTCGTAATTGATCATTGGAAAACAGCCAGCTGCACGTAGCAGGAAAGGGAAAAGAGGGGATTGCATAAAGTCAGACGCAGGAACATGGAAAGAACGGAAAAAAAAACACACCATTTGCAATTGGCAGCCATCGGTCCTGCTCCTTCACCTCAAAGTCTTGCCCTTGTCCGCTCGGGTCCTGGTTGTCACGGTCCATCTGCTCGGGGTCATCGCCTGACTGAGTTTCTGGTTCCACATCTGGTTCCTTGGGAGGAGAGGCCGAAGACATCTTTTTAGATCCGATCCGAGGACGATATATACGAGTCAGATCAAGGTGCTCTGCTGGCAAGTTGACCACGTCAGAGGGGGGCGCGCGCGATTTTCCGGTCCAAGAAGTGAGATGGATGCACGCGGTGCGTCACAGTCGGCCTGGCTGGGCAGCGATTTACCTCGCAGGCGCCTGAGAGAAGTATTTTAGATTAACCCGCGTGGGGGATTAGTGCGCAGAAGGGACGTCGCTGGTGGTGACCTGTGAGTCGTTGAATCCTGGAGATGATGGGTCCTCTGGCGGTGTGGATGGGAGAGGCGCGCGAACGCGCGAATACAACCAGGAGAAAGATTCGCGATCGAGGGAGGAAGCGACAGGGGTTTGCTGCAGATAAGAATCTGCTGAATTGCGCGCGCGTTGTGCGGATATGCAGGCAAGATAGAGGGAGATGGGAGGAGGTGGAAGACAGCTCTCTGCTGGGTAGGTAGGTAGCTTCCGCTGAGGGGGTTCGCGGAGTGGGGGCGCCCTACAAAGATTCGCTTTGATCGTTTCTAATCGTGTTGCTCCGTTGATACTCTGCTTTTCTCTTTGCGAAAACACGGCTTGCTGTGAACATCAACAAACCGCGGATTACTGTTACGAGCAGACGCCAACCCTTTCCCATTGGCGAACCAGAGAGGCTGCACAGAACGCGAATCGCGGCTTGGACCACCACTCAGGGCGAAGATACGAAGCTGGCTAGTGGAGACCCTCGACTCAGTTCACGACGAAGGCTCTCGACTCACCGCGGTCATGTCTATCTGGTTTATCAAACGGATGGCCTGGAACGGTCGTATATTGATGAAGAAGGAAAAAAAGGAAAAAATTAACGCAGTGAGCGCTGGCTGTTTTCGCCTGCAGGTGGGCGAAGTCGGTATCAATACCGCTGTGACAATACCGCGTTGGAATTCTACACTTGAGCACCGCAGAAAAGTCGTATATAAATACCGTAATTACACGCCCCTAGGTGACTGCTTATGATGACATGGCATATCCTACCACAGTGAAATGTTTCAGACTCGGAATTTTTCTTTGCGTTACACGGCGAAAGATCGCCCCTAACTACAGTAGAACTGCGGAAGTGAGGCCCAAGACGGTGGGACAAATCAAAGAACTCGAATGTTAACGATGCGCGTCGTACAGCCGGTTGGTTTACGGCATCTTCATAGCATGCATGGGGAGCAAAACATATGCTGTCGGTTTAAACTATCTTAAGACGCGCCTATCATGGAGCAAGCCTCGTGGTCGCCCAATGACCATTGTGTTACTGCCTTAGGCTAGCATCGCATGACAGACAACTCATGACTATGCTTGTCGTTCTCCACCGGAAATTTTGATGCTCATTTATACCCTTCTTTCAATATCATCATGGAGGGGAACAATCAGAATCAAGAAATCCTTGTCTTGTCATGTTGGACAAATGTCTGACTAACTACTACTACTACAGATTCCATCATCCCGTTCTGTTATAAATCGGCGCCTCGTGCTCGCATTACGAAATGCCAACTTGTCAGGCATGATTGCATTCTCAGCCAGATATAGACCTTAACAATCCTAGTCTCATATGTATCCTCCGAGACACCTAGCCCCTTTTTTTGCGTAATGGAGGATATGCTGGCATAATCCCGGTGGTTTTCGCCAACTCGCTCCCAAGCACAACTCTTGTTCAAGATTTGGTTCTATGAATATTCTTCTTTGGGGACAAAAAGCTTGGAAAGCTAACAGACTGAGTCTCAGAGCTATGCCAGTCATATTCCCAATTGTCAGATGTTTTTCTTTGTCCATGCTAATATCATCGCTCGCTCTCGTTTCAGAGAATAACGCGATACTTTGACTAAGTTGAACACCGCAGTCTTGTCTGAATGCCCACGTAGGTATTATTATTTGGCTTGTTCTCTCATTGTTGAACGACCTGGACATTATTCTTCTTCTGTGTAGAGGAAAACAAGAGAGTCAGTAATCCAATCTATCACAGGAGTCCATGAAATCGTATCAGCAGCATAGAGCCCTTTCTTTCTTTTCGGATGATATTTCCTGAGAACAAGAGGAAAAACTGACCTTCCAATTGTCCATCTCTGTCTGCTTAGCCTTGTACTGCTTCAACAGCTCATCAAGTACCTGCTTCAGGCCGTCGGCATTTGTCTTGAGGGAGGGAACAACGTCTCCAACTGTCCGTTCGACAAGAACTCCATTAACCAGACGAAAGCATTTGCGATTTTCCGAAAGCGGCTCGAGAGTTTCAATGACTAGTCTATATTTATGATATGAAAGGTTAGTCAGAAAATTTCCGCCATTTCTGCATCTCTTCCTGCTCGCCAGATCACAAACATCGAGCGCAGAAAAAGAAAAAGAACCAAAAAAAATCGGCCAACTCACTTATGCTCTTCAGTTTCTTGTTCAATGTCGCCGATTTTCTGGGCCATGTGCTGGAGCGCATTCTTGTAGTTGGAATACTGGAGCTGGAGCTCTAAATTGTCAACATGTCAGATGAATTGTTCCCACTACAAGTCCACTATAGCAAGAAAAGAGCAATATGGTGGCACCAACCCTGCTGCTTCCTCGCGCTAATCTGCTGTTGCGAGGCCATGACGTGAGCGCGTTTGTGAGCATGAGTAGAGGTCGTTTGGCAGACAAACATGGATTATTCCCTCGATGCGGGGCGAGTCTTGGCATAGCACGTAAAATGTTTACCCTAACCCTGATTACTCTATACTGGCTAGCCAATGCGAGATATTCCTATTGATAGAGGACAAACATGTGCTAAAAGCTCATGATACTGTCCAGAGCGTGTATTGAAATGCGATGCTTGGGTGATTTCTCATACTGAAAGTTTTTAGATGTAGTGAATTCCTCCGTTGCCATACAACAACGTCCATAATTGACTACATGACTCAGAACGATATCGTGTTCTGTCTTAGTGGAAGGCAGAGTACTTAAACGCTGCAAGTTTCAGTTTATCGACAAACAAAGAAAAGGAGATATCTCGAGGTCGCTAATAAATATATATTTCCACCCTGGTGCTGCGAAAGCGAAGGTTTATCTATGCATTCTTGGTTTCGAGAAGAATAGTACAATTTCCGTCATAATTCACAGCATTGCCTTGACTGGCTTCATTGTAATGAAACGGACTGAAAAAATCGTAGTTGTACTCTTCCTTTTGCTGACGTTCACAAATGTATGTATTAGTCGGATGCCACGATAATTTCCTATATGTTTTCTCAGCTCGCGAGAATAGATAAGAATCTAATATCGCTAGCTGCCATACGTAGTTATGAAGGCGTTTTTCGACAATGTCTTCCCTCTGTCTTGCAGGTTGATACTTCCTCGTAGGATATTGAGATCTCTCTCTGTGGGTGGAACCGTGAATGATGGAGCATGAACAACACGCTACTCCAATAAAGGCTAGTCTGTAAAGCTAAATTCCACCTCTAAGTCGTGTTTGCATTGTTTGCCTCAAAATGTCAACCAACCGTCAAATTACAAACAGCTTCGATAGTTCAACCCATCCAGTGTTTTTCTACTTGTCCGCTTCAGTCGAAACGTCCTTCTTCAGTTGTCACCAAGAGCCGTTTGGAGCTGACTATACGACCAAAATAATAGCCAATATGGCCGATGCGCCGCCACCTGCCAAAAGGCAAAAAAGCTCTCTCCCTCCGCCACTCCGCGATGCGAAGCGGCAGGACATCGACAACTGGGAGACAAATCGCATGTTGACCTCGGGCGTTGCGCAGAGACGAGAATACACCGGCGATTTCTCCCTTGATGATGAAGAAGGAACACGAGTGCACCTTTTGGTGCACGATTTGCGCCCGCCATTTCTTGATGGCCGCACGATTTTTACGAAACAGCTGGAGCCTATATCTGCAGTGCGCGATCCTCAAAGTGACATGGCTGTCTTCAGTCGGAAAGGGAGCAAAGTCGTCCGAGAGCGGCGTCAGCAAAGAGAACGACAAAAGCAAGCCCAAGAAGCTACTACAATGGCGGGGACGGCATTAGGCAATTTGATTGGGATCAAGGAAGACGAAGGCGACAGCGCTGTTGCGGCCCCAATTGAGGATGTTTATAAGAGCAGCAATAAATTCGCTCAGCATCTCAAAAAGGACGATGGTGGAGCTAGTGCCTTTAGCAAAAGTAAAACATTGCGTGAACAAAGAGAATTTCTCCCCGCTTTCGCCGTGAGGGAGGATCTCCTCCGAGTGATTCGAGATAATCAGGCCATAGTCGTTGTAGGTGAGACGGGTTCAGGAAAGACTACTCAGTTGACGCAGTTTCTGTTAGAAGATGGCTATGGCAAAAATGGAATGATTGGATGTACGCAACCTCGTCGCGTCGCAGCCATGAGCGTAGCCAAGCGCGTGAGTGAAGAAATGGGAGTTGACTTGGGAGATCTGGTTGGATATGCCATTCGTTTTGAGGATTGCACTAGCGACAAGACTATCATCAAATGTGAGTCATTCTGCTTTCGTGGGGTTCATCTTCAGGAGTGCTAACGGTTCACATAGATATGACCGACGGTGTTCTACTGAGAGAATCCCTAGTCCAGCCAGATCTTGACAAGTATTCTTGTATTATCATGGATGAAGCCCATGAACGGGCGCTCAATACAGATGTCCTCATGGGACTCATTAAGAAAGTACTGGCCAGACGAAGAGATCTAAAACTGATTGTCACATCAGCTACCATGAACTCGGAGAGATTCTCTCGCTTTTTTGGTGGAGCTCCTGAGTTTATTATCCCTGGCCGTACTTTTCCTGTGGACATTCAATTTTCTCGCTCGCCATGTGAAGACTATGTGGATAGTGCCGTCAAGCAGGTTCTTGCCATCCACGTATCACAAGGACCGGGTGATATATTAGTATTCATGACCGGACAGGAAGATATCGAAGCAACCTGCGAGCTTGTCGAAGAGAGGCTGAAAATGTTGAACGATCCTCCTAAATTAAGCATACTTCCCATCTATAGTCAAATGCCTGCGGAGCAACAAGCGAAAATCTTTGAGCGAGCTGCTCCTGGTGTGAGGAAAGTCATTGTGGCTACGAATATTGCGGAAACAAGCTTGACTGTCGATGGTATCATGTATGTGGTTGATTCAGGCTTCTCGAAGCTGAAAGTCTACAACCCTCGCATGGGTATGGATACGCTGCAAATAACGCCCATCTCTCAGGCAAACTCAGGCCAGCGCGCTGGACGCGCTGGAAGGACAGGTCCAGGCAAGGCCTTCAGGCTATATACAGAGCAGGCGTTCAAAAACGAACTCTATATTCAGACAATCCCAGAGATCCAACGTACCAGCCTGTCCAACACTGTCCTGTTGTTGAAATCATTAGGAGTGAAAGATCTTCTAGACTTCGATTTCATGGACCCCCCGCCGCAAGAAACAATATCCACTTCTTTATTCGAACTATGGTCACTCGGTGCGTTGGACAATCTGGGTGATTTGACACCTCTTGGTCGTCGCATGACTCCATTCCCTATGGATCCTTCATTAGCAAAGCTTTTGATCACGGCTTCTGAGGAGTACGAGTGCAGCGAGGAAATGTTGACTATTGTTTCTATGCTCTCAGTACCCAACGTCTTTTTCCGTCCCAAGGAACGACAAGAAGAATCTGATGCCGCTAGAGAGAAATTCTTCGTCCCGGAATCAGACCATCTTACTCTACTCCACGTATACACGCAATGGAAATCCAACGGCTACTCTGATGGGTGGTGTGTGAGGCACTTTTTGCACTCCAAGTCACTCCGCCGAGCGAGGGAAATCCGCGAGCAGCTGTACGACATCATGACTGTGCAAAAGATGAATATTGTCAGCTGCGGCACCGACTGGGATGTTATTCGCAAATGCATCTGCTCGGGCTACTATCACCAGGCAGCTCGTGTGAAGGGTATTGGCGAATTCATCAATCTCCGCACGAGTGTGACGGTGCAGTTGCATCCGACCAGTGCGCTCTACGGCCTTGGCTATGTGCCAGACTATGTGGTTTATCATGAACTCATTCTCACGAGCAAAGAGTACATGTCCACTGTTACAGCAGTAGATCCACACGTAAGTTTATATACATATTTTTATACGAGTTTTGCAAGGAATCACAACTAACTAACATTCATATCTTCACTCACAGTGGCTGGCCGAACTCGGAGGTGTGTTTTATTCCGTCAAAGAAAAAGGCTACTCGCATCGCGAGAAACGCATCACAGAGCATGAATTCAATCGTCGCATGGAAATCGAGACACAAATGGCCGCTGATCGCGAACGAGCAGCTGCAGAGAAAGAGCGAGAAAAGGAACTCAACGACCCAGCTCGCCGTAAGAGAGAGATTGAAGTCGGTGTTGGTATTGGAAAACCCGCTCGGTCATCTGTTGTTAAGAGGCCAATTATTGTCGGTAATAAGCGAGGGGCAGGCGGTTTGACTACCTCCTCGTCGTCGAATGGCGTTGCCAATCATAATAAGGGCAGTGGAGGAGGAAGCGTGGTAAAAAAGCCGGTGACGGTTCGAAGGCCTGGGGGAAGGGCATTCTAAACTTGTATATTCATATCATGATTCAAATGTGGATATGTATAACGATACCTTGTCTTCCTATATATAGGTGCATCAATGTACCAAAGGCGTTTGCGGTTATTAGAAATCCACTATCATGTAATTGTTTTCGTTGTCGTGTGCTTGAATGAGATGTCCTTGGCTTCTTGTATGAAATCTTAAATTTATAGGTTATACATCAAAAATTTATATCGCCACAAAATGTCAAGCCGCAAAAGAGTCCTTTATCTTCTCTTATCTAATCATATTCATTCAACACTGTAGCTAGCTGCGCCCTCAATCAATATATCTGAATATTAAGAGAAGGTGGGCTTTATCAAATCCCAAAGTTAATATACACACCATCGAATCCAAAGGAGACGAAGAGCGCCGGAAAACGCGCATTTGATCATGTGGTTGATAGTAGAAAAACAAAAAGCGACGACTCTAGTGACTCAGTCGCGAGTCAAAAGAGAGGAAGAAAGAGTTGATCCGAACTTTTCTTAGAAAACATAAATGGCGGGAAGAAACCGAGAATCGATCTAGTTAATGAAGTTGATGCAGAAAAAGTGCAGAATCAAGCTGCCAAAGATATAGTCTGCGAATGCACTATTGGATAAATCCATCACATGTCAGCTTTCTCAAGCTATAGAATTTGGGAGATTCCTTTTTTATTCTCTTCTCAAAGGGCCGTGTATAGGTTCCATACCGTTCGTGAGAAATCTCCCGTGTGGATCCCTGGTTATCTGCTACTGCCGTAGTACTCTTTCCCTTTGAAGCAGTGGAAGAAGGTGTTGCTGAGCTAGTCTGCATGCGCAAGCTCGCGGTTAGAACGAATTGGCCGACGGCAGCGGAGAAACCGGAAAGGAAAGCGTTGAATGGCTGCATATCACTTGACGTTAGAATATAGAAAAGAAAGCAGACAATCATTCAAGAGAGGGATAAAGAGAGATGCATTACATAATTCCCAGCAACGACACAATAAACGAACTGAATTCCTCCCACGAGGACAAGATATGCCATGAAAACATCCAGAAGGAGAGTTCGCTGCGACGTTTGCGCTAAGTAACGCTTCCAAATATGCTGTGTAATTTCTGCGACAGAAGCCTTCGGTGACAGAGCCACTGTCGCTGTGGATGATTGTGGCGTGGGAGCTGCTGTGGAGGATGTTGTTGTTGACGGTGATGCAACGGGCGATACGGGCTGGCGTTTGGGTGCCATGTTTTCTTATATTATTTTGGTAGGCACCGGTTTTAAGCAATATATGTTGCTGAGAGTCTGGCTGAATCGGTGCTTGTATGTATAAAATTGGCAAATTGCGAACTTCTTCAGCACTTGCGTATGGTGGACCAGTTGAAGTTGAAGCTGCGTGTCTTCTGTCGCTCATAGCTTCCTAAGGCTGCAAGTCAATTGGCCGCGCCACGACCCACTCCTGTAGAAATTGGCGAATCAGCGTCCAGGCTGACGACGGATTGTAGATGCTAAAGGATTAAGAATACAAGTCTTCACTTTATATCAATCAAACAACACGTAAATAAGTATATTCATGCATTATATAAGAACAATGGTGTATCTACTAATATAAACTGAAGTGCTCATCGCTAGCCAACCATCCTTCTGTACTTGATTGATGCGCCCGCAAATGGCCAACTGTACTCAAGAGTCGAGAGTGAAAAGGAACTGAAAGAATAAACCAAAAACAGGGAACAAGAGGGGACGGAAGTTTGTGCTCAAATATAATATCAACTACAGAAAATCCATTTGGTAGTTGTCCACATTCTGCCCGGTAATTTGCTCGAAATCTTGCTGGAAGTCACGCATAACATCATCAAACTGGTCCCAATTCATGGGCATATCAAATGTATTCGGCGTCTCCATGGGCCATGTAGTTTGCTCAAAAGGCATGGCGCCAATTGTAGGTGTACTGGAAGGTTTTGCCGTAATCCCAGATGCTCCAGTGGTGCGGGTGGTGCTGTTTGAAGTGTAAATTCCAGTGGCATCTGACGTGGTAGTGTTCGACACCATAGAATATGCGGGGAGAAAATCCACCAATATCTCATTCATATTCTTGTTTAAATCAAGATTGAGCTCACCTGCAGGAGCAATCGCCGGTTCAGCTTGCTTCGTAGATGATGGGTGATTGAAGACGGCTGAGACGGCAGGACTTGACGATTGCCCTGGGCTGGAGAATTGAGACTGGCCTCCATCCGCAAACAAAGGACTATTGCTAGCGACGCTGTTTTGTTTTGGGGTTTTGGCGGGTAGTTCCATGGGTGAGGTAATAGACGCTTGAGTAGAAGAGCATCTTCGGATATCCGCTTCTTGTTTTGTACGAAAAGCCTTAGCTTTTTTATACAGCTTCGTTAACGGTCTCCACAACGAGGCCTTTTTGGCGGCCGACCTTTGTCGCCATGTATCGAAAACTGAATCAACCGCAAGCCAGGCGCGATCCACACCTGGACAGCGCGGCCGTACACAGAGCTCCGCAAGGACAAAGGCAATTGGGTGCCACTGAATATAAGCTCCGAAGAGCCAACTCCATCGCGTTGTAGATTCACTGGTCACGAGAAGATGTGTGAATTCAATTACCTCTATCGATGTCAAGAGGATTCTGTTGCGATCTTCGGGCGATAAAGTTGACATATTGTCCTTGAACAATGGGTGGTGAACGATCAACCACAACTTGGCTACTAACAATCGAGCCACAGTCGCACAAGACCATTGGATGGGTACCTGCATGTCGCAATATTTGATATACTTCTCGTTCAGCATGTTATGCCACTCTTCAATGATCTTTTTACGTTCCTCGAATTGTATGGGATCTGAGTTTTGTCCTGGCTGGACATAATTCAAGCGGCGATATACCGTAGAGATATGGGCGCGTATTAAAGTAGCAGTCATATCCGTAAATTCATGCCTTTCTGGTGGGAAGGTCTTTGAATCCGGACTGATATCATCATCGTTGATGTGAAGAGGCATTTTGGTATCATACATCATATCATTGATCATAGGATCGGTTCCATGATCTTCTGCAGCACGGATATCCATAATGCAAATATGCCACCAAAGCCTACGGCGCATTTCTGTTTCAAATGGACTGAGCCCAAAATTGGTACCGTCGCGGTGCAGACCCAGGCCAGTCGCAAGTCGGAGAATGACAGCAGACAGAGTCCAAACAAATCTGCTCTGGTCTTGTCTGAGGATACTTGTCACGAACATCACAGCAGCCTGAAGCAAGTTTATGTTGCGCGAGGTTAGTAGATTTGCTCGTGCCATAGCCTGCTCTGTTGCGAACCGAAAGCGATTGATAACGGAATCACGGTCATCTCCTATCTCGGCTAAGCATTGCTCGGGTGACATGCTGATCACAGCTGTGAGATAGAGAGAAAACGCGAGAGCTTCACTATTCTTGTCTAACAGATCAAAACTCGTTGCTGCGTTGATTATAATGTCACGAATGGTAGGCTTGTGAACAACAGTTAATAATGGAGCCACATTCTGTTCATAAGTTTTCCACAATATGAATATCTGCGACGGGGTGGGATGATAGTTGCGCAGACTATGAGCGAGCGAGCTATATCCAAAAATAAAGGCATCATTGCTACGGTTAGCTGAATTGACTGATTCCCCAGGAGAAGTGGAGTCTTCTTCATCTTCACTTGGGGAATCTAGGATATCCTGCAATTCCTCAACCTACAACGAATTAGCGGTTAGAATACGTCCAACGAAAATGCTCCAGGCACGTCTCGCGCACGGAGAGCTTTTGCATGCTTACCTGATCCCCAATGCTAGTCCAGAGGCGGTTGCTCACATAGAGACTTCTATTATCGTCGATGACCAATCTCCCCACTTCTTCTGGTTTTAAACCGTCCTTTTTCACCTCCATATTCCCTGGAACGCTGGGTTTCTCGGCATTATTTAAATTTGCGGAAGGAGCTTGGGGTTGGGGCGGTTGTTGTATTAGTTGCGCACCACCCATCCGGTTCGCAGAAACAAGTTTTTCAATGGCATCTGTTCCTCCAAGACTCTCCACGACTCCTTCGAGTCTCCTTAACCGTGAAAGAAGCTCAACATCCGGGGGCCGCCGCGGTTTCCTTGGAGCACGGCCTGGTCCAGGAAAGACGCATTCAATGCCAGCTTTCACGCAATTGGAGCATGGCTCTCTCTTGTTACACCGCACCTTGCGTCGACGACAGGTTACACAACTGCGCGGATTAAGGCTTGAATCCGTCGCAGTGGCTTGAGCGGGTTTTGGTTCCGGTTTGGCAAGGCTTGACGACGTGTTACTTGTTGGAAATGGTGCACTCGCACTCTTTGTCGCATTCGTAGGCGCATCCGGACCCTTGATGCCGGACATGTTGAAAGGTCCAGCACTCTCCCGCAAAAACTGTCCTCACCACCTTGCTCCAAAGATCACTACAGACAGATATCGTTCATCTGAATAGGAGCGCAAGACGACAGACGACTGGCCCTCTCGAGGAATGGAAAAGGCGGAGTGACGCAATGTCGAGGCTGACGACGGGTAGGGGCCGGATCGGTTCGTATCTCAAGGACAAAAGACTTCTCTGAGTGGATGATGGCGCATGGTTATCCTAAGTATGATGGCTTTCCCCCGAGGAAGCAGACTTCTGCGACCACGAGCTTCTTCTCTCTGGTGGGAGGTACGTCGTATCAACTGAAGTTACTAAGCTCAAAGTTTAATATGAGTAAGCGTGGCGCTGCGATTTCATTGGCTGCAGATCCTTATCTAACCCACTATCGGATTTCGGCGTTCCCAGCCAAAGCCCTAGCCCTAACCCTGCCCTAGCCCCATGGAGAACCCCAGATGTGGCTTCAAATGGCTCCTTAAAAGTTAACACATCTTTTGTAGTTAGTGTTCTCATGGAATGCTCCAAATCCCTTGTTAGGAAGGCTGATATCAGTTAATCTAGTATATTGTCTATGCAATTTCCTGCGCAACGAAAATTTCCATGTTTATCCTAGGTCGCTGTAAGGAATGCCCTTTAATGCCTTCATCAAATACCAATGGGATTCGCAGTGCATAAAACGTGCGTTCCTCAGACAAGGGCGCGCTCTGTCGTGGAAGTGTCAATTCTCGGCCATAGTTCTGGGCAGCCGTGTAGGATCCACGCAGTCTATGTCCAAGGGTATTGCAACGAAAAAAATTCTACCGAACCATTCAAGTAGTATAAATTACAAGCAGCTGGATTAATATCTCAAAACCGAGCTAACCAATTTTTTGGCTACTCCCATCATTGAACATTGACACCACATAGAGTAAATAGGGTTATGACGCGGGCGCGGGTGGACCGCCCCCACTAAAAAAGTTGAGCCGCAGGCTTCTTTCGACTTCGTTTTGACCAGCTACATGGCACATGGCACATGGCACTGATCAAGAATGAATGGTAATAAGCGGAGCAAGGACTTTCTTTTTATCACTGTAAACCATCCAGACGATGTCAAACGGAGGCCGACTCAACACTCACTCCGGAGCCGAGCAATGCGAGATGCTCTTCGCGGACGAAAAGAGCAGCCTAAAAGCGTGACCTTCTCTTTGGAGAAGGTTTCTGTTGCTGAAGATAGTAAAATACGTGAAGTTGAACCAGGAAATAATGATAAATCAATCCAGAAACCGCTGCATTCATGGCCATTCCCTGGTGACACGCATACAAGGGCACGGGAGCTCATCTACTTCAGTGAGTTACAGACAAGACCTTGTTTAAAAACGGGCCAATTGGCGGTCTAACTCGATTGCAATAGTGACTTCAGAATCCGACTATGTTTTTAGGCCGTTTCGTACTGTCTGGTTCTCAATGGCCTTGACAGATGCAACCGCCCTCCAACTATGCCTAGCCAATGCAGCCATGTTCATGGCACAAAGACGGCAGCCAGGAATGTTTCAGTACGATAAATGCACAGAGGCATTGGAATATTATGGCAGAAGTCTTTGTCAGGTCACCAAGCGACTTGAGAACAGTATTGATTGTACTAGTACAGGTGTCCTTGTGACAGTTCTAGGATTCATTTGTCACGATGTAAGTTTTATGTATGATTTACGAGGTGCGATGGCCTAACAACATTATTTTACTAGCTTTATGTTGGAATATGGGATCGTTGGGCAGCGCATATGAATGGCCTGCGCCGAATCATACAACTTTGTGGGGGATACAAGAATATCAGCCATAACCTGACGCTCTGGGCATCATGGTGAGAATTTTTACCATCCCACCTTCGGAGACAAGACTGACGGTATAAGGTATGATATTCTGGGTTCTGCTAACCGCGATACATACCCTCAATTCCCGGTGTTCATGTGTGACATTGAACCTTCGACATATCCTGTCACGCTACGGACTCCGCTATTGCAACAAATCGAACGTGTACTTTTTAACCAAAAGTTTATACTCAACTGTTTGTGTAAGGTTCAAGGCATTGCCAATATCATCAATAATCATTATCAGAATCCCGATTTTTGGAGACGAGAAGACGACCTAAGCCCTCTCTACATGCTAGGTCCTATCACCCATGAACTACTTTCGATGCATCGACTAGATGTCGAATGTGACTATGATTCCGAGGTTGTCTTTGACTCGACACAAATTTCTCGCGAGATACTACGGTTATCGATGCTCATCCTTCTAGCTGCCTTGAAGACAATGTACTCCTTTATCGTCGATGAGTCGGAGGAATTGAATATCTTATCGACCAAGTTCTCCAGACTTCTGACCCTAGACCGATCAAGACCCTCTTTGCTAAATAAGGATGGGATACTTCACACTCTCCAACTTCAACTATGGGCTATGCTCACCGTCGCTACTCTGCAACCACTTTCAGCAAGCCGCACGCTATACGTGACAGAGATTCGCAAATGCATGAACCTTCTAGGAATGGTATCAGCTACTGATGCTTTCCAACTAGCCCGCGATATTGCTTGGATTGATGTTGTCGCAGGCACAACCTTGGGAAACGAGCCACTTATCAATGCAATCAACAACGCGCCGCTGCTGACCTGATCTACATTTTAATCTGACTTGATTATAACGTGGTTCTACCTTCCATGACAATGAAAAAGCAACAATATCAGCCTCCTGTAATACCGCCACTCACGCTAATAACCTGTCCCGTAATCCATCTACTTTTCTCACTGCAAAGCAACAAGACGGCATCCGCAATGTCCTCCGCTGTGCCCACCCTCTCCTCAGCCTTTGTCATAGCGATCAACGGCTCATGAATTTTCTGCGCAAACTCCTTGGGTAGTGCGTCGGTCTCGACCGGACCCGGCGCGATAGTGTTGATAGTCACGCCAAACCCGCGTCCGAGATCCATCGCCATAGAGAACGTCATTGATTCCACAGCTGCTTTGGCCGCGCCGTATATTGCAGTAGGGCCCATACCGAGTCTTGTTGCGACGCTCCCGGTGTTTATGATACGTCCTCCGCGCGGCATGTGTGGGATGGCGGATTGTATCAAGTACACGGGAGCGAATACGATGGATTTGAAGAGGGTTTCCATTGAGGAAGAGGAAGCCTTGAGAAAGGGCTCTGGATTGCCATTTGCTGCGTTATTCACTGGATGGAAATGCTATCAGCATGGCATTGAAAAAAAAAAAAAAAAGGGAGAAGTGGTTGTACCAAGAATATCAACATGATCAACCTCGAACTGTTTCAATGACTCTTCGACAAGCTTCTTTGCTCCCTCTGGCGTAGACACATCAGCTTGCACAACAACAGCTTTTCCAGTAGTATTTTGTACTATTGACTCGGCTACGTTTGCAGCTCGGTGTGCAGTCTTGTCGGAGATATGGTTGATGACGACCCAGGCGCCATTACTAGCCAGAGTATGGGCAATACCAGCACCAATGCCAGTCTCGCGACCAGAGCCTGTGATTATGGCCACTTTGCCGGCGAGGGAGAGGTCATCCATTGTATTTAGAGGTAGATAGATAGATCAGATGAGATGAATTAAGCTTGGAAAGTGGAATTGAATGTTTGCAATGGTGTGTAGGAAGAATGAATAGAAGATCAGAATCAGCTGGACTTGACGCTGATATTTATAATTCTCTGAAATCCTCACATCGACATTTTTCAATGTAATCCAACATCATACAGCCATGAATATCCAACATATCCACAAGTCCAATCAACCCTTTCCTGAAACAGAAAAAAGTGCTGCTTAGCTGCATGATCTAAGCTGGAAGCGGTTAGTATCTATCTTAACTTTTAGAAAGATTACCGCGTGTATCCCACCCACGCTTGCCCTTTTAGGGACACCCTTGAAGACTCGTCTAGGCCTTACGCTGTTTGTCTTGACTTTGCGCTGATATCATTCATAAATTGTAATGTACAGTACATATGAAGACCACCCATAGGTGATATGCATACCCAGATGTAGTAGGCATGTGGATACCCAAAACTATATACAAAAACTGCAATGAAAAATATAGGTGTCTCTAGAGGTATAGGTATATAGCCATGCATATGTTCAAATAATGGGGGAAAGAAAGGCAAGAACGCCAGCAAATGCTTGACCAACAGAGGCAATACAGTCAAAAACACCAGACAAGTATTAGATCAATAGGTGAGACTAGGTCGCAAATAACACAAAGAACATGGTGAGGAAAACAAACAACGCCGTCTTCCAAGATATTCAGTACAGAGAGATGAAGAGAAGGGGAGAAAAAAAAAAAGGCAATGTTTTCGTTCGTAACAGTCGTCTCATGGCTATGCATGCACTCTTTTGCTTCTTTTCGGATTTTCAATCAATCACGACGTGTTTCTATCGGATGTTTTCGAATTTTGCTTGAATTCATTCTTGACTTTGTTAACCTCCCTAAGATTCAAGGTTAGCACAATCATACCGAGAAATAGACGAGCGTGAAACGTACGAGTTCTTGACCCAGAGCTGAACTTCATTAACGAAGGTATATCTATAAGAGATGTGTTAGTCTATATTCTCATCGCACAAACACATGCGCGCGCGTATTAGGTGACAACTCGCCCCATGAAATTGGAGTTGGCCATAGATTTGTCGCCATATTCCTCTGCCAACAGCTTGGTATATTCATACGGCACTTTTGCCGGGACGCCTTCGAAAAAGCTGCGTCGCAGGGGGAAAATATCATTTTCCTCGAATCGATGTGCGTCCTTGGACATCAGCGCACCAGTGTCACCCCTCGCCCGTCGAAAATCATCTGCGCGCACGGCAGTTATGTCAATAAACTGGCCACTTGATTTGTCGATCCATCGTCCATCAATCACGTTTCGCGTATCCAATGTGGTTCGTACGACATAGTTAGGGTTGATTTCCAGCACATAGGTACGGCCACCTTCTACGCCTGGAATGTCGAAATGGTGTTCGGTCATGTTGTAGTTTTCGGCTAGGAAGTGAATGCCCGGTTCGGATACTTGCACATCCAAGTCGTCGTCCCATGGGAAAATCTGACGGGTAAAATTTTCCTTAGCCATGGAAACTCCCAAACTTTTCACGGTGCGACATGACCTACCTTCTGGTTCCACCACCACGCCAGTAGTGTTCCATGCATAATCCATGTCTCCACGCCCAAGTCATCCATTGTTGCCAAATATGTTTGAATGAGAGAGGATAAGTGCGCAATTTGTTCGTCCTCGGGAAGGGCCTTGTCGGTATAACTGGCATGTGGTCAGTACGGCCCTAGAACGAGAATAGGGCGGGATTATACATACCGACCATCATAATGCCCACTGAACCTGCGAAGTTCCAACGAAACCTTTTTTAGCGGGAGTCGGAGAAAAGAAATTGACGACAACTACTACTTACTTCGATTCCTCTGAAATTCATCATGTTAGTCTCAACTTTCTTTTTAACAGCATGGGGAGGAGACGGGAGAAAGCGCGAATGGACGGGTGGGAGCATGCACTCACGGAAATATTTTGGCCCTGGCTTGCCTCCTCTGCCGCTCCAATCTTTGGCCAGCTTTTCCCTTTCATTCATGAAATTCGCACTGATTGCTGCGGCATTCACAGTAGCGGCCAACAAGCCGCATACAAGCAATGACGGCCGCATAATCGGCGGGGTCAGGGCCGTGTGACAGAAGGGAAGGATGGGTAGACGACGATAGTCCAACAACAAGTCTTGGGTTCGGAAGTAGCGCCTCTTTGTCTAGGGGAATGGCGTATGTACAAACAAGATAAGGTGTCGTGTGATCAGAAACGGACGGTGGGTATGGGGTATCGAGCTGTGCTGAAGGAACGGAAGACACCGAATATGGGTGATGCGAAAAAATTGTGTTGGAAAAATAAAAGGAACAGGCAGGTAGGTCGGTTAGCTGTACAAGGTGGTATACATACTTATGAATTAAAGAGATAATTTGAGGCGAGGAAAAGACTGAAAGATATGAATGATATGGGGTAGGGGTTGACACTTGATTTGGCCAACCGTTTGCGATGGGGGGGGGCCATGGACTGGTAGAACGTAAATTTCAAATCTGTTTGAGATCCACAGCGCCGTCGGTAGCGTGCTTTTGCTCAAAAATGCAGGTCTTCTCCAGCGATCCACTTGGGATGATTCTATACACAATATACGATTATAACTAGTATAATCTTACGCTGTCACTACGGAGCGCTGCGTGGTAGCGTACGTACACCCTGTAGCCGTGCTATACGCTAGTTTCTGTATAGTCATCTCGAGTCATGTATGGCTGGCGACGGCGAAACTTATGGTCGTGCCAAGACGCAAGCGATCGATCTTATCTCTCTTCATCCGCCCCTTTTGGAGCATGGTGGGGCCGTGACTTGCCCTTCCCGAGCCCCTGCACTAGATGGGAGTATGCGATGAATGGGCAATAGTTATATGGGACGTCCGTCGTATAGTTACCATGGTTATACGAATGATTATATAATAATTATGTGCGCATACAGGTTAACAAGCATGCAGAGTTTGCGTGTCCCTTGTTATCTGTGCATACGTAGCGTTCCACTAACTCCCCGGCCTTGCCGCTGCCAAGAACTCGGAATGCGGCTCTCTCTGGCCGGCCATTGGACGGCCGTTATGGGCCACGCGTTCCCTTACGAGGCGAGTAGTAATATCCTTTTATACACCGTAACTTGCCTGTATAATTCTTTTAAGGACATGTGCCGCTGGCTGGCTTCTCACGTGGTATGCGCAGGGCGGACAAGTCACAATTACATACAATACAATACAATACAGGCAGCCCGCCCGTGTGCTGGATTTCCGCTTCTGGCAACCAGCCCGGCAGCCTTGGCAGCCTTGGCATTCGTCACCCCGGTCTTGGGTTTGGGTCAGTTTACCGCTGGCTGTAGTTAGCAGAAGTCGCTCTTGTACAGTTTAATGCACCTAAAAGGACAGGTAGGTAGTATATCTACATCGACGTAGGAAGTTGCGAAGATATACACTAAATCAAAAAAAAAAAAAAAAAAAACTTCCACCTACCCTGAATGAGGAGCTGAAGCAGCGTTGTCCGAGCGTTAGCGATACCAGGCAGGATATCGTGAAAAAAAAAAAAAAATGGCTGATCCTCTCATTTCCGCAATCGTGGCAATCAAGAAGAAATGGTCGATTTAACGTACCATATAAATAGATGTTTTATCGGGGCCGTTAGCTTCATTTCGTGCTGTATAACGTTGCTTCCTCTTGATGTGCCTGTGTCATTTGTTAGTCTTGCACCAAAAGACCTGTCGTTTTCTAGTTGTCAATTTATAGAAAGGCAATGCCTTCGGCTGCATGAATGGTGCCATCTTTCGAATGTGCACGGAAAGGGCATAGTTGAAATCAATGGGCTTAGCATTGACTGTTACTAGAGACTGAGACCCGTATTGGCCAGGCAGCCAGTCTCTCAATTTTGTAGAAGTGCTTTGCAGGGAGGGTTAGTCAATATTTTATAGCCAGATCCATGTCTAGTCGAGGGTCTGTCTACCTGTGGAATTCCCAGGTGCTAGGCTGCATTGGCATGGACTTGTCCTTTCACCTAGGTAGGTCTAGATTGTACGCTAGCAAGCGTTCAATGCCTACTTCTATGTCAACGAGAGCTTAGTGGAACTAGATTTGCTTCTTAGCACGCGCTCATTGAGGCCACGACTCGGTGTTCAAATTGGCAAGGTACGTGTCAAGAAGCCGCACGGTGTATGAGGTGTAAAGACCCGGCCATCTGCTTACTCCAGGGGCGCTTTTTTCTCCTGAGGAAGGCATTGGGGGGGTGGCCAAGTGCTAGGTCGTAATTTTTGACCGAATGTCATGCCATTGGAAACTGCGACGAATTGATAGAGAGGTTCCCGAGGTAGGATTATATATCACAATTAGCTGCCGTAATGCAGTCAGTTGGTAAATCCTTTTACAGCAAGCTTAAATACATCGCTAAGAACTGTCGTAATATCTAAGTTACCGACACTCGGCGGCAAACTATATTGTAACCGCCAAATGAGGTACATATGTTTCGCACACAGATGAGTTGAACGGTCGAAGCGTCTCCCTTGTCATGCTTTCACGCCATATATGCAGCACATACTAATTATGCCAATTTAAAGAGGACCTCCACAGCCTGCGGTGATGGTCTAGTTGGTCAGGACGTATCGTTGTGGTTCTTCTCCCAATTGATTGCTCAATCAGTTGGTTCTTCTCCATCAATCCGATGAAACCTGAGTTCGAATCTCGGTCGCCGCACTTCTACTTCTTTTTTTCCTTCTCTTTTTTATTTTCTCATTCTTATTCTATATTCCTCGAAAGACTGACTGACTGCATTATATTGCTCGCAAGAAAGGTCGTTTGTACCTGGGTATATATATAATCTAGGCCGTCCTATTATCCACCAAGGCCCGTATGCCCCATTTTCGGTAGATTTTTGGGATTGAACGAGTATCAACCTTGAGTTAGCTCTTGGTCGAATCATACAATAAATAACGTTCATTGCAACTAGCTACATAGCAAAGTTAACGCATGTACGACGATAAATGGCCAGTGGCGCCATTTCCCGTATTATTTATTACTCCTAGATTAATATTCATGGTGGGAAACCTGCTGTTCTCGAGTCAGTACTAGAAACTATCACTGACGAGATATTCCGACTTCAAGAGAAACAAATCACCCTCGAGGTGTATGTCAAAGATGCTCTATATCCATGAACCAACTGAGAGCAAACTAAATATTTTTTAGGCTAGATGATATCATGATCGAGCAAGGTCCACTTGAAGAATGGCCGCTGGAGGGTGGCTACTTGATCTACGTTACGGATGACATTGATCCAGTTTTCTGGCGGCCCTATGTTGGCCAAAGCAAACACACTGCGTTGCGATTGCATCAGCACTTGAATGCGTGGAATGAAGGTAAAGACGATAAGTTAATTTACTACTTCGTCCCCGCAGGAGGGGATCAACGAAAGATCAATTTTGAAAGACTATGGAGTCTTCCTTCATCTTCCACAAGAGACCCAAACAGCGAAAGCAGTTTAATTCTTTTGAACAATATCTTAGAGCTACTAATGTGCCGAGCTTTTGAATCTCTCCCATCACAGTTCTTGGAGGATTTGTTTTAATAAAATGCCTCAATACTGGACTCAATGTTCTTCCGCCATTATATGAAAGCCAATATTGCCCTATGGCCATTCGCAGAAAGTACACCAATATGTACAAGACTTCACCCGATTTACTGATACAAGGTTGGCCAGGAATCAGAGCCATGCAACTTGAAACGGAAGAATCGGCTCGAAGAAAGTCTAGAATGAACGACAAACCGAAGTTTTTTGAGGGCCTGCTTGGGCTCCTAGGGATTATCATTTTTCATTTTTCCAAGCTGTGAAGACTGCGCTGAACATTGATACCGTCGAGATCTCAATTCCTCTGAAAACAGAAGGCCTTACACAAGATATCACGAGCATTGAAGACACATTTCAATTAATTTCGGACACGTTGGATAAGGATCATAGTTTGTGCAAGCCATTTGGGACATTTTCTGCTAGTTATTAAGAGCGAAAATGGAGAGAGGATCTCACAGAACATCTGTGCTTTGCCCCAAAGATTGATTGACGCTGGGTTCTCCGAGGAAAACTCGCTCGTCTGGAGTTTTGATTTCCATCAATGCTTCCAGACAAGTATGATACCAACAAGACAAAGTCTTACTCAAAATGAGCATAATGCTCTGCTGACATGCCATAGAAAGATGATTGAGAACTCCAATACTAGTATCATACTGGTTTGTGGAAAGAGAGTCAAGAGTATTATCCTCACCCCAGAGATAGAAGAGACAAAGTCTCCACTGCATTTACGAGGAAGTTCTTGTGATTGTTACGTCGAACACAGATCTGGAGTTTTCCAAGGATTATACATCGACATTGGTTCCCTAGCCTTTTTAACTATGACGGGAGACTGGGATCGCACGAAGAGTTGTGCAGAAATTTTCAACTTTCTGCATTTCGTGATCGAAGTGAAAGGGCTTCAGCCTCATGAATTTTTCTCTCATCAAACTGCAAAGTATACCATCAAACGTTTTGCCGATGAAACATCAGGAACCTGTGACCAGACGAACACTATAGACAAGAGAGTTCAAGAGTGGTTGGCAATTAAAGGAATTACCTCAGAATCACAATTTCAAGAATGGATAGATCTAGCTGGCTCGGTTACCAAAGCGCTGCTCTTGTTTCTCATTACGATCCCAAAACGACCCCCCCATCAAAGGCGTAAGTCGTTCCGGAACCTTTCTTTTTGGTGAGCGCCGCCACTCCAATAAACGACGTTCGGATGGCCTTTTCTCAAGAGAGCAGCCAGAGAAAAGCAACGAGCTGTTCAAGATGGTCACTAGAAAGGAAGGAAATTTTGCGAAACTCCCATCGACAAGAAGATCGGCGCAAAATATTGATGTTGTATCTTCTTCTGAGGTAGGGATTCGGAAGCAGATCCCGGACGCTGAGAGGCTGACGAGAGAAGATTTCCCAGAACCTGAATATGCTGCTCCGAACCACGAAGCGGATGGAGATGATGTCTTGACAATTGATGAGTTTGACAATTTACTTTTTCCAGTTGAATTGAGCCCTCCCACTGCAGTAGAGAGTGAAAGTATGGTTCTTGAAAGCGGTCTTTCAGAAGAAGCCGTGATACGCCAAGATAAAAACCTACAGTCCCAAGAAATCGAAAATCCAACGCGGTATTTGACTGGTTTTCCGGTTCATCATGGGAGGAAATCGCACTCGCGAACAAACCTCGCAGGTACATTGATATCAAAGGTAATGATAAGCGCCACCGTACAGCTTTACTAACAAGATTCATTCAAGGTGAGTTTACAGATTCTAGTTTGGCGAGAGAAGAAGAGAGGATATGGGAGGAAGGGAAAAGAAACCGCGAGAAGATTGGAATCCGCGGCTCATAATATGTCCTGAAGAGGAGGGCCAGTGGTTTGGATGGATGAAATTGGTGGTCTTCGAAAATATGATATGTAGGTAATTAAGACACATAACAAGAACATTGATTTGGATCACATTCTAAAGCAGTGAAATAATGATAACGAACGCCAAGCAATGGGGTGGCCATGCAGTTTGGTCTCTGGTCTCAGGATTGAAGAAAGAGCTTAGTCCTAGATATGTAACATCACAAGCCGTGGAATCGGGCCCTAGCAGTCTAACCTACATGTTCACACTGGACGAGCTCTAAAGTTAAATCTATCCAATGGAAATCTTAATATGCTACTTCCGATGTGCCCGTAATCCTAACATCTCTACCTGGTCTCATCGACCACCAGACACCTGTTAGCAATAATCCTGAGAACACGCACGACCTAGCACCGCGGGTTATATATTTATACGAGGAAGCATTCCTTAACACAGCCATAGAATAGCTCCATATATGGGAAACCACCTTCAGATTATTACGGTGGAGATGGATTTAAAATTAGGTTCTAGATCTAAATTGAGGTGATTGTTGGTAGGTGAGTTGCTACTGTGATATTTTTTTCCCCCAATTATCTTCTTCTCTCTATCTCATGATGATATAGGGCGTTAAATCTGGCGGCAATCTCAACAGGCGGTGATGGTCTAGTTGGTCAGGACGTATCGTTGTGGTTCTTCTCCCAATTGATTGCTCAATCAGTTGGTTCTTCTCCATCAATCCGATGAAACCTGAGTTCGAATCTCGGTCGCCGCACTCGTTCCTTTTTCTTTTTTTTTCTATTATTTTTCTTATCTTCCTCGGTTACGTGTAGGTTGGAATCATAAAATTGGAATGTTTTTGTTGCGTGTTTTTGTTCTATTAGTAAGTTATTCCAATTCCGGCTAGATTTACCTTTATCCGTGGCCAAATCCGTCTCTAGCCCAGAGCCCTAAAAAAAACACCGAACATTTTTTAGAAGATAGCTCTTTCCCTAGCACATCAACGCAAATCAAAAAATGAAACAGAAATGAAGCAAAAAAACTGGACTTGCTGGGAATCGAACCCAGGACCACTCCCATGCTAAGGGAGTATTATACCACTAAACCACAAGCCCACTTGCTTCGTGAGATTATGGCGCCAAGATCGACTTCTGTAGATGTGGCTCAAATGGTCCCAAATAAGGCAATTTTGTACGAATCTAACCGCACAAGGAATGGCTTCCGGTTCTTAGGTTGTACCGCTTTCTTAAGGGGGTAAGGGTTGAATGGGGTGGGCGATATTTGGCAGCTTCGGCCTTTCACTTGTTGACCGCCAAATTTCTGCCATATTTCAGGCTGATGTGCTCCGATAATAGACAATCGAATATGAACCCTTCTGTCTGTCAGTACGATGTACGTACGCCCCGCTCTACCACGCCAAACCGGCGTAATATTCCCCAGCATGGACAGACGGAGTAGATAGTTTGCGCTTGTCACAACGGACTCGAAGAAAGACCCTTCCTCCGCCCAACGTCAAACAAGACTCCCACAGCACCTTGAGATCCACAGTGCAAGCTAATGCTTGTTCACTCGAAAGTGCGGCTCCATCTTCCCTCGGGCTCAGGGTCGGGTTGCAAGCGCTAGTCAAGTAGTGTACTTGCCGGTGCTGGCTGGAATTCTATGTTATCTGTAGTGCTTATTATTATTCGCTCGGTTTGGACACTGGCGTTTGACCAGATCATATCATTCTCCTACTGCACAACTGCAATTTCTGTAGGTAGACAAGGTCTGACACAGGGCTTGCTGACTCAGCCGGCTGGCCAACGGGAACGGATCGGGGGGAAAGAGCCGCCCCACGAGGAGCTGAGCGGCTGAGCCCGGCGAACCACCGTACCTTCTCCACGCACATCAACTGCATCTGCCCCATTCGGTCCTCGTGAGTAGCAGCATTCCACAATCGAAGCCAGCTTACCAACCATGGCCGTGTCATATTAACGTGGTTTTCGCTATTGGTTCTGACGACAGCCTCTGACAAGCAGCAGCGAATTGTGGCCCCGCCTTGGAGCCATGAACAAATGCATGCAACCGAGCTGTTGATCGGTTGAGGACAAGAATCACGTACATAGAAGTCATAGCCTCGGATGCAGCAAGGGGCGCAAAGTATGGCCACTCAGCAGGCCGTTGCCACCGACCGTAAAATGGAGCCAAGGCTTACTACCACTTCACCACAACTGAACCGCTCTTGCGAATCTTGCCGATCGTTGAAAGTTCGTTGCTTGCCCGACACCAATGTTCCAAACCAGTGCCAGCGATGTGTAAAGGCAAAAAGGCCGTGCATATTCGTTGCGCCGCAACGGCGTCGACCGCGGAAGCGCACAGATTCGCGTGTCGCTCAACTGGAAAAGGAAATGGCTGCCATGCGCACAGTGCTCAAGGGTCGACACATAGTCATCGAAGAGAACATCAAGGAGGATTCTGAGTCTGGAAGAGCAGGAGATGCCGAAGAACCGGATGCCGTGGATTTCGGACCCCAAGTGACAGAAAAACCGCAACCTACACAGTTTCAAGATGTGCAATTCACAACCCCATTCAACAGACCGTTCCTTCATGATACATCACAATCCCCAGGCTACCGCTCCTCCCCCCAAATGTCAGGTGACGGAAACTCTTCGCTGAGTACCCCGGCACTGACTCTAAATTCGATAGATAAGGGAAATGAATTGGACGTCATTGACCGCGGTGTTATCTCATTGAGCACTGCTGAAGACCTGGTGTCTCTATTCATTAATGACCTACTTGTTTATTTTCCATTTATAGTGTTTCCCACCAACACGACTGCTCGTCACTTGCGAACCTCAAAACCCATCCTTTTCTTAGCCATCTTAGCGGCTAGTTCCATTGCAGTCGATGACAGCCTAGCGACTGCCCTCAATCGTGAGATGCTTTCCTTGTACGCGCAACGATTCTTTTTTCGAGGAGAAAAGTCATTGGAGATGGTGCAGGTGCTTCTGTTGATGAATATATACTATCTACCTCCGCAGTCACCTTCACAAATCCAAACATATCAATACCCGCATATCGCTGCGACTATGGCGTTGGAGATTGGCATTGCTTCTAAAAAGCGCATTCCCCGAACATCTAGGGAGAATCAGCAGAGGCAATCAAAGCCGGTCGGCAAATTTGATGAACAGATAGCAGAGCAAGCTCGTACCATCTTGACTTGCTACCATCTGACTTCAAAGTGAGTAACCAACCGTATAGGCGGGATTCTTCTATGCTTGATCTCTCGGAAAGAAAAACTGACTATAGTTAGCGTGGCAATGCGGGCACGACAGCCTAATATGCTTCCTTTCAATGACTGGATGAAGGAATGCATCCGACTCCTCTCCTCTTCTCCCATCGCCACGGACAAATGGTATGCGAGCTGGTTCGGGCTTCAAGTCATAACAGACGAGGCTATGTCATCTTTCGGGCTGGACGACAATAGTTCCACAGCATTGTTGTCAGAAACTCGGGTCAACAGTGTCCTCCGTTTGTTTGATAAAAAAATAGAAGAATGGAAAGAGGATCTTGACCCGGAGCATCTTACAGGTATGAATGAAATTTCCGAGCCGCTTTTGTAATTTCAAAGTCTCGTGTACATTCTTACAAAAGCACAAACACAGTTCCAATGATGCTCGAATATCAGTATACTACGCTAGTGGTCTATGAGATAGGTATTGGAGAAGGCTACCGTGATCCAGATGCGATTAAACGACAATATTATACCCTGCCTGCTCCAGATGGTGATAACTGTGCCAAGCGACCGACAGAACCACTCAGCGCTATGCGGCTTGACCTCACTGTCAGGTGGATGCACGCGGCGCAGGGATTACTCAATACATTCTTGAGTTGCGACGTGCACAGCATGCGAAAAATGCCTAACCTAACGTACATGCGTACAGTACTAGGTCTCATGGTTCTCCTCAAGATTTACTTTTCCGTCAAGTCCGGTGTTCTGGGGGAGATCATTGAACCTGATACTCTCAACATAGAAGGGTATCTGGAATCATTGACTCAGAGACTTGCAGAGGCGAGTGCCGATTGTAAATACCCAATTCCATCTCGATGGTTACGTGTTGTTGGCGGCAAGTCGCGAGATTGGTTCGAGCGATTCCAGAGACATCACATGGATCAAGAAGCACAAGCGCAAGATGATCAGCTCAATGCTAGCAGTAACAGTAAAGCCAATGTTGCACCGTCATTATCGACCGTGTCAAATGCATGGAACGGAGGGATTGTACCCACTCCAACACCAACAGGGCCTCCTGGTGCGAACGTTTCGCTTACAAGAGAATATATACTTCAGCATCAGCAGCAGCAGCAACAACAACAAGAAAAAGCAGAATATCGACACCAGCCCAACACATTCGGTGCCAACTTAGGCTATACCGGTCTATCTGCAGTTCAAGGAAGTATTAATGCTGCCAATAATAGTAATACTACCACAACGACAACTACAAATACATTCCCTGATTACAATCAAGCCACTGCCTGGATACGATCACAGCAATCATCGTCATCGCCAAGTGACCCATCCATGCAACAGCAAGTCGACTCGCATACCGGTGGTTATCACATATCACCGCAAGATGTTTGGGCCTTCCACCACCAGCAACAGCAACAGCAGTACATCAACCTATCTAATCACCACCAGGCTTTTCCTTCGGCAATGTCTGGTAGTGATCATGACATATCTGCCATGGAAATGGAGTTTGACTGGGTTCCTGAGCATGGCATATTTCAATTGCCGAGTTTTTAGTTGTGATACTTCTTTTTTCCATTATACCCCAGTGAGATACGATTTGTTATGCACACACACACACACACACACACACACACACACACACATATATATATATATATATATATATAGATAGATAGACTCTTGTCCCTTGAACATTCTTTGGAAGAGAAGTTTACAAAGCCACATACTGAATGCCTATATAAAATCAGATAGATACCAAGAACAAGGTGGGTACTGTAACTACTGAAGAGATATGAGAATTATTTTTTGATCAACGCGCTTATTCGTAAAGTCATTACCAGTATCCATGTATATCATACGATAAATAAACCAAGAAGAGAGAGAAAGACAGCCAAAAAGGAACCATCAGACATACATAATAGTTGCACATGAACATAAAAGCGCAGCCAACAATCCGAAAATATAACGGTACAACGTAGCAGGACAGCAGTCAAATAATACTAAAAGCTTCTAGAGCATCCATGAACCCCCCTATGGCACTTGCGCCGAGAATTCCTCGCATCGCGGTTCGTTTTAGATCCCTGTGACGGTCATGCGGCGCAGGCGCAGGGCTTTGAGTATTCTTTCGGCGTCTATTATTATTGTTGTTATTGCTTCCGCTGCTGTTGCGTAAGGATCGATGGCGGTGTGGTTGAGTTGATGGTGTTGTTGAATATTGTTGAGGTTGGACCGAGTTATCAGATAGTGTTCGGACAAGGCTATGGGAAGGAGGATATGTGGGGTTTCGTTGCTGATGCTGAGGATATCGAGGTTGCTGTCGAGGCTGAAGGGAAGTGACAGGGAATCCGGTCGATGTGGGTGCCGTTTTGTAAAAGGATGACGACGAATTTGCAGACATGCTATTGCAATTGGACGGACTCGGCGGTGGCCATGCTGGTTGCGAGGTAGCTAGTCGGTCCGGGTGTCGGTTTATATTCGCCTGCGGCACTGGGATTGGTCGAGACTTGGGGGGCACTTGAGTTTGCGCGGGCCCAGCAGGCTGAGGGTTCTTAGGAATGCCCTCGTGCTGCCAGTAATTATTAGCATCGCAGCCGGGAACGGTATTTGCTGTAGAGTATGAATAAGGCCGGGATACGCCGTCCCTCGACTGACCAACAGAGACCTCTTCCTTGGCGTCAAATAGTCCCTGCTCTGGCATATTGTCAGAGTCGCTGTCTGCAAAGCCTGAGTTCGAGCGGGATGACTTCTTAGAACTCTTCTTCTCTAGCATTGAATCCTCAGAATCGCTATGAACATGCGCTTGCTTGTTCGAGTACAACTTTCGTAGTTGCGCTGCTTTCATGCGAGCTTCCTGCGAATGAGGTTCCCTCCAATTTGTCGTCACACCTTCGATGAAATATCCTTGCATGGGGCTCCGGTCAAGTGCCTCGTCGGAGTCGGATATTTCATCGTCGCTTCCAGAGGATACATAGGCCGGCAACATGCTCTTGACATGTTGTTGTCCAGCCTCTATGCGGATCCAGCGTTTCAGTAATGCATCAAGAACTTCTGCTGTAAGACGCAGCATGTCGTTTGGTGATTCTTCCATGAAGTTCAGCGACGATTCTACCCCAAGAGGAATAACAGGAAATTTGGATGACATTGGACTGCCCGAGGTCGTGTCTAAGCGACTTGAGCTGGGGGCTGTATCGATCGCTTCTTGCCGGGCAAGTTCCCATAATCTATCGAGCCTCTTTGTTGACCAATATCTGACAATCAGCATATTCTGCGCATCGGCCCTCTCTTGGACTATCAACTCGTCGGCGAGGGTGTTTAAAACGCTAGTGTAAATACAAAGGATTAGTCTAAAAGAACAAAGCACTGATGTAAACAATAAAAACAAGGGGCGTGTAACAGAAGGTACCTTTTTATTTCTTGCAAGCGACCAAGGTGAAGAATCTGTAGCATTACCATGAGGCTCAGCTTCAGCGACTCCAATTGAGCCAAGAGATAAGTGACGCGCTGCTTCTTAAAACAAGTCCTGAAGCGCTGCTGCACGGAGACTGCTTGTTCATTCGGTTCGTGCTTTTGCACCTTGTCCAGCATATCCTCAACCTCTTCGAAGACTGCTTGAGCCTGGTAGCTGATCTGGTGTGCCGTATCAACGCATTCCCGCGCGTGTACCGAATGCTCGGCCTGAAGACTCTGGCCCAATTGCTTAAGGCTCGTCGAGAACAGAGCGATGCCTTTGGAAATGCTATGGATATCTACGCCTAGGGGGGCGACCTGGCACGCAACGGCGTTCAGGAGCAAGGCCAGTCGTAAACCGGCACCGGCTACCCTAGTGACAGTGTTTGCCACACCTGCAAGAGCGATGACATTATTAGCTGAGCGGAGAGAGGTCTCTTCCGAGAGAAAGGAGCACGCACCCGTATTGTTCGGTACTGGTGTTGTCGCAGGCATGTTTTCTTCATGGGTCTAGAGATGACTATAGGATAAAATGCGGGCAAACATGGGCCTCATTTATTCCTTGACCCAGCATCGCCACATGATCCCAAGATCTCGCAGGGCTGCGGGGATATGGGGCCGAGGACAGTGCGCCATTTGAGGCTCAATGAAGCATCGCATCGCCGGTGATTGGCCTGTTGGCTGCTGTTTAGCCTGCGAGTCTATGCCTGTTGCAGGCCGGGGAAGCGAAGCCGAGGAAGATAAGCCTTACGGTGCTTCCATCGCGGCTTCTATTGGGAGCATTTCGGGGTTCTTCACGGCAGCGCAGCCCGCAGTCTTCCGGCGCAGCTGTTCACGGACAATGTCGATTCGTGCATGCAGAAAGAAGAACAAGGAGGAGAGTGTAAACATTCACACCGGCTCAACCCGTGAACAAAGCGAGGAAGGCGTATCACGTGTGCCTTTGTTTGGCAGGCGCTGGCCGGCTCGGAAGTGTCTACGATGCCGTCCTGTCTCGACGACGACGACGACATGCTGCGAACTCAGCTGCCGGACTCGCCCGGGAGTTTTTTCCCCTCCTAAAAGGACTCTCCTGTTGGACATTTCTCGCAGTCGTCTTTGTAGATGCTTTTTCCCCGGAGAAAAGTCTCCCCCAGCAAGTGCGTAAGCCATACGGTCGGTCCTCTTGGGAAGTTCGCAAATTTCCTCCTAAAAAAAAGGGTGCTCTGAGTTTCACTCGATAAGAGACCAAGCAGCCTAGGAAAGTAGAAGACGCCGAGAGTATCTCAAGTAGATGGCAAGATGCTGCTGCCCCTTGTTTAGTGCCGGCTCCTCGTTGGCCAACCAAAGCGCTCTCAGACTCCGTCATCCTCCACAGGAGCAACTCTCTTTTTCTTGCCTACGCGACTCCCTTCGTCGTAACGCCCATGGAATCGCGTCACCAGTGACCGTATGCGAGGAATTGGCGTCGTACGTCTTCCACTCGCCAGTGTTCGCCGTGCCTGACCTGCGTTTTCCGCTTTTCCGTCTCATGCAGTCCCCGCTCGTGACTTTCAACCCACCTGTGCTGCCAGCCTGAGAAAGAACACCTTGTGGGATAACAAAACGTCGTCGCTCGCCAGGCTTCTGGATTTCCTCGCATCACAAAGGCACAGCAAGGCCGGATTGTCTTCCGCTGGTCCGCGCGAATGGGTTGTTTGGAGAGAAATAACCTGAGCGACGACTCCCGTACGGATCATCTTACCGGCAGTGACGGGACACGGAAGTCCTAGCTATTTACAAGGGAATCGAGTTTTTTAATATGTCTTCTGAGCAAACAGCGTCAGGACCTGATGCTGAGTCCAAGAATCCTCCGCAGAGCGGCGAGGGATCGCAGTTGGCATTAGATGACTTTGGCCTTCCCATACGACCCAAGCACAAGAGGACAGATTCCGAGGGATCCGGTCCCGGATCACCGGGCTTCCATGATGCTGAAGAAAGACCAGTCCCAACTGATACTATACCCATCCAGACGACACAACACCATTCAGCGGCGGCGACCGAGACAAACAAGGGGGAGGATGACTTCCAGGCAGACGAGGTGCAGCCCTCTGCTCCAATTACCGGGCTAGGAGTAACAATTGAGAGCAACAATGATTCTGAATCGAGAGCCATTCACGGCTCTACTGCCGACAACCAAGCAGCAGAACGCCAGTTGGCGAGTCCCAAGAAAGAGAAGCATTCTCATAGCAAAAACGACTCAATGGGAGCTTCCGAATGGTCTCACCAAAAACTTACTGAGCAGCATTCCGATGAGGAGAGTGACAGCGAAGACGAATGGAAGGATATGCCAGCCCTAGGAGAACTCGATCATTATGACGATTACGGCAGGCTGGTTGCGAAGGGCTCGAAGCTGGATGAGGATGACTATATGGAGCCCGGGGCGGCAAGTCGAGGATACACACGTATACAGCTAGATGACGATGCCGTCTCTGTGACAAGCATGGACGAAAACTCGAGCTATCTTTTCAAAGAAGGTGGAACTTCGGTCGGTGTGGACGATGATACTCGCGATGCGCTTAGCCAGCTGCAGGCTACGAAGAACCTTCTGAGTGAAGGCCAACGGATCGCCTACGTCGGAGTTGTGCGCCTTACTATACATCAAATGACCAGTGATCTGGAGAATATCCCTGCCACTAAGTCCTCTAAGAAGGCCTTGTCGGACGCCCTAGACTCAATGAAGAAATGGAGTCAGGGAATAATGATACGACTCTTTGCTCATATGGACATTGACTCTGCGGAGCAGGTCATGATTGAACAGCTTACTGAGCATGGGGTTCAATCGGCGGATCTTGTGGCGCCTTTAATGAAAAATTCCCGAGTCAAAAATCCAATGGCCGAAGAGGGTCGTTCATCCCTCGGGTCCTCTTCCTTGAGCTCGCCGAATCCTGAAAATGACAAAAGAAATAGTTATTCTATTCCATCAAGCGTATCTCCCCCTGCTTATGAGGAGAGCATATCTCCCCCGCCCTATGCTGCTGAAACAGACGAAGTGCCAGCCGTTCAGACCCCATCTCAGATGCCCACATCGGCCAGTATAGACATTGATCTTCGATGGACTGTCCTCTGCGACCTATTCCTTGTCCTTATCTCAGATGCAAACTATGATGCCCGTTCGCGTTACCTGCTTGAGCAGGTTGGTAAGGCAATGAATATTTCATGGATGCAGATTAGTCGCTTTGAGAAGAAGGTCATCGATGCTCTAGAAATGGAGCAAGCTGCTGAGAAGGAGAATTGGGATGAATCAGAACATATGGAACAGCGACGAAAGCAGGCTTTGAAGAAGAAATACATGGTCATGGGTCTGGCGACTGTTGGAGGAGGGTTGGTAATTGGCCTTTCGGCAGGTCTTTTGGCGCCGGTCATTGGCGCCGGTCTGGCAGCTGGTTTTACTACTATTGGAATCTCCGGCACGGGGGCTTTCTTGGGCGGAACTGGTGGTACTGCACTGATTGCGTCCGGTGCAACTCTCACAGGAACCTACTCAGGCTTGAGGGCCTCTCATCGTCGGACAGGTGCCGTTCAGACTTTCGAATATCGTCCACTTCATCATAACCAGCGGGTTAACCTGATTGTCACTGTTTCCGGTTGGATGACTGGCAAGGTTGATGATGTACGACTACCTTTTAGTACGGTTGATCCCATTATGGGTGATCTGTATTCCGTCTTTTGGGAGCCTGAAATGCTCCAAAGTATGGGTTCCACAATCAACATTTTGGCAACGGAGGTAAGAAATATTGGTGACAGGCAGAAAAGCGATGGCTAACGGGTGTATATTTATATAGGCTCTCACTCAAGGTCTACAACAAGTCTTGGGAAGCACGATTCTGACAGCGTTGATGGGAGCTCTACAACTTCCTCTGGTGCTTACGAAACTTACCTATCTCATTGACAATCCTTGGAACGTGTCATTAGTGCGAGCGAATGCCGCTGGTCTCATTCTCGCGGATTCTATAATGAGTGGCAATTTGGGAAAGAGACCTATTACCCTTCTTGGATTTTCTCTCGGTTCGAGGGTGATATTTTCTTGTCTTAAGGAACTCGCCAAGAAAGGTGGCTACGGTCTTGTGCAAAACGTCTATTTATTCGGCTCGCCAATTGTGGCCAATAAGGATGACTATCTCAAAGCGCGAAGCGTCGTAGTCGGAAGATTCGTGAATGGCTACTCATCCAACGACTGGATCCTAGGTTACTTGTTCAGAGCTACTAGCGGAGGTATCATGCGCGTCGCTGGTCTTGCTCCTGTTCTTAACATCCCCGGTTTAGAGAACTTTGATGTGACGAACTTGGTCACGGGTCACATGAACTATCGTGCAGCCATGCCGCGGTTATTGCGTGAAGTTGGTTGGGAAGTGTTGAGCGATGAATTTGCAGAAATCGAAGATCCTGATCCTGACAACCATACCGAACGACAACGAGAACTAATTCGTGAGATTGATGAAGCTCGCAGAGAAGCAGAGGAGAAGCCAGACAAGAAGAGATTTGGACTGTTCAAGAAATCGACCCTGGCGAAAAAGAAGGGCTGGGAGACGTACGATCCAGATTTTGCAGATAGTACGTCGCACCCGAATTCGCCCAAGTCACCGTCCGGGCATGACAGCGTCCTGTTCGACATTGATGCTATCAGAGCGGAGCTTGCATCGGAGCAGATTGAGGTTAAGCAACTCGAATCAACGCTGCCACCAATCAAGGTAGACTTGAACGGCCGCAATGCCGATCCGTCGAGCCGACCAGATCTACGACAATCAAAGAGCGAGAGTGACGCTGGTACGTTAGCAGATAAAAACAACTCTATAAAGAATACTCCCGACACTGCACACAGAGACTTCACTCATCTCCACAACGGAGGAGGAAGAGAAGAAGAAGAAGGAGAAGAAGATATTCAATTGACGTTTGACACGGCATATAATATATCGACAGTGACGGAATCCAATAAACGCGAAAATTATAATGACTACAGTAATCACAACAGCAATAATAACAAGCTATACGATGATGAAGATATCGCAACGACTCGGCCGGCTTTACATTCAGTTGCATCGATGCCAGTTGACTTCGGACATAATGCCTGGGCCGACAACGAACATTATGGAGAAGAGGAGGGTGAAATCCACATGACTTTTGAATGAAATGATTGCATTGGGGGCTGATATTTTTCTCTTTTCACCCCCCCGCTGTGTTATTCTTTTGGTTCAATATGATATAGATTTCTCGCTTTTTGTCATGTCTTCATATTTTCTTATTCGCATTTTCATCATGATTGAGCATTTTTCATTTTGATATTCGTTGGCAAAGCAGGCAGTTTAGTTTGTTTTCGAGCATGATTATGGAGATAATAAGGCGTTTGTTCCTGTCAGATAATCAGAACGTCACAGCCAATAGATAAGGAACGCTAATGCGTGAGAACAAAGGATTATCCAAGAACTGCCTTGCCATGGATATTAAGGTATACAGGCGGAGGTCATAGGCTTATGTGTGTATCCTTTCATCACATCACGATCATCATCACAGTCTCAAGGCGATGGATGACATGCCGGCTGGAGAAGGCGAATGGGAATTGTCCGGACCGACCATCTATTTCAACGACTCCTCCACTGAAGACGCAGTAGACTTACCTCCCGTTACCTCGAGTGATTACCTTGCCTCCATTCCCTGTAGAGCCAGTGAGATCGAAGTGATTGTGAATCCTCACGGGCGGTACGCTTTATCCGTGTTATTTTGCAGTTTTTCGCTTCTTATTACTAAACATGATACATAGAGATGGAAATGTTTATAAAAAAAAACTGCTTCAACGGCTGCTGCTCATATGTTAATTGTCGAAGGACAGGCTCAATCTGACGACCAACGTGAAGAGCTGGAGGGATTAGTCAAGGAAACTGTGGAACTGGTCCAGGAGCGCATTAATGATAGGCGAGCAGAGTCCCATTGAATGGTTTATTAGGCTAATTAAAAGCAATTTCTCCAATCACGTCCGAAATTTCATAGTTGGGTTGACAAGACCTGCGCGGAAATTATTCATATAAGAAACATCTTTCCGGGCTTCTCTTGAGACATTCAAGCAAGGGGTCTTCTCTGTAAAAAGAATGTCTGAAAATGCAGCCCGCAATTGTGCTTGAGCTTGGCCGTGTGGTAAAATGGCCTCTTCAATTGTAATTACACCAACCCTACCATGTATGTTAAGTAATATGTGCGAGAGGTGATGGCGGTCAGGAAGGCGGTGAGAGCACACGGTTTTCTGACCGGCAGACACCAATCGACGCGTGCTTGAATTTTTCTTTCCCAATTATCATTCTGCCGTCAATACGCGTGTCGGCCGCGCCGCGTTGCGATTTCCGCTATTTCAAGAGCAATTGGCCTGCCGTATGTATATCTCAAGATTCGGTTATTTTGAATTGATTCAGAGGAGGAGGGAAAAAAAAAAAAGAGAAATAGAATAGATCTTATGGCTGACCATGTTCATTGCAATCAGTACGTGTTCAGATCATACTAGATTCATCCCGATGCATACATACATAGCATGAGAGACAGTCGCAGCAAGCAATCCAAAGTCACGAAGTGAACAAACACTCAGGCTGCTAGAATCCCCATTCGATAGTCTTGCGACATGTAGTCGCGCTGTGTCCACCCAATTTCCGATTGTTTCGTGCTTTCTCGAGCACAATCGCACCATGTATAGACGCACCAGACTGGCCAGAGATGCCTCGATTGCCCTGACGAGAGAAAATAATCTGCGCGGTGTGCCTTTGTCGCAAGTTGGTGGGATAAAGATCAAACAGAGAGACCACAACAAGGGGGTCGAAAACAGCCCCCATGTGAAACAAGAGCCTGGCACTGACGATGAACCGCTGAGTTCCAGCGAGGAAGAAGAAACGAAAGAAGAAGGAGAGGAAGAAGAAAAGACGATAAAAGAAGAGGAGGAGAGAAAAGTGGCCGCAAAGAAGGCAGGCGCCACTAAGCGAAAGCGCAATGGAAGGGACGACCCAGAGACGAAAAGCAAGTCACAGAAATCCAACCCGCCATCGAGTGCTCCGTCGGACGAAATCTTTCACTCTTCACTTAATACCAACAAACCAAGGAAAAGAACCATGTATGGTAAATCGAGCCAACATCTCGCTTCTAGCCAAGATAGCTTCAAGCAACCGCCGCCCGAGTACAAGGACAGCAGGCTCCAGAGTACGCCCGCATTTCAAGTTCCGCCGACTGTAGAAGTCGACGGTCTCCCTAGTTTGCAAAAAGAGCCCGCGTTTCGTATGCCTGCAGCAATTCAGGATAGCCATGAATTGCACGATGTCCAGTTCATACAACCTGCTGCATGTGCTTCGAGTTCTGCCCTTACTGCCGGGGACCTTGATTTTATCCTCGACGACGATGACGATTTATCCCCTCTCAGCTCGCCACCCTCCGACGTGTCCTTGGCTATGGCAGCGTTTGCTGATAAGGGAGCTGCGACCTTACCAGTGGACCCAACAGTGACGGGCACGACCGAGCAATCGCGTTGTCCGAATTGTAATGCGCCAGTTGATGCAGACCTTCTCGACGAGTTTCTTGCACAGCGTGGCCGTCGACTAAGGGACGAACGTTTGTTTTGTGAGCGCCACAAGGCCCACAAGGCTGAGAAAGAGTGGTCCGCCAAAGGGTATCCCACAATCGATTGGCATACATTTGACGAGCGAATTCAAAGACACTTTTCAGCGCTTGAGCGTCTGCTCGTGCCTAGTCCGTCGTCCTTTTACAGAGGCCTCTTAGAGAGTTCGATGAAGGCTGGGCAGGCGAGGGTCTTCAAAATGTCTTTAGAAGAAGATAATCTGGAGAGTCTGTCGTGTGGATACTACGGCCCCAAGGGAGCAAGCAGAATGTGAGTACTTTTTCAACTCATCTTTTATATAGAGAGGAGCATCGCCCAATTGACAAGATGACTAATAGGTTAAACTCCGTGACTTCCAAGTATTCTCGCAAACTGCGCCAGCTGGCGGCTATGGATAAAATCCTCAAAACGGCCGGTCCCACTACTTATGCGCAGGCCGTGCTTGTCCCCGAGTTAGCAGTTCTATTGATCAAGGAAGATATGAAGGTGGACAGTCAAGATGCTCGTGAAATCCTCAGAGATAGTACGGACATCGGAAACCGACTGAACGCAGCTGAAGATGACCAGATCCCTGTGGCTGAAGACGACGACGATGGCGGCAATTACATATAATGTGCTACTTTCCCCCCTAATTCGAACCCTATCATATACCCTGCAATGTTCTAGTTCCTGCTTGCAGCCGGACTGAATATCATAATCTGTTGTGTGAGATGAATATATAATATAAAATACAATATAGGGGTCTGCTATGTGTAAAATACGCGTATAATTACTGTAATACAGCACTGTACTTACCTGCCAAGTACGGTCTAGCGTGGAGAACATCACGTCACCGCCCTCTTATCTTGTCTGCTCTGCTTAGACTAAGAGCACATCATCGCGACACACGCTGCTGAGTTCTTCCTCGACCATCATCAGCAGGTGCTCGAGGGAATGCTTCTTGCTCTTTCCCTCTAGACACAATCTTATCGACGCCATGAAGGAAGAAGCAGTCCTCGACATGCCTGCCTCGGAGACAACTCCGCTTCTTGTCGTCCAGACTGCTCCCCGGCGTCAGCGCTACCCTCACCATGTTCTACGCCGCACCTGCACTGTGATTCTTGGTGTTGTGCTTGCTGTTGCATTGACTTTGTTTGTTTTGCCGATTCGACTTGTGTCGCGCAACGACGGCTCTCTTTCGGTCAACGTTCCATGGTCCAAGTCGGACTCCGAGTCATGGCCCCACGGAGACGGTCTCACTTATAAAGAGCTGCAAGCAATTCTACAAGAGACGCCCATAGCAGGAAAGATCGAAGAGTGGAGCAAATATTACACTGCAGGACCGCATTTAGCAGGAGCCAACTTCTCTCAGGTGCTTTGGACACAAGAGAAATGGAAGGAATTCGGTGTCGATGACACCACCATTGCGACCTACGATGTTTACATCAACTATCCGCTAGACCACCGTCTCGCCCTGCTGAAAAAGAAGGGTGCTGACGACTATGATATTGCCTTTGAGGCAACCTTGGAAGAGGATGTCTTGGAAGAAGATAGCACAAGCGGCTTGCCAGACCGTGTCCCTACTTTCCATGGTTACTCGGCTACCGGAAACGTCACTGCTCCGTTTGTTTATGCCAATTTTGGCACATACGAAGACTATCAGGATCTGATTGATGCGGGCATCTCCGTTGAGGGCAAGATTGTCATTGTCAAGTATGGAGGTCTCTTCCGTGGCCTGAAGGTGAAACGTGCGCAAGACTTGGGCGCCGTAGGAGTAATCATCTACTCGGACCCTCAGGAGGACGGCGATGTTACGGAGTTGAACGGGTACGAAGCATACCCTGCTGGACCCGCTCGGAATCCAAGTGCGGTTCAAAGAGGCAGTGTTCAATTTCTCAGTACGTAGAGTTCCATATTCGTGTGTTCTCAACTGATTGTGGGTTCCTTGAAATATAGGTGTTGCACCAGGTGACCCAACCACTCCTGGCTACGCATCGAAGCCTGGCGTTGATCGACAATCTCCGGAGCATTCTATTCCAACGATCCCCTCTCTACCGATATCGTACACTGAGGCGCTACCACTTCTTAAAGCTCTCAATGGACATGGTCCAAAGGCTTCTGAATTCAATAAGTACTGGCAAGGAGGGGGTCTCGCTCACAAGGGTGTTGAATACAACATTGGTCCGACACCCGATGATATAGTGATCAACCTCTATAATCAGCAAGATTATGTTACAACACCTCTCTGGAACGTGATCGGGGTCATCAAGGGCACTATTCCAGATGAGGTAGTTATCCTAGGTAACCACCGCGACGCTTGGGTTGCAGGTGGCGCCGGTGATCCTAACAGTGGCTCGGCGGCTCTCAACGAGGTGGTGAGAAGTTTTGGAGAGGCTCTTAAGACCGGATGGAAGCCCCTCCGAACCATTGTTTTTGCTAGCTGGGATGGTGAAGAGTATGGGTTGGTCGGATCTACTGAATGGGTCGAGGAGAACCTGCCGTGGCTCACTGTCGCAAATGCCGTATACATCAATGTCGACGCAGCAGCAACCGGTCCGTCATTGAGCGTGAGCGCTAGTCCCCTTCTCAATAAGGCGTTCTACGAAATTACGAGCATAGTCCAATCGCCAAACCAGACAATCAAGGGCCAGACGGTCCGAGACACATGGGATGGGCGCATTTCCTCACTTGGTAGCGGAAGCGACTATACAGCTTTCCAAGAGTTTGCCGGAGTTCCCAGTGTATCCTTTGGATTCAGCGGAGGCAAATCCGATCCGGTATATCACTATCATTCGAACTACGACAGCTTCGACTGGATGAGGCGCTTTGGTGACCCTGGCTGGCACTACCACGTCACCACCGCCAAGCTATTCTCCTTACTGGGAGCTTACTTTTCAGAAAAGCCGATTTTGGGTTTTAACGCTACAGACTATGCGACACATCTTCAGCAGTATGTTGATCACATCAGACCACACGCAGACAAGCTTCCCGAACAGACTCATTTCAGTTTCGGTCCACTGGAGAGATCCATCTCTCATCTCCACGCTGCGGCGGTTGATTTCGATGCCTATGCTGCGGACCTTGGATCCCAACTGAGCGAGGACGTACCTTGGTACCACTGGTGGAAAAAGCTGCAGCTATTCTATAAGATTCGCGGTGTCAACACTAAATACAAAAATTTTGAACGGAAATACTTGTATGAAGATGGCCTGGATGGACGGAGCTGGTTCAAGCACGTTGTCTTTGCTCCTGGTCTCTGGACGGGTTACGCTGGAGCGACCTACCCAGGATTGGTAGAGAGTTTGGATGCGGGCAATGTCACGAACGCCGTGGTAAGTTTGCTTTCTTTTTCTTGGGTGCAGGATTAGTCCACTAACGTAGTCACAGAGATGGAGCGAAATCATTCAAGAGCGAATTCACGAGGCGACCAAGTTGCTTGAATAAACTAGCATCACTTAGTGCACTATCTGGAAATTGGCCTCTCGGCGCCGTCACAGGGCAAAAGTATATGTATATTCTCAGCAGAGTGAACTGTATCACTCTCGGATGATGTTTTTAAATTGGTTCTGATCTGCCCCATGTGCATATTGACACCAAAACAGCAATCAATATATGAAATTCAAATCCAGTAGAGCCTAGGTAGATTTTATTATTTTAGAATGTATATTCGTTTGCACTATCTGGTAGAAATATTATCGTCCACGAGCTATAACCGTAGTCTATACATATCGTATCGCAATTTGCAGAATGAAATGATCATGAACATTGAAAGGCCGATGCATGCTTTTTAGTCATCATATCAAAACCAACGCCATGCAATCATAAACCCTTTGTATCAAGGCGAAAAAAAAAAAAAAAACCAAAAAAACAAAAAACAAATGCAACCCGAAATTTCCCTTCACTTTTGTTAAATGGTCAGTCATATATTATCATTCGTTGTCGGCATGGTCCCCATCTACTTCGTCCTCATTCTCGTCGTCGTCATCAGGTGAAAAGCCATCAGACTCCTCAATCAAAAACGCAGGTGTTGCAGCAAACATAGCCAACACGGTCAAAATCCACCATGGGATAACCACATAACCAAGCTTGACGCCCTCAGTGAATGCGGCGCCCACAATCGCCGGGCCAGTGGCACGCCCAATCGCACTAACGCTAACGCCGACGCCATTCAAAGTACCCAGAATCTTGAGACTAGACGCCGTATTAGTGAGCAGGATAGTGGTGCACGGAAAACTGAATATGACGAGGGCCAGCTTGGACATGAGAAGGAGGAAAACTGCGAATGTGCGGGTTGACGGTGGCACTAGCACGATGAATGGCGTTACGAGGTAAATGACTGGGAAGAGAATGGCGACGACCTGGAAGCAGCGTAGAACGCCATAGCGGCGAGCGGCGACGGGGAAGAAGAGAAATTGTACGAACATGCCGATTATGCCGATGAGAGTGTATAGAATGCCGATTGTTTGGGAGTCTGGGTTGTCAGTATGCATACCATGTCGTCAACATAGAAAAAAAGAAGAAAGGAAGTGTATACACACCAAGGCCAAGCCCGCTGGTAAATTTGAATGGGAGGTTCACGTCCGGGTTATCAATCATGTCCTGCTCAGGATGATGCAGGAACACAGGGAAGAGAGAGTCGAATCCCATGCTATGCAATGCCATCATGCCGTAGGCTAACAGAACCAGACTGGACTGCGGAGTGAAGACGGATTTGAAATTACGAATTCCGGTTTTGGTGGAGTTGCGTCGGGCGTTCCTATGGTCATTGTGGTGAATATCGTCATGGCCGTTAGTGATAGTAGAGGTTTTGGTGGTAGTGGCAGTACTCGTGGTTACAACACTGGCTTGTTTTGTAGTTATTGTAGCATAGTTCTCTTCATCCTGTGCGCTTTCAGTGGCGAGGAGCCTCGTTCTTTCATTTACAGCCGCATCATATCGAGCATAATGGTGCGGCTTTGATCTGCTCGATGAGCAGGACTGGGTCAAAAGTCGACCGAGAACCAACCCATAATCGCGTTTATGTCGGCGGGTTTGCAGTGTCTCCTTTAGATTGACATATCAGTATATTTATCTCACGCCAGGAAGTGTCGTCTCTCTTACCTCTAGGAATAAGAACCCCGTGGTAATACCAATAATGAACAGTAGCGCAGAAAGCACATTGGGCAAGGCAAAGGGATACTCCCGGAAGATTTTCCACCCACCAAAAATATCTGGATGTTTCACGGCCGGATTGGCCAGGGCCCCTCCAAAAGCAGGTCCGAATATACTGCCAATCGTCCAAACTAAGGGCATAATACTAAACGCGCGGGGCTGCAGCTCCTTTTCAGGAACCAGCTCTGCAACCATAGTCCGGATGATGCCCACGTTACCGTTCATGAGGCCCAAGAACGCTCTTGCAATCAGCAAGGAGGTGAGAGATTTGGAAAACCCGAACATCAGCGAAAAAAACATGGTTGACGTGAGGCCCATGAGGATTGCGTATTTGCGTCCAAATCGATCGGAGAAGGTGCCCCATGGCACGGCCATGATGCACTGGCATCCAGCGACGACGGCGGAGGATACGCCGACCCATTTTGCGACTTCGTTCTTGCGGACGCCGACGCTTTCCATCATTTCGGGCTGGAGCTTGTCAGAAGACATGAAGTTCGTTTCTGTTAAGGTTGGCTAGACATACAAGGTAGGGCAGGGCCGATGTATACACCACTGGTGTTCAGAACAAATATCAGCTTACAGTTCAGTTTTATCCATCGACCGTCTTGCTTACCCGGTTCTGCAAATCGACATATTGCTGGCACACAAATCTATGAGTCAACACGGCTGTTGAGTGACATACGGGGGAGCTCCTCGACTTACACAGGATTAGCAGCTGCTTGACCGGCAGTAGCTTGGGCTGTCCATTGTGCACCATCGTGTTAACGACTGTTGAGGTGAGGTAGGCACATCTAGGTATCTACACGTGCGCTAAGAGGAAGAGAGGATACAGCTGGACCTGGGAAACATTGGAACAGACAAAACGAGGCTTGCAACGCAAAGAATAGTAATAGTAGTAAACAAAGACAGAGAGCGAGACGTCCAAAGGTGGAGAGAAAAAAACAGCAATTTCGGGGCAATACGTAATTTGTAATTTTCTTTTCGCAGACAAGTGCGGGGAATTGACTCTTGCGCGCGGAGAACGTTCCGGTACCAAACCCTGTATTGTAATACGCGTATTTACTAATTTGTATTCCGCATTTTGATACTCGTACCGCGTCTTCCAGCACGAGCTCTCCCGGTTGATGATTTTGCAATATCAATATGAGGCATGACTGACCGACTGACATGAATCGGCGCATATCGCGATGCCGCCACTGAGTGTCGGCGTTGGAAAACAAGTTGTATCCTGCTAATGCAGCTAAACAGGCCCTGTGACGGCGCAACCCTAGTTAACTTTCAGGGCCTAGACGTGCATAGCGCGCCTGCAGGAGCTGGGCTCGTATTCATCTGATCAGCAGGTTTTCTTTCAATTACTAATCTAATCAGAGATCAGTAATGTAGGTATCTACATCGAAATTATAGATTTCGCCATCAAATACGGAGCAAGGTATATGCTGATCGCAAACTCGAGTGGAGTGGTGGCATTGTATTTCCTAACCTTTTATTCATACACGCACATCGCCGTAACAAAGCAGCATCACTGGCTTATAGCCTTATACCAAGAGCAAGCACCCCCGCCCCCCCTGAAAACTAAACCCGGCTGGCCCTCTTATCCCTAAACGCCAGCCCGAAAACCAACAGCCCGTACGTCGCAAGCACGCTGAGTGCAACGGGGACAGGTTTGCGTAGTCGAATTGCACGAGGGACAGAGGCACCGCCCAGCACGGTTGAGGCCAGCAATCCAAGCTCCTCGCCGTAGGGCTGGTTGTTTCGTAGTCGTAGTAGACTCAGGAGGTAGAGTGCGCCGACGGAGAGGCCGGCGGCGATGGAGGGGATGGAGCCGGTTCGCGCATACCCGATTATGCCGCCGATGGAGGTTAGGACTGATAGGGCTCCGGCGGAGGCTGTGGTGAAATCCTGAGAGGGCTATTTTCGTCAAGTAAGGCTTTGGTTAGAGAATGCTTTGCCTTGATGGATTGATGGATTGTGTGGATGTGTCAACGCCATCTTGACATGGAACAACACCCACCATATTTGTACTATTGTTCCGTATTGATTAGACTGCTTAGTTCAGAGACGCTAAGTGGTTGGTATATGCGCTGTAGTGATGAGGACTGGCTGGGTTGAATGATCGGATGTTGTTGAATGTTGACAGCGCGAAGTGAACATCCGATGACGAGCTAAGTCTCTATTGCGATTGGCCCGCAACCAACCAACCAATCAACATCTACAATAAGCATATCTTCTCTACGTTGTGACATTGACACACCGGACGAGAATTGAAAATGAATCGTATATTACTCTAATCCTATATTTAATGCTTTGATTCAAGGACGTGCCTACCTTTATATCTAACCCAAAGAACCATCTTGTAGTTCAAAAAGAATCTGTCGTAGAACGACATTGGCAAATGCTCTGGGGAACTGAAGCAGCGCACTGGTCGTACAACAGAAGCGATAAGAAGGAAAAAAAAAAAGCACTGGCCTTATGCAGGAAGAGGCAATGACCCCTACTCACCGACAGATGACCAGCGACAATTAGAATCCTTGATTGGCTGTTCTTGGTCTCTTCTTTGGCATCGACAGTGGCGGCTTTGTGTGTATACACAGTGTAATGGAATAATGCGAAGTCTCTTGCCATGTTAAAGCATGTCAGGGGAAAGAATAGGTATTGTTCTCTTCAATCAAATGACGAATATTTCATATGGTTACGTCGAACTTAACTTGCTTGTCCAACAATGCCATCTTCCGATTGATCGCGATCATGAAATTTGTCGGCCTGGACCATATCTGATTTTCTTTTGTTGCTCTTAACCAGATGCATCGATGACATCGTCGGAGTTCGTCGTCGGCCGGGCAACTGCTGGAACAGTAGCATCGCTGAGTACGGTATCTGCTCCATGAGGAGGAGTATATGCATATCTTGGCAGAGTCGCCATCTTTTCCTCGGGGCTTGTCTCGTTGTCGGAATAAACCAACCTTATCTTTGATTTGTCCTTTTCCTTCTTTGCCTTCTTTTCCTCTGTTGGCACAGGCTTCTCCGCGGGTGATGGTGCGGCCTGAGCTTCCGCGGTTTTGGCAGCTCCCGAAATCAATTCATCAACCGAATTTGATAATGGCGTAGCAGATGAGGCAGGAACAGAGACCTCCGCCAGTGCCGGATATTGCCCATACGCCGGAGGAACGCCCGGAGAAGGAACGCCAGGCAACGGATGCTGCATTGGAGGCAGTGGCTGTGAATTTATTTGGGGACCGCCAAAGGATGGCCGCTGCGGAAGGCCTGGCGCTGCTGGCAAGCTGCCCGGTCTCGGTGGATATTGAGGTAAACTCTGAGGCGGTGTGTGAGTCCTTGCAGGTTGTTGTTGCTGCTGTACAAATGGATGAGGGGAAACTGTAGTTGCGTATGGGGGTGGCGTCTGCCCAGCTTGGAACTGAGGTGGAGAAGCATACTGGGAGACACCATAGTGTTGCAGCGGGGGAACCTGCTGCTGACCATTTGGAGCATGATTTTGGTATACAGGACTCGGGGTATGTTGATAAGAAGGTGTGGCTGTACCATATGAAGGTGGATATGAGTATTGTGTGTTTGGCACGTTGCTCGCGGGTTGCTGGGCTGGCGGGTGTGGGAAGTTCTCTCCCTGCGAAAAGAATTAGTCTCTTCTCCTTTCCATTTCTTGAAGAAAAGGCTATAGACCAGATACTTACAAAGCCAGTTTGAGGTTGAGAAGCACTTTGGCCAGCTCCCATGGGAGTAACATTACCGCTGCTCCCTTCAGTAGACTTTTCAGATGCCACTTTCGCCTTGTGCTCTGCTAGACGCTTTTTCAGATCGGAAATCTCTAGCTTCGGCTTCTTCGCCTGGCCGCCATCCTTCGCAGCTCCGGGTGGAGGATTCCCCGTAGCTGCGCGACGCTCAGCTTCAGCCTGCTGGAATTGTGTAAGGACGCGCTGATTGTGAGCTTGAACGATATCTTCGGGGACACCTTCCATGCCAAAAATCTCAATATCAAGACTTGTCCTGTTAGGCAGCGCATTATCGACTTCACTCAGCTGTTCTTTGTGGACTTGGCTCATATGAACCGAAAGGCCTTGACGGAGAAAATAGATCAGCCAGAAATACAAGAAGGTTTATCGGCGAAATGGAAAAAAAAAAAAAAAATAAAAGAAAAAAGAAATCCACCAACCTCCAGCCGTGTTCAATCGTCGACCACATCGCTCGCATTTGAAATGTTTCGCTTTTTGATGTGAGATAAGGATTTTTAAATCATCGAAATCTCGTTCGCAATAGTAGCACCATGGTCGCGCGAGCAACTCCTCCAAATCTGGGTGACCGCGCTTTTTCTTACCCATTGCGAGAACCTTCTATAGTATATAATCTCCTATATAATCTGCAAGAGAGCAGTGACCGTCTTGCTGCGACACAATAGGTTGTGAGTCACCGGGTAGTTGGATGAAGCGCAATGGCGACAGATGGACTGACTTGTCAGTGAAGGTTGAGTGAGAGTGACCGGAAGAGGCGACGGACTTGAGGTCAGCGATTGAAAGTCACGTGGCACTGGCGTATTTTATTTCTTTGCTGTACTACGCTGACGCCGGTTAATTACTAGCGTAATAAGTCAGCCAATGAAAGAGAGTAGTTGCCTATACTTCTATCATGCTATCTCATTGCAGAGCATACATATGTCATGCGATTATGATGTACGGAACTCATTGTTTCAGATACCTTTATTGACGTTCAAGTAGAAGAATAAAAATCTGAAAAATAAAAAATTTCATATGACAACGCCGCCGCAAAATCATGACCATTTGCAATCCATGTTCAACCCTGAAAGAAATATTGTCCCAGACCCAGATCCTGATGCAATGTACAATTTGAAGGCAAACCTTGACCCAGTAGTTATCCAACATGGTTGATGACCCAGCTTCAAGATATGCCAAATAATAAATGATGAGAGAGTAAAACACACCAAACGGTTGAACCGGGGCCAAAACACAAAGAAGAAGACACTCAGCAGGATTTCCCCATCTCAGCGCCGTAACCAAACGCACCGAAGATATCTTCAAGTTGGGCATGCACTGGTGGTCTATCCCGAAATGCAGCAACTCGACTTGATTCTCCAATGTGTCCAAACCCAGCAGATGAATGTGCAAGTCCGAAGTTTCCACCGATCATCTCAACTCCTGTACAGACTTTGCTAGACACATGAAAAATACGGAAAAAAAAAAAAAAAAAAAAAAAAAAAAAAAAAACAGAACGCTCGCCGCAAAGAACATAATAATCTTACAGGCCATTTATTGTTTGATTTTACAAGGCAAAAAAAAGGAAGAAAAAGAAAAATAGGAAAGTGAGGACATGCTTTTCAAGATGGCGCGGTATATTAAGGCAAATGTTAGTAATCACATGAAGAGAAAGGAGGGAGGGGGAAGTTGTATGTTCTCATGTTGGCCGCCATGTTCAAGTAAGATTGACCAGTAATTGACATTCAGCGCTCATCAAGGCCGCTGCGTCTGAGCTCCCTTTTGAAGCTGCATTTGAGGTCGGGTCGCATCATAAGGATATGTTGGAAGTGGCTGCATTATCTCGGGAGGACCAGCCTCATGGCGATGCGGGGGATTGGCCGGTGGAGGTGAAAATTGTGTTTCTCCATAGCGAGGATAAGACGGTGCCGAATTGGGGTAAGAAAAGAAATGTGGCGGACCAGTCCAGGAGGAGGCAGGATTTCTATCGAATCCTGGCAGGACTGGTTGGAGAGGGCGAGGAGGGACAGCAGCAGGAGCCGAATTTTGTGGAGCTAGGAAACTCGGCGGAGATCGTGGCCTAGATGGCGCAGATGGTGGAAGAAAATGAGCTATGGGTAGGCCAATTGCAGCTGGCGTGGGCGCAATCGTTGCAATTGAAGTAGATGTGGTCGTAGCTGGTTGGATTGGAGCAGGCTGAAGAGAAACAGTGGCTGCCATAGAAGTGGTTGCTGCTCTGGGTTGCTTTGAGACCGAGCCATCGGCCGTATCAGTACTTGTAGCTTTGCGCTTGCGAGTCTTAGTGGCAGGAGCCTTTTGAGGTTCTTTGGACTTGCGTTCAGCATCTGCCAGCCTGTCGGCTTCAATCTGTGCCTTGGTACGCTTCGGATTCCTAGTCCGTCCTTCTTTATTGAAACGCTTCCAATGGTCAAGCATGGCCTGAGTACGTCGCGGATTCTTGGATTTGGCAAGCAACTTGCGCCGATTCAACTCTAAAGCATCAACCACCTCACCAGGTTGGACAAGGTTTGGGGGCAGAGCCGCCAGGGCAGGGGGTGCTCCAGGGGTCGCAGGAGCAAGGGCCGGCTTTGGCACAGGAGCAATGCTAGCGGATCCACCAGTAGCATCGACGGACGCTCGATCAGGGGCTAACCCATCGGGTTGCGGAGATGGCGTAACGCCGTTGGATAACAACGGGGCAGTTTCCGCCGAGAGAGGCGCATTGACAGCTTTGGAGGCGATGGCTTTTGCCAGAGGGACCTGTGCAGTCCGCGAGGACGCCTTCAGAGTTCCGCCACGACCACGTCCTCCACGTGCACCGCGACCACGACCTCGCAGGCCTGGACTTGGGGGTGCCGTTTTAGTCTCGGGAGTTTCGACTGCTTTGCTAACAATAGAACGGGTAAGGCGCTTGAAAGGCTGTCCATCAATGTCTGATTCGAGGGCTGGAGTAGAGCTATCATGACCACTCATCTGTCGAAGTGCTGCAATCTCACTGTGAGGCACCTTGCGTTTGCGACTTGTCGCTCCTCTCCCCTCGAAAGGAGTTAATGGAGGGTCTTGAAACTTAGGAATATATTCCTGTCCATGCTTCATCATAGTTTTAAATCCATCGGGATTAGGATTGCTAGGGGCAACGTCGGCCTGCATCTTGCGAAGTTGAGCAGCAGTCGGTCTAAAGCCACCCTGAATAAAGGGATCTGGACACTTGAACAGGGAGCCCTTCTTCGGATCCCGCTTTTTGGGATCGTGTATGGTAGGATCGTATTTGTAGCCATATAACATCGCCTCCCTCTTGTCTTGGAATACTTCAGGGGGGTCCAAGGCCCGGGGGTTGGCAGTTTTCTTCGAAGGTTTGATTGCTTTGTTCATGTCCTCAATGGCCGACCATTCATCTTGCCAAGTTTTGAGGGCATGAGCTACATTCGCAGCTGAAGCGTGGAGCTCATCCGTGGACATTGTCTCGAAGTCCTTGAGCGAATTAAGGAAATCTTCTACAGGGGTCAGTTTCAGAAACTCTCCCTTCTCCGTCGTACTGCTCAGATACGGGTTCGGGCGAGTAGGAACATCGACGCTGGCCTTTCTAGCCGTCGTCTTTGATTGATCAAAGACATAACACCAGGTTTGGTCGAGCTCGGCGGTAGTGTCATCGTAATCTGGATTGAATTCACGGGCGTCATGCAGCTTCCAGTTTGCTAGCAGGCGATTTTCGATATATTCATGTGCCTGCTGGCGTCTCCAGTCCTGAAGCTTGTTGTGAAGAGCGCCTGTGGAGTCGGCCTTCAGGGCAGCATCAGAAGCAATCGCATTCGTTTCAGGTGTTGCGTCAGCGTTGGTGGCAGGAGCTGTAACGGTAGCGATGTGGCTTGTATCCAAGGCACTTCCTTGGCGAAACACATCACCATCGTCGTCCATGGTAGTCTCTGCATTAGTATCCTTGGTAGGAATATCATGTGCTGACAAGTTGGCAATCTGCGGATGCATGACAGCCAGATGCTCTTTGAGCACATCGTATTCTGAAGCGGCCCCGTGTGCGGGGGCTTCGAAATCCTTGGCGCACCACGGGCACTTGATCTGATGGTGAATTGAGGGCGGAGGCGACAGAGATGTCTCGATTGAGTGCGTGTTGAAGCCTTGATGGGCGCGAGCTGGTTCTGAGCAGTGGCGCTTAGCTACCGGCAAATCAGAGCGCTCATTGGCCCAGTCGGAGGACTGCTCCACTGCAGCAGCCATTGTCAAAGAACGAAATCGGCAGAGAAATACCGCTCGTTGATCCAAGGGAAGAATAGATCAATGAATGTGTGCTGTCCGTGATGTTAGTGAGCATGTACTCCGAACAATTGGGGTGATGCGGTCAAAGGCGCCAATAGGAGCACGGCAAAATCCAGGAAAAATGGGACGCGGCCAGTATACAATCAAGCCGGCGAGAAACGTCGATTGAGAGACAATAGAAGTCGTGCACAACAATAAGCATGCAGCGAGCCTCTCCTTTGCTCTTCGTAGAACAGACCAGACGCGGTGGATGTCGTCGTGTCCTGGAAGGGAAGAGGCCGCCAAAAGGACAAACGGAGATGATGCAACGGGGGCAGAGGACGCTGTCTGAGTGACAGACAGTGGCCATGAAGAAGACAACACGCAGGAAAAGAGAATTAGACGTACCAGAATAATCTATGTAACAAGAATCATGGAGGCGTGGAGGAGAAGAGGGCCAGGATGGTACCTGCGTTGTACACACAGCGAGAGGGAGATAGATCCCTGTCTCAGAAAAGCTCGAAGCAGGTTCTAAAACAAAACACGAGCTGCAAGATAATAAAGTAGGCCTGACTAAGAGGTTGCCAGATAGAGCAGCGAAGAAGAATAAGGCCGGGAGAGAATGGGAAGCAGAGGATTGCAGGAGGAGGAGAGAGCGAGGGAGAAAAGAGTATAAAGTCGAGGCAAAAGTGAAGGGCAGCCAGTCAAGAAGGGTTAGCGCCAAACCATACAACAACAGCACATTTTATATCCGCCAGCAAGATTCAGACGGGCATTCCCCGGCCAGCTGCCGAATCAAAGGCAAGAAAGAACAGTAAAATCAACTGACCGGTAAGACAATCGCGAAAGAGAAGAGAGGGAAAGAAAAAAAAAAGAAAAAAAAAAAAAAAGGACAAACGGGGAGATCGAAGGAGGCTAAGCCTGTTTGGACCGAGCATAGAGCGGCCAATGAGCGGGCTGGGTTGGATCTATTCTTTTTGCACAGTAATCGCTGGATGTCTCAGGGAAGTGTCTTACGAGGTTACAAATGTACATCCTGTCGTTGAGCATATATAATATATATCATTGTGAGTCGCCTGGCGCAGTCTGCAAGAAGCAGCAAAGCTTCGCCACCGCGCCATGCGACACTGGTCGCACAACCCGACGATTAGGTATTGCAGTATGGCTTCGACAAGCCAACCACCCTTTCCTTCCTTCTACACTCTCTCTGTCTACAGTTTGCTATGTAATTGTGAGGCTGTTCGTTATCTTGAGGAGGTGAGGTGAGGTCTGCTTGGCGCAGAAGATCATCCGGAAGCTCCACCAAGCGTCTCGGACTAAACTAATTAACTACAACAAACGACGACGACGTACATACAGCCATCACGGCCTGTGCCACGACATACATATTCCTGCTTGATTCAATACAAGCAACGCGATATCTGCTTTCTTGTGGACCGAGCTATCATGCCCCCCAAAAGCACAAAACCCACGAATGATGAGCTCTTGGCTCAATTCGACGACCTCGGCATCGACACAAGCAAGTCCGCCGACCAGGCACAGAGTGCTCCTGCAACGAAGAAGCCGCCCTCCACAGATGGCCCCCCGGATGCTGAAAAGGATCCGCTGGCTGAACTAGAGACCCTCGCATCTCAGCGGCCCAGCACCCCGCGCCTGTCAGCCGAAGCTCGTCGTTCAAAGCCTTCCTCCGGGCGGACAAGCGAAGACAAGTCAGCGCAGCGCAAGTCGGAGGATGTCGCGCCTCCCCGCTCCACCGTCGAGGATGAACAGCCGCCAGAGAAAGCCACAGCATCAACTGCCAGTACAAACGAAGAGCCCAAGAGCTCAGGTGGGGGATGGTGGGGAGGTCTTTTGTCTACGGCGTCGGCTGCCATGAAGCAGGCAGAAGCTGCGGTGAAGGAGATCCAGAACAATGAAGAGGCACAGAAATGGGCAGAGCAGGTCAGAGGAAACGTGGGCGCTCTTCGGGACCTTGGTAATGCATTTCTGTCCCATCTGCCTATTGACTATCATCTATCCATGCTAACCTCAGTACTGCAATAGGAGGGGAGCTGAGGACTCTAGCTCTGCCGACTTTCACAACCATCATTCACACATTAGCGCCTCCGATTTCCTCGCATGAGCGGCTACAAATACATATAACGCACGACCTCTCGGGATACCCGAGCCTGGAACCTCTGATACATTCGGTGTTTTCCCGAGTCATGTCGCAGGTGGAAGGCGGGGACCTACTCGTCATTCAGAGGGGTCAAGAGTCCTCTCGTCGCCGAGGGCCAGAATTCGGCTTCGCAAGCTCGACTGCAGGATGGCGCGATGGGCCATGGTGGCGAACTGTGACGCCGGGCAACCCTCGCAGCATTGCCGCTGTACCGGGGATGGTCGAAGGCACCAAACTCGCTCGAGCAAGTGCAGAAGCCTATGCGACAGAGTTCTACTCATCTCGCGGCGGCATTGAAGAAGCCGCCAAGCAGGCCACTGCCGTTTTGAGCGAGTCGAACCCGGTGCGCAGCAGCGATATTTTCCTCGCTATCCAGGCAGTCAGCCAGGTTACCCCCAAGGACCTGTTTCAAGCCGGCCCAACCGCAGAAAAGGCTACGAGTACAGGCGGCGTGGTCGAAGTAGCAGAGGAGGACGAGGAGGAGATCCTGTTTGCTATTTATCTGCACGACCCCGTTCACGGAATCGCGTTTAATGCAATCTCTCAAACTATTCCTCGCAAGTGGATCGATTGGCTTGATGCGCCAGCTCCGCCGGTGGATGCTGACGACGACGAAGAAGAAGAAAATAGCGCCCATGTGCCGCGTGTTATTGTTCCTGAGGCCATAGCAGATATCATCGAGAGCGGTGGAGTCGATCCACGCGAGTGGGCTGCCGAGTGGCTCGAAGAGTCTCTTAGTCTGTCGACCGGCGTTGTTGCACAGAGGTATGTCGCTCGTCGTATGGGGGTTGGCGAAGGGGGTGTGGCCAAGGGGAAATTGAAGGCCGAACAAGCCACGACAGTGGATGGCGGAGCTGGTGAGGCTGCAAGGGGACTTTATCAGTAGAATTTTGTGTTGTGGTTATTTTCTGTTCTGTTTTATGATGAATGATACTCCACGCTAGTCTTTACTATCCCGTCAGCTTTGCAGACGACTTAATTTCATCGTGTCAGCCGCCTCATCATCCCCAAGTCCCTAATGGAATTTTGATGTTCATATGATACATCGTATCTACGCTCGCAGAACACTGACAACAGTCAAGTGACTTTCATTCGCCGCAGCTGGGTATATGACATTTCTCTCTACCTACTATCTAGGTAATTGAAGACGAAGGTCTATGTGGGAATATAGAAACAATAAAAAAAAAAAAAAAAAAAAAAGAGTGGCTTAACTGCCGAGTTGCAGTTCACCATCGAAGCCAGGAGGGTGCCAAAAATTGGCTAGGAGAGGCGTAACACTAGAAATGTGTATTAGTTTGCGCTGTTCTATGCGATTTTCTCTGTGGCGAAGAGCGGGCAAACTCACCTCGTGAATCCGTCAAGTACAGTACGAGCATCGGTTCCTGCAGCGCTCTCCGCGAGACTTCTCTTGATATCGGACAGTTCTGTTGACCATTGGAATTGTCGCACACGGCGGGGTTGAGTGCTGGGTTTTGGTGTTGTGCCCACGACTTGGGATGTGCCATTAACGAGAGAAGGATGATGAATCTCGGCGTACAGACTACCCTTTGTCCAGACATTGGGCAGCGCACGCGTATATCGCACCGGACGGCTTTCCACATCTGCTCGCATCGGCACATTCAGGTTATACAGCTCCACGCGCTCGTCCCAATTGCGATAGAGATGGTCAATCAGACGCGCCGACAATCGCGCCGCAGCTTGAATAACCTCGGGCTGCTGTTCCTCCTTGCTACCGAATGACAGCGCAATGCCCCGTTTGCCGCATGTCGCTGCTTCAAGCGCTCCGCCCACAGTGCCCGACGAGAGATTGTATATGGTCGAGGCGTTTCTTCCATGGTTCGGTCCGGAGACTATCAGATCAATCTCTCCACGGTCACGGAAGAGCTCGTATATCCCCAGTTGAGCGCAGCTGGCCGGTGTGCCGTTGCTGACTACGACCCAACGCTCCTGCTCTTTGGTGGTAGCTGGTGCCAGGTTGGAATTGGTAGTAGAAGGGCTAGTAATAGTAGTAGGATTCAGATGCTCGCTTGAGGCTGCAGGTGTTGGTGGTAGGTTTCCGCTAACAGCGCGACATTCCTCTTCCTCTTCTTCCTCCCATGTTCCGTCCTCGCGGAACGAGTCTGGATGTACATATGTGGCCGTGAGCGAAGCGCCGATTATATGAGCCTTGCCGATCCACGAGCGCGACGCAGCGGGCACGGCGACTGAGACCCGATGACCAGCATCCTGCAGGGCGTCTACGAAGGGGCGAACATAGGGCGACAGTTTGCGACACGGCGGCCCGTCATCGTTCACGACCTGTTTTTATTTTTGGCGCTAATGTCAGTGCTTGCCTGGTTTTGGTGAGGAGGATTAGAGGGGGGGAAATCTTTTTGCTCACGAGGACATGCATAAGTCGAGAGTTTGAGAGGAAAAAAAAAAAGGAACTTAAAAAGGGTCAATTGGCATGCAGAGTGATCAAAGTGACCACCCAAGAAATCCGCTTATTAAGAAAACAGAGAAAAATTTATTTCTTTCGTTCTGCACTTGCATGTACTGCGTCTGAGTTTACAGATGTTGGGTGAATCCTGAAAATGTCCGTGGTCGCTCCTGAGTCCTCTTCAACCTTTCTTTTGAGCCTGTCTACCTAGCTTCCTTTCTTTTCCCTTTCATAAATCAAAGGGAGATGAAACACGGAAACATGAGAAATGAACGAGAAGAGAGAAAGAAAAAGAGTGACCCGAATAGCCAACTTAATATATAAGGCTCCGGGATAAACTTAACTTATTTTTCGTTTTTAGATCCTCACCGAGCTTCCTCTGGCTAAATTCAACGGCTCCCAATGCACGACAATCGACGCGGGGCATCGGAAAGAGGCCGGCCATATTCTTTTCCAGATCCAACTGTCTCCATACATGAAGGAAGACTGCCGACTCTATTCTGTTGTTTTGGGATCTCGGTGAGGACCGTAAGTAGTCAAAAGCCTAAAACGGATGTTCTAGACAACGGGCCGTTTTCCGATCCCATCGCCTGCATCTGTCACCAGAGCCAGGCACGATACAACATGTTCATTCATTCTGCGACGAGACGAGCATGGCAATTGTAATTCATCGATCGACGGGATTGTGCCTGTGGAGGGCAAATCGCCTGGCTGATCGTAGCAGTGAGCGAGCTTCCGAAGACTGGCTGCCAGTAACTGTGTGCCCATACTTCTCAAAGTTGCACTCGGTGAGATGGCTGAGATCCTATCACGTTGTGCCTTCCTGATGCAACCCACAGCGTGAACCGCTCACGTGCTGATCTCGATGCGACGATAGACATGTCGAGGGAGGATCGTCCAATGGATACTGGACCAGAAGACGAGCAGTGATTGAACAAGAAGAAGAAGAAGCAGCAGCAGCAGCAGTTGAGCAGAGGTTGGAGACGGTGAGCCTATACTATTCAGGAAGGGAGCCATGGAGCGTGCCTTCCTGACGCGCGCATTCTTGCAAATCGCATTTTTTGCACACTAAAAACTGCCAGTCTTCCCTTTACGGCAGTCGAAGCCGATTTACCAACCTCAAGACATTTGCAAGATTCGGCAGTACGTACATGCTACGGAGTGCTCAAGTCCGGCCCCAAATGGCTTGCGAGAGGATTGCTTTTGCCCCCAACAAATCCAGGTTGACTCAGGCATAACTAGTAGAAAATACTATTGGAAACAAATAATAAACAAACACATTGCTTTTCCCCCCCCATAGATAGATAGATAATAGATCAAGTAGCGCCGTATTGATAGGGCCCGGTCCGGGCACCCTCCGCCTTGGCCCGAGTGCCTTGGGGTACTTGAGGCTATTCCAGTACGTATTCCTAACTAACTAAAACCCCGACGTTGACTTTGCGTGTCACACTGCAAGCATTCGGACACCGCCGTGCAATCAATCGTATTGTCTGCGGTGGTTACTATTGGCGGTCGAGAAACTCCGCCGGCATCCGACGCCAAGCCATAGTCGTTTCTTCGTATTGTAGATGAACAATGCGATTATGCTAGCCTTCAAAAACGCGCTGTAATAGTTAGTTAGTTAACTAGTAGATTAATAAATTATTAATTGATTGATTAATATTGAACAGCCATCGAGTGGGGGGCCAAGTGTTCCCGTGCAAAGAAGAGAGAGAGAGAAAAAAAAAAAAAGAAAGGGCAACCCTTCCAAGCCCCGACCAAACCCCGCCGCCCCGTGGATAGAGCGAAAGTCTTTGCGCTGGTATCATACGGTGGGTTTCCTCCTCTCCAAGTCAGACACCAGCATCACCAACTCACCTCATCCACAACTCAACCACCATATCATCATCCACCACGAAAAGAATTCGTTCTCCCCCCACTAGCAGTCGCTCCGTGTCGCGGTTTGCTTGCCACGACCTTCCCTCCGCCGCCATTTACACCTGATGGACAGCGGGAGTACTGAGTCTGCGACGGGCGTCGACCCCAACACTTTCCTCAGCACCTGGGACTTTACCAACACCGGCAACAACAACAACAACAACAACAACAACAACACCACCCTCGCGGACCTGGCCTGGGATCAGAACGCTTTCGACTCCCTGCCAGAATTGGATTCCTACCAAGACTCGAATGAGGGTGATGCGGAATTGTTCGATCTTCTCTCCGCTCAGGGCCCGCCGAGTCGCGATAGTCTTGACCCCTCCGTCATAGACGCGACTGGCCTTGACCTAAGGTTCGTTTCTTAAACAACAAAAGAAGAAAGAAAGAAGAGGCTGTGTGAGGTTTCTGACCAAAGTCAATCGTCTTGAACAGTGTCTCCGTAGGCGTCGCTGACGGCGTGAATATTGTTGGCGGCACTTTCAGTCCACGGACACATCCATCGGTCGACGACAATGCTCTGGCTGACAATGGCTGGTCGCCGTTTCAACTCGCCAATTCCACGGGTTTCATGATGCCCTTGGAGTCGACGTATCCTAATCAGTACCCAAAAGGCGCCCTTGAGCCGAACACGACCGTGATCGTCGACGACGGCGAGCGGCTATTGACGGATTTGCAGCGGCCACCTTTATCCTCCTTGCACCGACTGCGCCATTCAATTTCATACAGTGACAATCATAATAACCACAACAACAAATACAATGGATGGCAGAATCCAGCCGGCTACTCGCCGTCGTTTATTCCGACACAATTCCCTATTTCACCCCCCCTCGAGGCGCAGTCGGAGACGAACAGCACTTCCATAGCTAGTACAACGATGAATCAGCAGTGGTTTTCTGCTGCCGACACACCAATGACTACTCTATCGGAATCTTACCATATTCTTCCGCAGGATTTGTCTGTCTACAATGAACCACAGCCGATCAAGCCCGAACCTCAGATGAAATCCCCCAGTCCGTCCACGCATAGCAACGGCATTGACTCATACGCTGCCGTGGGAAACAATGACATGCTCTTACCTGCTGAGAATAGCGTGAAGCAAGAGCCATTGCAGATTGTGGAATGGGATGAGCCGGCCTCGATAGAGAAGACCCTGAAATCATCGCCCGACTTTCCCAAAGTCAGTGGGTTTATGGTTAGCCAAGACGCGTCAGATATCCCACAAATGTCACTCGAGCAGGAAAGATCAAGCCTCTCTTCTGCATCCCACGGCGTCTCCCGGCACACCCCCTTGGCACTTCAGCCGGCTTCCGTTATACGCAGGCGTAAACAGAGAGACTCAATTGTCAACGTCGAACAAGTCCAACAACCAAGACCCCTGCAGATTGTCCAGGAAGACGGTTTGGGGGGTGCGATATCTTCTGAAGACTTTGTGTCTCCCCCTCGCGGTGCTCGCCGCAAGGGTCCCTTGAGTATTGTAGGACGAGCCAACGCTGGCTTGAGACGAAAGAACAAGGACACCTGTGTTCAGTGTCGTCTGAATAAGCGGAAGGTAGGTTAATTCCAGACGGCATCTTTCATTGCATGGTTAATCTAACTAATCCGTAGTGCGATGGAAACTCCCCGTGTGACGCATGCCGTCCTACGCTGCATGAGCAGCCTTGTGCGCGCGCCTGCTTCTCTAGCATCGTCGAATATGGAACTTGCAATTACATATGTAAGAGCAGACTCGATCGCTTTGAGTTAATAAGCGCTTGAACACTGACATGTATCAGCACAACGAGCAATTAATCACCTCACGAGCAACGGAGGCGACAAACGAGTGCGGATTGAGATCCCCTCAGCCTTTGATCTCAACAAACTGGTAGCCTTTCTAGGTGAACGGCGCGGCAAATTCAACATCCGTGCGACCCAGTCATGGGGATCTCTGTATGTCCTAGACCTTGGAGAAACGTACAAATTTCTCAAGAGTTTCAGCGAGTACAACGACAATGCTCAATCCACATTCTTGGAGTTTATTGACCATCGTGTCATTGACTCTAAGGATAAAACGAAGAATTGGCTCAGCTGCTTAAAGGATTGCGATCCCATGAACAACGTCTTCGTAAGTGCAATATTTCTAGCTCATTCTGCCTTTTTCTTTTGTGTGTGCTTTTGACTTATTTGATTGAAAAAAAAAATGCAGAAACTTCTTTCGCAGTGGAACAACATGCCAAGCCGGGCATCATATAGCTTTGTGTCCGTTGATAGCAGCTTTGAAGACCAGTTGATGGATGTTAGCAGCGACCAAGATCGCAAAGACATTTTGCTTGCTGCTCAACTGTCGCGAATCTTCTGCCGTTTACTCGAAGTTGAGGGCTTCCGTAAACTTGAGCGAGACTTTTACAATATCAAATGGAAACGGATCTCTCTTGATGCTCATCTGCGATTCCTGGAGGAGCTCGGGCATATTCTCTTGTCCTTGCGGTGGCGAGTCTCGTGGTGGAAGCTTCTTGGTGATGGTGGCGTTCATCCAGATCCCGGCCAGCAGCACTACATTGACCGTGTTGAACTCCTCTGCCGCATCCTTTACGTGTACTACACCAGCGTACTCACAAAGCTTCCGTCTTGGTCCACGGCCAACCATCTGAAAGGGAAGTGGTCACGGTATGCGGACACTGAGCAGCAGATCTGGGATGACTTCCCGGTCGATGCTTCAGAGAACGGATTCCAACAATGGATGGAGCATGGCCGCGAACTGATTGAATTGGCCGGTAGTCCTCATCGGGTGGCCAGCATTGCCAAAGTTTGAGCCTTTCTTTACTTCGATGAAGATTGTAGGGAGGCATATTTTCTTCCTATTTTTCTATTTTTCTGATTTATTTTGACGTGATTTTGATGATAAAGGAGAGGCGGGAAAAAAAAAAAAGGAGGAGCGTTAAAAGATACCCAGGGCAAGCGATTTTTGATGTTTTTGTTCGACCTAACTAATACAAGACAAAAAAGCATAGAAAAACAGAAAGAGATTTATGATTGACGACACTGTTTTTATGTCTCCGTGATTTTTTTCTTCCTTTTCTTTGACTTTTCTTTCTTTCTTTCTTTCTTTCTTTCTTTTATTCTTTGACAGGGTTGAAATTCTTCTTTTGGTTCGATTCGTGGTACATAGGTTTTATTACTATTATTGATACTAATTTATTTCCCTGGAATGAATCCGCATTATAAAGCTGAGTTATGTGTCGTAAGCTATGTACAGTGTAGAAGATGACCGTGTCACCTCCAGTATAATTCAATATACGCCAATAGTCGTCCAACTCATCGATTATTTCTTCTTAAACTCGGCCCGTTTCTCCTTCATCTTGTCCTTCTTCGCATTCGCCAACAATTCCAGATGGCCCGCGCGCTCAGCCAGACTACGCTCCGTTTTGGCTATGAGGCCCGACGACAGCTTTTTCATTGACTTGCGTTGTTTCGCGAGGGAGGACTTTTTGGGTGCGATTACGCGGGGACCGATTTTCGAGGAGGATCTTTTTTTTTTCTCGCGGTTAGTTCGACTTTGTTTCGCTGGACAACGGAGTAAACCCACTCACTTTTTGCCGGTGGTTGGCTTTGTCTTTTTGAGCGCGCCTTGGGCCATAATGTGTGTGTGTGTGTGTGTGTGTGAGTGAGATGGGTGTGTATGATATGCTTATTTATTGTAGAGGAGTACAAGTTGGGATTCGCAGACTCGGAGGCAGAGAAATCCTTATCGCTTATCGGACATGTCACGTGGCTGCACGTCCAGTTTACTCGTAAGCAAAGCAGACAGAATCATGTGACAGCAATCCTTGCCGGTCTGACTAGACCATCACTGATTAAATGCTCAACCAACACATCGTAGTTCGGAGGCATGTTGCCAGACAGAGAGCAGGCGGAGTTACTATATAGTAACTATGCTTTGGCGGGTCAGCTAACAAATAGTCGGGAGCAACGGCGGGGACAAAAACAAACATCTCGTTGCATGCGGAAAAGGAGGCAGCTAGCTAACCACTAACTAACTACGCTCTCGTTCCTTTCGCTTTGTGCTCTTCACTCCCTCCCTCTCTCTCTTTCTCTCTCCGAATCCATGTCCAGTATTTTTGTTTTTCCGTATCTGTGCAGGCAATAAATAGTGCGCATGTGATCGGAGCTCGGCATTCCTCGGTCTGGAGAGCTAATTTGCTTCGTCGGAATGCTACTTCCCTAGCGATCCATGGGAAGACAGAAGAATCATGGAAGCCTCGCCAGCGTCATCGAGCCATAATAGCTACAGCCACAACATCAACAACAGCAGTAGCACTAGCAGCTCCCCCCGTTCTAGCCCGCCCTCTGTGTACAGCTACCGCTACAACTACCGCCAGCACCTTTCGCCGTCTCCACCACCGAGGCCGGAGCCATTGAACCTCCGGACGCGACAGCTCCAGCTTCGAAACGCGCGCTTCCAAGGCGCCACAATCTCGCCGGCCAAGGTGTCTGGTCGCTTCTCGACATGGCGGTCATCGTCGCCCAGTTCTGATACCTCAGTCGACAAGGAAAACCAGCCAGCCTCGCCCGTCGAACAGCAGCAGAAAACCCCCGGCTCGGTGCGGAGAAGAGTAAGCATTCTGCAGGAAATCCACGACTCGTCACAGCGAGGTCGCAAACTGCGTCGCTCGTCAGTCACCCGGCTCTTTGGCCCGCCATTGGAAGACGTCGAGCTTTCGTCGACTCGACGGCACGCATACAGATCTCCATCCATCCTGGCGGATGGCCGTGCTGAACCCGTGATGGCCACTAGTAGTGCTTATCAAAATCGGTCATCACCGCTGTCGTCACTGGACGTACCGTCTCACAAGAACCGCCTCAGGAGTAATAGCCGTGACCGAGCCACCAGCTACGCAACTGAGAGGTATATTGAGCATCTCGAGACACAACTGGCCGCAGCGCAGAACCAATTGAGTCCAATGCAGGTGTCAACAGCAACCCAAGCTCAGACCTCGAAGCTGAGGTCTTTGAGTGCTGAGCTCAAAGTGCTACGGCAGGAGATCTCGGAATGGGAGGACAAATTCGAGGTTCGAGTCCATGAAGAAATAGCACTGCGGATGGACATTGAAAGCAAATTGCGGACCAAGATTATCTTCTTGGAAGGTCAGCTCGAGGATTATACAACGCGTGTCAAGGAACTCGAGTGTGAGCGCGACCTCCAGGCGCAAAAGTTACGCAATGTAGAGTCGCTGCGATCGACGAATCGCGGCTTGGAACGACGCATTGATGTCTTGACCGAACTCCTTGCGCAGTCTCCTACAAAATTAGAACCGCGGAGTCCAGAAGTCTCGCCCACGCGCAGCCCGGGCCCACGTTTATCTCGACCGAAATCAATGCTCCCTTCTGTGCCATTACGTACAGACCTCGTCTACCAGTCTCTGGCCGACCCAAGCGTTGCAAACGGAGATGCCGAAGCCGCAGTCGAGAAACAACAACAACAACAGCCAGAGCCGGATAAAATACAAACGCCAGATCTTATTCCCGACGACTCCACTGTAGCTTCTTCGGCAGCATCCAAGTCTCAGCGCTCGTCTACAATATCTCACCCGCCATCAACATCAACTTCATCTCGATGGAGTGTGCCGCTGCCGTTTTCTCCAGAGTTGCAAGGCAAGACACCAGGACGATCACGGAATATGCGACGATTTCCTTCTGGAACATGCTCTTTGAAGCCATTAATATTACCGACTACTGCTACTCCGACCCCTGCGTCTCCTCAGCGACAATCTCTTTCAGCAGAACTCCACCCTTTTATTTACAGCCCAAATTCCGAGCGAGGAATGTCTGACGGCGCGAGTGCTGCCGCCCAAGAGGAAACACTAGCTGTTTTAGAAGGCCGTGCAGGTCGATATCACACATTCAACGAGCCAATGTCAGATCCGGAGGAGGAGGAGGAGGCGGCGGAGTATAACAATGACAACATGTCAGAATCTCCATTATCCAGGAGAACAAGGTCTGTCTCTGAAGTTCATCACCACCGATTCTCTTCAACATTATTTTCAGAACTCGAGGAAGCCGAGAGAAATAACGACCTATCTACAATATCACAAGGGTGTCATTCGCGCCGAACCACAAACCCAAGCACTCCTATGGGATTATATCATCTTAAATCTCATGGTAGCAGATCAAGTAGTTACAGTACCACAAATCCGAAAGGTACCAAGTCGCTATCCAACAAAAGCGTCCCAGTTGTCTTCCACGGACTCAAAACCTCCTTTGGCACATTCACTCAGACACTCATTGCAGGCATCTGGCAGAAGAGTATAGGGCGACTTGGAAAGCTTCCTTGGTGGATTCTGGGCATCCTTCTCGGACCCCAGCAGCGGGACGATTGGCTTAAAGGCTCTTCATTGAAAATGAAACCAGGCCACTGGACTACCTCATCTTCATCTGTCTGTTACGCATGTGGCCAGAGCAGCCTGCGACATTCAAAACCACGTCCCGGATTCGGTGACACGAAAGATACTAGTACTAGCTGCATGTCTTCTTTTTTTGAAGATAATGACACCCTTGGTCACACGCTACTAATGTGGACCAAGTTCTCAGTTGCGATAATAGTAGCCTTCGGACGTGCCATTCGATACGGCCCTGCATCCGTGTTGTTGGGCGCGGAATATGACCGAGCTGATGAAGATTATCGCCGACGCACATCGCTCATCAAGACAAGTGTCTTTGGCCACGATGGCGCGGATGGGAATGACTTTATCCCTTCCGAAGACGTCGAATATACCGCCTGGACACGACCGAGGACAGCGGAAGATTTCTTCACGAGCTAGCCCAGCCATGCTTTCTTTGTATTAACCTACCCTTGTCCCCCAAAAACACAAAGAAAGAAAAAATGGCAACCAATTCATGATCTGTACGACCCTAACGAAATCGCAGAATCCTCCTTTTATTACCGTTATTATTACTGTTCACTTAATTATGGGAACAATTGACTGTTTGTTCAAGGTTATTTTGTTCCCACTTTGTCATTGTAAATACTAGATAACTAGACAAATCAATCTTCATTAGATATATCCAGAGTACCTTCAGTTTATATGCAATAGTTATTATGTACGAATGTAGTAATGGTTGTGGTATCAATCTTTAAAAATTATGCACATGTATAGTATAGAAAAGGTAAATTCTCATGGCTCTATTCGTAACAGCCATCCCACTGTACAGTACTATAACTAACGAGGTATTTATTATCAATTGCTGAGTCCCAATGATGATTCAAATATGCCGGCTGCGTAGGAAAAGACTTCACACACACACAAACACACAGATGGAAAACAGGCGAGCTTAATAATCATAGTGAACAAGGAAGTAGCTTCACTTTAGAAGGAGAAAGAAGAAGAAAAATTTACACGAAAGGATTCAGTTAAAAAGCAAAGAGAGCGGCGAGACCAGCAGCGGCGCCCATGGCACCGTAGCTAACCATGTTGCTGGAAGCAGCGCCGGTGTAAGCAGGCTGAGTGGGAGCGTTGCTGGCGACTGAGCTTGGGACGCTGGGGGTGTGAGTGCTGGTGGTCCATGGGATGGAAACAGTGCCAGTGGAGAGAGGAATGGGGACAGCAGTGGTGGTGGCAGCACCGGTGGTAGCGGCGCTCTCGCAAGGGCAGACAGTGGTGGTGCTGACGACCTTGCTGATGACGGTGCTGAGAGGAGTAGAAGTAGGGGTAACCACGGCACTGCTAGGGATAATGTTGACGGTGGAAGTGGTGGTCTTGGTAGAAGCGGGAGCAGTGGCAACGGAAGATGAGGTGGTGGAGGAGGAGGAGGAGCTGACGCTGGAACCAGCGAGAATACCGAATTGGGTGGAGTATTGGTAGGCTTCGGTGGTGTAGTCGATGAGCATGATACCGTATCCGCCGGACGAGGTGGAAGAAGGTGTAAGTCCCTCGGGAGTCCAGGTGTGTTCACCGCTGTTGGCGATGGAGTCGGCAATGGTCAAGATAGGCTCGCAGTTGGTGGAAGGACCCTGGCAGAGAACCAGAGCGACAGGGCCTGGAGTAGTAGGGTCCCAGGTGATGCTGTAGGGCTCGCCCAAGGTGGCCGGGCTGGTGGTGTCTGGGGTGTAGATGGCGTTACCACTGGGACCAGCACCGCTGGCAGTTGGGTTGAAGGGAGTTGGGTATGTGTAGGCAGAGGCAGCGGCAACGAGGCCGGCAGCAACAGCGAGGAACTTCATTGTGATGGACTGAACTTGGATGGTTTTATATAAACAAAGTCGAAGAAGTCCGGTAGAAGAAATAAAAAGGAAGCTGTAGAGCTTGTTGTTTGTTGTTTGCTGTTTGTTTGTAAAGAACGACACGAGTCAATCGACTCTGATTTTTGGATTCCAAAGAGAGACTGGAGTGAGGCTGGAGAGGCTGAGCGAGAGAAGGAGAGGAAGAGAAGAGAGAAGAATGCAGGAAGGACGAGAAGGGGGTTAAAAGCGGTGGGTGCGGCTCTTGGGTTGCCCCTGCCGTACGAGCGATGAGTCCTGGCGAATTGGCTGTTCGGCCGCAATACGAGCGGCGAACCGTGCCTGGTAAAATAATTTAAAATAAAATGCAATGGTGGGGTGTGCAGCCTATCATGCTGTCTGCACGTGAGAGCCGGGTTCTCGGCTAGCAGGGGGTGCAGTGCAGAGCCAATCACAGCTGCGCAATGCACTGGGGCCAAATAAGCTAGCATACCGCGCTAGGCAGCTCCAGGACTAGCTGATGCTACAGTTTATGTGCGTTATGTATAGCAAATAGCCACGGTGTCGCCTAGCTTGGCTTAGTGCGGCTTAGCCCGGGGCTAGTGCGGAGGGGGTGGTGGGGCCTGTATTTTTGGCTTGGATAATTTCCGGTTATGCATGCATTCGACATATTTCATACATGTGTATTACCCGGTTCTCATTCCGGCGCGTGGCTGGCATAGAAGTCAAGAGCTAGAACTTGGCAGTCAGGGTGATGAGCAGATCTAGTTCTAGGATGCACTATGCACCAGACTGTGAGTGTGATGGAATAGTCTACGGTGTCTCCGTTTCTGCAAAGTTCAACTACGCTTTAGTATATTTATTAGTAAGCCAAGGCTTGTAACATTAACATACATCGCGTCAGCAGGCTATGCCTATTCGGTGGTGTTTGTTTTCGCTCATTCCACTGCGCATACGTCGCGTTAGTATCGACTCCTTTTGAATGAGACGAACTAGTACAGCATTACAAGAGCACTGTGCCAATGCTTGCAACGGTATACGACGATACGTAGTTACATTGGCTGGTACCGATGGAGATCATCATCATCATCAGAACCCAATCAACCAGACATTTATGATTTTTATCAATGGAGCGAGCCCCTGAAGATCGGTACAGTACATTGCCCTGGAGCCTGAAGAGGTGTTCGTTCACCTTGAACTCTAAAGACTGCAGGTTTAGAAGAATTGCGTGGCCGCTATCTACTCTGTAGTCTGTACTCGACGAGCTGCGCTATTTACGTTGTAAAAGATGCTTGTTTAGCACTTGGTTCAGTGGCAATCATACCACGGCTGCTTATTATTTAGCGATCTTCGAATGCAGGCTCCCGCCAGTGATACGGAGAAGCAGTGACGTTTGAAGCATAATACGTACTTGTTTATCGCTCGCGGCATTACTGATTCACATTTAAGACTATTCCCATTCGGTCTGTTAGCCCTAACATTACGTCACACCTTCAGTTTGCCTAGGTAGGGCACGGGCAATCAGGTGATACAGCATCCAATTCTATCTATCTCGAGCAGGGATGTCTTGCAGAGACGAGGACGTGCCATCCGTGATTTCATTTGGTGCTATCTGCTAGCTACTACTCATTAGTTTAAGACGCTCTGACTGTGTGTTCGACATTTATCTTCGTGAGTATGTTATTTTCAGTACAAGGCGCTTTTCAATTTCTAGTCGCAGATTTGAAACGATGCCATGGCATGGCAGCACTTGCCCGAAAACTAGATCCATGTCCAATGTCGCATCACAAGCCACCGTCTCGGTCACCAGCCCAGAACTCGGCTCGCGAAGCATAAAAAGGAGTGATTATTCTCGAGCTTCGGTATATGTAACGTGGGACAGGCGAGGGTCATACTATGGTGATACAAGATGTTGGTTCGGTTCGATCCGACTTATCGTTCCATCTCAGAGTCATCAACTCTGTGAAACGGCAGATTATTGTCCGGCATCCACATCGCCAACTGACAGGTACACAATGGCGATCATTGTCCAACAACGGAGTGCAACGCCGGGAAATAAACGATGAGGTAGATGATGGCACTGAAATCAAGCCAACTAATCTCTGCTTATGTCACCGCGGGATGGTGTCTCAATTAACTAAGTGCATCAACTAGGATGCAAGACACAAGGCACAAGGCACATTATTCTATGGGTGATACTTCAGGTTTCACGCTTTATTCGTTTCCCTGTTCTTGTCCTTCTAAGAGCACATAGCAACCGTGGCTGGATGACGTCTAGGCTAAAGTACATAATCATATAATGACATAAGATTAAGCCAATCCTTCGCGCTGATAGCGATACAACGCTCGCCCAATCTGAAACGCTCTCGAATAATAGGACAGACGGTTGGAGTAAATATTCGAGTTCGAGTCTAGATTCGCGGCGCACACGTCACGCTCTTCGCTGTCCGTGGTCCAGGCTGGCCCGCAGTGGCCCCGTCTGGCTTATCTAAGCCCTGATCATTGGCCGATCGGGCCACCGATTAAGATTTGCGGCTAGCCAGACTGGGGCTAGTCAGGGCACCTTCCCCTTTGGGGCGTGGCCCGATCCAGTTTTGCGCAGCGATCGTCCATTCTCTTGTTCTCTTGTATTACGCTCTCTTCAGATCCAGCAGATCCATAGAAAACAAGATGTCGCTAGCGCTTCTCCGCTGCTGCCCAGCAGATATTTCCTGCCCCCTTCCATCCCTCTCCCTCTCCCTCTCGCCCTTCTTCTTCCTCTCCTCCATCTTCAATGCCCTTTCAACCGTCCTGATCTCTGCCTCACGACCGCCATGCGCATTGATTATGCGATCGGCGCCCTTGCGATCGCCGTGACTCGCGTGCAGGCCTTGGCACCGCGCACCCAGATTGGTGATTCGTACGACTTCGTTATCGTTGGCGGTGGCCAAGCTGGCCTCGTACTGGGATGTCGGCTGTCTGAAATCGCGAACTCTACCGTCCTGGTCCTCGAGGCAGGCATCAATGGAGACGAGTACCGAGAGCGCATAGGTATGTGATGTGATTGATTCGCCGTCGCATTGACATGGGAGTTCTGACAACCGCATCAATCAAGACACTCCCGCCTACTCCTACTACGAGTCCCTGTGGACGACGCCAATGAATTGGGCTTACTACACCGTTCCTCAGCCCAATGCAGACAGTCGGGAGATAGAATGGCCCCGGGGAAAGGGCCTTGGAGGTACGCATTGGCCTCCTTCGCCAACTCAATATTCATAAACAAAGTGGTTGATTGAATTGTTTTTTTACAGGCAGTTCCGCTATCAATGGATTGTACCTTACTCGTCCCGGTCAGGATGAGGTCAATGCTTGGAAAGACCTTCTTGGAGATATGGATGGCGCTGAGAATTGGTCGTGGGATTCGTTCTATGCTGCGATGAAGAAGAGCGAGACGTTTGACGCCCCCTCTGACGCCATTGCCGCCGAGGCGAATATCACATACGATGTTTCCACCCATGGCACCCAGGGTCCAATCCACGCATCGTACCCCGGCTAGTAAGTCCAGTCGCCTTTTCTCTCTTATCTCCACCCAGCTGATCATGCCCTAGCACATTCCCGCAAGTGGGTGAATGGATGATGTCGTTGGAAAACATGGGCATTGCCAATTCTTCGGAGATGTATGGCGGTCAAAACTACGGTGCCGAGATCTCAACCTCCACCATCAACCCTGCCAACTGGACGCGCTCCTACAGTCGGTCGGGATACCTCGATCCACTCCCAGACAACGGCAATTACGACGTTTTGCCCAATGCCTATGTTACGCGTATCCTCTTCAATGACACTTCCCCTTCCGACAACCTGACCGCAAGCGCTGTCGAGTATACACTTGATGGTGGCAAGACCAATCTGACCGTTCAGGTCAATAAAGAGGTAATCCTAGCTTCGGGCACTATAGGAAGCCCCGCTGTGCTGCTCTACAGCGGTGTTGGTCCGAAGGACGTTCTTTCAGATGCCGGAGTCGAGCTTGTGTCTGAACTTCCCGGTGTTGGTCAGCATCTTCAAGATCATTTCGTGAGTGAATGTCGGTTTCATGAGATGGAAATGAACTATGTACTAACAATCTAAATTAGAGTGCTACCCTCAAGTTCAATACTAGTGCTGTAACTTCGGGTGCGATATTTTACGACAATCTCTCTATGAAGGTATGTATCGTAAATTTGCTACCTACTCTTAAAGCTCGCATCCTAACAACTACAGAACAATACTTTGTATCTCTCATATATCGACTCAGCCGTTGCCTATGTGAATGCGACAACTTTGTACAGCAGTAATCTGGAATCGCTGCAGAAGAATGTCTCGTCCCTGGTTGATAAATTTGTCCCGAACACAACATATGACGCCGGTGTCATCGCTGGATACAAGGCGATTTACAATACGACGGTAAACACAATTCTTAACAGTTCTGTTGGCCAGATCGAGCTCCTCTTCATGAATAGCGATGCGAACGGCGACATTGGAATTACTGCTGCTCTCCAGCATCCTTTTAGCCAGGGCCGCATCTACATCAATTCTTCGAATCCATTGGACTATCCTGTCATCGACCCAAACTATCTGGCCAACCCAACCGGTACGAACTCTGTGTTTGCCTCCTCGCCTAAAAGACAACTATGACTGACCTTGTGTTGTGTAGACTATGAGATACTACGCGATGGTCTCAAACTTGCCCGCAAGCTAGGTGAAACAGCACCACTGTGTAATACCCTAACGGCCGAGATATCCCCAGGCTCAAAAGTCCAGACCGATGATGAATGGCTCGACTGGCTGCGCGGGGCGGCGGGTACAGAGTTCCATCCATCGTCTTCCTGCGCAATGCTTCCTCGTGAGTTGGGTGGTGTGGTTGACGCCAACCTTCGCGTCTATGGCCTTGCCAACGTCCGTGTCGCAGATGCCAGCGTCGTCCCCATCGCCTTGTCAACGCATCTAATGTCCTCAACATACGGTGTGGCCGAGCAAGCCAGCAACATCATCCGCGCATTTTACGATCCTAACACGACCACAACAGTCACGTCTGCCAGCTCCACCGCAACCAGCAGTAGTAGTAGCAGCAGCGCAGCCAGCTCAGAAGAAACCGCTCCTTCCATCAGCTCTCAAATCGTTAAGAGTTCTGGTATTCGGAGCTTTTGTGCATTGGAATTGCCTGTGTGGATTTCACTCGGAACCGTCGGTATCGCCGTTGTTGTCTTCGACGCGTTGTTCCTGAATTTCCGAGCATATTAACGCCATCTCACGCACTTTTTGTTTAAACAAGAAAGCTCATATTGAGCGAAAGATACATATGGTGATCGGAGTTGTACATCTTATTTCCTTCCGGACGGGACATTTGTTTCTCTTCGTCTTCTTCATGACTAAAATGACCCGTACGATATCTTTTCTCCCTCCTGGCGTTTACAATATGATGGGTACACTGGCTTTGGAGGATCGGATATACCAATACTTAGATAGTATATGTTGTGCAAATTTGAATTTGAGTTTCTTTTCTTTTTAATTTTCTTTTTCAAATATCTACCTTTAAGTTGCTGTGGAAAGTTTTGTGACGCTTCCATGGGTCCGTCTGTAACAGCCCTAAGTTTCCTATTTTGGATAGTCAAATAGTGACTGCATGATTTTCTGTTGTCTTACGATAGAAGTACACGCTACACAACTCTCAATAAAACATCCATAGAGTCTATTTGTCGTATATAATCGGCGAAATGCTACGAACAAAGGATAAGAATAGTTGAAAAAGGAAGCCAGAACAACACCCAGCAAGACTAGACAGGAACAAGCGGCTTATTTTTCTAAGCTGAATGGAGCGTCCTCTTCTGCCGGCTGAAAATTCAAGTTAAGCCACTGCATGATATAATCCTCCGTATTCTCAGTTAGGTACTTGACATTGTCGACAACCTCCAATGACCCTTCCTGCGACGATGCCGGATAATGCCCGTCTGTACCTAGTCCAATCTCATTTGCGCCATTTCCATAGCTATCATGTTCCTTGGTATTATTATGTTCATCCACTGTCGATTTCGAACAATCCACGTCCGCGCCAGAAATCCCCTGACCAACTCGTTTCGGTCTATCAAACCCTATCAACCTTCTGTGCTCATGCGGCCCAACATGCACATTCTCATAGTCGCTTTCAACGACCGTGATATTCTTCTCATGCCGATAAACCGCCGGACGATACGACTTATTGTCCGGGACAATCACTATCTCGAGGGTATAGATGCCTGCATTCGCAAGATAAAGCGGCACCCGGTGCAAGCGTCCTGTCTTCACACGCTCACATGCAAGCGGATACTCAGGCTTATTGTCGGGTTGGAGCTGGGCGTAGAAATACGCTATTAGATACACGCGCTCTTCTTCGTTGTCGAACATCAGGCGGAACTCTACGGAAAACATCTGGTTTTTTGCAATAGAGCCCGGAGGCTCGAGGAACTTGTAGGGATCGTGTGGATCTCTTTCCCAGGAGAGACCGAATGGTGATTTTTGGCGCGGTCGTTTGGTGTTTGATTCGGGGGTTGGCGGTTGCTGTTGTTGTTTGCGTTTGTTTGAGTCTCGTTGCAATGGATTGCTGAAGTCGAGCACCACATGTTTGGAGACGAAGGTCGGCTGCATAGCAGTGAATATTTATAGAGAGAGAAAGAGAGAAGAGAGAAGAGAATGAAATACCGAGCAGTATAGCTCTGTTGCGGCAATATGGTTTGTCTGGTTTTCATAGACCTCAGATCGAGTGTAGACGATAGGACGTTCGACTGCAAACGTGATAATAAGAATCAAAATAAGAACAGTCTTGACAATCTTGGAGCTGCGAGATCTTTCGATGGCGAAGAAATGAGGCTTAATGGTGGTTTAGTCAGGTGCGACTGCCGTTTATGGCCGCAACATCCTCACGCTGGCTTACTCCGTCTCAACAGCAGACCTTGGATTTTATAGTCAAACTTGAGAATGATTCACTTGTCAATGCTGGTGATAATTGATTGTTCTATCCACTAGAGTCCATGGCAGAGTCGTCCGAGTCATTGACAATCTTCTTCCCGTGCAGGTACCCTTCCCGTTCAATTTCCACCTTGTTGACATACTCATCAGAATATTCATCGCCATCCCTCACGTACCATTTCGCAAAAAGATCGTTCTGAATCCAAATCACCTTGCCCAGAGCTTTGACCAGGGCTATCTTGCGATGTAATTGCATTCGTGGATGCGACAGGATCGCCTCTGTGAATGTGTCTTGGATAAAGGAAAGACAGGCGCCTATATGAATGTATTCGATGTGTAGGGGATGTTCTCGCCCTTGGCCAACATGCATCATACTGCAAACCGAATCATTAGCAGACGAGGCACAACACACCCTGAGATAGCGAAGAAGCAATAACCTACCCAACTTTGTCCAAATATTCCCAAAACTCCATCTTGCTCGGATCCGAGCACAGCTTGATCAAGTATCCCTTGAGAAACATCTTTCGGTGCATGATTTGTGGACTATCTTCGCTTGGGAATTCGTCAAGAGGGCCCTCAAAGCTCGTACTTCGTGTTTGGAACGCTCTCGCTGTGATGTCATACTGGAGGAGTTTGCGGTAGACAATATTCACGACGGCTGGTATCAGGGCTTTGATATACTTTGATCCGCTGATTAGGGCCTCGATGTCGTCTGGAGAAACTCTACATTAGTGATAAGAGAGAGATGGTTGCCTAGGTGTGTCAACATACTAGAACTGAAGTCGAGAAAGGTATGCAGGTAGTGTATTCGGTCTTCAAGGTTGGTGTATAAGTCTTTCCGATCGATGTGCTGAATAGCTCGCGGCCATGCTTTCATTGGGCATGACGGCGCCTTGGTAGTGTTGGTGGTGGTGGTGGCTGTGGCTGGGGTTGTGGTTTTGGGTTGCTCAACCGGCGAATCGCTCTCGGATGCCACCATGATTGATATCTCGGCGAAGAAATGCTAGAGAGACGTATCTAGTTACTTGGAATATGGTCCGGGAGCTGTGATCAATAATGTGTATATTTTCGAAAAGAAATCAGAAATATGTACATGCATCTGGCATTTATATAAAATCGATAGCGTATGTACATGCGTGTAATCTAGCACTCCTTCTTCGAAAGGAATTGAGATCACACGGTTGCCCCGGGAGGGGGCGATGGAGATGATGGTCTGTGAGAAGTGCAATTTCAAACAAAATAGGCAGAAACTCTCGCATCTACTGCGTATATGTGAGGGGATTTCCCATCATGTGTCTCCTAGATGCTCCGAAAAGTGGCATGATGCTTCGGATATCGGCGATAGTACGGCAATTAATTTAGCCCTCACGTCTATGGGCTGACTCACCCAACCTACGTCATAGCGTTGGCCATCTCTGTTTACTAGTAATTTGGATAATTCGTGGTTTTGCTCGAAATCATTCTACCATATTTTACCCATGGAACAATGTCGAAAGGATAGGAGGTTAGGGCTAGGGTGGCACATGCCGGCATAGCTCAACGCATAGCATCGAGTCTCGAGAACTAGTTACACGAAAGCAATCTCATTTCGTCCAACAATAACAAGCAACTACGTAGTAGGTACTACCCAGGCACAACACGCGAGGTAGATGTAGTGCAGTCTGATTGGACGGGTACCTGTTTTCGGATGGGTCGGTGCCTGAGGCTGTCAAAAACAAATACTCCGCGCTTTGCATGCGGAAAACGTTTGCAGCATAACCTGGGGTACCGTTTCATGGCATTATACTACTAAATTGAATGAGATATTAAGAAAAGTGAAAAAAAGCGATTACTTTCCTGTAAACGAAGGGCTTGTTTTCGGAAGTAAATGAGTTCCCTGCAGCAAGAGACATTCCCACATGCCAGACTTCGTAGCCCTAAAAAGTAAAGAGCGCATACCGCAGTCTCTTGTTTTGCCAGGAGACGCCGTAGGTATCAAGGGGTATATCGATCTTATCAATATTTAAGTTAAACTTCTGTTTACTGCAGCCTTATCTCAGATTTGGCATGGGATCGTGCTGATGCTATGCAGGTACCAAGCAAGGAGACCTGTGCCTGGACTTGCGTATCGGCTGGGAGGCAGATTCTATCCTTAGAGTAAAAATACGTGTGAAATGGCATGTCATCGGCTGGATCTTCTCAACGATGGTAAACAAACAGCAGTATTTGCCTAATCTTCAAGATCTATGGTATCGCCAGCAGGATGACGATGTCATCAAGATCCATTCTGCATTCCTGCCTGGCGCGGCCTGAGGCTCGCCAGGAGTCCAGAAGGCTCCCCCAACAGGCAGCTGCAACCCTCGTCCTGGAATAGGCATAGCTCCGCCTTTTCCTCCTCGACCTCGCAACTCCAGCCTCGCTCTGAATTCAGACACTACAACAAACTCAGGGCCAGTCTCTCTTTTGGTTCTCCACAGTTACTTCCGAAGATCTTGTCAGCGTTGCAAGCCTTACCCCAGAGCCATCGAGATCCACACAATCCCGCGTCGCTTTCTTCTGGATAGCCCCGTCTGGACCGGGGTTTTGATACTGTCACTGTCGAGTCTGCATTCGGACAAAAGCCGTGTGGCCTTTATTACTTATATCTCCAAGTCATTCCTCGAATCGTTCCTTAACCAGTCGTGCCAGCGTCAGTTGACTTGAGGCAAAATCTGCGACTATCGACTTACAATTGCACTGTTTTCACTATAAACATACCCATCAATCTTTGGCACTGTTGACTCAGTCTCAAAATGGTACTGTCGAAGATTCAGAACACAGCCCTGGTGGCTCTTGCCACGCTTTTTGCCGTAACTCAGGCTGCGCCTGGAGCGTAAGGTCCCCTCATTCCTCATGCGATAATCTACTTTTTGCTGATATATCTTTTCTAGTCGTGTTGAATCACGAAGCCTTTGTTTTGATTACGATTCCCAGAAAGTTCGGGGCGTAAACCTCGGTGGATGGCTAGTCCTTGAACCCTGGATTACACCATCCCTCTTTGAAAAAGGAGGAGATGCTGCCGTTGATGAATGGTCCTTGTCCCAGGCCCTCGGTAGCGACGCTGCTCAAAGCCTCCTGTCACAGCACTGGAACTCATTCATCACCGCAGATGACTTCCAACAGATGAGTGCTGCGGGGTTAAACCACGTCCGAATTCCCGTCGGCTATTGGGCAGTGGTACCTCAGTCTGGTGACCCGTATGTACAGGGTCAGCTTGACGTGCTAGACCAGGCCATTGACTGGGCACGAGATGCAGGTTTAAAAGTCATTGTGGACTTGCACGGCGGTACGTTGTTAATTATTGAAACTTGTATTTGATGTTTATCAAGCTAAACTTGGGTCTGAACCGCAGCTCCTGGATCCCAGAATGGATTTGACAATAGTGGACGCCGAGGCTCGATCAACTGGGATAACGTCCCTGAACAAATTAACATCACCCTAGATGCAATTAGGGAACTTTCCAATAGATATGCTACACAGTATGACGTTGTCACCTCAATAGAAGCACTCAACGAGCCTATGACTGTCATGGGAGATTCCGGTGTCGATTTGTCCAACTTGCAACAATACTACTACGACACCTGGGGTCGTCTGCGCGAGGTTAACCAGGACACCGCTCTAACTATGCATGATGGATTCCAAGATATCACTTCCTGGAATGGTTTTATGGGCCAAAACTCGGGTGTTTGGAATGTGATGATGGACACCCATCACTACGAGGTTTTTGATCAAGGACTGCTTTCTCAAGACACGGACCAGCATGTTCAAACCGCCTGTGCTTATGGCGACAAGGTCGCTGCTACTGACAAATGGACCATTGTTGGTGAGTGGACTGGAGCATTGACTGACTGCGCCAAATATCTCAACGGCCGTGGAGTTGGTGCTCGATGGGACGGAAGCTATGGCTCAGGAAGTTCCTTCCACGGTAGCTGTGATGGATACTTTCAGGGCGAGGTGACATCTCTGCCTGACGATGTGCGCACCAACATTCGTCGTTTTATTGAAGCACAATTAGATGCTTTCGAGTCGCGTACTGGCTGGGTATATTGGACTTGGACCACTGAGGGTGCTCCTGAGTGGGACATGAAGCGTCAGTTGGCAGCCAATGTATTCCCCAACCCGGTAACAGAACGCCAATTCCCTGGTCAGTGCTAGAAGAGGTGAAGAGAGAAGACCAATTTATACGTTATTATCAGATAGTTTTACTTCAGACGTATGAATAATCCGGATGCCAGGGTGGTTGTCTACCCTTTGTGAACATTTATTCTTTCTCCAGCTCTATTGACATTATTACGTGGTCTTTTTCTTACTTATTCTTTCTTCTCTTGCTTAATATTACTGATGGCCGAGATTCCTTTTTGAACATTTTTCCTTATTGACTTGCTTCGAATAATCCTCCTTTCCTTGGAAGAGTGGACTCATCTTTGACTTGACTGTACTGATTGTTGGATATACGAGTTTAATCTGAAATTTGTCGTTGAAAGAATTCACGTAATATAACAAGCTTATTATTTGGGTAGAATGTAAAATTATCCTTATCAAAACTGCGTTTCATCATAGCAATATAACGTAGCAATTGAACATCAATCAAGATCCATCACTAATGGCCCTTTCCCCAAACCACGGTATAAAACACGAGAATCAAAGCAGATGTCTAGCTAAGTAGTATACTTGAATGTCCGATTTTCTTTATCCGTCAAATCCAGCCAGTCCTGGCCATCTGCCGTCACCACACCATTCTGAATATCTGCTTCCCGCTGCTTGTTCTCGCGATGGCAGAGAAAGCCGTATGTGAGGATGGTCACAATGGCAATCACGTAGCAGACGATCATACTGATTGTGCCTCCAGTGTAGGCTGGCGCCTGGTTGGCACGGAAAGTTTGCGGGCCAATGATGTTTCCGGTGGCCCAGGCAACATAGTACCAAGCATAGAGAGCGACTCTAGTTGAAATGTTAGAAGATGCAAGGAAAAGGAGAAGTCCATGACTTAGACAAACGTACTTCTTGGTATGGCCGGCGATGTTAGCTTGATAGACGGAGACGACGGTTACATAAGGTGCCCAGTAGGTACTGTGTTTTTCGAACATTAGTAAAACGAGACTCGGAAAGGGGAAAGGGATAACAGTAGAACATACTAGAGAATATATAAACCAACCAGCTGCCCAGCCAAGTTGCTTCGAGGCAAAGCATAACATAGCACAGCACCCAACAATGGTAGGAGAATGCTTGTGGCAACAATGACCGTTCTGTACCGTCTTGTCCTTGCTGCCAGGTAACTCAATCCAATACCAGATAAAGTACTCATAGCACCCGGTGGCATGGCCAATAAGGAAGTCTGCAATGAGTCGAAGCCCAGACCGGAGATGATCAGAGTGTTGAAAGTGGTGAGTCCACCATTTGGTACTTGCAAAGCCATGATTGCGATCCACATGAGCCACATCTTGAGATCAAAAATGGCTTCCCAAATCTGGCCAAGTTTGATGGTTTTGGATTCAACGCCGGTGTTATCGGCTGCTTTGCGTTGAATGATGATGTACTTCTCTCGCGAGGAGATGAATTTCGTCTCAAGCGGATTATCGGGACTATTTCCATCTATGTTAGCGATAGCGTGAACCAAGAGTATATAACAAGAGGAAGAGATATCCCTACAGGAAGAAATACACCACACCAGCCCAGAGAGTGGTTAATGCACCAAGTAACAGGAAGATAATCTTCCATGTCGGAAATGTACCGGGATAATATCCCACCACCCAGGCAATAAAACCGTTGAGAATGGGAGCAATAACGTTCAAGATGATACTGTTGCGTGCCGGCTGTTCTTCGGGACGGTACCACATAGACACAACTAGGGTCACTGCTGGAATGAGTAAGGCTTCGCAACCCCCGAGCAAGAAACGGCAGACGAAGAGGCCGCCGAAACTGGTCGTTGCAGCCATGCACATTTCTAGAACCCCCCAGAAAAAGACATTGAGAGCAAAGTACTTGACTGCAGGGACTCTTCATGAAATCACATGGTGGTTAGCAATCACGGTTGTATATGGATGCGTGTCTAAATCATCAGAATGGAAAAGTACTTTTGAAGACAGTATGCAGAAGGTCCCATGAAAGCCAACCCTCCAAAGAACGGTGCTGATCCAACCCATGAGTATTGTTGCCCAGTAAGGTTTAGATCTTTCTTAATGCCATAGATAGCAGCAGCTGAGATTGCGGTTTTATCTAGGCCAGACAGTGTAGCGCACACAAAAAGCTGGGAAAAAAATCATTAACACATCCCAACAAGACAAAACCTTTGTTTAGAGGACGTACAATTGGAATCAACCACCAATCAATTTTGCGCATCAATTTTTTCTCTTCCTGAGGCGTCCATGTGCTGTCACCGCCTTCCTGTGCATATTCGGCAATAATTTGCGCTGCGATGTCGACGTCTTTATCGCCTGCATGTACTGCCTTGACAGCTGTTTTCGCTATGGTTATGTCGGTCTTGGGCTCGTCGGTGATTATTTCATCCCCCCTGTCGCCAGATGACACTGGGTCTTGGGCATTTTTGACGTACATTTTTGCGTGTTCTCCCTGACGTAGAGCACACACGAAATTTCCCTCTTTTTCGAAGGAGGGTTTGTCGGGAAAAAAAAAGATCTGTAGAAATGTCTATTTCAAATTACTTGGTCGTTCAAATGTAATATTATATATATGATGATTTGTATCCATATCAAGTCATGCCTGTCTTATCGCCCTATCTAGCAATCCAAGTTAGGGCTAGGGCGGCGGCCAAGACTGCTCTTATCTATGAGCGCCTAGGAGACACCCCACAGCGGCCATCTGCTTGGATCCAGCGCGGCCAACTCTAAATATCATTTTGTGGGGCAGGGATAAGTATAGATCGAGGATATTTATAGTGATAGAGCACGGTATCTTCACCTTTCGACTCTATTGCTTTGACCTCAAGCTCCTTCAAACAACAGGTGGAAATATTCAGCCACGAAAAAGAAAACACAATGATTGCAAAAGAGCCAACGTCGGCTACCCTCGAGGAAAACCCTCCCCTGTATCCAGACTACTTACGTAAGTAGCCATATAACGCCAATTGATGCGATTGAGAGAGTTCCTAGCAAAAATTAATACAATACAGCCCACTACGATCCTTTAGAAAAGATCCAGCCCGTTGGACCTTTTGAACACGTTGATCCCGGCCATCGCGCTGATCCCGAATTGCCGAATCTACTCAAAGATGCTACTAAGGTGTTTGAATTAAGTCCACACTGTGGCACAGAAATCCAGGGTGTTCAAATTGTTAGTCACAGAGTGCCCTTTACTTTGGTTCTGAGATCTCCGACATTAATATTTAACAATCTCTCCGCAGTCCGATTTATCACCCGAAGGACTTGATGAACTCGCCTTGATGTGCGCGCAACGCGGCTGCTTAGTATTCCGTGACCAAAAGTATACGGATATTGGATTTGCAAAACAAAAGGAGATTGCTAGACATTTTGGTAATTGCATTGTTCCTCTGTCGAGAACATGTTGACTTATATCTTTTCGTAAAACTAGGACCCCTGCACAAGCACGGATGGATGCCGCATCCCAAGGCAGCTGTCCATTCCGCCGAGACAGAAGAGTTTGTGATTGTCTACGACTCAAAAGAGTGCGTGCAATTGATATTCATCCTTGCATAATTGGTGTTTTGGTGCTGACCAAAGTTTACGTTAGTGATCTTCGCATTCGCAAATCTTGGTCTAGGAAGAGCCCTATTCAGTTCCATGTCGACCAGGTAACAACTGCTGCCGCTTGTCATAGCCTTGGGTAGATAGTTATACTAACAAAATTATAGTCTCCGGAACTTCAGCCACCCGGTCTAACGTTCTTTTGCATGTTGGAATCACCACCCGGTGCTGGCGGAGACACTATCATTTCTAGTGTTAGTTACATCCCCGTCCTTACTTTTATATTTTACCGACCTTTTCCTCGACCAAGTTATTAATTCAGAGCAGATGACACGCGCTTTCGAAAGATTGTCACCCTCATTCCGTAAACGTCTCGAAGGCCTGAATGCAATTCACACAACGGCCAACCCAATCGCACGCGAGCTGCGCGACAACGGCGATCTCGCCGTTCTCCGACGGCCTATAAGCAAGGCTGTTCACCCAGTCGTCACTGTTCACCCAGTCACCAAACAGAAGGCACTTTTCGTCAACTCGTCCTACACACAGCGAATTGATGGCTGGGACGATGAAGAATCGGACTACATGCTCAAGTTCCTCTTCGACCACATCAATCGTGGCCAGGACTTTTGCTGCCGTGTGCGTTACGAACCTGGTACTGTAGTTGTGTGGGATCAGCGTGTGACACAGCATTCTCAAACCCTAGACTACCAGCCTGGAGCCAGGAGACATGCGTTTAGATTGACGCCTTTGGCTAATGTTCCTATTCCAGCATTGGTGGAAGAGGATGACGGGGAATGTGCTAGAGATGAAGGCAGAATGCTCTTGAACCTTTGTTGAAGAATTATGTATATTTTTTGCATATATTTGCGTGAGAATTAGCTTGTAAAATCCATTCTCCTCTGCATCAAACGTACCACAAACTTATATATACTAAGTAGATCATTAACTATCTCGTGTGTAAATCAGTTGCGAAATGGCTAGGCTCGAATTTCTTCATCAACGTCTCGACTCTCATAAGGCCGAGGTTTGTAAGTCCCTTGACACCGGCAGCGCCGTTGGCCGAGACTCGGTTGGCCCATCTCCATCGCCTAATCCAGGTTTTGAGCTCTTCATATTCTTCCTCGAATGTAATATAGTTACTAGAAAGCTTATCTCCTATTTTTTCAGCCTGTCGTGTAACGTCTGGAGGCGCAATGGTATGTAGGACGTGCACCATAAATGATCCGGCGATTGCAAAATTTGGACGACTCCCTATAAAAGAGACAATCAGATGAGAAACTACAAGATCCGGCAAGAGTTTCTGAACCAAGCCGTGAAATTTTTGTAAGGACTTACAGCTGTGCCAGAATGCGTTCCATTGAGTCTCTGTTAGAGCCTCCATAAACTCCACAAACTCCCTCACACAGAGCAAGGCGCCTCGGACTACGGCTTGCGCTCCTTCATTAATAGCATTTGTCTGATCTGGAGACATTCGAGCCAAGAGAATTGGCCATTTATTTAAAGGTCGTAAGAGCGCACGGTATAAGGCCATGTGCGCGACTATGTATGATAGATGCAAACTACCATTGCCGTCCAAATCTTCTCGCTGTTGGTAGTGGCTTTGAGGAGGGTCCGGGCCCGTAGGATGTTGTATATTTCGAACGGATCTGAACCTCAAGACGTCGGGCATATTGTCACGCCATGCCTTGAGGCGTGCTCGAAGGGATCTCGCTACCTCTATGGAGTATTGCAAGTCACAAGACGTGCGGTTGCTAGCTCTCACAGTGTAGTATGTTTGGCAGATATCGGATAATATACAGGTCAGAGTCACCAGATGGGGAAGATGGGCGTGGTTATTACACGATGCGGAAAGCGTATCAGTCATATCGTCCATTATGATTACGGCGACATCCGAATCATCGCCATGCAAATGGCTCGGCATACCACGGGCTAGGGCAACCCATTTCTCCACTGTCCACAACGCCCACCAAAGGCGTCGACGAAGACGTCGCTCCCACGATGGTACAGAGATCCATGCGGAAGGGTCTCTGTGTAATCCAATTGTTTGTGCTATGGATACCGCAGTCGACATTAATGTCCATGTAAATGCAGTATCCGAGAGATATAGATTGGTTGGAAGTCGTTGTTGAAGAATAAGACAGGCCTGAAGCGTGGTCAAGGAGGGAGCATGAAGTTCGGAGGTTACACCCAACCATGCAAGACGATAAAGTTCACTACTCGAAGGAGGACGCAGCAATAGTGGATACAAATCCTCGTTATACATGACGAATGGAAGAGCCGTTGCACACATAGCTGTCAGCAAACCCAGTGAGAGATTGCTCAGGGCATCAGGATTGTCAGGAATTTGTTGCTGAGAAACAATAGGAAAATATGGATCAACAAAGCGACTGTATAGCCCGATTAGATGCCATGCTCCCACTGGGTCGAGGATTTGCCACAATTCCGACCATGCTGACTCCGTTGTTTGATAGTCGACCTTGGGCTCGGCCTTGTCAAGCAACGACCGATCTGTGATACCAAATACTGTTTGTGGCATACAATCGTTTTCATGGTTGCCCGAGTCCATGAGTCGATATTTCAACCCCCTGACTCTGAGCGTTGATATATTTTCCTGGTCGTACTGCTGTGAATTGAGCACGTGAATATCGGACACCCCTGTGGGCCCGATATAGAAACTGAATGCATCCGGAACAAACTCCAGAGGTGCCTGACGCACTTGAGGTTGTCGATTGAGAATGGTATCAGCTTGCTCTGACGTGGCAGAATGGCTGGCGGGTGACATTATTAGACATGGGTCGGAAGGGGTCCTATTGTTGTTATAACTAGGAGATTCAGATATATGATTGGAATCTCCCATATAGCCAAGTTGCAATGTATCCAATGAGTACGGACCGTAGGGGCTTTCTCCATCAAATTGTTGTCGTGGTGATATCGAATAGGCTGAGTAGCTGCGGCCATGACCTAGCCGCGGTATTGAGGCATCAAATTCATTGAGTTTAGAGATCATCGGCCTCTTTCGCTGACTCGGCGGCTCTTCAAAAGTGCAAGATTGGTCCATGTGCACACACCGTTTGCATGGCGGACCAGCAGGCATATCGCAAGTCACCTTGCGCCGACGACAGGCGTCGCATGGTCTTGTTTTGCGCGACTTGTAGGTCCTGCCTTTCTGATGAGAAAGGTCTGACATTTATATTTGTTTGTCCGAAGACAGCTTCAGATATTCCCAGAATCTTTCCGAGGAGAGGATCATAGTATCAATACAAATCAACGAGACGAGCACAATCAAACTATTTTGGCAGGAAGTTTGGATCCTGGCTCTTATCAGGACGCCAGCAGAGATAAGATAAGCATCGCCGTCCTATATCGGAACATCGCCGGCTTCATGTATTACGAATACACATAATCGTGATAAAAGTAGTTCTGCAATTTTTATGTTGCGTATCTACAAGAAAAAGGAAAAAAAAAAAAGAGCTTATTGGCATTGTCGGTATACACCTCAGCATCCGGCAGGCCAGAATCTCAGAATGGCAGTCATAGCGAAGCCTCGGCGTCCAGCAGGTTCTTCAAAAATACGGACGAGAACATTTCTCGAGCCTTCTCATCACTCATAGGTAAAAGCGGTCGCCTTGGTTTCTCACTGTATCCGAACTGCTGCTGTAGTAGTTTCTTCATCCCCGAAACCTGTCGAAGACTATCAGCCTATTTTCTTGCCAAAATGCTTCCGAGGTACGTTGCCACGTAGCTACGATCAAGGGTACTTGAAAAAGTAGATGGCTAACTTACCCCTATTTTTAAGGCAATTCCATCAGCTAGAGACACGAGATTCTGTAGCCTTTGGGCCTCTTGGTACTTGGCAGGATCCGCAAGAGATCCACACAGCTCCCATAATTTCACGCAGACTTTCTGTTGACGATTGATATTAGACAAGATACCCAAAATGTAGCACCATTGAACTTACAGGAGCAATATTTGGCAAGCCGCTTATCGCACCCGACGAGCCAACAGAAACAGATGGTAGAAGGAAATCAATGAAACCGTCGATGGCCCGGAATGGTATCTCTGGGTGTTGACGGGGGTATGTGGCTTGAAATTCGGGGTTGTTGACTTGGGCCATGATGCGTGTAAGTTTGCCAACATTGGCGCATCTGTTTATCTTTCAGTGTCTCAGAAAAGGGTTATATGAATGCGCAAATGGCTCACGTTAGCTTAACACCGCAGATATTGGGTGCTTGTTTGATGATATCAACGATGAGGTCACTATCCAGATCGATGCCATTTGTGAGTGCAGGAAAATTATAAAGCATTCTAACCATTGAAAGTCAGCTCGATTGACCGGCAAAGCTAGCTATAACACTGTAAAGTAACCACGCACATTGGAATTGGTGATGATGCAGCAATATCCACGAAAAATTGCTTGAGCGAACTGGGATTGGAGAGAAGAGCACCCGCATAATATCCCGGTGGAATTACCATGCCAAAGTCAGCGCCTGCTTCGCCCGCTTCTTTCGCTAGTTCAATCGACTCGCGTGTGCTTGGTGCACCAATACCAGCTACAACAGGCATGTCTGTGAGGTGAATCTCGTCGAGGGCGGAACGAGCTGTTTTGATCAATTGGATTCTTTCCGAATGACTCTGGCAGGAAACGACTTTAGAACTTCGTCCACGGTCCTTCGTTCGCAAGAACAACAAAAACATACAAGGTGAACAGCTTCTCCCATTGAGCCTGAAACGACAGGGACAGTTCCTGCTTTTGCGATGACTAGGATAAGAGAATCAAGTCAATTTCTATTTGCAAGGAATATAGACACAGAATAGTTCTCTACGCGCCAGCGTACATTTGACATGTTTCCGGAAAGACTCGAGATCTGTCTTGTCATTAGCCTCGGCTTGTTATGAACATGAGATTTCATTTCGGCTTACCTAAATCTTCATTATCCTCGAAGAAACACGGCAAAGGTGTGTATATGCCTGCTGGAAGTAGACGCATGATGAAGTTGAGATTATGCGAGGAATATGTTTGAACGTGTGCATCAAGCTTGTAATCAACGAGAACGAATTCCTTTTCGATGGAATGAGGGAAAATTCAATCACAACGTCAAGTGGACGTTGTCAAATCACTGAATTGCCCGCATATTGATTAGGCACTGGCGATAGTAGTATATTCAAGGTCCCACAGCGGCCAACTTAGATGCTATCCAGCTCAATTCCGAATACGGATAGTATAGTTGAGTAATCCAGGCTTATCGATTGGAACAAGATAAAGTTAGTTTAGAGTTGGCCGTCCTCTATCAGTCTCGTCTCGGGCGTTCTAGGGCTTGGCCCCCTCCGATAACTCCAGATCCGATAAGAAAACATGGATGATAGCGGGAATACTACGTAGTGTCTATTAAGGATACGGATGTTACGACTCCATGATCAATGTATCATAGAAACAGGTCTGCGTCTATTTTAGGTAAGCTTTAAGGTCTATAAAATACCCAATGCTCCAAACGCATTCACAACCTCACGATCCACATTCACAAGCCACTCATCCTGGAATCGCTGACCACCACCGCAAGCATGAGCAATGGCTTTCAGGCGCTCACTAATAAAATGACGGATGTTAATCGAATGCACGATGTCCTTCGAGTCCCATTCTCGGCGACGGTAGCTTTCGGGAGGCTCGTTGTCGAGTCCTGGTCCCGTTGCGCTGGTCTCGGCGTTGTTCCAGAATATTAAGTAGTCCTTGTCCTTGTTATTACCGCTGGCGTCTGCAGTTGCTTCCTCGTAGCCTTCGGCGAGTTCAGTCACGATATCAGTCCAAATAGTTAGGTAAGACTGGAGATGGTTCAGTAGGAAAGGAGGAGGTGGTGCTTGCGTGGAATTGATTGCTAGTAGCTGCGTAAGCGCGAGGATGTGCAACTTCTTTTGTGTCACGAGTCCGATGTTGTCGTAATGGAAGAACCATTCGGTCAGAAGCCAAGACAGTGTTTGCTCCTCTGAAGAACCGGACGCAGCAGATATGGCTGATATGAATACTCTTGGGTTTGCCAATGCTAGTCTGGCTAGAACGCTGAAATAATCGGTTTCAAGAACGCCATAAATGTGAGAGGTCTTTCTATTAGAGCCCGTTGTCTGGCTGGCCTCGTATGCCGAATGAAGCCCATCTAGAATGGCATGCAAGAATGAACTGTTAACAAGAGATCTCGCAATGACATTATAAGAGCTCTCGCTTCCACCATCTATACCCTCTGTAGCCTGTATAAGCATTTCTGCCAGATGAGGGACGACCCCGATACGCTGACGCGAAGCTGATGAAAGTAGCATTTCCAGGGAAGTAAGAAATGGCAAACGTATTTGGTCGCTCAGCACCTCTTTTGGTGCAAGAAGAATATAACTCTCTGCGATTTGAAGTGCTAATGGCGCACTGTCCGTAGCAGCTTGGAAGATAGGAAGAAGCCGGGGGAACAATGACATAAGCTCTGCTGATGCTGGCGTTGGTGTCTGCGTCAGCACTGCGGACCAAAGCTCAAGTGCTTCTTCTAATAAGTACACGATTGTTTCCTGAAGTTAAGTTAGAACTTGTAATGGCCGTATACCCTGGTAGTGCAGCAAAAGGAGAGAGAAACAAAAAAAACATACTGATTCAGGCTCTATCGAATTCTGGATCAGCGGAAGAAGATCTTTGTGGTACTTGACCGAATCGCTTTTAAGCGCGTTCATTAATGATGAGAGCAGAGTCAAAATTGCTTGTTTCATGAGATGCTCCTCGCCTGATTGCTCCCAGAGTGGTGGCAGAAGTGATACTATATGATCAGAAAAGGGTAATATCTAGCCCATAAAGTTAGCTGAAACGGTAATATGAATTTGACATATGTGCACATACGTGATCTTCCATCTTCACCACAGCGGTCCGGACGGTCTCCAGTAGCGCCATCTTCGTTTCAGACAATTCAACCTCTTGGATCAAGGTAAGCAAATTTTGAATTATCGGAGTCGCATATGGAAGGAATTCCTGAGGAGAGAACTCAAACGGCTCGAGAACATTTTTCAACTGTCGTCCTGCCGTAATGCGAACCGGTAGATCATTCACAGGATCTGCTTTGTTGAAAAGATGCTGGAAAATCTGGTATATAAACTGTCGATTCAAATTTTCAGGCTGAATAGGCATCCATTGACCTATCACGATGGCAGCTCTCCTCCGCAAAACTCTGTACTCCTGTTCGTTTATCTGTACCTCGGGAACCAACGACGCCTCTATAAACGCGTTGAAGTCCATGTGTTGCTCTAAACTAGCGGAAGCCAGACCAATTGCAGAATACAAAGAGTCTTTCATTAAGATGTCATGGTTTTGTGGATCTGGATATGAAACGATGAGCTTGAATAAGAGCCTTAGAGGGATTGTAATACTCACTCGCAAAGTTATAGAAAACGTTCAGTAACTGTGGCACAAGCAGGCTCTTGAAATGGATTACAAGATCCAGGAAGAGTTTTTCTGAACATGGCCGAACCGAGAATTCCCATGCCTCAGCCATTGTATCTTCTTTCCTTTCCCATTCTTCGGGCTCTTCTTCCCACTCCTGGAAGTCAGCCTGACGAAGCCTCAAGAACTTTGAGACAAGAAGTTCCATGATCATAACCACAAAGTCTTGTGTAAACAACTGGGACTTGATGAGCTCCACCGCTTCTTTTTTCTCTTCTTTATCTTCTGGTTGTTGAAATTTGAAGCTATGGGCTGGATTAAAAACCATCTTCGCACATGCCCGAATAAGTAACAGGGCTTTCAACCCAAGTATTTCCATAACATTCCTCTCATCGCCATCACCGGTACTATCCTGTCTGCTCTGTGAAGACCCTTCAGCATCGTAAACTTCGCCCAGTCTGGAAACGACAGTCCAGTATGATTTAACAAGAGCCACGCAGTCTGGGAGAAGTGCGAAAGCTGCAGGGTGAACCTTTGCCATTTCAACATGAAGTTTGGAGAATTGCAAAAGATGTTTTTTGACTAATTTGCTAATATTGGGAGATGAGCTTGTTGTAGATTCGAGAAAAGTGAAGAACTTTGCAAACTGTGTATGGCTCAGTGACCAAAACCCTTGCATATCTTTATCCCGATTAGGATGCTCAAAGCCGGCGATGACAAGTCGACGAAGTACCTTGAGAGAAATCAAACTCTGGTCAAGAATATTGGGTAGAGAAGCATCATCCAGGCGATTATATTCTATAAGTGTGATCCAGGTGTTGACTTTCTCAACGTATATACCACCCAATAACCGGAAGATCTCGGGCGTCACCGACTGAAGACTTTTCCGTACCCTTTGCATGCGCGCTGTGGAAAGTTCTTTGATTATCTGCAACAGAATCACGAGCGTTCGGGGGAATTGTAGCGGAGGTGCGCCGGGCTGCGCTGAAGTACGTAGTGTAGAAATGAGGAAAGGGAGAGCATCGGGCCTTTCAATAAGAAAACTTGTCAGTACTGAATTCCGGGGTCTATTCTTGAGGCCGAAGACGAAGAGAGTATGAAAAGAGAACAGGGGACAGAAACATATGTACCATTCTTGATTAGGAAATTCAAAACGTAGAATTTTCGCAATCACCAATGCATTATGGAGAGCCAGCATAGGTGCTGGCTCCACGATGCCTGCCTCTAGAGCCCTATTCTTAATGCGTTCCTTATCTTCCGGTTTGATCGCACTAGAAGGATTATTAGTCCGACGAGTTTTGCGAGTGATAGACTTGTGAGAAGGTATGTATACTTTGAAGCTGTCTTCCGCCAATATTTGTCGATGCCATTCTTCAGCTGGATGATGGACAGGTAGCGGATCTCTAACGGGAGAGAGTGGTCGAGAAAAGCCTCCTATATTTGGAATCATCAGCAATTAGCAGACTTACGGAGACGACATTGTGGAGACAAACCTGTAGTAGAGGATAGAATCCATCTTGCCTCTCCCAATGCTGGAGCTGCTGGGTGCCGATCTGAACCTGTTGTTGAACTGAGCTTGCCGCAGCTGCTAAGGAATTCAATAAAGTCTGGGCAGTGAGAGGATTGGCCTCGCCAGGCACCTCTATCGCATTGGTCATGGCTGCGAACGCAGGGACAAAAGACCGCTCGGTTAATACTTTTCAGATCATGCGAAAAGTACGACGATGCTTTTCGATTATATGGGCACCATGTAGCAAGCCAATCAGTAAAGAATGAGTCAATGCCAGAGAGACTCAATGAAGGGTGACAGCGTGGAGAGAAGCTACTGCCCAACAACAACACGCTTCTTGACAGGCACATGTTTTCTGCCGCCTGCAGACATCAAAACAACGCATGCCCCGCCCGTTGATCGGCGGGCGGTCAAGACCCACGGATGATTGTTCTTCCAGCTTAGGGCTTGGCCCTTCATACTTCCAAAATGGTAATTTAGGGCTGCGGGTTAGGGCACGGTAAGACGATCGCTCAGGTGCGTCAAGAACGAAGCAAGCGCAGTATTTGGGATGCAGTGTGGTCAAGGAGGGAATAACGACGGAGGCAGCTAGAAGTTGTGCGATTTATTATAGGTAACAACAGTATATATATTCGTTACAAGGCCAATTATGCATACTTGGGCGGGTCTGTCACTTCAACCAAGAAATCGCACGACAGCACGAATCATAACAAGTGCACAAAAATAGCTTGCAATTGAGCAAGAAAGATTTATATGACAGTTTTGTAACTGGGCTAGCATGATGTTTGACTGAGATGCTATTTCTATTAGATGCCTTTAGACAAGACAAAATAAAGCCAAGGGAAGTAGATCAACTCATTATCCATTGGATCCAGAATCAATGGTAGATACTTCATGTGCCATTCCTCTTGGATGGCATCATTAAAGAGTTCTGGATTAAGCTTAACTCGTCGCGCTTTGCAATACTCCCAGTACGCGGGATACCACCCAGCCTGGCCCCAGTCAATCACCGCTGCCACCTTCGGATTCGGCCCCGGTGTCAGAAGTATATCGGGCGAAACAAAGTCATCATGTGTAAATACAATGGGTACTTCTTCCTTTATTTCCATTCCACATCCATCTTGGAACTGCTGGACAGCATTTGGGCCTTCCAATGGCCCAGCGAGATTTGAATGGCTGCCAAGAAAGATCTCGTTCAGCGGTTGCTTACCTAGGCTACCTATTGCTTACTTGCATATTGCATCCAAGAGAACTCACCGATGGAACTATCATATCTGTCTTCCTGCAAACTCCTCCAAGCTTTTGCCATATGCTTGAGTTCCTCACAGACATCTTGCCTCTCATCTTCGTCCATGCCACTCCACCTCTCCTGCAGGGTCTCGCCCTCGATCAAGGGCATGTAAATAAATCTCTGATCCTCAGTCCATTCAAAGACCTCAGGGACAGGTACTTGGCCTTTTAGGTGCTTGTAAACCACCATTTGAGTCTGAGCCTCCACAACAGTTACATTCGCTCCGTACTTGACAATCATTCCCAGCGATGGAAACATGACAGGCGATGGCCGGTCAAAGTCTGTGGCGCGACTATCGCCCAACTTCTTGCCGACGGCTCTAATTTCCGCCGGCGTTGGAAGCGCGGGTGCCCGTCTCTCCTTGAAGAAGCTCGATTCAGGTAAATCGCTATCTAGTTGGATGCGTGATCATCAAGGTAGATGGTCATGTTCGATTGACTTACGGTCAGTAGCATGGACAGGGCAGTGGGGGAGTGGGAGCGAAATAGGGTCATTCCTATCAGTAGCTGCAGGCTCTACAAATTTTGGTGTTACTGTCTCACGAAAGGAACAAAAGAAAAATGTCTCCACATCGTTATACTGGGCTGTGAGAAGCTTACCACATTGGGACCCCGCGATCATTGTCACCCGTCCAATATTTACCATCTTTATCCTCTACTATCGGAACAGTTTTTGTGACAGAACAAGTTTGTTCTCCCACCTCGAATTGTCTATAAGCGAGATAGAATGTCGGCTGCGCAGTACTCTATCCTTTTGGCCTCCCCTACGGAGGCTTCCATTCTCGGAAAAATCAGCGGTGACTCATTTCTCACTGATCGCCATACTCAAATGAAAGGGCTTGGAAAAAATCCTTATAAACTAGAGAATTCAATGGCAGCAGCCGTCGCCCGACAAGCGTTATCACCATCGATTGTCGTTCTAAAAGCAGTCGACAATGAGACAGGCGAAATCGCAGGCTGGGTCTCGTGGATATTTCGGGGATTTACAGTCGAAGAAACTGTGGAGATACGGGATGCAGTTCCTTATGTAGATACCACGCTGAAAAGCCTTGAACAAAGCAATGACAAGCCTATACCAAAAGGCCAGATCAGGAAAGACCGTGACGCTGTCGAGGATGACCCAATCAAGGAACTTGAAAAATTGACTGATGAAGACCTGAAATCATGGATGAGTAAACTCATGGCCGATGATACTAGGTGCATGTATATCAGCTCCCTTTGCGTGGCGCCCAAATGGCAATCTAAAGGCGTGGGATCAGCGCTCCTGCGATGGGGAACGAAGACAGCGGATACAGCGGGAGTCTTTATATGGGTACATTCATCGGAAAATGCATGGCATTTGTATGCAAAATATGGTTTCAAAGTTATTGGGACACTTGATGTCGACCTGGACCAGTATGCTCCTGCACCAGCGCCAGATAATGGGGGTAAATGGGGACACTATGTGTTTTGGTACATGAGGAGAGAGCCTTCTGAGAGCCAGAGATGAACATAGTTTATGAATATAATTGTACCTAGGTGCATGAAAGTTGGTTAATAGTCCTGTAAATAAGGTGCATTCCTAATCTCGGACATTTGCGATCCCATTGTATGTACAATCTATCGGTGTTGGCACCTTGTATGATTATTACTCAAAGAAGATTTATTTAGGTATCTTAAAAACGACATAAACATCACTGTCCAGATTATAGGAGCGTCGATCTGCGCTAGTGCCAAATCGGTAATTTAGGGCTACGGATTAGGGCATGACGAGGCATTGAAGTCACAGACACGAAGAACGTGCAACTTTGCAGGATGTAAAATCGGGGGGCTCAATACTCTAGCTGCTCTATTGGCTAATAACATATCTTAAAGAGTCTCCGTCTCGAACTGTCACCCATGCGTAAATTACATAGAACATGGAGCATATTGAAAACAGGAAAGTGTTTTTGCAAGGCAAGGCTTTTGATGATAATATCATGTATATATCTAGTAGTTTACCGAAAATCTATCTTAAATCGATATATATTATAATAGAACAGAGCTATCATCCGCTTGCTATACTGCTATTAGATATGAGCTCGTCAACTACCCTGGCGTGGTGGACCTCATATGTGGAGAGATGACATCGACATGATGTATCATGATGCAACGTCTCCTCAAAACCAACATCCATGAGTATTAAGCATCACAAGTCACACCTTACTTAACAGCAAAACTCACAGAACGAGTACCACCTTTCATCGCTATTCGAATTATCATATCCATTAGTTTTTACATTCAAAATGACGGACCTTACAGATATCGCCCACCGAGCCGAAAAGGACCTAAACAGCTATCAAAAGAAGCAAGGTGTTGGCCAACAGAGCGTATCAGGTAAACTCGATACCAAAATTCTGTGTTTATTTCATCACTTATCCCAAAAAACGTTTTAGGCTAACAGGAAGAACTGTCTAGCTACTGAATCCGGTGTCAATGAGCACGTTGAAAGAGACTTCCCCGGCGCTGAAGTCCGTTACGGAAACGATGTCAGTACTGGTGGCAGCGGTAGTAGGAAAATTCCACCCCGAGAAGGTGGTGACTTCGATGCGCGAGGGAGGTGAGTTTATCTCATATAACCTTGAGAAAATGTGAAACAACCTGATGTACTAATTTCGTGCCTTTTTGTAGAATGACGGAGGCAAAGCATTTTGAAGGCCCCGGAGGTCCGGAAGACAAGATGAAAATAGTTCAGGAACGACGCCCTGGTGATGATGGAGTTCCTGTACAGAGGACTAATTTCTAGTTCACTGTAAGAAATTTGATTATCGGCACTGGTGGAAGATCCTCTGTCAATGACAACAGTACATGGTGAATAGTCCGTGTATTACACCAATCGACCAGGCAGTCGACATGTAATATACCAACTGGATATACGTGACACCTAGGTATCATACCAGGTTCTAGTTGACTAGAAAATTATACAAAATATATATTTATGACTAGATGTGCTACGCGACTTTCGAAGGCTAGCAAAGTGTAAATTTTGGACTATTGTCTCAATTACTAGAAGTATTTTCGCCGCTTGATGAACTAGAACGCGTACACAAGCCCAAAAAGGGAAACAACTGAATGCTCATAGTCTAATTTACAAAGCAGCGGCAAAAGCCAACAAAGCGCTGACGGCAAGGGTGACGATTCCAGGGGCGATAACCAAAGATGAAGCACCACTTGAGGGAGTAGAGGATGAAGAGGCGGTGGTGGAGGTGGAGTTAGAGGTGGTGGTAGTGGTCAAGACGGTGTTGTTCACACCCGAGATCCAAGTAGTTCCGTTACGAGAGAAGGACACACCGACATCCTTCTTGCTAGCGGTGTCGAAGGGGAATGGGCTGGTGTAGTTGTAAGTGGGAGTCAGACCGCCCCAGGTAGACTTGACAGTGTCCAGGATACCGTAACCGGCAGAGCAGGTCTCGTTACCGGTAGCAGGGACAGCCCAGTTGGAGGAGTAGTTAGAGTAAGTGTTTGTAGAGAGAGGACCGATGAAGGTGGAGTTCAACCACAGGTTGGTGGTGTCAACATCATAGTTAGTGTATCCGGTCTTGTTGGCCACAATCTGGAAGATGTTGGCACCACAGTCCCAACGACCCAAGGAAGGAAGACCCCAGTTAGCTTCGACGGTAGCCAAGCTCGAATAGTGGGTGTAGAATGTATCGTCAGTAGTGCCGATAAGGTTGTCAGGGATAACACCACCAAGAAGTATGGAGTACACGCGGTTGTGCACGGAGTAGTTACCAGACTCATCCCAGGTGAGGAGAATGAGAGTCTCGTTCCAGAAGTCAGGGTAAGTGGTGAGGTTCTGAATGAAGGCGCGCTCAAAGGTGGAGCCAAATGTTACGTTGGTGTCATGGGCATCATTCGTCATGTTAGGAGTAATGAAAGCCCACTGAGGAAGGGTGTCGGCATTAATGTCGTTGTACAAATCCGTAAAGTTCTTGATACGGGTGCTGCGAGAGTCATTGGAGGCAACATTGTCATATAGAATGAGCGGGTTGTGTTTGCGCACGTAGTCGTTGGCATGAGTTTCCTGGTTGGAATAGTTGTAGCCCTGGAAGCCAGCATAGGGGATATCTTGCTGGTATTCACCCCACGAGATGCCCTTGGTATCTAAGAGATCAGCAACAGTGGAGATGTTGGCGGGAATCTGATGCCAGTCATCGTTGTCCATGGCAAACTGGTCTCCAGCGGCAGCAGAGGCGTAGTTTGGCTCGGAGGGATGAGCGACAGCCCAGTAGTTGGTCAGCAGAATACCCTGAGAGGCCATCCACTGTTGGTTGGGATCATCGGCAGAGGTGTCGTAGTCCTGCAGTCCTGGTCAGTGTATTCCTCTGTCAAGCAAAGCCAAGTGAGTACTTACGACATTCTCCATCCAGACCTGATAGAAACGCTTGAAAGCAAGGCCCTCCACGTCAGAAACGGGAGACGATGGGACCACGGTTGCAGCGGCTTGCTCGATCTGAGAGAGCGAGGGCTCGGAAGTGGTGGCCAGCTGGGCCACAGCAGCACCAGCGGCGGTGAGCAACAGGAGAGTAGACTGCATGTTCACTCGATTGATTTACACGGTAGAGACAGCAGCTCTGCGGGTGCAAATGATGTTGTTGTTGTCGGAGAAAGAAAGACAGGCCGCGGCGGGCAAGGGCGTTCCTTTTATGTATTCCCCAACGGCGCCTGCCAGACCCTCCGCACGTGGTATGCACAAATTATCGTATCCCAGCGTAGCTCTGCTCAATGCTGTGAGGGGGTTCTTTATGCCCTGCATGGCGAGCGATCCTTGCCTGATTGGCAGTTCAGCCTCTGGGGGGCCCCAGTGTGGCATCTGGTTGGCTGGGTTGATGACTGGCATGCGGTCGAGGAATGAGATCAGACGAGCTGTCCACGCTCTTGCGCGGGCACCTGTGACTGGTCCACTTGCTTAGATCTTGCCCCACTACTATCCTTGCAGACTATGCCCAACTTGTGCCTAGTTGGGTCTGGCCATGCCTGTTTCGGCCGTCGCCCCGCATAGAGTGGGCGCTATAGTAATCCACTATTTTTGATTGGCAGAGGGAGCGAAGTCCCGCACTACTTTATTTTGCCCTTATGATTCTTGGCATCTTGGCATCTTGGCAGTCTGGAGCCTTGTATACTCGAGTATCTGTACACAGAGCCATGCAGTGTGCGGTACACTCCGTCCTCAAAGTTTGCATACTAACATAGCTTGCAGACTAGCTCGTCCGTGTCATCCGGCGGATAAAAAACGAAACCCTACGACAGGCAGCACGTGCGGTCGTTACCTCTCTCCAACGGTGCCGTCGTGAAAAATGTCGAACTTGGCACACCCCCGTCTAAAAGCTCTTGCATTTTCTAGCGCTGTTCCGTATATTACCTCGGGCACTCCGGCTTCAAAGGGCCGTTGAAGTTGAATGAGCTCGTTGAGAGGTTGAACATCTACAAGACTACTAATGTCCCCGTCTTGGCAACTCGCGCTTTGAACGTGTTCCTGGCAAAAAGTCAAGGAGCTTTGGTTCACGAGAGCCAAGATACCTTGGCATCCACGTGGGATATGAAATCCGTCGCAGATGTTTTGGATTTTTACGGAGTAGCTCAAGATTGTGTTCTGATGCAAATTGTGGAGACACACGCGTGGTAGCTCGGTACTGGCATTGGATGACTGAGATATTTTTCCTCGCGTTGTTTCAAGGTGGCTCACATTATACGTACTAATCTTACATCTTATCTGATAGGTCATCTTATCTTCCCTTGAAAATGATGCCTGAGGTCATGTGCATCTAGCGGGTCCCTGGTTTGCGTTCTCCGCCAATGTGATTACACCGCATCCCATCGATTATCTCAGAGGTTTTCCCACCATGGAAGAGCTCACAACGCGTCCAATTCGGATGCATCATCGACACTCTAATAGACTTGACCCTCGGATCTCGTACGAAGAAGCAAGGTTAATAGCAGTCTTTGCTTGAGAACGGCGGCCCGTTTTTCACCAGGAAGGCACTACAGGATGTCAGTGAACAGCTGAAACAAGCATACAAGGGCGAAATTCACGAAATAAGCGTTAAGACAGTAGACAGTGCTACAGTCGTGTTTCTTGTTGAAACCGGGCAAATATATGACTCGCCAGAGCCTGGCGCCGAATCCGTTGTGTACATGCTTTTTTGTACTTTGGGAAGGGTCCAAATGAATGCAATCCGTATTTTTCAGGCAACCACTCTATCAGGTATGTCTCAACACTGAACAGAGAACAATTTTAAGACTTATGTCAGGTCTATGGATCTCTTATGTTGCAATCTACAAATCATGCACCGTCGAGTATTACGGAATACTTCCACTAAAGAACCACTTGGCGTTTGTTCAGATACCGAAGAGTTTTTCCAGGTTCGCCTACGACAATGGAGAGCAAGCCAGACACATTAACAGCTTAAGTCTTCCATTATGTCCACGAGTACAGTCGTCAATAAAATTATTGGATTTTCGTTTGGTTCTATTGCGCTTGCCGATGTTGCTTGTTATCTCCAAGGCCCACTATATATTAATCGTGATAGGTTAGTCTTGGGTGCATATGGAATCGATGTCCTAGATGACCCTGACGGTCTAATAAAAGTCGATAATTCTACCCTCGTCGTTGCATGTTCGCCAAATATCTCCATTAGGTAGATAGTGATAGACATAGCCTAGCCACTTAGTATGATTTGCTCTAGTGTTCTTCACGAGGATGATGAAACTCCAGGGTAGGATAGAGCCACCTGTAGATGTATGGTTGAGTACTGTCGCCCACCAGGAGACCGATGCATCTTCTCCACGCCTAAGAATCATCAGTGATCACTATGATGAGGTGGAATTTCCTGGCGATAAGAAATACTTTGGAGACCCTGGAGCGTACATCCGTCGCACATAGATTGAACGCACTTTAATCAATTTCCGTATAATTTAGAAAAAAGAAATATAACTTAAGGCTGTCCACGTCTTATCTGATGGTCTATCTTATCCTTCTGAAAGTCAAAAGATTCAAAAGAATGACCGAGATCACGTGTCGCGGAGATTAAGAACGAACCTCGGCCCGCGCGCGCTTGGCAGAGCAGCGACGAGCATCGTCATCACACGTTGACAGCGACCTTAATCAGAGTGCCTGGGCAGCCTTCCCACTTCAGATCGCTATGGTACAACAATGAGTTCTGCGAACTTTGCTACCGCTCAGAGGAGGGTGCTAGAGCGTCGCCAACGACTAGAGCTAGAAGCTCAGACTCGCCTTAGGGAACAGCAGCGTACGTCGCGTCTCAATTCTACGACCCTGGACAGATTGCCGTATCCTCTGAACAGGCTTACAAAATCTGGACTCTTGGTGTGGGATAATGTGAAGGGTCGCCATGGTACAAAGCCTATTTTTCGCGTCGGCCAGGTCGATGCGGAGCTATTAGATGAAGAATTGCTTGACTTGCTCAAAGGCCAGGTTGGGGAAGCCTTGAAATATTTTGGGGTACGAGAAGAATTGATATTAGTTACATTGCATTGTCTGACGACTTTTTGTTTATTTTTCAGGCTCATGTTCGCGACGAATGGTCTAGTGAAATTCAGCTGGCACTACGTGCGTTACTCTTCAAACTTTCCATTTGGGACCATAATGCCTCGTACGGTGCCGCTCTGCAAGGCCTCCGATATGTCGATAGCCGATCTACGTCACGTATATCTACACCACCGACAAAATGGCAGAAATCATTATACGGCTTATTCACAGTAGGGGGTCGTTATGCGTGGGACAAGTGGGAAACCTGGTTGATCGATCGTGAGAATGGTTACGAAGAGGTATGTTATGGTTGCTATCCTATGTTTCTTCTATATTCATAAGTTGATCAACCTACCATTATCAGCCCTCGACAGATATCCGACTTCTATCTCGGATAACCAATTTGGTCTCGACGACGCATTCTACCGCGGCATTTGTCTCTTTCTTAGTCTTCCTTGTCAATGGCCGGTATCGTACTCTCATCGACCGAATACTTCGCATGCGCCTTGCAGCCCCTTCCAGTCAGGTCAGTCGGGAAGTATCATTTGAATATCTTAATCGGCAATTAGTTTGGCATGCATTCACAGAGTTCCTACTGTTCCTCCTTCCGCTTGTTGGAATTGGTCGCTGGCGACGCTGGATATCCCGAGCATGGAAGAAGACAGTGGCCACAATCAAAGCATCGGATGAAAACGGGTTGACAACGGAAAAGCAGGGGCAATTCGCTTTTTTTCCTGAGCGAACATGTGCAATCTGCTACCAGGATCAGAATCCCACTTCGACGTCAGAAGCTGATGTCCTTGGCGCATCTGCAGGAGGCATCATCGGCTCAGCGCAGACCGATATTACGAACCCTTATGAAACGATTCCATGTGGATGTATATATTGCTTTGTCTGCATTACAGAGAAGCTGGAGGCCGAAGAAGGCGAAGGCTGGCCATGTTTGCGGTGCGGTGACATTGTGAAACAATGCAAGCCTTGGAATGGCGATGTTCTGGAAGAGGTACCACGTTCGACTACCAGTGGGAAAGTGGTCGGATTTTCCCTTGCAGAAGAGAATGAGAACAAAACAAATCATGAAGAAGATGATGACGCAACGTCTGTTGCTGATAGAGGCGAAGTCGACCAACTAACCGACATCGTCGCTAATGATACATTGCACAGTTCAAAGACATGGTCAATGATCGACAAGGAAACATCAGGGAGTTATGAGTCAGAGTCGATAGACGCCTGAATACTGTCGAACTTTCTAATTCTATGGTTAATATTATCAATACGTTCTATGATAACAAAGACCATCTCGAGATATGCGGTCACGTATCTGCACAGCTATTTTCCGTGGTTGGTATTATTAGAGCATACAAGCGAGCGTATGAGATCTCTTTCACTCTTGTCAACCAGCATATTCATATAAGAAGGGAATTTAGTATGATACTGAAGACATTACTAGGTGTAAATATGTTTGATCTCTTGCAATCAAACCCATTGTACTCTTTTTTTTGGGTCATGGGTCGCTACTGTTGGTATACTAACTAGGTATGCTTTTCCAGCCTGTGTGCCAACTATACCAAGCCAAAGGGGCGATATTTGATAAAAAGAGAGGTATGACAATAAAAGAATTGCAAACAGATCTTCTCCTTTGTTCTCTACGCTCAAAGTATACAGTGGCGTAATTCCTTTGAAGAAAGCAACCAACTCATGTTTTCAACATTCTAGTTGCCCAGGTGCTTTCCTGCATTTAAATCTGTGCTGTATTTCTTTATATAACTAGGTAGATGGCGGCAAGCTATACTTGTCCCCATTATAAATTTCCTTCCAGAGAACACTGCACCCAGAAGAAATAAGAATCGAAACCCAACTGAAAATAAGGAAGGTCTCCTTCATGGACAACCCCAACCCCAAAGATCAAGGAAAGCGAGATACCGGCTCAGATGAACAAGACCAGAAGTTACTATCGAAAACTGAAGATGACTACTATGTACCTCTGATGTTGGGCATTCGTGCCAATGAAATCGAGTCGATGAATTATATAGTGGAAACTTCGAATACAATATTCAAGTGCTTAACTATGTGAAGGAGACTGAGAAGCACCGACTGAAGGATTGTCTCTCATATTCAAGAAGTTTTATGGATTCAGTGCAGACCAACTACGGCCCATGATTGCAACAGCGCCGAAGGAAGTAGTGGAAGCCATCGACAGAAAGGCTACGCTGAAGTGGACTCGTACATGGCGAAGTTCACCCGAAGAGCGGCAAAGCCTAATTGCATCATGCACATGGATCATCAACACATGGCTGAATACGGAAATTGAGTCATATCCAGAAGCAAAAGTTAAGCAGGAATACGACAAACTGTGTCGAGCGCTGAGCAACTATGGTTAAAAGCTGAGAGCTCAACTGATATTGAACTAGTCCTACTTTGGCTTAGTTGCTTGTAAGATTGAACTAATCCGGATATGGTACTAGCCAGCTTGGAAATTCACATGATGTCATGACACAAAACGTCGTCGAATCCCTGCCAGATCTTCGTTGCAACTCTGAATCCTAAATGCTAGTAGCCATTCTAATTTCTGTGTACTACTGAAAACAATTCCATACATCATGTCAGATTCGACCCTTGTGAAGACTGCCCAAATCTCGGCCATCCTGACTGCCGCCGCTGCTTCTGGTACGTATCATCGTCGTACTTTCCCTTACACCTCAAATATTTTTTTTTCAATAGCCTATCATCTACTAACATGCACATGAAGGCGGTATTATCTCTATTTCACTATTCGCTCTCCCCGGGTTCATCGTCAAGCCTCGTCAGCGCAAAGGCACCGATCGCGAAAAAGCCTTGGGAGCATCGATTTCTCATATTGCTCGCCAGTGGCAATATGACTACGACGTGGGAAAGATTGTCTTTCCGTCAGCCGCTTTGATTTCGAGCTTATTGTACTCTTATGTTGCATACGCTGTTCGTGGTGAACGCAGCGGGCGCTATTTGAGTGCACTCTACGCCACGGCAGCTGGATTGAACCTCTTGATCGGGCCATTCACGGGATTTGCAATTCTTCCAGTCAACAATCTCATCTGGTCATACCTGGACAAGAATGATGACCTGGCGGTGGAGAGGGTGACTGCGACTGCTGAAGAAAAGCTACAACAAGAGCAAGATGAGCACAAGTTCGTGGGCCTCATTAATAAGTTGTCGCAGCTCAATATTGTTAGAGGCATCTTTCCACTGTTGGGTGCTGGGTTGGGAGCGGTGGCCAGTTTTGGCCTTCTTTGATCAAGTCACAGACACTCTTTACTTCCGAGTTGCTTGGTCTCACAAAACTTGCTTGCGCATGCTCTCTTTTATCCTCTCCTCTCTTATATTTTATCTTGCTTGAATGGTGGTGTTATTAATAATGAGCGAACACCCATGTAACCTACCCCATGTGCTACAGCCATGCATGAGACAAAAATAGATTACTTGTGGTTGATCTGATTTGAGCTTCATACGGCAGTCAAGGTACTCGACATGTAAGAATAGGTGACTCTAACCAATCTTTTATGCATATGAATGCGTAGGTACTTAATGCACACTTGGAAGTTTGTTTATAGGGATGAGACATTGCCCTCTACTGATTGGCTTTTTGGCTCTCCGGCCGGACCCCGCATTATCATAACGACATCACAACAATTCAAGACGTTGGTTGATACTTTTCGTACCTGGATTTCGCGGAACTAGTGTGATTCATTGAGAACAGAGCCGAGATAAAGCCTAGACTTCAATACTGCATACAAGCGATCGGCATTGGTACGTGCTCTTTGCTGCATGCGCCCAACTCTATATGACTGCTGATGTTATACGAGGCTGATCAGATATGTCATCAGGATATATGCTCAATAAAGAATGACTCAGGAAGCAAAGTATCTCGATTACTCGCCCGTCCCTTACGGGTCAAAGCACGAGGATGGAGCGCCAGTTCTGAATCGATATTCAACAGTCTTGACCCGCGGACATGACTCGCCTGCCGCACAGGTACAATCTCGAGCCCTGACTTCATCTTGTGCTACTTATTCTGACTATTATTTCCTCCCACTATCTGTAGGCGATGCTTTATGCCGCTGGAGTTCCTGACCGCAATGCGATGAAGAAGAGCCCTCAGGTCGGCGTTGCCACGGTCTGGTGGGAGGGAAATCCATGCAACATGCATCTTTTAGAGCTGGGAAAAACTGTGAAGAAGTCGATTACAGAAAGAGACCTCATTGCTTGGCAATACAACACAATAGGCGTTTCGGATGGTATCACCATGGGGACCGAAGGTAATAAAACCGACAAAATATGAGACATGATACGTGCCAAAAACTGACTCACATCACAGGAATGCGGTTTTCTTTGCAAACCAGAGAACTGATTGCCGACAGCGTGGAGACAGTTACTTGTGCCCAATATCATGACGCATGCATTGCCATTCCGGGATGTGACAAGAACATGCCTGGTGTAGTCATGGGTATGGCTAGACACAATAGACCTTCTATTATGATTTACGGAGGGACGATAGCTGTGGGATATTCAAATCTGCTACGAAAGCGAATCAACATCTCAACCTGCTTTGAGGCTGCAGGAGCTTACGCTTACGATACACTTCGCCAACCGGATGATGGAGGGGACACGAGCAAATCCAAAGATGAGATTATTGAGGATTTGGAAAGTCACGCTTGCCCTGGTGCAGGCGCCTGCGGCGGCATGTATACTGCTAATACTTTGGCGACTGCTATTGAATCTATGGGGCTGAGCTTGCCAGGATCTTCGTCTACACCAGCCGAATCCCCAGCCAAAATGCGCGAGTGTGTAAAGGTAGCTGATGCTATACAGGTTTGTATCGAGAAAGATATTACCCCGCGTAAGCTTCTTACCAAGAGCTCCTTTGAAAATGCTTTGGTTATGACGATGGCCTTGGGAGGTAGTACCAATGGCGTTCTTCACTTTCTAGCAATGGCACGAACTGCAGAGGTTGATTTGACCCTCGATGATTTCCAGAGAGTGAGCAACAAAATTCCCTTCATTGCTGACCTGGCACCGAGTGGCAGGTATTACATGGCCGATCTTTATGAGATAGGGGGAATTCCGTCGGTACAGAAGCTGCTCATTGCAGCTGGGTTGTTGAACGGCGATATTCCTACTGTGACTGGTAAGACTCTCGCTCAGAATGTAGAGTCTTTCCCTTCGCTTCCTCAAGACCAGGTCATTATACGGCCCTTGAACAACCCCATAAAACCTACCGGCCACTTGCAAATCCTGCGAGGCAACCTCGCTCCAGGGGGCGCTGTGGCGAAAATAACAGGAAAAGAAGGGTTGAAGTTCACGGGAAAAGCTCGTGTGTTCAACAAAGAACACGAACTGAATGATGCCCTTACCAAGGGGAAGATTCCTCGCGACGAGAACCTGGTGCTCATCGTTCGCTACGAGGGCCCGAAGGGCGGACCAGGGATGCCGGAGCAACTCAAATCAAGTGCGGCGCTGATGGGGGCAAATCTGACCAATGTTGCATTGCTCACAGATGGGAGATATTCTGGTGCCAGTCATGGGTTCATTGTCGGCCATATTGTCCCCGAAGCCGCGGTTGGCGGTCCAATTGCCCTTGTTCAAGACGGAGATTTGATAACCATCGACGCCGAGACAAATCAGCTCAACATGAATGTCTCCGAGGCCGAGTTACAGGAACGATTGAAAAGCTGGCAACCGCCCAAGCCGCAGCTTACACGCGGAGTGCTTGCAAAATATGCAAGACTTGTGGGCGATGCTTCCCATGGAGCCATGACGGATCTATTTTAGAATCAACCAAGCGACAATGGCGCTTGGGGATTCGTACTCTATAAGGGGTTAAAAAAATTCTGAGTTGATGTCACCAGTCTGAACCGCTTGAAACAGACAAGCAAAAAGAAAAAAAGGGGGTTCCGAACAAAGTTCGAAGATGCTGTTCACGTGGCCTCGTTGAGCTTGCCTATTCCTTGGGCAACCTTACATAATGTTAGTTACAGGGAAGAAGGACAAAAAGACAAATCTTATGTCAAACGCTTCACACATGGGAAAGACGACGTGTTTCTTTCGTTGTCATAAAAGGAAACGACGATATCGTATTCTAGACTACGTATTCTGTTACGTTTCCGGTGTGCTGATCCGCATAGTTGTATTCTGTACACCGTGTTCTCTGTATACCTACACACTGTGACCAGGGAATATCCCTTGGCGTCTGGGATCATGCATCAAACGAGTAATTGTCAGCAAAGGTCTCACCGACCGGCCTAGTGCCCCCCCCCCCCCACCCAAGTAAGGGGGGCGGAACAGCCTAGTTGACTTTTCCTTTCTCTCCTATCCAAAACGTGCTTCGTCTCATTCCCTCGATTGATTCCGTCGCTGAAGATGTATAAGATCGTGACCAATGGGAATAGAGCCATGGCCCCGTGGGGGATGTACTGATGCCGTTTGACGGTGTTGCACAAGGCACAACGGATATTGGGATTATGCTCTAGCGGAGCTGTTCCCTTGTTTCCAAAGCAGAGACACCAAATGCCGGGCATTTCATCTCGCAGTCGATCCTATCGATTTTATCAATTCGGATGCAGAAAGAGATCGTTGGGAGAGCTGTAAGTTCCGTCCTGCCGGTTCGGCGGCTAGTCGGCTAGGGGGTTACCAGCTAGGACGCTAGTCCTCCTCTGGCTTAGCGCCTGCGGGCCAAAGGACTCGCGCTTCCGCAATTTTTTGTTCTTCAACCGTCCACTCTAGTCAAAGTCGGACAGCCAGCGATACCTGCACCGGCCTCGATTCACCCCTGCCATTGGCCACGTTCCAGGCCAAAGGATGCGCTGGCGTCTTCGTATCTAATCCGCCGGTCCTCTATTAATATCGGTCTTCGTTTGTTGTCCCTCTTTCTCTCTCTCAGTCTGGGCATAATAGGCAGTGCCAGTACCCACTTCCTTCGACGACGAGCTGTTGCAACGAATTACGAATAACGAATAACGGTCGCCGACTGAGGAACGGTCTTCTACCGGAGGCGCTGGCGCCGGCGATCAATCGGCAGACGCAGTCCAAAAGTGCTAGCTCCTGGGCTTGTCCAGGAACCTGGATACTGGGAATCCTGGAGAGGATTCCACAGCCCGCGTCATAAGGGTGCCGCCAATCATTGTCCTCCCGCTTTCCCAAAAGAGCAGGGCTCTTTTGTTGAGACGCATCCTCTTTTTTTCTTTTCTTTTTCTTAGTTCGGTCTGGCCTCGCCTGTCTGAGGGCAGAATTGGGACTATCATGTTTGATATTAAACACCGTTCCTCATCATTCTTTCCTTCGATTTCACTCCGGACCCTTGCGACGTACACCGACAACCAGAGTGATATATATAAGCAACTGTTATATTTGTGGGTATACGATAATGACAACACCCATGTCCGAATAAATCTGTCTAGTTTGTTGTTTTGGACAACTTGTGTCGCTGCCATGGCCGGGTGTGGCATCTTGTCGAGGCACTTGTCTCGACGGTCCGACAGAAATCGGCCGTTCGTGAGGAAACAGCACCATCGAAAACATACCGTCCAGACGGTGACATCATCTGATGATGATAGCGACGAGTGCCCGTCGCCTTCCCAAAGAGTGTCCGCGGCTGACGACCAAGGCTCGATGACGGGGTACCGACGGTTTTCCCTCAATGGTATGTGCCTCCATTCTATCTTCTTTCCTCATTGCATGCGCGCTAGTGTTAAAGCTAAGTCTTGGTTGCATTCTAGATGAACAAGTCGACCCAGGACTGCTGAGAAAGCACTGCTCATATCTTTCATATACCATATCTATAGCCACATATCCAGCCGTCAGGACATTTTTCAGCCCGCATCCTCACATGGACAAGCTTCCTTCCAAGCCAACCCCTATCCCAATGCTTGTATTCATTCACGGTTTAGGCGGTAGTCTTGCCCAATTCCACCCTCTGTTAACCAGCCTGTCAAATGTCGGACCCTGTTTTGGGATCGACTTGCCTGGTTGTGGTTTGTCCACGTTCGCCCCCACCGCTTGGGGAGCCTACACAACCGAAGCTCTAGCAGAACTCATTGCAGTTGCTATCGAAGAACATCGAGACAAGGCAGCAAACCAGGGTGTCGTACTGATTTCGCACAGTCTTGGGTGTTCTATTTCTGCACTGCTAGCGTCGTCTAACTCATCGGTGGCTAAGGAATTACAACCGTATATCCAGGGTGTCATTGCCATCTGTCCCAGAGCATCCCCTCCATCAGCCCAAGAAACAGCGCTTGCTCGAAAACTTCTCTGGATACCGACGCCTATATTTGATTTATGGCGTCTTTGGGATCGCCGAGGAGGAACCCGGAGCAAAAGCGTTTCTCGATTCGTCGGTGAACAAGCTGATCCGGATACTAGACAGCTCCAATTACGATTCAATTCTCAAAGTCGAAGTGCTGTTTGGAGAAGAATGGCCTGGGGAAGCCTTCCTGTATACAACGGTCATGGACAGCCCATTGGAGGAATGCCTGGTCAAACTATCTGGGCGAATGTCAAAGCGCCTCTCCTACTAGTTGCCGGCGAGGCCGATGCAGTCACGAAGGCTAGTGAAGTGGCGAAGATCATTCGCTTCATCGACAGTCCCGATCAAGACTCAAGAATGAGTACTAGCTCTGAGAATGCAATTATTCCTGATGCAACTAGAGTGCAGGACTCAAAGAGCCTAGAGTCTAATAATGCGCGCGCTCACGAGGAAATCTATGGGCTTGACACCTCAGAGAAGCAATCTCTAGATATTGAATCCACCAAAGGGAAAATTGTCAGGACTAGTATTCTGCCTGCGCCAGCATCCCACGCTCTGCTCTACGATCGTGCAACCTATCGTACACTGGCGGGCTTGATCCAAGACTTCGTTCAAAAGTATATTGACCACCGTCTGAGTCTTGGCTGGCAGTTACAACATCTGAACACTTCTGGTAAGTGGGATGTTAAGAATCTTACCAAATGGCAGAAAGTTGCCCCTACATCGGCTCCAATAGCCAATACTTTCATGGCCATGAAGATGCTGCGCGGGCTGGACGAGGTTCATAACCCAGTCCGTTTCTCAGAGCAATGGAAAGGCAAGATTCATGCCGTGATTGACATTAGTCATGAAAACCCTGTCTATGACCCGCATGAGCTGGAAGAAGGCGGTGTCCACTATCACAAACACCCAACAGTCTCTAAAATACCACCTACTCCAGATGAAACTCGGGACTTTATTGGACTAGTCGACCAGCTGGAGAAGGAGATATCTGATAAATCGGGTAAAGAAGTTGGCGACCCTAATCGCCCTTTGGTGGGAGTACACTGTCATTACGGATTCAACAGGACAGGCTTCCTTATAGTCAGCTATTTGATTGAGAGGAAAGGGTATAGTGTGCAGGCTGCAATCGATGAATTTGGACAGTGCCGGCCCCCAGGGATTCGACACGACCATTTCATAGATACACTTTTTGTTCGATATTGTGTTGGGCTCAAGCGAAGCACAACATTGGAGTGATTTCCTTTACATTGTATTTCTTCTTTCTTTTTTTGATTATTCTTGCCCTTCCTGGGTTCTATTAGCAATGGCGTAACGGGTGGGATATAGATCATGGATGGATGGTTAGGCGCGGACATAGACGGATGGCCCCTGGACAGATTTCTAGGAGATCTTGGTGGGCTTTGAATTTCGTACATGGATAACGACTATAACAAGAAGGATAATGTTGCTCTTGTCTGTATTATGATATTATTATTATACCGTTATTGACACCATGCTCTTCGACATCAAATAATGCAATCGTGAGCGAAATTGCTTCAATTATTGACACTGCGGCAAATCACGTGACTTTCACGTATGCCTGACAACAAAGGCAGCCACGGGCACGCTAGACCTTTTCAGTGAGCTGGGAATTGCGACTAACTTGAAGAGGACAAGCGAAACCCGCTCCCGCACAAAATTTGCTGAGGTAATCCCACAAATCTCGAGATCGCCTAAACTTCAGGGAGTCCTGATTCATTTGACGCCGACGACTTTTTCACGACGACGACGACAACGACAAACGGTCACCCCATTTTTTCTTCGACTAAAGAAAAGAACGAAGAATAAAAGCCGCAATCATGGGTGGTGTCACAGTCCGGGACGTCGATGTAAGAAGCCCTCCCTTCTCCTTGAATGCTTGCTTGTTTCTCTCTCCCCTCTGCTGCTCTCGCGTCTTTGGGTTGCGACACTCGAAAAACATATATACCATTGACAATTTGCTACGTGCGATGCTCTCGACTCTTCTATCTGTGTCCGGAGAAATGCGCAAAACGATGAAGGAAGTCGATAAAACGGATGTTCGGGGAGATATTTGGAGTGGTGTGCGAACTGCGAGATACTATTTCGGGCTATGATTCTTCGACATCGTCTATACCTTTTGCAAATAAGGATTACATGCATACAGAGGGAAAGAGGGAGATAATTGCCAGCTTGGAAGAAAATATTTCTCAAAAATGTGCAGATTGGAAGACTAATTTTTGGTTCGATTTCTTAGGCTCAAAAGTTCATCGGCGCTTACTCTGCCTTCTTGAAGCGTCAGGGAAAGCTTCAAATTCCTGGTAAGAATTAACTTGCCGTGCATCATCATAAAGGGTTCTGTGTGTTTTTCTAACCGTATTGTAGGATGGGTCGACACTGTTAAGACCTCCGCCTCTAACGAGCTCCCCCCTCAGGACGCTGATTGGTATGGCAACCAATTCGCTCATGCATCGACATCGTCATCCATGTTAACAAAATATCATAGGTTCTACGTTCGTGCCGCCGCCGTCGCTCGTCACATCTACTTGCGCAAGACTGTCGGTGTTGGTCGCCTCCGCAAGGTCCACGGATCACCCAAGAACCGTGGCTCCGCCCCCTCCCACCACGTTAAGGCCTCCGGTCAGGTTGACCGCCGGGTCCTCCAGGCCCTTGAGAAGATCGGTGTTCTTGAAATTGACGAGGAGAAGGGTGGCCGACGGATCACTCAAAGCGGCCAGCGTGACTTGGACCGCATTGCCAAGACCACCGTTGACGAGGAGGAGGAAGATGATGAGTAAATTATTTACATCCCATGTGTGAATGAATACTTGGTTTCTCGCATTTTTCTTTCTTCCAAATTCCCGGAGTTTCTTAACGTTCATGTCACTTTTTCCCCTCTACTCTCTCTCCCTCGACAAAAATTCCCGCGAACTATTTTTCTTAAAAACCTCATTTCCTTCTTCGGCTATGGTACAAAGGATCAATGTACAAGAGAAAATCTTTTTTTCATTACAATTGGTCCCAAAAATTGGGGGGAGTGGACGACAACATAGATGTGCTGCTACGTGATTGAGTTTGGAGAGCGGTTATACGATAGTCTCGACAACCGCGGCGGTCTCAATGCAGTGGGTAGGATATCTGATGAGCTATATGCTATCCATGCCAAAGCTGTGAAGTCCGATGAGTTCTTGAATGTGATATTAGCATCATTCGGGGTTTAGTCGGACGCAGGGGCTCCGTCGGCAAACAGAACGAAGTGTTACTAATAAAACCTAAATGTTCAAAAAAAGATGTATCACTCCATCTTTTCCTTGGAAGTAATTCACATTTATAGGACAATATCCTAAGGGGTGTAGAAGTAGTTATGGACCCCGTAAAAAGTTCAACTACGCATTTTTCGTGATTTTATCCTTCACCGCCTTCATTTGTGCCGTGTTTTCAACGGACGGCATTTGTTTATAAATAACCTCTTTCGTTCTCGGAGAGCGAAACCATTGAGCTAAATATCCACTCGCCAATTGCTATAGAGTGCCCAAGAATCTATCCATGACTTGTCATATCAATCCTGATGTCGCTCTTGACGCCGCAAGCGACCATTTAGAGGCGGAGAATTGCAATGGCCAGCCACAAACAACGTCAACAACAACAAGAACAACCGCGACGCATTTTAGAGAAGTCACGGACCGTTCGTCGAAGATATCAGAGATCAAACAAACTATTGGAATTCACACCGTCCCAAATCCAGCGGATTGAAAGGGAGGAGGAGCGAGAAAAGAAGGCTCAACGGATTCGAGACAAAGAGAAAAGAAAACTAGCCAACAAAAAAAAGAAAGCCGAAAAGGAAGCCAAAGAACGTGAACAGCGGAGGCGTTTGGGAATTCCAGATCCTAATACCATCAAAATTCCTGCTAGCCAGCCTCTGCTATTGAATTTCTTCGGGGCGGGGAATAATGCAAAACAAGCGGACGAAGTTAAAGAAGGCAATGATGAAAGCAAGAAATGCTGCGTTTCCACTAACCATGAGCCAACAGATATAGTTCAACAAGAAGATATAACAGATGCCGCCACGGAAGCATTCAGTGACGTTGATACAGAACTTGGGGACGATTGGCTGGATAACACGTTTTTAGATGAACAGATAGTACATAAAGAGAGCACCCACGGAACTGTACACGAATCGGCTTTAAAAGTCTCCAATGCAAGCTCTGTGACACGCAACGAGGAACAAGCAACAACGCCAACACAGAATATGGAAGCTCGTGCTACTAGGGCGAGTAGTTTCAGTGACTCTTTCGAAGATGACACCGCTCTCCTACTACAAGGGCTTGACCCTAGTGTCCTTCAAACTTTCGAAACACCCCAGAAGCCACAGTTGAGTTTACATGGTTTCAACACTGGGAGCACTGCAATGAAAAATATGCAGCGTACCATCACACCTTGTATGCCACATTCTGCATGCATTACACCCCAGGTCGAAGTTACAAAGCTAGCAGGTGACGGGAAATCACTGAAAACTCGACCTATTGCTCCATTTGTAGAGCTCAAGGAGACAAATACAGCCCCTGACGCAGAAGGATATCCTCGATTTTCTCCAAAAGAGACTGTTTGTCGAGACGCGCATAGAACCGAGGCCAATGCAGCTCTTTTGGAGATGCACAATGCTGATGCAGAAGATGAATACGACGATCTACCTCTCTCTACACAGGATGTGAGAGACCTCGATCGTATGATAGGCCTGGGTTGATTACGAGATTCTCTCATGAATCATGCTGAGTGATTGTACTCAGTATTCATTGCAACGCCGGCATCGAGAAATTATTCGCAGTACTTTATTGGACTTGGCTCCTAGTTACATATCGCTACGCGCTCTATTGCATATAGAAACCCTGTTGTTATATGAATCTATTGTCTAATGCGCCTCAATGGCCTGCTGCTGCTCATTATGCGGTAGCGCAGCCATGTCATCGTCATCTTCTGAATCAAAATCTTCCTCGGCAATGGGGAATGTCAACAACGCAGCGACACCACCTAAACCATCCAGTCGCTTCCCACTTTCATGATCTGAACTCAAGACGCGGACATCTCCACCCTCGACCTCGCGAACACGGTCAACTAATCCAACCCAGCGCTTCCTCTGAGCTACGTCTTGCGAACGGAAAAGTCTATTAGAAATTATGAGGATGCCTCCACCTCTTCCGACAGCACCCTGCTCGACTGCGAATTCAACTTCCCGGGGGCCATAGGTCGCTTTATTAGTGTCTTTGCGTAAATGCTCCAAAAAGTCGTCCATCAATTTAGTTTCTCGCGCATATTTCGTGTCCGATAGTAACGTCCGCACGGAGGGTGACTGAAGAACCTCCGAGAGAGCATGGAGATAGCCAGAGGCTGAGTGCACGACCACAATACATGGTAAAAGTCTCTTCAATGCAGGCATATTTGTGGATGCCACTGATTGGATGTGTTTTTGGAAACCTGCCGCCACAAATCCTGGCGAAGCTAGGAGTATGGGTCTCGCTGATTCGCCGTTATTGTTGTTGCTCGATGTCGCTGTTATACTTGTGTTGAATTCTATTTGGCGGAGTAATGTGTCGAGAGTGACTTGGAAGAATTTTGAAAGCCCCTATCATTTAACGTCAGCTCGAATTTTCGTTGCACCGATCTGTTACCGATGACAATCTTCCTCGCCCTGATCGCACTAACCTTGTCATGGTCCCCTCCGCCTGCGCGTTTGCGTGGGATTGACATTTCAACCTTTTGTTTCAAGATCGTGCGGAATTGTGTGATGAAACATATATGGGCGAGTCCTTCCTGCATCACCACTGCCACAGCCTCTGCTCTTCTCTTGCCGCCTTCATCAACTGCATCTTTAAGCATGTCGATGGCTATACTGTCCCATCCTACTCCTTCCCCTTCAGCGCCCACTTCCTTCTCCAGTGTGAAATTGCGGTGCATTTCAAGATCAAGAGTATGGTGTTGCCCTATTCGTGTATGTTGTGTCTCGTTCATGATCTGCCCGCTAACATGGAGTTGTGAACTGTTCGGATCAAAATCTAGCCCTTTTACGCGAATTTGGAGCATTAAATGTACTCTTTGAGAAACCGTAGTTCCACTATCTTGTGACGTAGTGACTTTGCGGATCGCGCTGGCCCTGAGGAGATCGTTGGGTCGGATTAGATTGTAGGCATGCCACTATGGAGATGAATGGCATTGACATATTAGCGTCGCCGAAAGCACTGTTGGGACAGAACGACGAACCATATCTTCTGGCTCCTCTGGGCATAGGGTGACAGCTCCAGAGCCATTATGTTCGATGCTGCTTTTGATAAGCCGCATATTGCACTATGCAATGAGCTTGACTGACTAAGGGCGAGGAGAAGTCAAAGACAGAGAGAAGATGTGCCCAAAGGAAGAGAAGAAGCTCTCTATACTGCTTGTCCCCCGAGGCCAATGACGCGGGGAAAAAAGATCCCCTCTCCAAATCCGGTTAAACACGCTGAAGTAGTGGATCCGCAGAAAGCAACCAATCATAGGTAGTATGACGGCAACTCTATTTTGGGGCACCAGAAAGTATGCGGCACTAAGCCTAATATGGCCATAAGCGAAGGACACACAATCCACCTGCGTCGAACAACTTCCTCGCCTTGCTCCTTTGCACTCCGGAAGCCGACAACTACAGACAACAACCGACGCCATGCCTACCAGACTCACCAAGACGCGGAAGCACCGCGGTCACGTCTCCGCCGGTCATGGTCGTATTGGAAAGCACCGCAAGCACCCCGGTGGTCGTGGTATGGCCGGTGGTCAGGTATGAAGCGGAATAGTCCATGGTTCCAAAGCGAGTAAAGAACTAATCGCTATACAGCACCACCACCGTACCAACATCGACAAGTACCACCCTGGTTACTTCGGTAAGGTTGGTATGAGATACTTCCATCTCCAGCGCAACCACTTCTGGAAGCCAACCATCAACCTCGACAAGGTAAATTTTTCGACTTAATTTCGACTTAGACCGCGGAGAGAGAGAAAGTTGGCAATGTCGCTAATACCATTTTGAATAGCTCTGGACTCTTGTCCCCGAAGAGACTCGCGAGAAATACTTGGCCGAGAACGCTCCCTCCGACAAGGCCGTCGTCCTTGACCTCCTCGCCCTGGGTTACTCCAAGGTCCTCGGAAAGGGCCGTCTCCCTAACATCCCTCTTGTCGTCAAGGCCCGCTACATCAGCAAGGAAGCTGAGCGCAAGATCAAGGAGGCCGGTGGTGTTATTGAGCTTGTTGCCTAAAGGCATCAACACGCTTGTGGTGGTTTTGAATGTCATCGCGAAATGACTCGAAGAGGGTGATCGAAATATGGCAGGCATTCATTTATTTGGGAACATGAGATCATCGTCCTCGAGACACGAAGAGACGAATCACCCTCTCTTATGTTTAATAATGAACAAAATTCAAACCCGTGCAACAACAAACTGCATGGCTAGGAACAACGGTGTTTTCTGGTGAACCTGTCTAAAACTACCATGGACAGTTGAAAATTTTCTGCAGGCCACATAGCAAAATTTAGAGCGCTATATGCCCTGGTTTTCTACATCGTTACCTCTTAAATGTCTTCCATCCAAACATCTGTTCGATCTGATGTCTCGTAACAGCATCCATAACCGGGCATTTATTCTATGCCGTATATTACACATGATACTTAGCTTTCATCGTACATGAGCGCGATTGCGAACATTGATAAGGCCCAGACAATGTCAAGTATACGAATACTTATTGTATCACGTGACTAGAGTTGTCATCTCCGATTGGTGAGCGCGGCGGGACAAGTCTAATCTTCAAACCTACACTGAGCGCGGCGTTCCTGACAGCTTTATTGTCTACCTAATCGAATCTATATGCTGAGATATCCTCGAATATTTATTGACTCAATCCCACCCCAATATTGGCCAACTTGAGTTGACGAACGCGGAAGTCACGCAGTTGTGGAGAAGCCCACCATCATCGTGTGATGAACCTGTTCGATCATTATAATTCTCACTAGGCAGAAAAACAAGATGAATATGAATGTGTTTCGCATACTTGCCGATCTTGCGCATATTGTTTCGAAATGTATTTTGATATGGGCTATTCATTGGAATAGCAGTTCCGAGGGTAAGAAATGATCAGGGTCTTCATTTCTTATTTCATCTCTGGAAGGAAATAACAAGTAGATTGCTGACTTGCTGATAATGATATAGGTGTGTCACTTCTTACACAGGGCCTATACGCCCTAGTCTTCATGACGAGATATCTGGATCTTTTCCGTGCCTCGCAATGGACAGCTGAACACATTTACCTTGTATTTTTCAAGCTGTTCTATATATTTTCTTCCTTTTACATAATTGCAATGATGATGTGGTTTTATCCGCGGACACGTGAAAGAGAGAAATCATGGAGGCTTGCTACGTGGTGTGTTCTGGGCTCGTTAATCGGCGCACCTATCTCGTTGGGCATCTATGCTGCAGCGCATAAACAGTCATACCCAAGCTACTGGTTTACAGAGGTACGTGTAGCACTAGCACCGATGTCACAGTTAATATGGCAGGCAGTTTGACTAACTAGGTACACTTGCTTGCTCTGGCATGCGGTGCTAACAGACACTGTGGGCCTTTTCAATTATACTCGAATCGGTATGCGTACTGCCACAGCTCCTTCTACTACGTCAGACGACTGTTCCGACGGTGATCGACTCGTACTATTTGATCACCCTAGGCTCATATAGAGCTCTCTATATTTTGAACTGGCTTGTCCGCGGTTTTGGCCCCGAGCATTTTTGGGATCCAATTTCCGATATCTTCGGAGTTGTGCAGACTTTGCTTTATATTGACTTCGCCTGGGTGTACTACACACGTCAACGAGTGAAGCTACGACGCGGGGGTATCGTGGATTCCGAGGATCTTCGAAAGAGTTGGTTTGTGGGGAAAATATTGAACTCACGGAGGGTCCACGGGCAAGAAGAACAAGAACCTTTGGACCCGGAGGCTGCAGGAGATAACACAGCTGTTCGCCCTACCTGGGGAGCAAGAGGTATATCTGTTTCAGCGGATGAGACGCTTCACGATCATGACCGCCGTTTCCCTCAGTAAAAAATGCCGGCAGCATGTTGCATGGGTTGTATTCTTGTCTTATAATACAGGCCGTGGGAGAATGAATATATAGCTTTCGCTGAACGAATTATGTGGCAACTATCTTATTTCTGACGTTATTGAAACGCAGGCCTCTTGATTGGCGCATTGTTATCACATTATTATCATTATTCTTAACTCAGCTGTTTTAAGTTGATGGGGCTTTGATGTCAAGTGTTTCAGCATGACTCCGCGTTCTGTGGGTAGTTACAGATGAATCCTTCGGGGGGGAGGGTCCCTTTTTGCCGTCTCCATATGCCTGTATTCGTGGTATGAAAGGAAGCTGCTTCGAGTAATGAAACTTCAGTGCCGATCACATGACAAGATATGACCTAAAACAGCGTTGCACTTCTTATCTACCCACCAGTATAAGAGTATTAGCTTAGAGAGTAAGTACCAAAGTGAGTAATTAGATAAGCTGCATGGCTTTATTACTTTGACATTCTAGAGCCATAGCGCGCTTAATCAAGGTAAAAAGGGATATTGCCTTTTTAGGGATTTGGCGCTCCAAACGACAAGGCTGACTGTTGCTTTGAAATGGCTGTGATGTGGGAACTTTAAATCTGCAAAAGTGATTGGCCAAGTCTGGTTGTTCGCGGCCAACTTCACCTACAGAGTAGTTATCTCAATCCTCGCCTATAGGCTAACAGATAAATCTGTTACTTGGAGGCTGTAGCTGTAGCCTTTGGCTAGAGGATTGGCACGCGAGCCAGATGCCAGACAGTTTACACCACGCACGGCTGACCACAGTGACCAGCTTTGACATTTGTGTATCGACTAAATTCAGCCACGTATCCGTACTTTTCTAACGAGGCGGTGACCGCTGTCAGCATTCAATATGCGGAGGAAAGGGCAAGCAAAGCCGTTTAAGATACATGAGAAGTACGGATTTAGGAGAGATGTCGGTAAATCATAGTAGTGACCATCATGAATTGACATTATGCCCTGTCCTGTACCTGGGTATAGGTACACATCGGTTCCTTGGAGGCTTAAGTCACATGGCGTTATTGGCGTTGCTACGAGATATAATTCAAACCTCTAGCTTAGAAATTTGCTAGTAAACCGATGAGCCAATAAAAATCGCTGAATATGCTTCAAGAAGTCTGTATATTACGCTAAAAATTAGCGATAGTGCAATATGCTATCTCCACTATAGTAATTTAAATACCTATAATTATTCAAACATTGTAATTTTCTTTTATATGAGATAATTTGAGTATTTTCTTAAGATTATATACCTTTCATAGTTTGAATTTACATTAATTATAGCTCTTTTTTCAACTATGTTAGATAACTAGCGGATAATATCCATTTGTATTGATATGTATGTATATATTACCGGAGACTAGTATTTATTAGATCTTAGCTCATTTTAGTGTCCTTGGCATTGTAAAGACTTTTGACTCACAATTCCCTTAAGGTCACACTTGGAAAAAATTGTCAAACTTGACAAAAAAAAAAAAAAAAAAAAAAAAAAAAAAAAAAAAAAAAAAAAAAAAACAAATGTGGGGGTTGACTGACGACGAACATTCCAATAAGCACGTGACAACCGTGCCAATAACCCCCGCGCATCAACAGTGAAGGATGACTCTTAGCATTTTGGGCTCAGTGGCCATAAGAAAATTCAAACCAAGCGCATTTCGGCTAAATAACTTTCGAAGTGAGTTGATCGCTTCTTTCCTTCTTTTTCTTCCCAGGCGAGACAACGACTAATCAATACAGTAGATTGCGCCACGATGGCGCCAACCTCCCTTCGTGTCTTCGATAGCCTGGTTAAAGATAAGACCTCATTCTCAACATCCGATCCAAATGGCAAAACTGTGACTTGGTACACTTGCGGACCGACGGTATACGATGAGGCCCACCTTGGTCATTGCAGAAGCGCGATATCGATCGACATTCTCCGTCGTATAATGCGCGATTATTTCGGATTTTCGGTGCGGTTCGTGATGAACGTTACCGACATTGATGATAAAATCATCTTGCGATCGAGATATCAATATTTGGGAACAAGGCTACAAAAGGAATTGGAGAGTATGGAGAAGACCAAGGCCGTAACAGAGGCGACTTCGATAGGAAGGGCTGCGATCAAGCACTACTTGTCGACACACCTACCACTGCTGCCTTCGGACATAGCACTGGAAGCGTACTCGGTGGAAGCGAAAAGGCTGTACCATGATCTCGTCAACGGCGAGCAGACTGACCAGACCGCCAAACTCGAAATGCACATGAAGAATTGCCAATCTGGCATCGATGCTCTGGTAGCTTTGGAAAGTGTGTCGGACGGCACCGCTTTGTCCGACTTCCTCCACAAGGCGAAAGACGTTATCCACCCATATCTTGACTATCTCTACGGCACTACCATCGACTCCCAAGACCATGGTATCTTCACAGGTATCGCACAAAAGTACGAGAAGCTCTACTTTGACGACATGCGTGCCTTGAACGTGCTCGATCCTGATGTTATAACTCGCGCTACTGAATTCATCCCACAAATGATAAAATTCGTTGAACGTATCATCACTAAAGGCTTCGCATATCCGACTGCCGATGGTTCGGTGTACTTCGATATCGCTGCCTTCGAAAAAGCAGGGCATCCATACCCGCGTCTGGAACCAGGAAATCGGAATAATTCGGCACTTCGGGCGGATGGAGAAGGCACTCTTGCGAATAAGTCGGCTGTTAAGCGTAACGACGTTGACTTTGCGCTCTGGAAAGGTAGTCGGCCAGGGGAGCCTGCATGGCCGACTCCATGGAGTAAGATTGGAGGGAGACCAGGGTAAGAAGTTACACTTGACAGATTTTAATAACTCTACTAACGCTTTTACAGCTGGCATTTAGAGTGCTCGGTGATGGCATCGGAAGTACTGGGGTCTGAGATTGATATTCATTCAGGAGGCGAAGATTTACGATTTCCACACCATGATAACGAGGTTGGTATTACGTACTTGCGAACTTGGGAGGCAGTTGCTGATGGAACTATTTAGCTCGCACAATCGACAGCATATTGGTCCACTGAGGGGAAATCAGCTCCTTGGGTTAACCATTTCCTTCACACAGGACATCTTGGGATCCAGGGCCTGAAGATGAGCAAGAGCCTCAAGAATTTCATTACGCTAAGGGACCTATTTAAGCGCCCGGACTGGACTCATCGGCTATTACGAATATGTTTTTTGCTTGGCGCATGGCATGACAAGATTGAAATAACAGATGAGATCTTCAAGACAGCAGTGGCCTGGGAATCAAAGATGAACAACTTTTTCCTCCAAGCTCTTGATTGTGCCAGATCCCCACAAACTGCCACAGCAGAAGCAGACGCTACCCGGGACAAACCATCTGCTTTGGCGTCCCTAGAAAGGGCAAAAAATGGGCTACATGAGGCACTTTGCGATTCGTTTGATACTCCGACAGCCATGAAGGTCATATCAGAATTAGTCAGCGAATGCAAAAACATGACAAGTCTATCTGATACAGATCTTTTAACTGTTTCAAAGTGGCTCACACGTATTGTCACTATTTTCGGTCTTAATCCCGAGGGTGAAGAGGCTGTGCTCGGACAGGGTAAAGGTGAACAATTACAAGGACCTGCATTTGATTCTCAAATCCTTGTTTGGCATGGGGTCGAAATACCATTTGCTGCACAAGAACCAATCTACGCTGCGGCCAAACTTCGGGACGACGTCAGACAGCACGTCCTATCCGCGGGAGAAAAGGTTGACAACAACGCTCTGGGGAAGCTGATAGAAAAAGACCAACCCCAGCCAAAAGCAGAGGAAAACTCCACCAAGTATTATACTGCAGCTACTGAATTTCGCACGAGGATGCAGCAACTAGTTTCTGAGAATGCGTCTAAGAAGGAGATTCTTAGCCTCTGCGACGACTTCCGCGACATACAACTCTTTTCCCTCGACATCTACCTTGAAGACCGCGAAGATCTGCCGGCCCTTGTTCGGCCGCTCGACGCATCACTTCGAAGAGCGCTGGCGGAGAGGAAGGCTACTGCCATTGCTGCTGCCGCAGCAAAGGCAAAGCAGAAAGCCGAGAATATCGAAAAGCAACTGGCTCGAGACGAGCAGGCGAAAATTAGCCCGGGAGAGTTATTTAGAGACAAAGCGTTGTATTCGGAATGGGATGAGCTTGGAATTCCGACGAGAGATGTTAATGGGAAAGAGATTACAAAGAGTGCAAGGAAAAAGCTGATAAAGCTACAAGAGAGGCAGACGAAGTTACATGAGGAGTGGCTGGGTCGAAACAGGACTCAATAGAGGTGTTCAGAAACAAATCGTGAATCCTGTACCTACTCTAGTCTAAATACAAGTATGGAAAGAAGAGGTTTGAAACTTACAGTCAGCCCCTAAACACGAGGGAGATGGAATTGTCATCTGCCTAAACTTGCTATTTTCTCATCTCTATATACGTCAAACCTTGACCCCCGAACTCAGCTACAACTTGGCTTGGGCCACAGTACGAATTCGTTGCTTTAGATGCGGAAACAAGCAATCATCAAAAGAAGTGTTAAAAGTATATCTCGTCAGCTGTGACATGTGGCTATGCATTCTATACCAAAGGCAAACAAGGCCGAACACGTTTTAGTCTGCGCTGCATATTGTTCAATGCCCAAAATGCTACCAAAACTTCTCAAGGTCCACATAAGATGCTCGCTTTAGAGCTTGCACGAGCCGGTCCTGTTGGAGATGCAATTTTAGAACCGCGGATAAGAAGGCGTTTGAAGTTCACACAATCGTATTTCAGATACGAATAGCTAGAGAGCAATGTATTTAAGATTTATATAGTTGCTAAGACATGATAAGGCATTATTCTCTGTATTATGATAACTAACTAGTTAACTAGTTAGTTAACGTAATCGGACACCGAGCGGGCCACGACACCGAGCGGGCCACTTTCTCCGGAAAACGCGCTCTATATGAATTTCAAGCATGAATTTCTAACCAACATATAAAATAAATACAAAAAATTAACTAGTAGTATGATTAGGACATTGAGGCCTTCTATGCCCAAAAATACCACACTCACTACACTGAAATTGGCGGCGTACGCATAGTTGAGAGGCTTGAGGCTCGGATTCAGCTGGAACAGCCAGAGGAGGTTGAGAGGCCTCAGTTTGACTATTTATAAGAGCCTGAGCTTCCTACACAGTAAGTAAGTCTTCATAAGATATCTAAGCCCTAGATTATTTCTTTTTTTACTTCTCTTTTTTATTTATAACCTATAAATTATACACTTCTTTTTGTATGATTAATAGCTCATTCATAGTCATTTCATATGCTTTAGACATCCACTCAATTGCCCAGTTAACAATATCTAATAGACTAATTGAATATTAAGCTATTAGCTTTTTAGCTATACTTGATTAATATTTGAAATGACGTAGATTTTAAGATATTTAAAAATAGGAGGATTATAAATTAGTATTATTACTTACTAGAGGAGGTGTTAGGGTTTAAAGCTAAATATAAAACTGTTAATAGACTCAATCTAGATTAAAAGATACTAATCCAGTTACTACAAAGCCACTTTAAATAATTTCAATCTTATATACTATCGTACAAGCTTCTAGAAAGACTATAAGGAAATTATATTTATTAATATAATTATATCTAAGTTGTACGCGCTGCTCAATTAATTATCTATATTGTTGTTTTAAAACAGCAAAACAGCTTATATTAAGAGGCTATAAAAGATATGATGAGTGAGATAGTATATAGATTAATATAATATTATTTTCTAGGCAGATTTAATTAAATTGAGTAATAAGATAACTTCTATAGCTATTAAGAATAAGTATCCAATATCTGCCCTTTATATAATTAGTTATATAAGAAATAAAATGGTTTTAGAGCTAATTTATTCTAATCTCATCTATCATCTATCTATTATTACTAATATTAAGTCTCCAATCTTGTGAAAGAATCTTAAACCACTCTTCTTAAAAGAATATTATTACTTTAAAGATGATATACAAAGATAAAGCTTATCCAGTTGAATTAACTGTTTTAATTGCTATAACCCATTCCTAGTTACCAGATTATAATAGATAAAGCTGTTTATATTGATTACTGCCTATTATAACCTTTATAGATATATAAAGCCTTATAGCAAAGCCAGTCTCATCAAAGTTGTATATATCTTTGGATAAGATCCTATATTCTTATATAGCCTCTCTGTAAGGCGGAATCCTGGATGGAGTTGGGAATAGCTTCAAAGTACAGCGGGCATATGACCTCGCCCAGCTTCCTATTACTAATTGGACTAGCAGCTTGGCAGACACCATCTTATAACTATGAATGGCCTCAGGCCTTTAGAAAGCAGCAATTAGCTGCTAAGCATATATATATATATTATATATTCAAATCTATTCCTAGGCTGAAACTGAATCCCAGCTATATTCTTATAACCTCTATCACAGTCTAATCACTCACTTTATAAGGGCCTAGTAATCATTGTTTAGAATAGCTCTAAAATATATCTCTTTATATACTTAGAGACAAGCCTCTAAGGAATTATCACCTCTAGTTAAATATCTTTTAAATATTAAAGAGATTCTAATAGAGGAAAGAGAAGTAAAAGTTATAAAAATAAAATTAAGTAATAAAGAAGAAGGTAAGGTTAATATATCTTTAATAATAGCTGATAAGATAAATATTAAGGCTATAATTATAAAGCTAGCAGTTATAAAAACTTAAAATAAAACCTTAGTATTTATAGTTCTATTAAAATTATTAATAGAATATTTAAAGAAAGATCTTCTAGTAATAATAATAGATAAACTTATTAAATTTAAAGCTAAAGTGGCTAAAACTATAAAGATATAATATCAAAGAATTATAATTTAAATTATACTTTAAAAGCTTAAGAAGCTGAAGTAATAGCTATTATATTTATTATTAATAAGCTTATTAATATAGGGCTTTAATATATAAAAAAATTTAAACCATCTTAATTTAAAGAAGAAAAAAAAAGAGTAAGGGGTAATTAATATTAAAATAATAAATAAGGAAGAGCTACTAAGTTAAAAAAGATTATAAATATCTATAAAAGTTATTTCCTAAAATAATTAAAGCTAGTATTTAAAAAAAAATATAATAATACTAGTATAAAGAAATTAAAATTCTTTAAGCTTTAACTTAAATATTATTTTATAAAATATGATTATTATTATAACTTTAAAAGTACTGATTAACAAAAAATACTAATCACAGTTAAAAAACTAAGCTAGAAAATATTTAATTAATAGAATATACTTATAAAAAATAAGATAAAGATTAACTATATAATATAAAAAGACTTTAAATTCTTTCTAGTAGATATTATATATATTCTAGAACTGTTATACTAAGATATAAATAAGTAATACTAATAGATATAGCAATAAAAAGATCAAACTATATCTAAATTTAATATCTATATCTAAGGACTAAAACATCTTTTAGAACAAATATATACAAATAAGAATTAAAAATATTACCTTAAAGATTAAATTATAAAATCTATATATATCAAGACCATATAATAGGGCAACAAACCTAAAGAATATAATAACTATATAATATATCTTCAAAAGATAGAAGATTCCATATTAAAATAAAAGAAGAAATTTTAAGCCACTTAAAAGTAGGCTATAGAGCTAAATTTAGATTTAAAAAATAAAGCTTTAAGTTAAAATTTAGACTAAAATAATAAATTTAACTAAAAGAATAACCATTATAATAGTTATTATTTTTAGAAGAAATCTAAAACTAAAGGTTTTAAGAATAAATTAAAGACCTAGAAGTTACTAATATATACTCATTATAGTAAAAAAGAGTACATAAAAAAAAACTATTACTCTAAAGACCCTAATAAGAGATCTAAGAGGGATTCAAAATAATTTCTTAATAAGATCTAATATACTATTATAGTATTAGAGCTACATATTATATAATTGAATTAAGGATTATATATTAATATATATATCTATATATAAATTCTAAAAGGCTATGTAAGAATATTTACCTTAATTAATAAAGCTACTAAAAGTAACTTTATAGACTAAAAATAGATATAAAAGAATATATATTTTTTAATAAGTCTAGCTATAGTTATAAAAGTAATCAATAGATATTTAATACTAATATATAAGAAGACTTTATTGAATATTATTGCTCCTAATTTAAAAGGTAGATTAGGAAGTATTTAGTAGACTTATAGTATTATTAATATAAAAAGGTATAATATTATACTTGGATTATTGTGGTATTTGGTTATAAATCCTGATATCTATTATATTATAAGGTAGTGGTATTACTGCTAGCTTATTAAATAGAAGACTGAGCTCGCGCTTTATTATATAAGTTATAGGGCTATATAGTAGTGGGATCTTATGAAAAATAAGAGTAATATATCTATAGAGTGCATACTGAAACTATATATAAAGTAGATTATGGCCTAAGAACTTTATTAAGCTATAGAGAATAAAGAGACTGCTTATATTATAGATCTAAGAAGAGTTATAATAAAAAAAGCTAATCTAGATAAGGAGAAGACTAAGAGTCTTTTATAACTAGTAGTTATTAATATTTTAGAATTATTAGTATACTTAGAATTATATCTTGATATCTTTTTAAAAAAGTAGATAGCAATATTACTTAAATATATAACTTATAATTATATTATTAATTTAGAGTCTAGCAAAGAGCCATTATACTATTTAATTTATTAGTTAAGTTTAAAAGAATAAAAAGTGCTTTAAAAATATCTAATAAAAAATCTAGCTAAAGGCTAGATTTATAAATTAAAAAGTTCTATTAAAGTATTTATTTTATTTATACCTAAAAAGAACAGTAGTCTATAGCTATATATTGATTATTAAAGGGTAAATGCTATTATAGTTAAGAATTGATATTTTTTACTATTGATTAGAGAGATCTTAAATTAGTTTTTTAGAGTATTAATATTTATGTAGCTAGATCTCTAAAATATATATTATTGTATCTAAATTAAGAAGGAAGATAAGTAGAAAACCACTTTTTATACTTAATATAGGCATTATAAATATACTGTTATACTATTTAGGTTGGTGAATATCTTAGTAATCTTTTAATTATATATAAACTAAGCACTAAGTAATCTTTTAAATATAAGCTATATAATATATCTAGATGATATTATTATATATTTAAAGAATAAAGTTATTAAAAAAAAGAATGTTTGTAAGATATTAAATTACTTATAGTAGTATAAATTATATATTAAGCTATTGAAATGT